GGCGATCACTTGGGCCACAGACACATGTCGGAACCCTGGCACGACTTCCTTGGTCAGCAAGCCAAACAAGCGGGCAGTGAAGGCATCAAGCACTTGGAAGGTCGCAATATTTGCCATGTGGAATGCCAACGCTCTCCTTTGCATACAGAGACGAACCCTCAGTTCTCCTGTCATGTCGGCAACCGGCTCTGCTGTCTTTTTGCCCAACTTGAGCAAACCGTCAGAAGTGAACTCGAAGGCCGGCGCTTTTTTGGTCTCTGCTTCTCGGGAGGTGCAAGTTGCTAAGTCCACATAAGTCAATGCCTGCTCTTCTGCCATTGCCATCACCCTATCAACCAAATTGTGAGATGGTTCCAGCTGCGCGTCAATGGTTAGACCTGGCAAGGCTTCTCGTAGCCTTTTCAAACGATCCAGTCTCTCTGGCATTGCTAATTGGCGGGGCTCCTGGCCTTCACGGCGATCCACCCTAGCGCGCAGGTCTTGCACTGCTAGAGTGTGCGACTCACAGAAGAGTCTTCGGTACACTGGCAAAAGGTCACCGGCGGGGGCGCCTAACAGATCTTGCAGCGCTTGCTGCAAAGGTCGGTCGTCCGGGCTTTGCGGCTGGTATGCAGACACAAATGCAAACCTAGCATGTGTGTCAACATCCCGCGCGGCCAGCTTCTGGATCTGCACTGCTGGGATGCCGAGCTCGGCAGCCCTTGCTTGAAAAGACGCAACCGAGTCCACAACCATGACTTCAATAGGTCTAACCCTCGAGCCTCAACAAGAATTGCAGTTGACATCAAACTTGCAAATGCGTCAGCCGTGCAATTCACAAACCCCGTGCAAAAGTAAAAGGGCACCAGGGTTCAAACAGGGCACCTAGTACCAGTGTTTCCACGAACCCCAACTCTCAAGGTTTACTTGACCCTCCCTCAGCGCTCCACTGAAACACTTTTGCGCGGGATTCACCCTGCGCCACGGTCTGCGCAGGAGGGCATTGCCTGCCTTGCGCCCGCTTGCACCCGCACGTCACTTTAGCGTTGCGGCATGATGCGAAGCTTTGCACTGCTCACACATTTGGGCACCTAACACGGAAGAGTCATCAGGCTTAATGTAATTCTCGCCCCTAATTCTGCCACATGCGAATCTGCTGCCGTCCAGTATGAGGTGAAGCACTCCAGAAATGCGATGTTGTTTAAACCGCTCCGGCTCTCTGATGACCACGCACCTCCTTTCAGGAGCTGGAACTATCTGAGCTATCTCGCTTTCCACAACTGGCGTGTTCATGTTGGCCTCATGCGTCGCCGACTCTTCCTCTAGCCTTTGAATTTCCATGAGGACTAGTTCTGAGGCTGAAGCATCGGGAGCAAAAGCGCGCTCTCTGATTCTCCGAATCATCATTGCCACTCGTACAAGAATAGGCACGAAGTTGGCACGGCCGTATGTCAAAGCAGAAGTACTTGGGCGATCCATATGATGTCCCATGATCTGTCGCTCTGACAGCGTGTACTTCCCATCCTTTGCCAGCCATGACAACAAAGTGCACTTGCAGGAGTGCGTTGATGGCAACACATCCGAACTATGATGCTCCAAGGACGCTGCTGACAAGCACTCGCAAAGCCATAGCGTGCCTTCTCCTGATGTCATACGTCTGTTTGCCCAGGCTCCGGTTTGCTCGTTCCAGGCTGGTAGCAAATACGGCCGTTTGCCCAAAAGCTTCTCGCTTTTGAGAAGACTCATCCACTTGGCGGCCTACCCCTGATCTGCGAATCCTTGGCCCAGACATACCAAAGGCAAAATTGCTGTGCGCCTATCTGCGCTGGTGGAAGTTTTGTGTCTCCTTGCCCCGGCGTGAAGCACACAAAAACCCCGCGCTTCGTCCAGCTTCATGTCCTCTGCATTCTGCGCGTCACTGAAACGAGCACAGTTGTAGACGCAAAACACGAAAAAACCGGCAATCACTCCCAAAGCAGGCGAGGGAGGGTGTATGGCTGGGCTTTCAAGAGCTGATACTTCCTGAACCGTCAAGGGCCGAGCCTGAGTCAGAGGTCTTTTGCCTAGATGCGTGGAATGCACGGCACCCTTCACACGAGTGCTGATGACCGAGCTGGCGTCACAAGTCAAAAAAACCAAGCAGGGTTGAGAAGAAGCGCAGGGACTCCAGAAATGCTTTCCCAGATGTTGCACCTGCGCCGGAATCTCTTAAGACATTAACGTAGTCATACACCGCGCTTTCAGACATGCGCAGGCCTTCCGAGTAGTTGCCCTTGGCCTTCCACTGGAAGAATCTCCAAAAGCTCCGAGTCCTCTTGTAAAGTGTGGCGGGGCTCTTGGCTGCAAAAACATCAGCTAAGGAACGTCTGATGTCACCCTCCTTGTTCAAGTCGCTAGACATGGAATGCAAAACAGCACCAATCTGCGTGGCCGAAAAGTCTGACTCGATCATGATCCGCACCATGCCAAGAGCTCTTGCTTTCAAGTCGTCTGGTTCCTGATACCAGCTCATCAGTTTCAAGCGGCGTGTTGAAAAAGGCAGAGTGGGCAAAATCGGCCCTGTTTTGGCCTCGCAATCATTGAAACACGCTCCCATCAAAAAGTCTCTCCTGCCGACCTTCATGGGTTCGTCCCAGAAAGTCTTTAAAGGGCTCTTATCATGTCCAAACACATCGCCTGCAATGCCCGTTTCCCACGGCAGTGCAGAAGGCTTGCCTTGGATCTGCTCAGAAGCGCACGAAACCGCATCATCCATAGCACGACCAACACAAACCGAAAATCCCGCTTCCAGTTCCAGAGTTGATATCCTGTGTTCAAGCTTCCTAGCCTTTGATGATGCTGAAGAAGAACTCGGCCCTTCATCGAAAGGCCCCACCATGGTTTTACGAAGGATGTTCAAAAAGATATGTCTGCGCAAGGTCGCAAACAATAAAGCCCCCCTTTTCCGTCAATCACGACTTTGATGCACACAACCTGCTCAGCAACTAGAATGAAATTTGTTGCAAGCGCAGCTGGATGTTGTCACAACCCATCCATCACAACCCATCCATGGCTTCGTGTCGCGACTGACAACTAGAGGTTGCCACGCTTAGAGCCCAGCATTTGGCACCACAAGTATGTTCAACCATCATGTTTATAAGCAATGTGCAAAACACAACACAATTGAGGGGTTGCCTTTGTTGTGTTAAATAGGACTATCACCTGCGGTGAGGGCGTCCAACCAAAATGGCCATTGAACATTTGTGCCCACGCAATGTCAGAGCGTGTGAAGTTCGGAAAAGTGGAAACTCAGGTGATGAGAACTCAACCCATGCGCAACGCAGGCTTCCTAGGAATCGACCAACTTCTACCGTGCCGCGTGTGGAAAATACTTCACCAGCTTCAACTCGCAGCCAATGGCTGGGTCCCTCAAAGGCCATTGATGTTCCCTGCAGTTCACTTGGTTGACGTAAGGGAGGGCGGCAAAAAATATCAAACTCTAGCAGCTAAGTGGATTTGGATTTCAACCACTAAGCCACAATCAGCAAAAATGTAAAAGGTTTCCCAACAACAACCATGTTCACTTCATCTGCAGCTTAGAAAGGCGGCATCGCATCCGGAGGCCACACGTCGGTTCCGGAAAAAAACAAAGGAGCACAAAACCCAGGCAGCACAAACGTGCCGCTGGCAACGGGCTTGAAGACGTCACCCGTGAAACACGCTTTCAGCCGCAGCGACCTGACCGCTTTTTATATGTGTTTAAGAGAGGCAAGCCTCAAACCTCCGTTGCTGTTGACCCCCCTGCAAAAGCTTCACTGTTTGGGGGTTTCGTGGCAAACGCAACTTGATTTCCACCAAACAGTTCAAGTCTAAAGATCTAACCCAATAGCCGTTAAGGGTTGTCGCAGGCACTGGAGGGAAGCCGGGCAACTTACAGCATCGCTGCTCCGGAAGGCCTTATACTCAGTTGCCCAAAGGACCCAGAACTAAAAGGTTAACCTTTTGGCACCTCTACTAAAAATGGACCAAAATTGGAAAACCAAAAGGTCAAAAGGTCGGCTTTGGACAACTGAGTATATAATCCAATAGACGTCTCCGCTCTCTGAGGTCACAACTTGGCCAACCTGTTGACCCGTGGGCTGGAAACTCGTGAGTTCTTCCTTGCCTAGACCCTACCTGGACGCTACGTTCGTCCTATCGGAACTTCTGTACGTACCGCGCGGGCCAGGTATCGTGAAGCCCCTTTTGTTGTTGCATCCCGGGTGTGAAGCCCGAGGAATATCATGATTGAACAAACTGGCCACGGTTAGGCTTAAACATGCCTGAGGTGCATCTATGGATCTACATTCGTATACACACATATGCATACGTATATTTATATATATATATATATACATATCCCCACCCATGTGTTTTGCAGCCGCTGTTGAACAAATCAATTGAGAAAGGTGGGCAACTTCCACCAAAGAGTGATGCTTCCAGATTTGGAGCTGGCGTACCAAAGGCGACCGGATCCGGGCAGCTCCCATCCGGTTGCCATCGGGGAGCCACTCAACCGTTTGCAGGGAAGCACGGGACCTTCTGAGAACTCGGCTTTAGCATAAATTCATGGCATGTCTAACTACCCCCGCGCTGACGATACCCCCTTCCTGGAATTAGGGATAACCCCTTAAGGCCTTAGTAGGGTGTTCATAAGCCCTTTCGCCGTTTCGGCCCCTCCCCACAAATTATTCGCCCGTGAGGGTTGCAATGGGTCAACTGAAAACGAAAAAAGCAAACAGCAAACAAGGGGGATACAGGCCCGTTGATCCATGTTGCCCGGCACTGCCAATATGCAACTGGGGGTTGATCAAAAGGTCCTTTTTGCAAAGGATGACGATTGGGGGAAGCCGCTAAAGGGATGATATGTCCCTCTAAATAGGAAAAAATCCCATGGTCATTCGGGGGCCGAGGGGAATACTGATCAACCAGCAACTGCCCTCTGCCCTTTGCGGTTCGGGAAACAAAGGCTGAAAGGCCAACCCGCTCTGAATCCAAGTCTCGGCAGCTGTAGGCCTGACCAACTCCTCCTGGCTCGCACGGGCGACGAAAAGCCTGGGGCCCCATTTGGGGAAGTGCGGGCGTGACCTTCGATCAGAAGTGGGCCAACTTGGGACATGTGAGGGGTATTGAGGGATTGATGCAACCAATCAACTTGCAGGCTCTCCCTGGAACTAGGCTGCCCTCAGATCCCCCGCGCAAAGTTTACCCGGGATAAATGGGAACTACCACTAAACACTAAAAGGCTAAAAAGCTAAGGGGATGGCTGGGAGCCACGAAGGGAAGTATGTACAACCAGTTTTGAAGATGCATAGCCATATTTGGCCCAAAGAAGTCAAAGGAACTATAATTCACTTCCAGGGAGTTCCCTGGTACAGCAGGAGGGGGAAAACAACCAGAACTTGTGTGGATGGTTGCGAAATCCATTTCGCACCTAAGAAACCCAACGGAATGATTCATTCGATTCCCCGAGTAAAAACCAACCAAAGTGATTGGGGCTGCAGACGGCTTTTATTCTCTTGTTCCTTCCCACCTGCATTTTCCGGAGCGGGCTCCTAGGAAGGTCAGTCGGAAGGCCACAAATGGCTGCGGCTTTTGTGGCCTTGCGTCTGCCTTACTCGTTGAGCCATCCATCTGCCAGCCGCAAAAAGCTGCCAGCGAGCCATGGTCTGGGATGCTGCTGACCTTGGAGTCTACATTCCGCCCCAATTTGCGCCAATTGTAGACCGTGTTGGGTAAAAATCGTCGACATCACATTGTAACAGGTAACGCCACGAGCCGTAGCCCTTCCCACCAACACGAGGGCTACACCTGCGGAGCCTTTTCATAAACGGTTAGTGCCCAGGGGGGTCTTTTTGCCACGACCCCCTCGTAGTGAAGGATTCCTTTTTCAGGGGGTCTGCCGTTTTCTTGCAAAAGGTAGCAAAAAGACCCCCCTGGTTTCATTCCCCTGGTTTCATTTCGCGGTGCGAGCCTCAAGCGAATCTCACTTGTTGGGTGCATGGCCTTGAAAAAAGGCAAAACTTTTTGCTTATCGCTGAAATGGTCATCCTAACTTGGGTGCTGTAGATCGCCCAGCAAACAGTTTAACTTTTTGCTACTTAGAAGGAAATATGAGGGAAATCCAAAAAGTTAAAGTCTAAAGATCCAACCCAACAGCAGTAGAGCTAAAAAGTATAAAGTCCAGGAACTCAGGAAGCGATCAATTTAACCATCCACAGGCTCCATCGACCTCCGCGACTTGTTTTTGGCTTCAAAAGCCGCGCCGGGCGCGCGAGTGCGAGAGTTGGAACGGAGTCTTTGACCAGTCCTGGCGGTGGATCCGAAAGGGACGTCGACTGCTCCCGCTAAAAGTGACTCACTTTAGTGGGTTAAATGGAAACTACTACTACACACTAAAAGGCTAAAAAGCTAAGGGAGCCACCAAGTTTCGTACCCTCTGAACTGAAGTACCGCCATTTCAAAACTTGTTCAGGGTAACCAAGCTACGATCTGTCCCTTACCAGCGTCCAACATTTCAGCCAAAGCGAAAGCGAACCCTTGCATCCGACGGGTCAATCCAAACGGTCGATAGGAAGCTTGCTTTCCGCTTCCAATGGTCAGTTTCCAGTTCGCCAAGGAAAGCAATGTGGATTCAAAACCATACATGCATTCTGGGAATGCATCCTGGGAGCCAAACGGCCATTAGTGCCATACTGATGGCGAAGAAGACCATCCTGCAAGTGTATTTATGTGTGTACACATGTGTAAACAGATATATGCCAATATGCCAATGTTCTAGGCAAAAGGGCCCGTAACCTCTGCCAGCAGAGTTTTGCACCAGCTGCCTGTGATGCCCTGCAGGGCTGCACGGAGAAGCACAACATGAGAGGTTGGTAGGAGCGGATCAGCCGCATCCACAAGTCGAAACGGCAGCCTGGCAAAACAGAGGCGGGTAAATGTTTGTGTGATTGCATAGTGATTGTCTGCTCGAATTGTTGTCATTAGTATCTGTAGATTAAACACCTATCTGCCAAGTGGATTTCCCCACCCAGACGCTCCTGGGGCTTCCAATGGAAGACCCAGACCCTCCATTGGACGCCCCAGAGGGGTTTTGAGGTCTCAAAACCTGGCCTTTTGAAGGCCCAAAATGAATCGAGAGCGTCTGGGCACTACCCAGGCGAGCCAAGGCGATCAGATCGGGACCCGTCCTGGTGGGAAATAGCCTGAGCGGATCGGATTCGGTGGAACAAACCTTGGTTAAACTTGGGTTTGGGGGGCGAAATCAAAAATTTCAAGGGGAAAGCACCAGGTTTCCCCCGGCATCTTGGGGGGTTATTTTGAGACCAACATTCCTGTCTGACTTCACTTGGTTGACGTTGGAAGGGGAGCAAAATCTAAATTTCAGCAGTTAAATGGAATTAATTTCCAACCACTAAACCACAATAAGCAAACATGCAACATGTGTCCCAACTACAACCATGCAAACTCCCCCTTAAACAGAAGGAGAATCAGGTTCGATTGGCCCAGGCGATGCTTCGACACCAAAGGGGGATTTTGCCGGAGCTGGATCACCCGGGATAAGAGTGGCAACAGGGGAAGGGAGAAGGTTAAACCAAGGGTGGGGTAGTAGGACTTAATCGGAACATCCGAAGCCGGCAAAAGTCAAAACCACAGCTCGAAAGAGTGGGAGATCGATCAACGACGTGCATTTCGCTTGGAATTGGCGAGAAAAACTTCGCCCTGGCAACGAGCCAAACACGAGGCTTAGGGCTATGGACCCATAGGATAAGCCGGTAGAGTTTACTCCCCTTGCAAATGAACGGACGCCCGAAAAGGGAAACCTCCATCTCCCAAAATCGAACACAAATCCATGGGCTTCTTGGGCTCCATGTGAATGGAGAACAAGGGATTTGTTTTTCGCCGTCCATTTGACACAACTTGAACACCTTCGGGAATCCTCTTCCTTTGCTCATTCCCTTCCCTGTTGAGCAGCACACACAAGTTGTTGCTATGTGTTTTTCACTTGACCACCCCCAAACTCCAGAAAAAGAGTTGTCGCCGTGATGTTTTTCCATTTGGGTATGGGTCAACATTTCTCACTAGCAGGGGACCGCAGGTTTTCGTCCATCCATTTGCCACGGCAAAACATTTTGGGGTTACCCCTTACAACTCCAAGCCCTGGGGAAGTTAATCTTTTACAGACGTATAGCCCATGTTACCCAAAAAGTTGAAAAGTTGTGTTTTTAAGAGGTAAGTTGGGGTTACCCTATTCTTGGACCCACAGCCCAAGGCCAGCCCCAAACTCCCCAAAGCTCGCGAGTCGCGCCACCCCGAGACCCCTCCCCAGCCTCGCGGTCCGGGAGATGGACCTCGCGAAGCCGAAGGCGAGGGCCAAAAGGCCCGGAAGGTGCATGAGGCTGCTCTTGTGTGGGGTGCCTTTTTTTGTTGGGGTACCTGTCTTTTTCTTCCCCCCCCCTTTTGTTTTTTTTTTTTTTTGGGGGGGGGGGGGGTTGGGGGGGTGCCCGTTTTCTCGCTTGTTTTTCATTGTTTGATTGCCTTTTTTTTTTGCGGGGGGGGGAGGGCTGAAGGAAAACCAAAGGGGAAACCACCATTTGGAGGGGTCTCCTAAAACAAACACACATAACCGTATCAATGGCAGTCCGAGTCTCTCTACAATTGATGGTTTTTCGGGTTCGGTTGTAATCTGTAGGGAAGTATCGGGAAAATAGAAACGGACCTAGCCGGGTACCCAAAAACACGTGAGCCCTTGAGCAGATTCCGGGAGAGCCGGGATACTTTCCTGGCATTCTGGAGGTTCGGATACGCGACTTGGCAAAGTCACCTTGCAGAACTCCGATTCTGTTCTACGTGCAAAAGATAGAAGTGATACAAGTGTGTGAGGCCGCCTCTAGGCTTTCAGCTCCACCATCCATGGACTGCTGACTTCAACCTTTGGAATAACCTGAGGACCTGCTCAGGTGAGTCTTCATGGCTTGCGGGAAAGCATATTTTGGCTCCCTGAGTGTGGGAGTGGCCTTGCTAGAAATAGGCGAACCCGTTTCAGGCTGAAAATGGTGCCTGCTTTCAGAAGGCTTTTCCTTTCAAGCCCGCGCACGCCTCTTAAGCAAAGGGGAAAACCATCAATTCCCCAAAGCACCAGTTCAATCAAACACCAACTGCCAGCACCCCAAACAAACTTGGGATTTTGCGCGTGGTTGAAAATGCAGTGGTTCGGGGGGTGCTGGTAGAAGGAAGCTGACTAACATGTGGGTGTCTTTCTTTGAGGGAACCCTTTTTGAGGGTTGGTTTAAAGGGAACCAAACGGAACTCGCCTTTCTTTTGGGGGGGCAAGCCTACTTTTTGACAAGCCCCTGTTGGAGTCCGTATCATGAGCCTTCTGTAGAAGCGCACATCGTGCCCAAAGCCGGGACGCAACGTCTTTTCCAGGGACCCTTACATTATACACCTGAACATTGCCTTGTAAACGGTGGGTTCCCTTTATTTTGGTGGCAAAAGCCATGTTTCAAATGGTTGCAAAATCTATCTTTTAAGGAGCCCTGTTTTTCGAGGAGCGCTTCAGGCAGTCTCAGCATCTCTCTGCAAACCGTGCAGTTCAAGCGCCGGTTTTGAGCACTCCGGAACCTGAGACTTCATTCTGCCGATTCTCCGTCCCGTCTTTCATGGGGGCTTGGGGAAGGGAGCAACTTTTGTGTCGCAGGCGGATATATACTCAAAGAATAGGATTGAGTTGTTTTGGAGTCAGTTGGCAGAGATCTTGCAGCCTGCTAGCTCTGTTTTTTTCGGAGGTTGGAGGGCAACAAATTTGGGAGGGAGCCCAAATAAGCCCTTAAGGAGCCCCTAATAATAAGGCCTTATTCGGTGCTTATTCGGGCTCCCTCCCCCCCCCCTCTTCCCCAGCCCCCATGAGTCTTGCCCTCGATCGCCCCCGATGTTGTGAGCAGTATTCTGGGTCCGGTGACGCACGCAACACACCCTGACCCTCCTGCCCTCCGCTTTGGGCAGTTTCGCATGAAACGTCGCTATCCCAGTCGGCAACCAGCAACCCATATAGGCGGCAACACGCATTTGCCTGTCTGTGTTCAATTGGTGGTTTTTTTGGTTGCCCCGCCAAGCCTTCACGGTGGTGAAGGCTACGAATCCCATGGTTTTTGGGATTCGTCCAGTCCCATCCCTTCCAAATGGGCAACTTCCTGTTCAGCAAAGCCCAGGTGGCATCCCAACAGCCACTTTGATTCCTTCCGGATCCCGAAGCCTTCCAGACCTCTGGCCGAAACCCGCTCCTTGCACTCCGGAACCTAGGGCTCGACACAGCTTGGGGCTCCCTGCTCGCCGGCATCGAGAAATGCCGGAGCCTCGCGAGCGCGGCTCTCCCATGGCCACTCCCCCTTGGCAATTCTCAGCCTAGTTCGAACCCAGACATTGACGGCGATCATGGGACACCAAAAATACTCACTGGCTGAGTGGATGGCCCAAAAACGTCCAAACTTGATATTCACCACTAAAATGGTCGTCCCGAAAAGTTTGCAGTTCATGAACTCAGGAAGTGAGACAATGGGCAAAAATTGGAAAGCAACAGGTGCAAAAGGTCGATTCGCTTGGGACAATTGAAGGATTTGCATTTTCCGCTGAACAAGTGGTTTAACACATCTGCGACAAGCGACAAATTTTACCATGTTTGCCGATTTATTTAATATATATATATGTTTAATCCTTCATTGTTTATTTGTTGTTTGTCATTAATAAGGTCGCTGTGTAACGATTTTTGAACTCAGAACCTGGAGAAAGAAATCGCGGCTTGGCCAACTTTGGCTCGCTCGCTTTCGCCAGGTCACAAATCGAGCAGAAGAGAATCAGGCCGTGAGAGTTGGGCAAAACCAACTTTTTGGCCATGCTCAAAACCGGGCCGTCCGATCCCCCGCGAAAAGTGGACCACTCTTCGTGGGAAAAAACTGGAAACCCAACCACTAAAAGTGGACTAGAAGTCTAAAACTCAGTTGCCCAAAGGACCTGGAACTAACAGGTTAACCTTTTGGGGCCATGACTAAATATGGACCAAAATGGGAAAACCAAAAGGTCAGATCCGGTCGATTCGCTTTGAACTGAGAAAAAGCTAAGGAACCCGATGCCTGGGAACCCGCCACCTTGGGCGCAAATGTCCAACAAGCTTTTGGAAGCCCTGGCCAAAGGGGATGACTGGCAGCCACCAAGTCAAAGGAGAACGATGTGGAATTTTCAGGACTTTTCGGCCTCCTATCGCCTGGCGCAACCTCCTTGAACCAGCTTGGGCGGTTTCATTTTGTGCTTTAGGCAAGGCGCTGGCCCAATGCATTCCTGGGCTCCGATCCCCTGCTAAAAGCTTAGCTTTTCGTGGGTTAAATGGAAGCCCACACTAAACCCCTGAGAAGCCTCCAGGATTCGAAGCTGGCAGAGTGTGACACCCTTCGGTGGGCCTCTCAAGTCAAGGTCTGATGTCCTGCAAAATAAACGGGTAGTCCACGACCGGGAGGTCGTCCACGTTTGGGATGCGCTAGGCGTCCCTGACCGAGACAACCGAAACACGACTACCCCAGTACATCCCAGGCAAGCCCATAGTAGGTAACCCTTCGCTACTTTTTCTTTGGTTGTTATACCGAGTGGGAAGCCCTTGCTTACACAGGCAATTGGATCCACTGGGTACAATCAGTGGGTGAGTGCGGGTGCCCGGTCCCTGCAGGCGGGCGCACGACGGAACTCGGCACCCTTTTTTTTGGCACATGCTGAGGGGAGCCAAGCTGGACGTGGTTCTGGAAACAACCTTTCTGCCTAAGGTGGGCCATCCACCATGACTAAACATGACTAAACCAATCCGCCATGACTAAACCATTCAAATCAAAGGGGAACACCTTGGGTCACAAGTGGGGCCAACACCCCTTCCCACAACTATTGCAGCCAGCAGCCCCCAAGTTTTTCGTCCAGTTGCCATATGAGTCAGGGTCACATGTGGGTCATGGCCTAGGGCAGACTGTGACAGGTAGCAGACCTTTACGTGTTTGCGCAACCAGCCCAGCGGTTTTGAACTCAACTTGGCCAAGGTGCAGACCCCATCTGAACATAGACACGCCAACAAGTTTTAGGTCACGCCAAGGAGAACCCAAGCCCGCAAAACTTAGTTGCGAACACACGCCTGAAATAGGGACCAAGGCGAATGTCGAATGTTGTTTATTGGCGACTTCCGCCGTGTGATCGACTACTATGCGTGAAATGAAGTGCTCCAAACATCCAAGTGATCATCCAAGCACTCTGGATGAGATCAGCCACCAAACACGTGAAACAAAGGCAAGCCACGCACCCCTTGAATACCCCGCTGCTGGCCCCCAGCTGCCAACCTGACACAGTCCTAAAAGGATTACAGCACCATGGCTGTGGCTCAAAAAACCGGAATTCCAAAATGGAACCCTGGTATAAGTTGAAACATGGACCAAAACCTGCGTAATTAACCCTCCGATCGTTTCATTTTGAGCCACAGCCACATGAAACCTCATCGGCGCTGCAAGCATCGCAGGAGCCCGACCGTCCGAAACTCGGTCCCAGCGCCTTTCCATCGGTGAGCCCACAAGGAGTCTTGAGTGGCTCACTTTGCGGGGCCAGGCCGTGCAAATGCAAGGAAGCTGCACCAAACCGAGGGCTGGCAGAGGTTCTCAAGTTTACGAAATGCTTCAGTTGGCAAAACTCACTTGCCCAAAGGACCTGGAAAGGAAGGTCAACCTTTTGGGACCTTTACTAAAAAAGGACCAAATCAGGGAAACCAAAAGGTTAAAAGGTCGGCTTTGCGCGAGTGAGAAAAAGTTAAAGTCCTAAGAGCCAAGTTCAACATGCGCCAAAGATCTTGCGTGCCAGCTGGCCGCAAGTTTGCACGGCTGATGCAAGTTGGGCTCCCGGGTTGACACAATGTGTGCGATACTTCCAACCCCCGAGGAAAGAAGCTGTGGTGAGCTCAGTTTAGAACCAGGACCCTCCATAATATCTTGGTTGACGCTGGAAGGGGAGCAAAAATCTAAATTTTAGCAGTTCAGTGAGATTTCCCACTAAACCACAATATGACAATAAGCAAATATGTAAAATGTTTCCCAACTACAACCATGACATAGGACCTGATTGCAAGCCAAGGATGGATGTGCCCCTCCAAAAGGGAGCTTCAAGGACCGTGGGCAAAGCAATCACTCCCTGTGCTGTTCTCAGGACTCCCTGCTAAAAGTTGATAACTTTTAGTGGGAAAAAAATGGAAACACCTACTAAAAGTCTAAACTAAACCAAAGGAAAAGCCACTAAACCAACTAAACCAACTAAACCAACTAAAAGTCTAACAACCACAGGAACCGGATGGCTGGGAACCAGCCCGCACTTTGGGCGATTTCCGCAACTCGAAGGAGCTTAAGCCTTGGCCAAAAAGGAAGCCGTGCACTTCTTTCGACATCAGTTGGGACGGGATTTTGTTTTTCCTGCTTCGTCGAGCGGTCATTGGCCTGAAGGTCCCAGGATATTCGGTTTCCAAATGCCTCACGCCAATGACCAGCCAATGCGTACACTTTTCGGGGCACCCGCACAAGGGAAGCCACGTAAAGTGCAAAGTGCGACAACTGGCTGGGTGAGTTGCTGGTGTGCCCCTTGATTTGCAAACTCGCCCTCATTCGCTCCAGCGAATAGCAAACGGATGGTCCTTTGATGGCCCTTCTCCTCCCTTTCCAATGGGTTTGTACTGTTGGGATTATCCTTTTAAAGGGGACCGCCAAGATTCTGGTTTTCACTTTCGTTTCCCTTTAACCACCCAACAAAAATGGTAGCCTCCAAACCAACACCAAAAAAATGGGTACCCTCAAAAAAAAACGACCCCCCCCCCAATCGGTAACTCCCACTGTCCTTGACAGTTCGCGTTGACTCGAAGGACCAAACACCCGCCGCGGCCCGGCCCGGGGACCCCGACTCCAGGCGCCGAGGCGCCCGGGACCCCCGATTGGGCCTCTTGGGCGACCGAGCGCACCTCGCTGAGGGCGGGGCCTCGGGCCTCGGGAGCTTCACCCGAGAAACGGGTCTGGGGACTTCCCATGTAGGACCTTCAACTCCTCGGGGGCTTCAAGGAAGCGGCCGCAAACTTGTGGCCCATTGACACCCATCGTTTGGTTTTTGATGGAAAGTCGCTCATGCGCGGCAAGAGATATGGAGCTTCTCTTTGGCAACACGGGTTCCAACACGTGTTAGTCCCGAAAGGCGAATGGTCCACATAGCGAAGTGATGAGGACATGCCAATGGCTGGAATCGACTAACTCACCCGCACCTCACAGGCTCCCCCGGGTTTGGGTGAGGCTCCTCAAGGGAAGCCCAGAAGGAGACCGATTCTTTTGGGGGCACAAAGGATCGCCACATCTCTTTCATGTAACCAGCTTATTCTTCAGATGTGGCTCATGAGATGCGCCATTCACCTGAAAATATGACATGACCACTTTCTTGGGTCCAGTGAAAAACCCGACCTGTTTTAACCAAAAGCTTGACGTACAAAGATCCGTTGCCAAACGGCAATAAAGTTATCCCAAAGGAATCTCAGATGGTTGGCGACTATGAGGTGCAAGCGCCCCGCAAGAGTTTGCGCGAGGCATGGCAACAAGCAAAGAACCACCAGCAACAGCGGAAACATGTGGCCAACCATGTGGCCCCCTTCCAAAATTTAATCAAACACGTCTACCCACGAAGGGCACATGGCAACCGGCCCCCACTTCCTTCGCCGTTTTTCCTTCTGCCCAACTTGATCCTCGGCCTTTTTTCGCCGAAGACGAAACGACGAGGTTCAACCTCGCGGCGAATCGTCCCAGAGTTGAGCCGCTGCTGTGGAATTGATGGGGCATCGGTGAACCAGGTGTTTGATGGTACACAGCAACAACTGAAGCAAGTATGCGTTAAAGACTTGCCGCAGCATCAAAGGGGTGCCTATGGGGGCCGACCCGCCGAGAAACAAACCAAGTGCGGACTATACAATTTCAAACTGTAACCAAAGAAGCACCTTCGAACCCTCAAACATCAATGTGTCCTTTGGATTCCAGTTCGCAACCCATCCACAAACTGGCCTCATTGCTTTACCATCATCAAAGTCACCCCCTAAGTGGTGGGTTAAAGGGAAACAAACCCCATTTCTGACTTTGAGAACCCACAGAAACCGTCAAAATAATGACCCCTCACAAAGGGTCCACCTTTTGGAGAAATCCCATGAGACTTGGAGATCTGTCAGTGCTTCTTCAGCGCTGGCAATTGCTACCAGCCTTCCACGTGGACAACGCCCGAACTTGGGTGCTAAACTTGGGCCTTTGTGCGCTTGATGTATGCTGTTTGGCTGTGGTTGTCAAAACCAATGGTACCATTTTGGGGTAGGTGCACCACCCTTTTTAGAACCTATGTTAGTGGTTGGATTGGGATGTTCACTGGGGGTACGATTTGGATTTTGACCCATGGCCGTTTAGCACCCAGTATCAAAAGCTCTTCCGCCAACCTTGGTCTAAGAGTGGGGCATATCCCTCACGGGCCTGCTGAGTTGACTGGCCCGTGAGTGATGCCGGCCTGCAAAGCTGCAGTCAATTCAAGGCATTGCACTGCCCTACTGAATTCCGTGCAAAGGTAGCGACGAATCAGCTCATTGGAGCTGTTCTCGGGGCGAGCTATGAAATCCAGTGCTTCCATTTTTGTAGGGCGTCGCTTGTGCAGATAACCGAGTCGTGGCTCACGGGATAATAAACGCAGCGATAACAGCAATTGAAACCATATGGTTCTGCAAAGCGTGAACCAAATGTGTGGTGACTTTCCCATTCAGCTTCCTTTCGGCCCACCTTCCGGAAAAGAAATCGGGCCAATGCTCACTTCAGCCTCAGCTCTGCCTTAGGATTCGATTTGGACTGGACCCCGAACAGTGCGTTCCTGACATTTCTGAAGCGAGGGGAGCGTTGTCGGGAGTAACGTGCCAACAAAGTCAGCACAACTTATGGCCACGCTTCAGGGAACAAAGCAAAACAAATGCCAGTTCCCAGAATTTGCAATCATGTCATCTTCACGAAGACGGCGGTTGACAAGTTTGAGCTGTCTTGTGCTGCTGGTATCGAAGGGTGACCATTTTTTGGAATTTGGAGGGGTTATCAAAATGGTTCCTTTGTGTTCTTCTATTTTATGCTGGTTGGCTAAGCTTTACTGGAAAATCCCAAAAGAAGCACACTGGAACAACATGGTACCCCTGTTTGGTTTGCTTTAAAAGGGGCCAAAACGAAGACCAACATTGTAGGGGACCACCATTTTATAGGTATTTGTTAGATAAACCTGCATAGAACAACATGGAACAACACAAGAAGCTGGTGAATTTCAAGAAACCAAAGGTGATGATCTTGACCAGTGGCCATGCGAGCGCTGAGCCAAGTACACCCCCTCAAATTCACGGACCTCGTTAACAAATGTCATGCCTGCTAAACATATCATATCACGCTTAGATTCTGGGCCATAGTTTGAAAGTTAAGCATGCAAGGTAATGTCAAAAAGAGTTCCGATAAGCTCAACATGTGGGGCATCCCCGATCCCCACCCCTACTCCGCAATAGTCTGAGACCGCTCCAAACAGAAACCACTGCCAACTAGCATGAGAATTCCGGAATGGTTTCTTCAAGCCGGATAGGATCACGCGCTGATTCATGCAATTTAACAGTGCCTATGTGTGACGTCTTCGGGTCCCGCCAGTACGAATCTCGTTCAGGTCTGAAACCCTGCCATGGCTCGATCTGAAGGGCTCTGAATCCATGGATCGGTTGAGTACTCCGTTGGGTTCTAGCCAGTAGGTTCTCACATCGGATACTACGAGAGGTTGTCCTCAAGCGATGGCCACCATGTAAGTTGTCGTGTGCATTTAGTGACTTAGTGCTTGGGAAGGAGGCCCCAGTTTGTTGATCCCCAACCTCATTCGTGGACCAAGATGTACAATCAGGTGGAAAGCAGGTTGAAGAGTTGAAGAGGCTCCCCTCCAGCGCGACCCTGTTTTTGTTGACCCGGAGCCACCCTGTTCTTTGGCCCCATGTGGTTGGAAAAGCCGGGTCCCCTCCATTTACCTTCTGGTTTCTCCAAAAAAATATGGGTTCAAAAAACCGGGCTTCCTCAGGGAAGAAAAACCGTTTGGGGGTCAACAAAAACCGGCGTCCCCTCCTTTCTTTCGGGGCCCCGTGCGACCGGGCGGCAAAAACCGGATGGTGGTCGCTCCCAGCCATGGATCCCTTGCCCTGCGAGAGAAGCTCCCAGTGCGGAGAGTAGAAGATGAAGTCCACCCAGCTGTTCCTCGGCCGAAAGCTACCGTTGAAAGCTGGCTTCCAAAACAAAAACAAGAGACACCGGGCACCCTTTTTTTGGGGGTCCCCCTATACTTTTGCAAAAGCATTTAAGATGCCATGGCGTAAACGGCTTTTTTGGGGTGTGCCCCTATCTTTTGGCAAAAACCATTCTCAAGGTGCCATGGCGTCAGAAACACAACCTGACACGTTACACAGCAAGGTCTCAAGGGTGTTCCGGAATAAGGCCCTCTTGATAATGGGCTGGTTGTGGACCCTCTTTCATGTTCGTGTCCTAAAAACAGGGGGGCACCCCCCCAGGCCCAACGGCGGTGAAATGGCCCAACATCCCAAACAGCTCAAAATTAATTGAACAAACCGTTTCATGGTCCTTGACGCCAAAACTTTCTGCACGCGGCTCAACCTTTGTTTCCATTTTTCGTTGCCCAAAGTTGAGAAGCCGGAAAACATGCCCAAGACTTGAGTGGGAAACAACGACGAGGGGAGGCCCGCTCGAAGGAAATTCAGAGGCAACCGGGTTGAGCAGGACTCCAATCTGAGTTTCCCGCCCGCTTCGCAGGGATCCAAACATTGGCAGGCGATCTCTTAGCTGGATACCAGTGACATCCAGTGACCATGCCCACACATCACCTTAAGCAAGCAGAAGCACCCTCCCACCTGCCAACACGATGTGCTTTTCCACCCAGCAAAAGGGTCAAACGAACACGGGTTTTGAAAGAGGAGGTGTCGTTCTTTTAGCATGAGTTTTGTCTCAAGATGCCTTATGCACCTATGGCGCCTCGTGGCATAGAATGCTACACAATTGAGTTGCCACTCGGAGTTCTTCATATTTGCCAGAATCCGTGATGGACCCTTTCTTTATTTCGTGGGCTATGGAAAGCTTGTTGCTTCAGGATCCTGCGTTGGGTCTTCCACATAGGAAGCTCCTCATCAAAGAAAGCTCCGGCAACAAAAACACTGGACAAAGGTACGCCTTCTTTGGGAAAATGCCAGAGCCCTTTACTTTCCAAACGTTCATCCAAGAGCGGTTCATCTGAGCCCTTGCCAGCTCGAAAATATCTGAAAATCTTGGAATCCCAGTGTAAGTGGCCCACAAACCATCATTGCTTAGCAAAAGACCTTTCAAAGAACCAAGGCCAAACAGTCACACAAAAGGGGTAGCCCACCAAAGCCCCTCCTCGTTAATCCGACTGCGTTGGGGTCATCTTTAGTGGCAAGCATCTTTTTGGGTGCGGGTTGAAATGCCCAGATCCTCAGCCGTTCACCTAAGCCATCAGCTCAAAGGCTAAAGGCCTTGAATCAGATGCTGAATTAGGTACCAAAAATATCTAGGGTTAAGTATTAACAATACTCAATTAGGGGATTGCCAACACTAAATTTCGTTCAGGACATCCCACAGTAAGCCTTGGCAATCCAACACTTTGCGTTGGTAATACTACATTTTTAAGTAGTGAACAACTAAGATGAAGTATTGACAATACTAAGTATGGCATTGGCAATGCTAGATCAAGCATTGGCAAGCCCAAGTTCAACTCAGGCCCCGCCTACCCGCCCAAGTGTCGTCAGACAAGGGTCAGAATTGCAGAATGACTGTTTGCACTGTTCATGTGTGTGTGTGTGTGTGCGCGTTGCATTAAAGAGAGTTCGACGATTTTGTTTGCCCCCCATTCCGCAGAAACAAAGGCAGCACACTGTGCTCCTTTTCCCCTTAGCACTCATCATTGGAGGTGCCGCCTAAAGCACCAACCAAGCAAAGTATTGAGTCCAGCTGTATGGAGCTAATTAGAGAGCTTGGAAGCTTGGGAAAAGAAAAAAAAAAAAAACGAGGAACAAAAACACTTGCAAAGCTGGGAAGCTTGGCAAAAAACAAGAACTCGAAAAACGACTCTGTTTTTTTTACGAGTGGCACGGCCAACTTGAAGCCGTTGTCCAGAAAGTGGTTCGGCCCCTTCTCATTCCTCTCAGCGTTGAAGTCCCCGGTGATCACGACCGGGTCGTCCTTGGCGATCTCTTGGATGGTGGCCAGCATGTTCCTTCGCAGCCACGGAGGAAGGGGGGGGAGGGGCAAAGGGGCAAATGGGTGCGTGCTTGCTCCGCTTTAGTGGGCAACCAAAGAAGGTAACACACGAAAAGCGCAGCTTCCTAAGTGAATAAACCCTGAAAACTAGTACTTCAAATCTGTCTGCTCTTGGTTTTCCAAGCAACATGACATGATGTAGTAGATACTTCCGGGTTCTACCTCAGTCTTCAGCGGCATTCACTTTGATTGATCACATTGTCAAAGGAGCCACGAAAGTATACGACAAAGTATACGAGGGTTCGGAAAACCGAACCTCTGTTGGATTTGTTTGTCTTCCATTTTCTGGGGTGAGCCGTGCAATGGGTTCTATCAATTGGGACCCTTTTGGATGCCGCACATTGGACACCATCCTTTGGTAGCGATCGGAACGCGTTGAGAAAGAAAACCAAAAAACGTTCTCAGCTGCCCGAAAAGGACCCATAGACAAACAGGTTAACCTCTTTGGTCGACTAAGATGGACCCACACGGGAAAGCCAAAAGATCAAAAGGCCGATTCGCTTTGACCAACTGAGTAACTAGGTCCTCCGCTAGACAGGTTAGAATAAGGGTACCTTTTTTGTTTGTTTGCTGTATATTTTAGTAGGGGGTTCCCCTCCCCCAAAAAAGAAACGGTAAAAGTTGGCACCTAGCTGAGGGACCTAGAAATACTTTGGGCGGACCAAATCTAGGGAATAAGGGCACCCTATTTTTTTCTGCAGTCTTTAGGGGAGAGAAGGGCACCTAGCTGGGGGAACTAGGCAAAGGAGTAAAGGGATCGGCCCTCCAAGCAGCTAAAGGCACTCAGCTAAGGCACTTGGCACCGCCGTACCGCACCTCCTCGTTACATATGCGGTTGCCCTGGCTGTGGACGCACCTGGCTTCGAAGACATCATAATTCTGGGGTATTTCAACTGTAAACCTTGTTCCCTGACCTAAACTACCAAGGAAACTTTGCCACCCATCATTTTGAGTAAAGATAGAGAAGTCGCCGGCAAGTTGACATGTTTGTGACTTGCCAGCGGATCCACTTACCAGTATAGAAGGTAACCAAGGCAACCAAGGGAACCACCCAATTGAAAGCCGAAAAAATGGCTGATTAATTACCTGCTATATGGGCAACTGCGATCTACTGGGACTTAGCACTTGGAAAAGCAATGCATGTTCAAACAAACATACCATAGGCATCCTTTCCGAGAGGATCATCGTCAACCAATTGATGGGAAACCATGGACATCATGTAATATAGAAGACCCTCATCGGCATTCAGTAAAGTCATGGAACTCAAGGAGTGTGGAAGGTACCATCACCATGTCCTTATACTTCTGGTCGCTGAGAGCTTAGTGCTTTGGTAAGTGCCCCTCCTGTTCACATACCCAGTGGATCCATTTACCTGGTAGCAGGCAATCAAGGCGACCACCCTTTCAAAAAACGAAACACAAGTAGATGGTTACCTACTATATGGGTAACTGGTATCCACTGGGATAGTCATGCAGTTGCTTGGCTCCGCAATATCTACAAGCCATGCTTGCTTTAGTGAAAGCCCAATCAGTCAAAACCCATGTCTCGAAGGTTTCCCAAATAACATCAGCTTCCCTCTAATTCTTGTTGGTGGTTTGGCTTGGTGGTTTGGTGGTTGGGGGGGTGGCTTTCCTGGTTCCCTTTATTCACAAGAACCGGGTTCAAGATCCCCAAACCACAAATTCTGGGTTGCTTCCTGGTCTTTTGGGAGTTGAACCCTGCTTCTTGTGGAAGATACACGGGAAACCCCTCCTTAACCACCAAGCCACAAATCCAAACCACCAATTAGAGGGAAGTTGAACATGAGGCTTTTGGGGCACCCTGAAAGACAAAAATATTCGTCCCGCCCGCGATCAACGCATCACATCTGAGCAGACTTCTCTCGAGGCGCCAGTGGGTGTTGAAGTGCCAGAAGGACTTGCCGCTCGCCTTGTCCGTGAGCTTCACCCAGGTCGTGTACCTAAGTCACTCAACAAAAGCTGCTCCATACAAAAAGGGCTCAGCCCAGGCAAATTGGTGACCTAGCTAAATGGATCCACTCAGGAAAGCTCGAACAAACGCCCCCCCCCCAACCAAACATTGGCATGTTGTTGTTTCTTTGACCCTGGTCCAGATTCAGACAAGCGATCCTAAAGGAAACTCCATTCGCTGACAAACGGCACGGCGCAGTTCCTATTGCAGGCTAAACCCAGGTTGCGTCGCGCGCCGGGTGCAACCTGAAGTGCCACACATGCCCCCAATAGGTTTCCTATTGCAAGCAATCTAACCGCAAACCCCTGGGTCAGATTTCTAATGTGCTCCTTGTTTTCGAGCATCTAGCCTTTACCAAACAACTCCGTCGGGCGGCACGTCACGTGTTGCAGGGCCGCAGGAGTGGGCTTTTTTCTGCGGGCTTCCGTGTCAGAAGCCCGGGGGAAGAGAAGCCCCATGAGGGCCTCGTGCTTACGTCACGGGACGTCAAGCCCGGCGAACCTGGTTCAGAAACGAGAAACTGCACCAACAAAATGTGGCCAAGAAGGGACGAGCCGAGGAGTTGGAAGGGCACCTGGCTGGAAAACAAAATACGTGCTCAAATAGGGGCACCCCAAACATGGCTGTGGCTTTCCTTTGACTTCCTTCGAAGCGCCCGGAAAACGGCACCCGCGAAAACTTGCACCCCCCCATATGCCTCGGATTGCAAGCCGACCCACTGACCGGCCAACCAGGGACACGCAAATGTGAAACTCATGAAAGGCTTTCTATTCATCATATCCCCATGCAGTGGATCCATTTACCTGTAGAGTAGGCATCCAATGGAACTACCCTCTGACGTTTTACCTACTATGTATGGGTAACTGGGATCCACTGAGCTCGGGAACGATAAAATTACGCGACAGATGGACCTCCATCCCAGTTACCCATCGTCGGTTGCTAGCCTAGGTCCTCCAGTGGAGAGGTTAGAAAAATTGGGTACCCTTTTTCTGTAGTCTATTTTAGTAGGGGAACCCTCCCAACCAAAAAAGAAGCGGGTGAGAAAGGGCACCTAGCTGGGGGACCTGGCATCGGTTGCCAGCAACCCGTCAACGAAAAAATACGCCGCGGCTTGCACCCGCCAGAGCGAGCGCTTGGGCCAAGGCACCTGGGGCCCCACTTGCCGGTCGCCTGCAGGTCTCTGGAGCCCGACTGGCTCTTGGTGAAGATCCCTTTCTTCACCATGACGCCTCCAATCCGACAGAAACTTTGCAGACCCCGGAAGTGACCCGGCGGCCATGAAAAAACTGGGAAGCACTTACTTGTTGGTGGTCGATGTTTAAAGGCGGCCTGCTTTTCAAAATACTTACGTTTTGGTGGCCGGTTTTAAAGCTACACCCCCCCAAAAAAGAATAACGCCAACAAGGGCACGTCTTTGCATTGGTCTTCAAAGGGAAGCCCCCTCAACAAGAGGCACCAAGAACACCAGGTGGGCCTGATGCCCATCCCATTCAGCTGGCAACGCCTGATCGAACCATCCCAAGCGACACCGGACACCTGGGTCCGTACACAGGTGCTGTGAAAACCCAGTCTCTCACCTTCATAACCCCTAGATTTAGTTAAAATAATGACCCCCGATCATCCAAGGGCACCTTCCGGGACCCAAGCCGGGAGTAAAAACTTGCCATGGCATTTCAGCTTCTCCTGTCTGGCTTCTTGGCGGTCAAGGCCGTGTTTGGCCAGACACACCCTGCTTTAAAAAAAAAAAAATAACAGGCCGTACAAGAAGGCAATGTGGCCGAGAGTTTCAACACATGCGGTCCCTACAACAGACAAACTTTGTGAGTTCCGGGTCCCTCCCCAAGGGTGTGGAATTGACATGTGCTTCTTTCTGCGTTGTTGTTTGCTGAGTGTGTCTTGCTTTTCGGTTTCGCTTGGCTTTGGAAAGGGTCTAGATTGGATCCTGGGTTGGTGTTGGGATAGGTTTGGGATTGAGGGTGGCAGAAGGGTTGGTTTAGCGCTGGTTGAGGGCGTCATCTGAATGCGAATAGGATGGGTGGAAGAAATCCAACCTTTTCAACTCCACCCCCCCAAACAACAAAAACATATGCACATATTTTCTATATATGCATATAGCATCTCATTCTGCCTCGCCTGATGGGAAACCCCCTTTTCAGCCAACCCTCGCCGAGGCAACCGGCGGTTTTCGCCCCCCGCGCCTTGTGCGCCCTGAAACTCTGAGGCCCTCTCGAGGGTCCCAGTGCGCCGTGCGATCTGGCCGGGCTCGTCACACTCCTCGGGAGCCCTTCCCTCCCTCGCTTTGTTTTAGGAGGTGCCCCGTAGCCCTGGAATCCGTGTTTTTTTTTGGGGGGAGGCTCGAGATTTCAGAGGCTGGGAGAGAAGGGAACCAAATCTTTGCCCACACCTATATATATATATATATATGTATATTTATATAATGTATCTATACACCTCTGCACACATCTACACACATCCGCCCGGTTTCACTCCTGGAGGCCGATGGAATCCGGCCGCAACGTGTTCCTGCAGGAAAGCGCACCCAGCACTCCACCACCCCTCCCAGAACTCCCCCATGGCCTGATGTTCTTGATGACGCCGTCGCTTTTCCAGGATTTCCTAGACCCATGGAATCCCATGGAACTCACGGCGTTTTGCCTTTTTTGGCCCTGGTGTGACAAGTTCCGGGGGGGTGGAGAAATCGAATTTGGGTTTGAGAAGCTCAAATCCCTGAGGTTTCGGAAGGCATGGGCATGGCCTTCCCAACCAAGTGGCGGGAATGTTGGGATTGTCTCAACATCTCTACTCTTGGTATGGTAGCGCAAATCTTTGTTTTTTGCAGACCCCCAGTAAAAAAGAACAGAACCAAAAAACTAAAAAATAAAAACATGCCAAGAACAGTGAAGTCAAAGTTTCTGAGTTTGTGCCATTGAGGCCCTACAAAACGCCAAGACCAATCCTGGACCCTGCCTTCCGAAGAACGACTCAGCCGCATGGGTCTCAACGATTTTTTCTCTGCCAGCTCTTGATCCTAAAGGCATCCAAGCCCATCCCAGTGGACCCATTCACTTGTATAGCAGCCAAGGGAACCACCTTGGTTAAAAAATAAGAGGAAGAAACTGGTTACCCATTATATTGGTAGCTGGGATGCAATGGGACACGTAAACCATGTTGTTTGACCCAAAGCTATGCTGGTCGAAGCTCCGCAATGGTGTCGACTTGATCCGCTCTTTCGGCTGACTCATGAAACTGCCATTGGCCGACCACGCACCCAACAAGACCTTAGCAGGCCGTCAAACCGTGCCGACCACACACCCAACAAGACCTTAGCAGGCCGTCAAACCGTGGATCCATGAGGAAAGGCGGTTGGATCCCCCACATGGGTCGCAACCAAGGCTCTGGTCAAAGGCGTTCCACCAGTAGAGGTTGTACGACACCAGCTTCAGGACAAAGCCCTCCTTAGTGCCTGCGCAAGCTAGGCTCGCCTTCAGCTCGAGGTGAATTTGTTCCGTCCACTCGGCTGACCAACTTTTGTCCTCGCATTCCAACACCCCCAAAGAACTGCTTTTTGGACAATACCTGGGGTTCTGGCGAAATGCAGTTGTTTAGGGAGGGGGGGGCAGGGCTGGTTACGGTTCATTTTTGGTCAACCACATGCAAAACAATGTCACAGATCCTAATGTTGACCCCATATTCATCAACCCCAGAAAAAATATTCGGGGTTTGTGGGGAATCATCACACCGTGAGGGGAGTACCCCCCCTATTTTTCAAACTGGGCATTGATCTGCTTTGCCCCAATCGGCCGAGGCGACCGGTTGGAGGACGCCTGTCGTGGGCACGTCTTCACACTTGGCCTTGTAAAAGCTCTTGCAGTCCTGGCGCCATTGACGCTTTTATCGAACCAAGATACAAGCCCTCATCCGATAACAAGGTCTTCCAAACCCCTCGGCAGGTAGAAAAGCGTGTTGATGTGTTCACTGTACTGAACGAACAAAAGCACGCAATACCAGGGCCAATGCGGCAAATTGCGGCCCCGCTATCGCCAGGATCAGGATACCCTGATTACAAAAGGCTCAAGACCCACGCCCATGACGAAGCCCTCACTGACTCCCTCGGGCTACCTACGGTCAGGTTCATCCGAGACGAACTGCAATTGGGAGGCTCGTGAAATTTGGAATTTTCCAACATAGAGCATCCACAAAGGGGTTATTCCTCGGGGGACAACACAAAGGCAAAAGGAGTTTGACAAGATCAAAGGGTTGGCAAAGGGCATGAAGTGATGCCTGAACGTTTCAAAATGCTGAGTCGCCAGTTGCCACACACAGCCGAGTCGGTCTTTTGCACCTTTAGCGAACTGTACGCGTCCAATACGACGGGCATGAACCCCATGAAGGAAACTACATGCAGTCATATTGTTCACCAATGTTGACGGCTGCAAGAGATCGCCACCATTTCCCATCCGATTTAAATTTGCGGTGAACGTAATCTTTGCTCCTCAAAGGGGAACAAATACAAGGACCCGTCGTGAAGAATTCTCCCCAACGTTGCACACGCTTGGCATTCATGCTGCCGTCTTTGCGAAACGAAACGAGGTCCTCCAGAAGAGAGGTTAGAATAAGGGTACCCTTTTTTCGGACCCCCCCCGCCCCCCCCCCAAAAAAAAAGGTAACAGGGCACTACGGGGGGACCTAGGCACGGCCCAAAGAACGGCGGCTAAAGGCGGCCGTGCCTTGTTGATCTTGATGGGAGTGGCGCTGGTAAGGCTTTTGTCCTTCAGGAAGCACTTCTTCCAGCTTGGGCCTTCGCTGGGGCGACCAATCGCATGGCCCATGCTGCGGATTCGTTACGAAAATTGCATGTCGCACCACCGGTTCAGACCATGGTGGTTGAAACCATAACGTTTGTTGGTATTTATGGGGGAACCGAATCATTCCAGGGTTTCTTAGGTGGTGCAGGATTTTGTCCATCCACTGCAGTGGCAGTAATTTAATAGAACAATCCATGCTCCCTTCGCACCAACCCTTTGATCTTGACAAACTCCTTCTATTTGTGAGGCACTTTGCCCAAACGGATCTATCTAAACTTTCAGCTTGGACCCCTCCCCGGGAAAACCTGCGACTTCCCGTTGCAAACATAATGCCGCCGCCACAAGAACACAGTCACCAGTCGTGACAGTTCCCGTTCAAACACAATAAACATGATACAAACGGGCAAAAGGCAAGGTACACATGCAGAAATGCATACGTGTGTATACATATGTATGTACATACATGCCACCCGTGGGTCAAAACTTGCTACGCAAAATGGAATCTGGTAAGTACGGAGAAAGAAATGGACCAGGAGGTCCCCTGGTTTGTTTATTTTGGCCCATTCCCATATGTAAAGTTGACTGCTCACCTGCGGTCGCCCATGCCCAATTTCCTGCCCACCTTTCCAACCCGGAAGGCAACTTGCCAAGCAGGGTTCCTTGCGTTGACATTGCCTTGTAAATGGTGGTGTCCCTTTATTTTGGTAGAAAAAGCCATGTTTCAAATGTGCACAATGTATCTTTTAAGGAGCCCTGCCAAGTAGCAGTATGTGAAGCTCTCGCACTCCTCCTCGCACGAATCGAAACAAGCCAGCGGCTTCGCAAGCCACTCGCGCTTCACAAGCTACTCGCGCTTCGCAAGCCACTCGCGCTTCACAAGCCACTCGCGCTTCACTCGCGCTTCGCCCCCACAAATCAAAGGCTGAAGGTATGTGCAGCAAGTGCTCAGGGAGTCTAGATTAAAAAAACAAAACAAAAAAACACATAGCCATGCCCTATAGTTTATGCTTCCGGAAAAAAAACATGAGCCTGTTTGGGCTTTTTCGCAGCCAGCACCCCTTGAATCTCCGGCACACCCCGATTGCAAATGTCCCCCGTGGCTCGAACCTGCTGGCCCTCAGTTGGACGCCGTACCCCTTGCAACCAAACAAAGGCAGGCCGGAAGGATATTGAACCTTGGCCTGTCCAACCCAGTTGTCCAGTGCTGGCACCCCCCAAAAACAACTTACGGGGGGAAACAGCTGTCAAAATGAAGCCGAGACCACGTCGGACGCCTTTGCGGGCTGCTTTTTTTCCACAGAGTCATGCTTCAAGCGGCCACTTCAAACGACAAGGGGGGTTCATACCAAGGATCCATCCCAAGGCCCACACATTCAACCATTCCGAGCATCCAACGCAAGGTGGTTGTTGGGAGGCACCGTAGCCCTTGACAAGTACCAGGGGTTCAAACCCTCCAAGCCAATTCAACCCACCAATTGGGGGCGGGGGGTGGGGGCTGAAGTTGTGAAAAGATCAAAACACGCACAACAAGTGCGATCAAGCGTCATGTCATGTTGAAGCGCGGCACTGCCCACGTGGAATGGCCCACGTGTCATGCTCAGGCAAAAATGATCGACTCATGATGACGATGATGGTGATGTTGCTCATGGCCATAGATGAACATGATGATGGCGATGGTGATGGTGGTCATGAACATGGCTATGATGATAATGATGAAAATGACTGCGGTGGTTGTGATGATGACAATGACGATGATGACGATGATATACGATGATGACGATGTCGATGAAGATGTCTATGTAAGGATGACGAGACGATGATGACGATGACGACGACGACGACAATGATGATGATGATGCTGTCGATAACAATGATTGCGGTGCTAGTGACTTGCGTGGCCCAAGACACCCGCACGCACGCACAACGCACAAACGCACACACCCGCGCGGCTGTGTGTCCCACGGCGTCCAACATGGTGCCGTGGGCGGACTTGCCATGTGCCAGAGCCAGGATGGCCTTCAGGTTCAAATTCATGTCCTCCATTCAACTGACGCTACCTTGTGCAAGGCAGCATTGCCAGGTTGCAGGATTTTCATGCCCTCTGGCGCTCACTGTGCGCTTGATCAGTGCTTGTGTTGTGACGTCAAGGCGTCATGACATGACGGTGTCAGGCATCGACAGCATGCGCGAGAGACACCAGAACTCCAACAGCCTCGTGGAGCCACCTGCAATGTCGCAAACCGACACCCGGCTTGGGGCCACGCAAGAGCATGTTTGACTCAAACCTACAACTTGTGGCCCCACCCTGTCTTCGTGCGCATAATGATATGCAACTCAAGTGGCCAAGGGGCCGAAAATGGCCTCATGGCTCTTTTGGCTCCCCAGGCCCCACAGGTCGGCTCAACCATTGCTCGGTTGCTTTCTCCTCTGCTCAACGTGTTCTTCTTTTTAACTTTTTTGTGGTTTAATTCGGACAACCACTAAGTCAAAAAAGGTGGTTTGTTAGTTGGCAAAAGGTCGAGTCCTAACATCCAAGCCATTTTGCACCAAAGATTGGATGGCCTCATGGCCCAGACTCATGGCTCTTGGCTCCCCATGCCCCACAGGTCGGCTCAACCCATTGGCTGCCATCCGTCCTCGTCATCGCAGGCCTTCTTGCACTTCCCAGCGGAAGCCTCCGCCAGCGCCCCGAGCTCTTCGCCCTCCTCCTCCGCCACACCGCCGAGGCCGGCGTAGCAGGCCTCGCCAAAAAAAACGCGCACAGGTCATAAAACGTTAACCGTGAAACCCCCCCTCCCCAGCCTCCCCCCCCTCAAAACAACAAAACACACAAGAAACACAGAAGAGAAGGGGGAACAAAAACAAAAAACGATCCCAATGTTGGTTATTGTTGCGCCTTCCCCAAAGGCTTCTCTTTGTGTTTCGGGGCTCTTTACAGCCGCAGGTCCAAGTAGTCGAGGATTGTCTTCGACCAACGTATCGTTCGAAAGCTACTTGGACCCTTGGAAAGCTCCGATGCCAATGGCCAACAGTTTGGATGGCTCAAAATGCTTACACCTTCCTGAACATGAGGATCCAAGAATGGCTCAAAATGGATGGCTCATTGGCTCAAATTGTTGGAAGGATGGCTCAACTTGTTTGTATTTCAACAGGATCTCCAAGAAATGAACGCGCAGCCTCAATCGCTTACTCGATGATGTCCTGTTGGTCTCTCGTCAAACTGGGCATTTGTGTATATATGTATGCCCTAAGGCTCCCAATGTCTTGTTGGCCCTGAAGATGGGTTGTTTTCAAGGGCCCCTGAGGGGTCTGGTTTTTCATTGGAGGGCCCGGGGGCCTGCATTGGAAGGGTCATGACCCTTAGGGTGTATATACACATATAGATACATATGTGCCGCTCTCTTTGTAGCGAACTTCCTGTTGGACAAAATTGAAGGGAAACCAACAGGAAACATGTTGACTCATGTGCAGAGTTCGCTCGGGTTCGACTCTAAGTGGGGGAACTTCAATGTGGCCCTCCCTGAACCTCTCTGAATTCGCGCAACCCCCTAAAAAGGGCAGGCCTGAAAAAACACACACACACACACACACACACACACACACACACACACACACACACACACACACACACACACACACACACACACACGCACACACACACACACATGGTACAACCTTGTGAAACTCAACTACAACAACAAGGGTGTGTGCGCGTGTGTGTCTGTGTGTGTCTGTGTGTGTCTGTGTGTGTGTGTGTGTGTGTGTGTGTGTGTGTGTGTGTGTGTGTGTGTGTGTGTGTGTGTGTGTGTCTGTGTGTGTGCCTGCCGCAAGGGGGAGAAAAACAAAAAAAGACGGAAAACAAGCTGAGCATGGCTCCCCCCGGGCAGTTTGCTGCCTGTCGCTCGCAAGTGCACAGCATGTCCGAAGTGCCCAGGATCGCCTGCATAGGGCCGCACTCCCGAGGGAAGCAGGGTTGAAGCAGATGGCACAACTTCCCGGACCCTCACACTACCAAGAAACAAAAAAGGAAATCACACCATATTTTTTGGGGCAATCTCCCATGACTGTATTTATTGGGTAAGTCATGTTGACCGCATATTAATCCAACTCAGTGTATTCATAGGGGGGTGTCAACCTGGGTTTGGTGGTGAATCATCACTTTTGGCGGGCAACACCCCCCATTACTACACTGAGGTTGATTGGTATGGGGTCAACATTCTTCAGTCCACTTGGTGGTTTGGATCGGTTCAGCCTCCCAAGCCATAGGGCTTCACGGTTTGCCATTCCCACCCCTTTTGGGCGGCTCGTCTTTCTTCTCGCCGACAGAATGGCGTCGGATGTCCTTTTGGTCTTAAAACCAAGGGGCAACGTCACATGCTAAACCCCCACATGGGTTTGGATTGCCAGGTTGTACTTCAAGGCCTGCTTTCACTCAAGGGTCAAGGCCTGCCCTCGGAGCGCACAGAAGAAGCCAGTCATCGGTCACATCTGTGTGACCACACATTTCAATAAACGTCGTTCAAATCTGATTACCCTTGCAAGAAACTCCAAGCATACAACAGGGAACCATCCACACTCGCGAAACGTGACCTATAAGCAAACATGGGTGTGGCTCAACGCAGGGGGGGCCCTTGGGATGGTTCTGATCAAACCAGTGGATCCCAGTTACTCATTTATTAGTAAACCACCAGCTGTTGTCCTTTTGGTTTTATATCGGGTGGTTCCCTTGGTTCCCCACAAAACCAGGTAGTTGCGCTGGTTACCTACAAAAACCAGGTAGTTCCATTGGTTCCCTACCAAAAACCAGATAGTCCCCTTGGTCACTTACACAAAGACGGAAAAATGGGGATCCCACCGGGTCAGAGGCACCGCACCCCACCCCCACCCCCGCCCTTCAGAGCCAAGAGGGAGCAACCCAAGAATCGCGGATCGGAGCGAATCGGCCTCGTCGCATCCGAAGGTCTCCTTCACCTGTGGGTCAAAAATTTGGAAACCCCAAAACAGGGCTCCCTATATTTCCCCTTAAAACATCACCCCCAACAAGGGATACTCACCTTTCACGGACCAAAAAGGTGATGTTTAAAACCACCAAAAAGGGAAATATAGTTTGTTTCTGGTGGTTTCATTTTGACCCACACCTGGCAGGTCTCGTCCAACTCCTCCGCCGCTGCAACGCAGCGGTGCCCGAAGCTCTCGCCTCGGATAGAGGCGCTGGGGGCGTTCGATGCAAGGGACTCATGCCAAGGAATCAAACATGTTCAAGCCTCTGATTCAGACCAAGAAGGGGGTCCAGGTGGCACAACCAAACAGGAGACTACTTGGTTCAACCCTCAATGAAAATGATTCGAATGGGGTTGACCAGGGTACTCTTAAAGCCAGATTTGGTCATGATTGTGGGAGAGCGCAGTAGGAAGTGAGTCACACATGCAACTAGTGGATGGGTTTTGACTCCCTAACCAGTTCGAGTAAGGGACTCACTTTTTAGTTGCTGGTAACTATTGAGCCCCTCATACTTCCCCTTGGACATGCAACCCCCCACCTAGGACTTGGATCTTTACTACCGGCAAACATCCAATCCAAACCACCTGAACAGTTGAAATGTAGTGGTGGTGTCCACTAAACCTGAGCTGTTAGAGGCTCCAAAAATTGAAATGGAGGAAGTCCTGGTTCAATATAAGATCATATTAAGGACGCCATTTCAGGAACCAGGGTTACTCAGCATTTCTTGTGAGAAACATAGGAGAGAGAACGGGACATATTTGGAGGTAAAACAACACAAACAAAAGCAACACATTTTGGTCAACTTTTTTGCTTTCATGGGCAGGCTGAAACAACGACACCTGGTAACCATCCCTTGGCCTGAGGCAACGATCCATGTCGACCCTTCGATGTGATCGGCTAAAAGGGAGCACCCTTTTGAGTTGCAACCGCTGTCCTTGTAGCGTGTTTGGGTGGCCTCATGTTGAAAGCTCCGATCGGATCCCAAAGAAGAACACAAAAAAAGGCAAAGTCTAAGTGGACAAATGTGTGCGAGCAGCCTGGGAACAAGTGGCCAGGGCTTGCCATCCCGTGGGTTGAATTCCAAAACCAGCCTGTACAGGAAATACAAAAGGCCAGGGCTTGCCATCCCGTGGGTTGAACTCCAAAACACATGGCAGAACCCAAAAATGGGAAGTCTTCTTTTGTATCCCTTTCAAAGCAAAAGGTGCCCTCAAAAACTAAAACACCCTGATCTCCCACCTGTCAGTTCCCCATCTCCGTGGCTGAACGCTGCCAAAGTGCAGTACTCGTCGCAGCGGTTGTAGGTGGCAGTCTCAACCAACGCTTGGCCTCGGCGTTGGAGCGAAGAAAAGAAACATCTGTTGGACATCCAGCAGGAAATGTGCGGAACCACCAGCTTGCTGAATGCCAGGGTTTGGATAACGTTGTGCAGAATTGCCGGTGGATTCTTCGAGGTACAGAAGAATGTAGCTATGGAGAATCGTCCATAACAATCATCCTGGGCGCTGCAGATTGAACGTGCGTGTTTCTTGCACAAAATGCAAGGTTCGCTCCAACAGGTGTCATTTTCCTCTTTTTTTTGGGGGGGGGGGGTGACTCCCTCTTCACCAGCCAGATTCTTGCGAGAAAAAAAAACATGAGCTGACTTCCCTTCCCAAAACCACAACATGTGTCCGAGAAACACCTCATGGCCTTCCTCAAAACATTCCAGGAGGGCCCCGGCGCCGTGAATCTGAGCCACCCGTTGTCAAATTGTGGACGCCAGGTCACCAAAAAGCCCGAACGGCGGCAACGAATGTGCCCAATGCTCAACACCCTACTCTTGCCATGCGAAGGGAGATTGGAATGGATCGTTTTTGCAGGTCAACTCATTGGCTAGGCCCAGACCTGGATGAAACCAGAAAGAACAGAGATGTGCCGGCTTTGTGTAGCAGTCCAACCCATGGCCCAAGCATGCACTCCCGTGGTCAAAGCGCATTTAAACCGTACCTTTCTGGACTTGAATCCAAACCTCCATACTCCTTCCTTGAATCCGCGCGGTGGGGCGCCCGGCACCCGCCGCAGCTCACGCCGTCCAGCTGCGGCCACTCGCCGAAGGGCGCGCAGCTCTCGCGCACGGCTTGCACGGCCAAGTGGGCGGTGCCTCGGGGACTCGAAGACGCAGAAATGACGTCTCTACTCTTGGCATGGCATCAAAAAACTGACTGTTCTTTGCAGACCCCAGTAAAAATGAACAGAACCAAAAAACTAAAAAAACTATATAAAAAACATGCCAAGAACAGTGGAGAAATTAATTCCACGAGGGACGTGGGGGCTCAGTGCTGAGCCCAAAGCAACTTTGAGAACCCCGGGCAAAATGAGGCGCGCTCATGGGGCCGCTCTTTGGGGCCCATGTGGAGTGGTGTTTTTGAAAGATCGCCCCTTGGCAAGCTGGCAGGGGAGACGCCAACTCTCCTTTCCAAACCCTGTCCCCTGCAGCTTCCTCTGTAGGGGGGTAAGTATAGAATAATTTCATCTGTGTTGTGTTTTGTGATCTATGCATCTGGCATGCTTGTTTTGCCGACGTTGGCAGCACTGCAATGTTCCTGAACCTGGATGGGGATCCCGTGAAGCGTGAGCTCATTTTTTTTCCATCAGGTGAGCTCGCCAGCAACATGTGCAGATATAACATATGACAGGCAATCCCACGGCACCTGGGGCCCAGGAGCTCAAGCCAGCCTGGTTGCGACCAGGCTGGTTCGTGTTCTTGCAATGGTTGAAATATCAGCCGCGCCTTCTTTGCAAGGTTAACCCAAGACAAAAAGACCGCCCTATCTGTGTGTTTCTTTTCTTCTTCTTTTTGTTTTTTTTTTTTTTTGGGGGGGGGGTGGGTGCACCCATTTTCAATCTCCCAGGTTGGATTACCATGGCAAAATTATGAACCTGTCAGCTCAAGGATTCCCCTCTACCCAAGCCCTGGTTGATTAACAGTGAGTCCAGAATTGCTCAGACGCCCCTGCTCTAGTAAATTCAGCAGGCTGGGGGGTATGACAAACGCTGGGCCCACTGCACATTATATCACCAGTGGTTCACGAAACTTCCTGCCGCCCCTCCCCCTCCCTCACCACACCTCCCCCACCCCCAAGAGTCTTGACGCGACAAAACCCTCTCTTCCTGGCTGCGTGCACCAAACTGCAGCAAGGTGTTGCCAGAGTTGGGCTTTTTGCAGGTGCCATCGCGGCACACCTGGCGAAGGCTTGCCGTTGGCAAACGGCCAACCAGCTGGGTGTCACGGGTGTCCCGTGCGGCCATTGGCTGCGTACTATGATGACCCCATGAGGCTGGCTCGTCTTTCTTGCTGGCACCCCTGTTTCGATCCTTTTTGCTTAGGGTTATAACGGAAAAGCAAACAGCACAAACACCATGCTGGGGGGGTCCCGGCTACATCTCTTGGTTGCTGTTGACCCCCCTGCAAACAGTTTTTTTCACTTTTTGGGGGTTTAGTGGGAAACCGGAAACCCCAACTTGGTTTCCCCAAAAAAGTTAGCGTCGAAAGATCCGTTGCCGTTCTAGCAGCCTACCTCTTGCGTCCCCTCCTTCGGCCCTGGCAAGACTCCCCACCTGCCTCCTGCGCCGAGGCCAGCGCAGCCAGCAGGAAGGCGCCATATGCGGCGCGCATGGCGCGCGATGGGTCGATAGGAAGGCAGAACGTGGAGCCGGCTGCGAGCGAGTCCCTTCTGGCTGCAAGGACCCCCCTCTGCCAAAAAATTGTGTTTTGTTTGTTGGGATGCTTTTTGAAAAAAAACAACAAAAACTTTTGGGGGGTTTAGTGGAAATCCCTGAGGGGTTGAAGGCTCCAAAAGTCGGGGCGCCTCACTCGTGAACTCGCCTTTCCAACTCACCAACCGGGCTGCCCGTTTTCGGATCCGCGAAAAGTGACGAACTTTTTGTGGATTAAATGGTCCATTCTGAGACTTGCTGGTGCGATAGGTTGGGAATGACCGAGAACGTTTCCAGTTTTGGGGATTCCCTTAAGGAAACCCAAAGGGACGTCGTTTTTCTCCGGGATCATCCCCTGCCTCATCCCCTGCCTATCGAACCAGCAAGCTGAGGGGTCAAAGAACCTAACTCACTCGCAACCAACTCTGCCAGGTTTGGAGGACTAGGCGCTTCCGACCAAAACACATGGCTCCTTGGTTGCTGTAACGGCCCGCCTCCGCGTTTTTTGCTTGTTTTTTTAACACGAGGGTCAACTGGCAAATCCACGGTGCGTCCAAAGATCCTGCCAAATAGCCATGAGGGCTTAAGGAACGGGTACGCCCACACCGCTATTTCTCAGTGATTCAAAAAAAAAAAAAAAAACGCCCACAAACAAGCGTGCAACACGGCAACCTGGCGGGTCAGGCATCGTCAAACACACAACCGTTGGGCTGCATTTAAGAAAGCCAAGCCCAGTTGCCCTGTTCTGGGTCGAGCACATGTGCGGAACCCGCAAAGCCAAAAGGGAAAAAGGGTGCTGCACAAGCGAGAAAAGGACAAAACCAGGCAACTCGGTTGCTTCTGCTCCCCTGCTAAAAGTTTAACTTGTAGTGGTTCACTGGAAACCCCGTTAATTAGTTGGAACAAGGCTAAAAGTCCTAACATCCCTTGGCAAAGTGCACCAAGGTCCATTCTAGCGGAGACAAAAACCAAAAAAAAGCAAAAACGTCCCCGTCCCCTCGCGTCTTGTGCCGATTCGATTCCGGTACTTCCGATGGACCGCGCACACGCTCAAGTCAAAGCTCCGTCGGGGCTGGCGTGTAAGGAGCGGAATCGCTCACAGGCACAACTGGCGCCAGGCTCCGCAGATCCCTGAAACTGGGCTCCTTACTTGGTTGCTGCAAGGACCCCCCTGCAAAAGGTTTCTCACTTTTTGGGGGTTGAGTTCGGAAAACCCAACTTGATTTCCAAAAAGTTAAAGTCTGAAGATCCAACTCAATAGCAATCAAGAATCTGAAGCATGCCCACTTGAAGTTTCTCCGGAAAAATGTCCGTGAAGTCAAAACAAGATATCTAGATGTGTGGTCACCCCTTGTCTCCAGGCTGATTCCCACCTATCCTGGGTGCTACTATCTTGTGCAGATACCTCTCAAAGGGATGCCTAATTGATGCCTTGGACCAAACCAAACAAGCTCCTTAGACGCCCTCTTGAAAATCCAAATAGGACTCAACAGGTGATGCTTCAATTATTCTCTAAAGTTTGACTCTAAAGAGGAAATTGATGACCCCAGTGACCCAGCCCTCTTTTTGTTCAGATTCCTCGAAAACCTGCAGAAACACTGTGTCAAATAGGCAGACCTCATATTCCTCAAGCAAGAACATGTAGAAGCGGAGGGTTCATAGGCCGGTCCAGACAAAGAGTCGTGCCTTCCCAGCAGGTCCTACGCAGCCCTGACTTTGCGAGTGCAGGTGCTGTAGCCGGTCGGCAATCGCTTCAGGACGCCCAAGGAGGGGCTCCCTTGCTTTTATCTTCACAGAACAAATGAGAACAGACACTCACATGACCAAAAAGCCTGGAAAAAGCAGAGTGAATTACAGGAGCCGCCCCTCCGGTGATCCTGGGTTTTCGACCCGAGAATCGTCGAGTCCAAAAAGGTACGACAGTCAGTCGAGACCTTATGAGGCTTGGGAAACCAAGGGCTTTGTCTCCAACCGACAAAATGAATACCTTCCCCCAGGCTTTACTAAATACAACACCAACAAATGGGATTTGTCACCAAGACCCACCAAAATGGATGGGAAGCCAGGCTGGCTTCCAAAAAAATCACTCCCCCAAGGCCCAAAGGGTACCCTCTACAAGAACCAAGGGTTCAATCCCCAAACCACCAAATTGTGGTTACCTGAGAAACTTAAAGGAAAAACAAAAGGATTCAGAGATCGGATCCCAAATCCTCCCACCAGGCCTATGGTCGGAAATTTCAAAAAAATGTCCATTGAAAGGGCTCTCTGGCGCTGTCTGGACCTATCCAAAATATGGGGAAACGCCGTCCTTGCAGCTATGCCCTTGTAAAAAAAATAGAATAATAATAAACAAAAAACACATTTTCAGTGTACTTGTTCCTGGCTCAAGCTAGGACACGTGAGCTTGGGTCAGTTGAAGGGAAACCGCCGCAAACCCATTTCCAGGGACCCCCTCGGTTGAAACCGAACGAGACTTCTCCAAGTTGTGCGACACCCATGCGACATGCATCAAAACGATCGCTCAAGTTGCTGCAGGAAACACGGGTCAGGACGAATGAAAACTAGGTGGATTTAACAAGGGGCGACCCATTTTAATTGGTATGCCTCCCTTTGGAGAGCTTTAGCATCCTGTCAGCCAACCCTCTGGAGAGAATCGGATACTCGGCTCGTCTGTTTCGAGGGCACCCTTTTTGAATTGGCTCCAGGGAATCTAAAGGATTTCCAACCACACGGAAGAATTGGCATGGCCAGTCTTGTGAGTGCAAATCAACTACCATCCTTTCGTGCAAACAAACAATATGGGCAGTATTTAATATAGCCACCCCTTCTCAAAGATCCTTCCACATGAATGGGAGAAGATTGTAGCAAGGAGTGGAAATGGTCAACTGAGCTGATGCAACCCGTCACACCCAAGCTTCACTCGCGAATTCCTACGGCCCGTCCGAGCCATGCGCGCCAAAAGTGGGGCGGAAAAAAACACCCGCGGGGCTCAGGAGGACCTTTCCTCACCGGCCGGAAACAACTCCAGGCCTGTGACAAACCTGTTTACTCAGTGCCGCACAGATACTGACTTGAGTGAAGCTCTTGATTTCCACTTGAACTCTCGTCCCAACAAATAAGTCCTCTTGTACTCACAAGGTGAGGACCTGGAGGTGCGCCGGATGGTAGGACTCCTCCCCTGAGGCATCCTGATTGGAGGATGCCCCGACTCCACAAGTGAGGCCGCACTTCAGCCCCGGGTGGCAAAAGTTGTCACGACGAAGCAGGCAAAAAACCAGCGCCTGGCGGACGCATGGGCTGTAGGGGTTTTGGGGTTTTAAATTTTGGTGGTGTGTCTCCGTTGAACTGGCGCGAGAATAGAAGCCCTTGGCCTGCGGGGCTTGGATTGGGTGCTCCAAGCAACGAGGTTTCAAGGTCCCCAAAGGACCTGTTGCAGGTTTAATGACAAAACACACGGCCTAAGGGGCTTTCTTTCCAAAGTAGAAACCAGAATGGCAGACTTGCACAATAGGCGAGAAAGGGCAAATCAAGTTTGCCCTGTTTGGTGGTTTCCTTTGGTGGTTAGGAGGCGCCTTCCCCATTTGATATTAAAAGGAGCTTTGGGTCAAATCTCCAAGCCAACAACCAACAATGCAAACCACTAATGAAGGAGTAGCTGAGATACGCCAATGAGAACAAAACAGACGCAAGACAATAACATGTTTGCTCGCTGGCCAAGAAAGGCACCAGTACCTTCTGTGGTCATTCTGGTGCAGTCTCAGTTGCCGCTTTTGGTCCATGAGACTTCCAATTAAATACTAGGCAGAAGTAAGATTATCAGATTGCAGCAGTATCCAATCACATTGATCAGAATGATCAGGACCTCAGGGCACCTTCATTCCATCCCAAGTTCACATGCCAAAATAAACACGGAGAACGACACTTCTAAATTCACTCCTGGCTGGTCTTGCTGGCCTTCTCGAGAAGCGAGACAAGTGCAGAAACCCTATCAAGGATGAAAATCCACGAGCAAGGGTTAAGTGGATCCCCAAATCGGGACCCGCCTGGCGTCGTCTGAAGCGAAGCCACTCCGGAATCCTGAATCGGTGGGCGTAAAAACAAGAAAGGCTCCTGTTCTCGTTGCTTCCGCGGGGAGGAAAAAACACAAAAACAACACACACACACACACACACACACATGGCCCCTTTTTGGTTGCGAGCCCGCTGTCTCAAAGGCGTGTTGATCATGTTGATCAAGCTGGAAGTGCACAGTGACTAGACGCTCCCTCGATACGACTGTCCCCAATGCTCAGACGCGAGTCCTTTCACTTCACTTCCCCGGCTTGGCATATCCGATCGGATCCCCCGACCTTAAGGCCTTAAGGGGCAGGGGGACCCAGCTCCTTTTAGTCTTCCCTCCAAAGGGAAAATGGCTCACCACAAAGGGAGACCTCCAGGGGTCGGGGTCACCCCCAATTCCATTTTGAGGGGGTGGGGACGTCCAGCCTGGAACCTGGAAGTGAAACTCATCCCAAGAAGACGGCCACAAATGGAACAAGGGTCTCCCGAACCCACCTGGGGGTTGACCTTGAAATACCTGATTTTTGTTGGCTTCTCAAACCCAAAAGGTAACTTCCCTTTAACATTGGCCCAGAAGTTTGCGACAAATTGGAAATATTGGAAACATTATTTTTGCGTAACGGTTGGCAAAATCCAAGTGATTTTCAGCATCCGTCGGCATTACTAGACTTCACCGCCGTGAGGTCAGAAATCTCGACGTAAGGGACGGCTTTACCCCCAAGCTTGCCATAAGTCACGGAGGTAACCTGTGTCCTTTCTTTTCTGCAGGGAAAAACATTATGGCCTCAGCCCGTGAGTGCGCGAGTGATGTAAAGTTTGCAGATCCCGCCAATGTTGCGGATCCTAAACCTGTCCTATCACCCTCCTGTCCACTACATTTGACCTGACTGAGCTTTCCTTTGAAAAGGACCCTCGGCTGGGGTCTGTGTTTGGACAGGAGGGTTTTTTGGGGGGTGTTCCCTCCAAAAGTGGTTTGCAGCCCACTCAAAGGGGACAGTTCCGTAAAGCAGTCCCATCCAAGGGCGGAATCCACCACACAATTGCCCTTGGGGCGAATTACCTGTTTAACAGGGGTACCCTCGTTTGCGGATTTTTATCGCCATCTTAAATCGATCACCACTGGTTGGCTTCATGGTGTCCGTGTCCCGACCAAGCAAAAGGGGGTTCACCAGTTTCAGAAACGTGAGCGCCCAAATCCTTTTGGAGTTTGGCTCCAACATGGCTACAACGGTTTTGTGTAGGCCTTGGGCCTTCCCACCACCCCGAAAACACCAAGTTAGAACCTACGAAGCGGGCCGAGAGGAACTCGTTTTGGCCGAGTTGACGCAAACCAAAAACTCCACGAGTCGAGTCGAGTCGCAAAGGGCGAGCTCTGCGAAGACCGGCTTGTGGTCGCTCCCCGCTTCCTTGCCGACGCCGTGGGACAAGAGCTGCCAGTGGTGCGAGTAGAAGATCATGTCCACCCAGCTGCGCCTTACCCGATAGAAAAATGGGCGGGTCATGTTTTTCCCGGGCAAAATTTGTTGTCTTCGTCTGTGGGTGTAAAGGGAAAAAAAAAGACCCCCCCCCCTCGCCATTTTGGGGTGTCCCCATGTCAAGGTTCATGTCCAGCGGGTCATGTCTACCAAGGTCACGTGCATGGGAAAGACCCCCTTTCAAGATACCAAAGTGGTATCTGGCATACTTGCTCGAAGGGCCGGGAAATGGAAAGGTGAACCGTTTGGGGTCAAGACGGTTTACCTGGGCCAACGTAGCAAAGCATGACCTGTGAACACAACTGGCGCAAGAGAGACCTCCAGAACGCCAGCGGAATGGACCCATCGCCACGGCCCAAGTTGTTTCTGCTTTGAGGCGCGGAACTCTTTTTTTTCGGTTTTAAAGGGAAGCCCAAAGGGAAAACCACAAGGTTGCGCACGAACCAAAGGAAACCAAAGGAAAGCGGAACACCAAAGGAAGAGCCAAGAAACCCAGAGCAAACCCCCTAGCTTGAGACAAACCCATAGGCCCAAGCCACTTCAAATCATGCAGACTTTGGCCGTTGGAACCTCCACGCGGGCCGTCTGCCAGGGCGCTCCGCGAGTTTGAATCCGCTCTTCAGGAAATGCTGCGGGCCCTTCCTGGCTCGGTTTTCGGGTTGGGACACCTCCGGACCCGTTCGCACCTGAGAATTTGGAACCCAGGACCCAGGGCTTGAACCGATTCGTGCTTCGTCTTGGAACCTCCAAAGCAGCTCGTGGTGCAAAACTGGCATTCTCCTGGTAAACAGCGAAAGGCCCTCTGCGTTGAGCCGTTCAAAGAATTGCACGTGTTCCATGTTGCTTGGCAGCTCGATGCGTTCTTGATTAAGCATCGCGGAACAATGCTGCCCTGGACCAGGTTGAGGATTCCGCTCGTATGTGCATTGCAATGGGTTGAACACCTAAACTAGCCGGGGATGTACTTGATATTGGGCTGCTCACTCCCCCCCTCCCCTGCGGCTTGGCGTGGGACAGAAGCATGCCAAGATATCAACACGTATTCCCTGAATGGATTGGTCAACAAACAAAAAGCAGCGCCATTGTTGTTTGCCACAATGAGTCGTCCCACAAAGCTGGCATAAAAACAAACACCACACAGTTTATATAAACATCCTACAGCATTTGTTTTCGTTTTGCATTGTTTAGGGCAAACTGTTTCAATGATCACCCCAAAGCGTCTAAAATTTAATCTCCCCAAAATCGCCGAAGCCCTTTAAGCCTCCGGACAGCGAGCGGAGCCCTTGGGCCTCCAAACCCCCCCCGCCACTTAGCCGTCCAAGCAGCTCCCCCAAGGCCGCGTTGAAGTCCCCGGTGATGACCACCGGCTCCTCTTTCGCGTGCTCCTGGATGGCGCTGACCATGTTCTTGGCCCCCCGGTACCGCACCTCCTCGTTGCCTGAGCTGAAATCTGGGATGTAGAGAGAAGAAATCGGGCCGAGTGCGAAGGCGAAGGGCGGAACCACCCAACATCCTACCAACCTGTGAAACGAGGTCAACCCTGTGAAATGAGGCCCAAAAACACTTGGAAGGCACCTGCCCCCAATACAAGACCAACAGAAATCAGGTCGTACGGTCGATTGCCAAACGACGCTTCATTTCTGGCTTGGCTTGGTGGCTTGAAATTTGAACCCATGGCGCTTGCCGAGGGAAAATCGGAACCGAAGCACCAGAGCAACTCGGCTCACCGTGCAAGTCAGCTGCAAATGCGGCTCCCCTCGCTGTGCACGCACCAGTGCGTGTTGAAGTGCCAGAAGGCCTTGCCCGTGCTGATGTGGGTCAGCTTCACCCAGGTCACATACCTCACATTCAAACATGCCGACCTCCCCACACAAAAAAAGGGACGGCAACCACAACAACCAGCTCAGGTTCTCCCCCTCCCTCCCCCCCCCCCCCAAAAAAAAAAGAGAAAGACGGAACGAACAAACAAACAACACGACCACCAGCAGAAACCCTGCCCTTAAAAGATGGCAAGGTACTTTTCTTGCGTGCCAGGGCTTGCAAGCGGTCGTTTTCTATCATGGAAACTTCAGTGAGTATCTCGTGCCGTTTACATGCGGAAGGGGCAAAAGCTGACGTCAGTGCCCTTCTTCCAGGTTTCCTGCACTTGTTTCGAGAAAGGCAGCATTACTTGGCACAAACATGGGGTGTGTCTTTTTAGGACCATGCAAAATGGTGGTGTTCCTTAAGTGTCCCTTGAAAACCTAGAAAACACCGGGGTAGCCTGAAAAGAATGAAGAAGCCAAAAACCGCTCCAAAACCCGGTGATCGCTTAGACCCACCTCCACCTCCCCCACCTGCCCAGATCCTTCGGCCCGGCCCGGCCTCGCGCCCCACTTGCCGGTGGCGTCGAGGTCTCGGCTCCCTTCGTCGCTCTTGGAGAAGAGACCAGGCTTCACCATCACGCCTCGGCGTCGAACAATCGACGGATGTTGTTCTCACCTCCTGAGAGGATGAGCCAAACAAAAGATCTGAACTCGTTATTTAAAATGTACCACCCAAGTGGTCTTCCCAAAAAGTTAAAAGTCCATGAACTCAGGAAGTGAGTTTTTGATGCACGGCTGAAATTTGGGACGAGTCAATCAATCGGACAAACACACCAAGCAAACACAAACAAGCAAAAACATGGTGCATGTTCCTCTGGGTTTGCGACTTTAAACCATATTGCAAGTACAAGGGTAGTTATTGTTGGGTTCAACAAACGCGGCGGTACTCCGACCCACTTTGGTCACTCCTGACCAAAACTTATCCAAGCAAAGGGAATCAGCTGCAAGGCTTCCAGCCGATGGCCTGGGGCGTGCCTTTCTCTTGTGCTATTTCCTAGGTCCTCCCGTAGAGAGGTTAGAATAAGGGTACCTGATTTTTCAGTAGTCTAGTTTAGTAGGGGAACCTCTCCCCAAAAAAGGGTGAGAAAGGGCACTACTTGGGGACCTAGCTTCTCAAAGGGAAACCATTTAAGGGGGTCTACCCATTTGATAACCAAGACAAGCCTATGTTCAGCCTCCCTCTAATTGGTTGCGGAGGGGTTCCCATTAAGCCTTCAAAAGGCAGGTGTACCATTTTTGTTTGACAAACCCAATGTCCCCTGCGAGTGAAGGATGGCCAAACCTTCCCTCTGAGGAAAACTTTCGCCACTTTCACCCAACTTGGCAGTAGTGCTCAGGTGTTTCCAGGCTTCTGCAGCCCCAATGGAAAAGGGGGCACCCAAATCCTGAGCTGTCCAAAAGCTCCGGCATTGCCCGGAAAAGCCCGAGTCTCAAGCCCCGAGTCTCCCAGGATTCGAACATGAGGTTTCTGAGATATGGAGGCGTCGACCAAAACGAGGCCTGTGCCAGGGGGCCGGATCATGGCCCGATGTCTGTCTTAGATTTAGGTTTCAAACATGGGAAAAGGTGTTCTTATGCCGTATTTGTTCCAAAGAGAAACCTTGTGCGCCATGAATGTCGGCCTTTAGGGTGCTAAGGTTTCCTTTGGAACAAATGTAGCTACGGAGTTGCTTGGCACCCAAAGAACCACCTTGGGCGTCTCCCAGCACGCAGTCCAACCTCAAGTCGCCCTCGCTGGCTTAGCTAGCCCGGCGCGACATGTTGGTTGGCTAGGGCTGCCAAAACAAGCTGTGATTGCAAAGGCTTGGTAGTCTGCTTGAAACAGCTTTCAACGTTGTATAAACCTTACATTGACCAGCTGTGTTGCCGGATGTGCTCTTTTCTTTTCGATTGAATACTGAAAGTCACGAGCCATGGTATGGGTACGTTTGGGGCAGTGTCAACACTAACCACAGGAATTACACTCAAAGGGCGGAACCTCAACCATGAACAGTGTGCCCTTGCTAAAACTCAGTTGCCCAGTTCGGCCCCCCAAAAATAAGATCTTAAGCTTCTGGAACCTTGACTCGAACCGGACCAAGGGGAAACTAAGGAAGCCAAAATCACAATTTGCCCTGGGTTGAGAAACCGGATCCACATCCTTGCGGGGCCCGTCCAACTTGGAACCCGCAATGACCAGGAATATCAGATCAGGATCCACACGAGAAAACCCAAAGTTGCGGCTTCAGAAAACCCAGTCTCCCAAATTCATGGTTTGGAGCCCGGTGGTTTGGTGGCGCTAAAAATGTCAAGGTGTCCCATGAGACCGCCGGATCAGAGCCCATAAGGTGCCTTAAGCGCCGCCTTCATCGCCGAGGAGCCCTGCGCCCCTTTGAAGGGCGAAGCCGGCTCCAGTCGCCCCGTGCGGCTCCTCAGCTCCGAAATTAAAGAGAGAGAACGTGAAAGCTTACTGCGCGTCACCTTGCCTTCATAGACCGAATCCCAGACTACTTCGCCAGTCGCCTCCCTTGACCAATGCCAGTCGTCCCAGGTGCCGAAGACGGCAGCTGGATCGGCTGTGGCTCGCGGAAAAGCGTCTTCCATCTTGCCGATGTCCACCAAGAGCTTCTCAAAGCGAGCTTGCTTGCCGCCGCCTGCGGGCACTTCCCTGATCAGGTGCGGCCTGGACACTGAGCCGGTTCACCGTGCGCGGGGCAAAAAAAAGAGGACGAGACTGCGGCGTGAGTCTCACGAACCAAGCGTTGCGCATCTGGCTGTCTTGTTGCCGGCGGCACATCTGCTCCAAGCTCATCTGGGGAAGAAGCAGCAGCAACCACGCTAGAAGAATTAGTTACGACACCGTGCCACTCTGCAGGCGTGTGTTGCGTCATGAAGGGAAACAGCCAATCATGAAAGTAGGTCCACACTGCAGAAAGGGGAAGGGCCGGAAGAGCAGAATGCTTTGGCCTCCGGGTCAGCCAGGAAGATTCGATTCTTGACGTCGACCTTTTGAGGGTTGTGCGTCAAGCTGTTTCGCGTGTACGTACACTGGAGTGTGATGTCTCTCTGGCCGTTGGAACCGATGGGATGTCGCCCGCGTTCATGAGCCAAATCTTGCCACAGCATTCCCAGGACGCGTAGCAAGTCTCAGCCTCGTGGTTGCGGCGCAAAGGAATGTGAGGATGTCCTCGGCGACCCCCTGATCCCGCCGACACTCATCGAACGTCAGGACGATGCACTGGAAGAAGTTGTGGCTCTGCTGCTGGAACTCCCTTTCCACCTGACAAGCGCATGAGCCGTGTCCCCCCCCTTTCATGCTAAAATGGCGTGGCGCCAGCATGTCATTCTTTGCCAACCCGCTGTTGCAACTCTTTCACAACCTTTCATACGGTCACAAACTGCGCCTGCAAGAGTGTGCAAGGAGGGTTCCCGAAGCCGCTCCCAAAGAAAGTCCTCACAAGGTCCACCATGATCATGGACTTGCCATCCGCCCCAGGGCAGCCAAGACATGAATAACCTCCGGTTGGCCAAAGCGGCAGAGTGCCAGGGCAGTCTGCGCCAGTAGCATGGTCAGCCCATTGGTCCCTGCGAAGGAGGACAGCAGCAAGGCTGCAAGTCTTTGGCGATCATGATCAGGCGCTCGCCACGCCAGCTTGGCTGGCACATACACGTAGCATCCGCGGCGCGGATCCTTCTAGCAGGAAAAAACACGGAGACGTAAAAGTGAGACCAGTATGCAGCTGCACGTGGCTGAGCGCCGCACAGTCAAGAAAGGCAATTCCGGGCTTGCGCTTCTCTTCCATGTCGGAGTTGCTCCAACGCAAGAAGCTGCGCACCATGCTCTTGGAGTGGTCGTTCAGCTGCTTGCGCAGATCACGACAGAGTTCACTGAGACCAAGCCACCACTGCTTCGACTTCACCTCAGGCTTCGCCGCAGTCACTTCGGAGAGCTGCCACTCCAGCAGGGGATCATCGGTCTCCAGACTCTGCAGGACACGCAGCTCCCACGCCACACCCTCAAAGTCGCGGACGGTGTTGTTGCGACCAATGGCAGAATAATAAGCCTGGGCTCGGCGCAGGGCCAGGGTAAGAAACCCCAGGTCCGCTGCGTTGATGCTGCCACTGCTTGCGACTTGCCACGCGCCTTGAGCATAGGCGAAGAGAACATCGGAGTGGCTCCTATACCTTGGCGGCGACCCCGCACTATGTTAATGACAGAATGCGGGGGATTTTTGGTTTTCTGGCATGGGGAAGGGCATGGACAAGGCGCCGTTCACCCAGCAGCAACGTGAAGAGCTTGGCGGGCAGGAGCTCGGACTTGGCGTCGTCGGGGCAGGAGTCGAAGAGGAGCAGGGTGGCCAAACTTGGCATCAATCTTGTCCCGCAGTGCCCCCATTGCTTGTGCCAGACTGCGAGGCGCGGACTCATGGTCAGCCAGGATGGAAAGTCCAACCTCCAGCACGACCGGGCCCAAACGCATGAGCCATGTGTTGTGGCATCCATGCGTCGCACACAGTTGCTTGCCATCGAGCTTCGGGAGACAAAGCTGGCCCTGCCTGAGAAGGATGCACGTCGTGAGGAAGCACGGGATCTTCCAACACAGGGTGACGCACTAGCAACAAGCCGGGATCTGCTTCAGCTAGCGCTCTCTGCCGGTCATATTCGGAGTACCGAGCGTCTAGGACCGCCATTCTGAGCCCAAAAGGTTCTTCACGGCCGCAAACCAAATGAAGAGCAACGTCAACATCACATCCCAGACGACCAGAAAAGTTGCCTTGAGTGAGAGTTGCTTTGACCGAGTTCCCTTTTGATCCCTTGACTGTGTGGCCCCTTTCGCAGAGGGAAAGCAGCGTCTAAATCAGATATCAGATGACCAGAAAAATTGCCGTGAGTGAGAGCTCCTTTGACTGTGTTGTCTTTTGTTCTCTTGACTGTGTGGTCCCTTTTGCAGGTGCAAAGCAGCGTCAACATCAGATCCCAGATGACCAGAAAAGTTGCCTTGAGCGAGAGTTCCCTTGATCAACATACCTGCCTTTCTTTATGAGCTGTTCTTTGTATCTACCTATCTATGTATATTATCTTTCTACCTACCTACCTATCTACTTATCTTTCTATCTGTATACATACACTGGTTTTCTCCATCTGTCTATCTATCTAACTACCTACCTATCTATCTATCTATATCTGCATCTATCTATCTGTCTATCTATCCATCTATCTATAGTTTCATACATGTCTACGTATATCGTTTTTCTCCAGCTATTTATACATCGATCTATCTATCCGTCTATCCAATCTGGACTTTCTATTTATCTATATTTAATATCTCTATCTATAGATCTGCCTGTCTGTCTGTCTGTCTGTCTATCTATCTATCTGTATCTTTGTCTCTCTTTGCACCTATCTATCGATTGATCTACCTCTCTCCATCTATCCACCAACCGGTATCCATTTCCATCTATCTGGCTATGTCTATATCTATCCGTTCTTCCCGTCTGTATCTGCAATTATCTACCTACCTACCTCATCTATGTGTCCGTCTATCTATCCATCTATCCATCTATCTATCTATCTATCTGGCTGTCTGTCTCCTTGTCTCTCGATCTATCTATCTATCTATCTATCTATCTATCTATCTATCTATCTATCTATCTATCTAAGCTGGTCTTTTTTTTACCATTTCTATTGGTCTATCTACATCTGTTTTCTCCCTTTACGCCTATCTATCGATCGATTTATCTGTCCCTATCTATCTATTTATCTAATCCGTCTATCCATCTGCTTTTTGTCTATCTACCTATCTATTAATACATTTCTCTATGTATCTACCTACCTACCAACCTAATCTATTTATCAATATTTTTCTTTGCCTTTCTATCTCCCCATCTCTCTATCTATATGTACTATCGATCTATCCATCTATCTCTATATCCAAGCTATCGATCAATCTATCTATTCATGTATCTGTCTATAAAAACTGATCTTTTGATGTAGTCTATCTTTCTATCTGTATGTTGTTCTCCCTTTCTTGCGCTCCCTTTCTTGTCGCAGAGTCCGGAACAGTCCAACACACGCGGGGGGGATGCGAGGCCGGAAAAACTGGGTGTTGAAGCATCCACTAGCCCATTCCAGGTAGCTGTGCTGACCATGCATCCTTAATGGCAAAGGGGACCCCAAAAACGCAGCCCCAAAGATGACCTTTCAGCGACCGACAAGCCAACACACATGACATGCCAGCAAACCAAACAACCCCGCACCACACCAACAAAGAAATAAGCTAGCAAACAACCAAGCAAGCACACAGGCCGGTAAAGTAAGTAAAACAAGCAATAACCTGATTTCGCTCAAGACAATGAGTATCCAAGAAGCAACCAAACAAAACAAGAAGCATGCAACCAATGCCAACAACGCAAAACCATGCAGCGACTAACAAAGAGATATGAAGCAATAAAGCAGGCCAACCACAGAAACTCAGATCTCCAGTGGCCAATTGAAACGGCTGCTATTGTGGGGTAAGTTGCGTTTTAAAGGAGAATCCTCTCCCAAAAAAGTTCAAGGCTGACTTCCTCAGTGGACTGGCCAACACAAGCTCCCCAACTTGTTGAGTGCCACAGAAAAACAAAGTTCAGGAACTCAGGGAGTGACAGGCAACGGGAACCGGAGAGCATTAAACACCCTCAAGGAAGCCTGACGGCCATCTGAGACTGGGAGCTCCCCAATTTTTGACAAGCCCATACACCCGGGCGTGCTGTAGGGAAGCATGGTACAGCTTGCCGTTGGCGGGGTTGAACCAAGCCTTTGTGCAAACATCTTACTGTGATTTAGCCACTATTCTTCAAAGAACTCGGTAAGAGTTCCCTTGAAAGGAGTCCAAGGGTTGGGTCAGTTCCCTTGAAAGGAGTCCAAGGGTTGGGTCTTCAAGTCAGTGGCTCAAAATTGTGAACTTTTCTTTGGTTGGTCCTGAAAGGGAAGCTGAAATGGTTGGTTGGCTGCAGGGAACCCTGCAAGGAAACCAAGCCTTCAAATGATGAATTCCTTTCTAGTTGATGGATTGGATTGCAGGTTTGGTGGTTCAAATCCCCAGTCCCCACCAATCCAAACCACCAATAAATTGGTACCTGAGATATTTGAAGCAAGCCCAAACACAACAAAACCTTCTTCAAAGGGTGTCTCAAACCCACTCAGTGATTGAAGGGGAAAAACAACAACAAACAAGCCCTTCTTCAAAACCGGAAAACAAAAAAACAAAAGCAACACAAACACAGAAGCCCTTTTGGCAGCCAAAGGAAGCCGGTCGGCGGTGTTGGATCACTGGCCACATTATTTTACCATATTCTTTATTTGTTTTTTTTTTTTTTTTACCATGATCAAAGTCACCCCCCTAAGTGGTGGGGTAAAGGAAAACAACCCCATTTTCTGACTTTAACCCCCAGAAACCGTCCAAATAATGACACCAGGATCAATGAACACGGCTGTGGATCGAGCGAGCCGAGGCGCTGAACGGTGCTGGCGGAGTCACACTCCTGCAGCCCGGCGCTGTCTGGCTTCAACGTGTACCTGGCGCGCCGAGAATCCTTCGCTGGAGAAAAAGCTGGCACTCCAATGACCTCTGTCCAAATGGCCCGAGGCTCGTGTTGTGAAGGTTCGAACTTATTTGGGTAAGCCCCGCAAAATGGAATTGAGCAGAAGGAGCCCCCGGCTGTTAATCCCGTTTTGGGCTAAGGGCTAAATAATAACTAGCAATACTCTACCCAGGTGCAAACCTCGTACTTCCCAAAATCTCGGTTTCTGCTTCCCTGCTAAAAGTTTACCTTTTTGTGGTTTAATGGAAAACCCATGTTGCACCTTGCTAAAGGCGTCTGGCGCTGTGGAACTAATGAATGTACAGGCTTTGCACCGCCATCCTAATCAAGCCCCTGAAGGGGTCCGTCGATTCGGCACCAAGTGCATGCTGACAACTTAGACCGTTGGCGGGGTGTGTTTGTTGCTTTGCTTCGTCGGCTTTGTTCTCAGTGCGGCATGCGGGCCCATCATACGGCCGTGTGTCTTGTTTGTTTTTGCCGCTCTCTGGCTATGCCCTGTCTTTGCTTCGGTCTCACTGCCTCGTTGCCATGATGGCAATGGACAGAATCTACGGACAGATTCCCATTCAGTCCCGCTGGTTTGAATAAGCTTGGTTAGTTTTTTGGCTGCCCGCTAAACCCATTAGTTGGCAAAAAGTTGAAGTCCCAACATCCAAGCAGAATGCAACAAAGAAATGGTGGAAGCTTTGCAACCTTCGTCTTTGAACTGTAGCGGTTTCCGGGGGACAAGGGTGCCCTTGTGTCATGGACACCTTGACCATCGTGCTAGGAATCGGCAAAGAGGGCAGCCTAGAGACCAACCGAACAAAAGCGTCCCCTAAAATGGATGGCTTTCCTGGGCCCTTCTCTCAGACTCCATTGCGAACACAGGGGTTCACCAAAAAGTGGATGAGAAAGGGCGCATAAAGATGGTGGGCCTTCGTCTTCGGGATAACCATGAATGTGATCTGTTCCCCTTAATTCTGGCTAGGGGTGGTCACCAACCCGTAAAGCCGCACTGACAATCACACGTTCAGGCGTGCGAAGCCCTGTTCACGCAAGTGATCCAAAGGACTGCATGCAGAATTAAGACACGGCATCCCCAAAAAGAGAACCATGGCCGCGAGCTGACTACGTCCCCATTCCGAATGGGCGTGTCATTCTTGTTTAGGGCCACTTATTTGCGTCTTCAAAGGAAACCAACTGGCAAACCCACCATTTCGGGGGTAACACTTCAGCTGAAATCTTAAACGTTGCCTGAAAATTGCAGAAGCGCCGCAACCACAAACAAGCACAAGCGCACTCGCAAACGCACACGCGTTTGCGCCAGCGCATGCCCAACTTAGCGAGTAGCCGAGCGAGCCCGCGGGCGCGCCCCGCCCGCCCACACACAGCGAGAGATGTTTGGGGGGTCCCGGGCCTAAGATTGTCGATGATGCCGTCACTCTTCCAGGAGTTCTGATTGAAGGCGTTCCTGCGGGAGAGCCAAGCTGCTTCGGGGGTTCGGAGCCTGGTGGAAAGCAAAGTAAAGCAATGGCTCCGCAGCGTCGAGATTAGAGATTCAAGGGTTACCGGTTTGGGGCCCAAAAGGAAACAACAAACCGTCCAAGTGCGCTGCCCGCAACCAATGCAGAGTCGAAACCAGTGGGGGTTTGGAACCTGACGAAACCAATGCAGAGTCGAGATTCCACCAGTACAAGTTGTAGGAGACGATCATCGCTTTCAAGTTCCCTTCCCCCACGGCGAAGGTGGTGGTGGTGGTGGTGAGGCCGCAGTCGATGCGGAAGTAGGTCTCACAGCTGCCCTTGACGGCGCTGGGCTCTGATCCAGTGAAGCTGCGATCTTTCAGGAAGCACTTGCCCCACTGAGGACCTCGCGAGCCGTAACCGAGCGACAAAGATACTCCCACTGCTGAGAGCAAACGTGTTGAAAAACATGGATGGCGCCGTAAACACTTTGTCAACCACCATAAACCTAGGAATAAACACCTTTCCCAGCATGATCTTTCAGAGGCCAAAGATGGTACCCAACGTTCACCCAGTGAACATAGTCTTACCCAAGTCTTGTAAATGAGGTCTGTGCACTTCCATGTTGGCTGGCGGTGAGGTGAACCCGCCCTCTTTGCATTGGGTGAACATGCCTGCGGCATGGTAGCGAAAGAGTAGGGCACATCCCGATAGCTGGCAGTTTGATACCTTTCTTTGCCTGCTGCCCGCTTTGCCCCATATCTCCGGCAGTAGTTTGGACCCTAGCATTTAAGCATTTACTCGATGGTCTCGGGACACAATGGCCGTCCATATCCGACTGTGGATGGCGCCCATGTTGCCTTGCTAGCTCTTCCGACATGGTTCCACTATATTCCCTTGCAGGGCAGTCTAGTTGGTTGGAACTCTGTGCTCCAATCGTGTGCTAGGCCCTTTCTCGCGAGGCTCCGCTGAATGGACATGTTTCACAAGTTGGCCTTTAGCTACAGGACGAACAAATGCCAGGAAATTGACTGCTGTGTATGCTTTTGGGATGTGTGAAACCCTATGAACGGGGCAAACCACCCATCAACTGGTGCATTGTGCCAGAACCTGCCATCCAAGGGAAGATGATATCTGGAAGGCAACTCTCAGTTCGGCTGTGAATTACTGGAAGGTCACTTCAAGGAGCCTCGGAACCCGGGATTCATAGCATCCTGAAGCGCAACCAATTCACGGAATGTGCCTGCTTCAAACCAGGCGTAGGGCAAATGGAATAGCCAAAAATAAATCCTGCGCCAGGTGCCAGGTCACCCGCCTGAAATGAGAACTCCCAGTTTCCGGAAACCGGGCGTCCTCATGCACCCCCCGGCAAGGGCAACCCGGTTCAGCCGCGCCGCAGAAGGAGAAGGAGTTGCAGCCTGCCTGCGAGGTACGACTGGGATAGAAAGGGGAAACCTTAACAAAAGCAAAGAAGGCCGGAATTCACTGGGCAACCGGGATGAACAAATCCTAATGCTGCAGGATTGTATGGGATCTTATGGGAACCGTCTTGCACATATGGCTTCGGGATGGACTGCTATTTGAACACAAGCAGCTCAGCCTCCCTCTGGGGAGCTTGGATTGGGGGGGGGGGTGTTGGCCAGCGTGGTGCAATCCCTTCCCAACTGCACCAAAAAGGTAACGAGGTCGCATTTCAAGAAAAGAGCAGTGGTTTTTGTGACTCTTGGATGGCAAGAAGTGGCATCCGAGAGATAACCGAGCTGCAAGTAGGCCATGGCTACCTGTCTGTGTCTGCGCAGGGCCTTGGCTGGTTCGCTTGCTTTGCTTGGCTCCGTTCCAGCTTTGCCTGTGCGCTTGCTTCAATGTTTCTGCTCCAAGCCTTTCGTTTGTGCCATAGCTCGTAGGTACAATGTCAAGTGACATCCTCAATTTTGCCTTCCAGGTCTGGTCTAAAGGCCCCAAGTAACAGTGCGAAAGCCCCAAAACGCCCTGCAACTCTAAGACCCTAAGGTGGGCCGCGCCTTGGCGTCGCAGGCGCTCTGGCACTTCCCGGGGCTGATGTCGCTGCTCACTGCGCCCAGGCCATTTCCCTCGGAAGTGGCCAAAGCTCCCAGGGAGCTCCAGCACAAAGTGCCTCAGAGCAGACTTTGGATGATGGGGTGGCGAGGGTTTGGGGCCCCTTTTGCTTCGGAAGCAACAGGAAAACCAAGCATTTTGCTTAAAGGGGAAGCAATCAGAAAGCCAAGTTTTCAGGCTCCTTTGCTTCTTCAGGGCTAGTGGACTCGGGTCTGGGTAGAGGTGAAACCTTAGTGCAACATCCCACAAAGAGGAGTCCTAGATCTTGGATAGTTCAAGATCTACCATGTCTAAACATTCAGCTCCATTGCTATCCATTTAAACCTTAATGCCCACCTTTACGGGCTCAATCTCTCTACATGCTCGAAAGTTGAGTAGACATTGGTCGAAAGCTGGGCTTTCGGATGAGATTGCCAAGTGGACCCCAGGCTAGCCACAAGACTAGGTAACCAGCCATTTTCCTTTGGGCTTGAAGGGTTGGTTCTCTTGGTCTCAGGCAAATGGATCAGGGCAAATATGTTCCAAGGTGAATGAAACTGTACAATGCTGTCCTGCTTCGACAACCCCTGAACCCCCTCCAATCCGATTTGTCCGGTGGTTCTGCACGGCCCTAGGCCATAAGCAAGACCTGGACTAATTGATCCTAAACTCAGCTTTAGCTCTAGCAAATCGACCACCTCAATCTTAAACCATACCTTCAGCCAATCCTAGACCCATCAAACCTGCCCCTGGGCGACAGAGGCTCCGCTTTTGGCGCTGCAAATGATGCTCAGCCAAGCAGTGCATGAAAGGTGCATTCCCAAAGGACCCTTCTCGTTGTATAAGTACATGTCTACGTTTGCACAAAAAATACGGACCAAATTTCAATCATGTCAGCTGCAGTTGAGGGCAAGAGCCGATGTAATTTGAGGATGCTTGTTTGGTTCCCGGTTCAAAGCCACCAACGGCGGCCCCCTTGCCTAACACATTCCTAGTACTCCCTGACACTCCTGACGCATTGCCCTAAAGTTACAACCGCAGTTGAAAAGGAGCCCGCAAAAAGAATTGCCTGCTCTGGCAAGCTCGCTTCAACCGTCCCAGCTACATGTTGAAAGCAAGGTTGTTGGTAGCTGGCATCAAGAAATGTCCGAAACAGGGAGACAATAAGAAGCAGCTCTTGGATCCAGGCTACCTGACTCAGCCGTGGTGGTTGTGGCGGCGAGTGTTGTCGTCTTGGTTGTGGTGGTGGTTGCAGTAACGGTGGTTGTCGCAGTCGTTGAATCCCCGCAGCTGGTCTTGAAGTAGCTCCTAGCCGCGCATGCCCCGGCACGAGCTAAGGCTAGGAATCAAGGAGTCGCCGCCGACCAAGGCCGTTGGTTTCTTGTGGGGCGGATACGCTTGGTTTTTTACTGGTTGCGGTTGCTTTGTTGTGGGTAATATTTGTTTTATTTCTTTTGTTGGTTATAACTTATAGCCAATAAGAACTCAAAACTTATAACAAATAATAAAGCAAACACAACTAATAAGTTTGACTTGTGATTGGGTTTCCTTGCGAGCACGGCCAGAAAGAAGCTCCATGTTTTTGGACAAGCTCCTGTTCCCCTCATATTCGCTTTGAGGTTTAGTGAAATCCCCAAGCAGCCGCATCACCTCGCCCAAAGGCGCTCGGTGCATCCGTGACCCACAATGGGAATCGGAAGTATAGAAGGTTACCAAATGGAGTTCGAAGCACCATTGATTTTCAGTGAAGCCATCACATAGTACGATGGTATTGCTGAGCTATTTTGCGGGTGTTCTCTCCCCAGGGTTTGGAACCAGTCATTCCCTCAGTGCCATCCGCTTTTACCCTCCAACATTTTTGTCAGGTGCTCCAGAACCCGACAGGGTCGAAATGCCACAGAAAAGCCAAAGGGCCCCAAAGGACCCCAACAAAAAACCGAGAAAAACCCGCAGAACCAACAGGATCCAACAAAAATGGGCTGGTTGGAAACCAAAGAAACCAAACCCATCTACCCTCTTCGATTCGGAATGATCGCTCCTGCACTTGCCCTTGGTGACAGTGGGCTCTGACCCGGTCAGCACCCGTTCTTTCAAGAAGCAGCCGTTCCACTGCGGGCCTCCCACAGGCGCTCGATTTGATTTATTTGTTCATGCGGGGGCGGGGGCAGCCCAAGGGTCCATCAGTTCAGCTTTCCTCTAGTCACGCTAGATGTGTTTTCTCTTTTTGCTGGGGGGGGCAACCCTCCTGGTGGCTTGGAATTATGTTAGATTGGTAGCTTAGGGGTTAGGGACTGAAACCCGTAGCCCAAGGATCGCCAGTGGTCAGGTAACCCTTTTCTATTCCCCATTCTCTTCAACCATAGTTCTTTTCAAAAACCAGGTGTTTCCCCTGGGTTTTTGATGGCTTCCTGGAAAGAGGGATCCCTGGAAAGAATGGGGAAGGTACCAGTAGAGATTTGATGTTTTGAGTTGAAGGAAACTGGGGATTTCAACCCCCGGGTCTTGCTGAGGGTAAACTTCTAAACCACCAAATCTCTACTGGTACTTTCCCATTCTTTCCAGGGATCCTTTTTCCAGGAAACCATTTTTGAAAAGAACGATGGTTTAAAATAATGGGAATCACCCCCTAGAAAACCAAACTGGCGTTGGTTGGGGGAAGCTGAAATGGTTGGCCCTCCTGTGCCAAGCAAAAGGGGCTTCACCAGCGCTTCCCAGGACTCATTTTCGTTGCGCCAGCCAAAGGTAATCGCACCGCTCGCCTCCAGACTGGATTTGCAGTCTAAACTTTGTCACTAAACGGTCTTCCCCAAAAGCATGCAGTCCAGACACGGGAGTGAGACCAGCTGAGTCAGAGAATGGTTGTTGCATGTGGTTGTTGCACGTTCGTTGTCCAAGAATAGTACCTGTAATATGAGGGCCGAAGTACTTGGATTTAGGTGGGCTCCCGGCTGAACATGATCAATCCCAAAGCTCGGTTGCTTTCTGCTCCCCTGCTAAAAGTTTGACTTTTAGTGGTTTAATGGAACGCCCATTAGTTGGCAAAAAGTTAAAGTCCTAACATCCAAGCAAGATGCAACAAAGAGAAGAGGGTTCCCTTTTCCTGCCAGCGTAACTCGGGCAGGCTTGGAGCTTTTGGTTGTGGGGTAGGTTGAAACGAAAATGTCATGATCACAAGAGCATCATGACAAAAAGGACACTAATTCGCCACGCATATTGGCTGTTCGGCCAAGTAAGTCAGTGGCAGAAAAACCGGCAACGTCAACTCCTGTCAGGAGAAAGTGGATTGCCTAGCTTGGCCGGCCGCCAAGTGCATGGTTTCACAGGGTTCTATAGTTTGATCACTCCAAGATAGACTGACACCCAAGGGGCTGCCCTCAAAAGGGATGGGCTCCTTGGTGTAACTACACCTTGGAAAAGAAACAAGTTGAAGCCTGATATTCCTGCCGGGAAATCATGACCAAGTCCGGTGCCTCCGAACACCCCACCGAAAGTGAGGCCTTTTGTGGCCCAAAGTGATATGCAAAGGGGACAAATAGGTTGGTCTCAAAAATATGGAACTAGTGGGACCCCAACAAACTTTTAAATAACTTGCTTTTAAACCAAAAATGGCTTCTTTTTGAATAGCTTCCTTCCAAAATAACTAGGGCTTAGTAGGGAACTCGTGGGAACAAAGGTGGTTCTGTTGGCTTGCTTTTGAACCAAGGTACATTGTCACTGTCGGCGAAAAAGCAGCAGCTGAATCGCCAATTACTCCAACTAACTCTTGTGCAAAGGAGGCTGCCCAGTTCCATGAAGATCACTTGTCTAGGACAACTTGTGTTGTTTCTTGCAGGGTTCCTATTTCCTGCCAGTTGGGGTGAACGTGGCAACATGCCTTGGGGCAACCTCCGCTTTCCTGAACTTACATGAGACCCAAGCAGAGGGACGGGTCGCAAGAGCACCGGTCGCTGTGCCCGAATCAACTCTTGCTTGGAAGGGGAAGCTTGTGGCGAATTCGACTTGCAATGAAAACATCAAGCGTATAACCTTCAATTCCTGAGTGGATTGGCCCCACAAAAATCCAACTTTGTCTTAGCGGATTGGCCAAACAGATGCAAGTCCGACACTTTTCCTTCGCAACATCATCTCTTCGAACAATCATAAGGTTCGGAAACTCAGGGAGTGGTTTCAGTGGTGAGCTAGGTCCAGATTTGTCCGTCCGGTGCGCTGGGGGCCCAGCAAAACGAGAAAGACTTGCAGTTGGCCTTGCCGTCGCACTCCTCGCACAGGCGAAAGGGAGACGTGGGCATATGTTAAAGTAGGGTCAACCGCCCCATGGTTGGTTGGTGTCCTGGGGCTCCAAAACCGCTTGCTTTGAGACCCCTAAGCTAACACGGGTTACGGGGACCTTCTCGGGTTCTGCAAACCAAGCCCCAGGACCCTTAGGGTAACGCAAAGCAAACAGGTGACCCCACAAATAAACACACTCACGCGGAGGAGATCGCCCCCATGCATCATTCCAACCGACCCCAAAGCCGGGCACCCGCAAACAATCACCCACAGCCTCTGGACTGATGGATTGCCAATGGCTGAGCCGAACTAACGTTTGAGCCACGCTCCCTTCGGACATAAACGAGGTACTCCCTTTATTGAAGTAGGAAAACCACCATTTTGGGATGCCAACGTTTACATTTCATGGCTGGTTGTCAAATGTTGGCTCCCAGTTTTGTAGCGTAAATCGCCATTCCATGGGGGCCCGTATCATTCGGGCCATATGAACACGTAACCATTGCGGCACACTAGATTTGACCAAGAAACAGACAAAGAACCGACAAGCGCACTAGCGCGGGCCTAATCTTAGCTGCTGTCGGCTGAGCTATCCGAGCTTGCAGAGCTGCTGCTATAGGATGTTTTAACAAGAAATCCCAGTTCTACACCCGCATCTTCAGCAAGTAACAAAACGGAACTGGCTCAAAGGCTGCCCGATGACTTGTCTGAAATACAAACTGGGGAACCGAGGCCAAACCTTTCCACGGATCCGATGGATTCTCCGTGAGGAAATGGAACGAACAGGAGAAGACCACCACAGCATTCCTCAATTTGCAATAGTGATAGGTTTCTTCTAAAACCAACAGGTTTCTTCTAAACAAATTAAGCAAATGGAAGCATTGGTGATCACCATGTCGCCACTTTCCGACGTCACACGCCGCTAGATCCAAAACGGGGCGCCGCATCAACCCGCCTTGCACGGCATGTCAGTTGGTCGTCTTCATGCAGCTCTTGAACGGAATCAGCGGAAATCAAAACCCGGAGCACTTTCCTTAAAAGCCGATCACGAAATCATCCAAAGCTCCATGTTTCTTTGAGTTCCTTGGTCTGGCGCTCCCTTGCAGGATTTGCTCGTTTTCTCCCTCTCAGATGGAACTTGGCGTTCACCACGTGAAGCGCGGAAGGGTTCGGTCCCCCTGTTCGTTGTGGGGAAAGGTTGAAACATGAATTGCCATTCGTTGGTCCACTTTATGTCTCTTGCATTCTAACTCCACCGGATGTGTCGAACTCCTGTGGTTGTCACGGCTCCCTTACCAAGAATCTGGGCATGGGCGTGAACAAAAACCCATCAAGGCGTCCGTGCCCAACATCTCTGGCTGTTCCCTTCAAGGCTCCTTACCAACAATCCGCAGTTTGTCTCGAGAAAATGATGGGCAATCAGCCCCTAGAACAAGCCAAACCCGCAAAAGGAAAAGTGTCACAGGCAAAAGCCTACGGTCTCAACCCAAAACCCCCTTGCTTTGCAACACACATCTATTCAAGGGGTTGATTCCTCATTCTTCTCAACTATCGTTCTTTCCAAACACCGGATCTGTTTTCCCTGGTTTTCGCAGGTTTTCTAGAAAGATTCGGATCCCTGGAAAGAATCAAGAAATGAAAGGTACCGTAAGATCTATGGGCTCAACAGTCAAGAGGTCTCAACCCCAACAGGTCTGTCGCGGCTTCTCCTTTTGGCATTCCGCCAGCGAGTTCGTGCTCACCTTCCCCGCGTGGGTCCCTTCGCTGGCCGCCAGGGCCGGCAGGCTGCCGTAGCAGTTCTCCTGAGCCAAAGCCCACCACCGATGGGCAGCGACGTTTACCAAGCCACAACGGCACACACGGTGACGTTTATCTAAGGGTCTTGGTATTACATCCTGGGAATACACCCTGAAAATTGACCCCATTTAGGCATGTCCGGAGAAAGCCCGGTGTTGCATCATTCTGGGTCATTTCCCAAGGGTCTAAGCCCAGGGTGTAATACAAAAACCCTCAGCGTTTAAAGCCACAAACAATATGAAGATATAGGGAATGCCATGTGTTTTCCAACCTAAGCTGGGTTGTTCAACATAAGTGGAACATGGAACCCACCAGAAGGTCCCGTCTAAAGGAAAATGGTCTTCCAGGACCTCTCAGGCAGGTTCCATGTTCGTGGACAGGAGGGTGCCCCTTTTTGACCACACAGTTGCTGCAAATTCATGGCTCTCGGGTGGGCTCGAAGCAGCCCACTCTCAGATGTATAGCTTGTGATGGATTCTCCATGGAACATCTTTTGCCTGTACATGTCCGGCATTTGCATATTCATCCATATTCCATTGACCCCCCAACATCAGTGGCTGAGTGGAAACCAATCGACTCGTCGATCCTCTGCGGTGCTGAGCTTGCAAGTGCACAGCATGTCGGAGGTGCCCAGAATCTCCTGACTTCGCTTCGGGACGCACGCGGAGAATGAACGTTGGGCCCTGTCCACTTCGTGTCGAGGGCAGTTTGCTGAAACTATGGGGGCTGCGGGGAGGGAGCCCAAATAAGCCCTAAACAAGGCCTCAATAAGGGCTAAGTAAGGGTTTTTGTGAACCTCCCTCCCCCTCCCCTCCCTCCTCCCCAGCCCCCATGATGAAAGAAACCAGGCCAAGCACCTGGAGCGAATGGTTCTGAGCATGACATCCTTGCAAACACCGGCTGGGCGTAGGCTGGAAACCCCTTCGTCCCACAGACGGGAAGCACAAGGGGAGGAACAATCAGTTACCACAATTGCGCCAAAAAAAAAGTCCGATACCCTATCAATAGGTGCAGTTAGCACTGGGAGAGCCCCTGTTCCGAAAGAGGGCGGGACCCCGCAAGGGCTACCAGGCAGGGTCCGAGTACACATGGCCACCATGCGCCCCCAAGCAATCCAAAATGCCGGGGGGCCCAGCTTGGGAGAATCTTCGGGGTACGCCTCTCCACATTCGTTTGGTTCAGCAAACGCATGTGCCAGGGATAGTCGCTTCACCAACCATGTTTCGAAAGACCTGCTGGTTAACATCTTAGGGACTGACATGTTCAAACTTGATTTTGCCTCCAGGCTTGCAAGTGTCTCGTTTGAACTATAGTCAGAGAATGAAGGCAGCTTGGGTCAAAAACCGGGCTGCAGTCTCACTCATGAACGCGAATGCCTTGAGCTAAAGCCAGTGATTTACCACAGCAACTACTTGCGGAAGGTCAGGATTCCTACGCGCTTGGTTGAAAACGGGTGTCCCCATGTTCTCACGGAACACCTTCCATAATTCGAGGCCCTGATCCAGCAGCTCGGATTCATCCAGCAGCTCCCCGTGGAGCTTAGCCACTGCTTCCGCCCTGCCCCCGCACCCGCCAGACCCGGCGCCTCGTCGCAGGCCTTGTCCTCCAAGACCTCGCAGTTGTCCGCCACCTCCTCGGCCGCCGCCACGCAGACGTGGCCGAAGCTTTCGCCTCGGGGCAACGGATGGCAGGCACGACACACGCCAAACGGGTGCGCCAAAGCAACAAATAAAATACTTAAGACATACAGAAAAAAAGAGGAACAAAAAGAAAAAACATGAGCAGTTCAAAATGTCAACACAAAAACACATACACGCATAAGCACACAACACACAAACACCAGTAACACACAACATCGGAACCGCAATGGCCTACATGTCCAACTTGGGAGGCTGGAGACGCGGGGTTCGCCTCACTGCCTAAGGTGTGCCTGAGCGGCTCGAGTGATACATCCAGCAAGCACCTGCTTTGGGATAGTCTACATCAGGTCCAAATACATCCTTTGAAAGGACCCTGCCCTATGAAGCTAGATGAACTAAGGATTGACCGGTTACGTCTGCGAGCGCGCCAAGCTGCAGTACCGGTCGCAGCGGTTGTAGCTGGTCGTCTGCACCAAAGCTCGGCCTGGGCAACGGTTGTGAAGAACAAAACATCCGAGTACTCCCCCCAGTGGATCCACTTACCTGTATAGTCTGTATAGCAAGTAACCAAGGGCTTGCCACCGTTTCAAAACCCAAAGGACAATTAGCCGATTCCCTACTATATGGGTAACTGGGATCCAACTCGGCCACGGAAACTGCACCTCATCTGTTTGGTGGCGAGCCCCCAAATGGGTGCTTTTCTTTCCGTCCCTGCAAAACCACCCCAAAAAAAAGTGTTCCTCAGATTGTTGGTTTCTTCTCTCGAAAAATGACACACCTATTTTTGATGCCCCCTCTTTCCTCACTTCCTAAGTGGATTGGCCAGAAAAAGTAACCAAACTTTTTGTATATACCGCTAACATGGTCCAAACCCAAAAAGTGGCCTTAGGTCCGAGTCACGGTACTCAGAAAGTCAAACCGAAGGGTCTCTTGTTAAAGACCCAAGCGCCTGGTGACCCGGGTGTAACCCAAGGCACATCCACCGCAGGTGACGCCATCCACTTGCGGCCAGTCCCCAAAGGGTGAGCAGCTGCGGACGCCTTGGGCGCCGGAGCTTGACGGGCACGCCCTATTTTTCACCCACGACCTCGATCTTGATTTGTTCTTTGGAGTGGGAACTGGATTTGGAATTGAACCCTCACTTCCATTTGCTGAAACATGTTTTTGATATCCCGTTGGTTTTGAAGGGAATCTATCTCTGTTGGAAATATATTCTCATTTTTCCAGGGGGCGTAAGCAAATGGAGGCTCAGTATTGGATTGTGATTTGAACCCTGGTTCTTGTTGAGAGGCAAATGCGAAACCATCTTGCAGATTCGGGGAGGAAAAAGAGGCAGGGGTCACTGGATTTCCCCTAAGGTTGATCAATTAGCTGGGCGGTTCAACATGTGGGATGCCTATCCCGCGAATCCGTAGGGGAAATTATAGCATAATGATTAAGCATTGGAGTTGAACAACCCAGAACAACAACCAGGCAAAGACAACGGCACAGCCCAAATTAAAGGGTATCTAAAAATATGTGCAAAAAGCAACATGAGCCCTCCACAACACAACCGCCTACAGGACATGAAGGATTCAGACACAACTGAAACAAATAATGATGACCCATCTTCCCCCGCCCAAAAAACAAAACACACACACTCAACCACATGGCCCCTACAATCTTGGGTGCTGTAGATCCCCCAGCAAAAAGTTTTTTTTTTTTTTTTACTGTTTGCTACTTAGAAGGAAATATGAGGGACAATCATATCTAAAACCCGTACGAAGATCCAGGAAGATCCATGAGCCGTTTCGAAGGTTCTGGCATCCACCGATCCACGAGAAACTCGCGACGAACCATTTCTCCAACCCCGCCGTTTCATCTGTCGGGGCCGTTTCATGTGTCGGGGCTCTCAGAAAGGGATGAGAGGAGTGGGAAGCTTGGAAAAAAACCAAGCAAAATGAAACGCAAAGCCATGCAGAAACCAAAACCCTCCCAGCAATGGAGGGGGGAACCCAAGCTTAGTGAAACGCAAGGACGGGCAGAAACCAAAACGACATGGAGGACGTTCCGGCCGTTGGGAACATTTTCCCTTTGCCTCTTCAACGGACCCTTGTCTGGTTCCATGGGAGTTGCTCCCTTTGAAAGTTCAGGGACAATTCCCATCTCAGGATCCCTGAGTCAGGTCGTTGTATAATTCTCCGCTGCCTCAGCTTTTTCCCCCTGAAAGTGATATGGCCCATTAGCGAGCCTGAGCATAGTAAATCACATGAAAAGAGGTCACCCCTCCCGCCCGTAGAAACCGCCCAAATCTCCCGCCATTCAGCCCAAGTCTCGGGATCCAAATTGCCTCGGCCAGTCCAAAGCCACCGCAAAATCCGAACGACTGAAAGTGGGTCTCTCTCACCGTGCGGTTCCGCCCAATTCCTTCGGGCCCGTTGGTTGATACTCAGAAATGGGACGCCAGGAATGCAAACCGCCAGAACAGAGCGCAACCACCAAGCACACGCCAGGACTCCTTGAAGATTCTTCTTCCTAGAATGGATGCCCCGCAGAAAAGATCAGACATGCCACATAATGTGTGCAGGAGGTGAAGGCTCGAAGCTGAAGAATCGGATGACCTCTGGACAATCTGTTGGAACCAGATGGTATGAGTTTTGGCCAATGCGTATGGGCCTTGTGCTAAAAGGTATAGAACGCTCAGGCTGCCTTTTGTCCCCCCCCCCCCCGACGAAACTCATGGCACTCCTTCCAAGTATGTCGGCTCAGCAGCAAAGAAACCTTGGTTAAAGCGATTCAAAAAACTTGAAAGCCTGAAACAAAGGCGCAAACAAAAACGGGGAAGTCCTATCCAAGGTCCAACGTTCCATTTGGACGTGAAATGGGAACTCGAATTTGCCCGTGATTTCCTGGCTGTGCTCAGATCACCCTAAAAGTTTCACTGGGTGAAATATGTGAAAACCCAACCACCAAACCCACTGAAAGGCCACAAATCGGCTAAGAACCGGTGAACCACCCCGCCGAAGCGCAGGAAGTTAGAGCCACTGTTCGACTGACAGGAAGTTGGGCTCGAACTCGTGCACGCCTCTCCTCAGGCGAGTTGCATTGGTTCAGCTTCCCTCGACCTTTGCTGTGGCGCCTGGGTTGGGGGGCATAGTTGCCCGTGCGCCCTCTACGCAAGCTAGGAGTTCAAACCTCCAAAACACCAACCCAAAACGCAATGATAAAAACAAAACACATCTCGCTGGATCAGACGGACCAGATGAGAACGGCAAACACGCAAGAAGCTGGGCAAACTGGAAGGAGGCGACGAAGCACAATGCATGGCACAGCGCAGTTTCGATGCGGAGGAACATTCACCAGCCTTAGCACCCACGATGGCTTCGACTTTGATGGCTGACAATCAATGAGTGACTCGCATTGGACGGGACTGTTGTAGTACCCTTCCAAAAGGTGCGTCCAACCCGTACCAACGCATTCAAATCCTACTATGGACATCCGGCATAGCGAAAAGCTGACAACAAGTGACCAGGGGAGGCCTGCAAGGGGTCCTCAGTTGTCCCCCTGAAGCATCATGATGATCAACAGGTCCTAAATGGACGTTCTTTTTGAGGGGCTTTGAAATGAACAATGCGGGGTTTCCTTTCGGTTCCTCATAGCATCTCCCACGTACACCATCAACAGGGACCCATATACCCTTCCACCAGCAAACATGGAAGTGCACAAACCCTCTATGAAAAAAGCCTTTATTTTTGGACACGGGTTCTCTGGACTTCCATGTCGCTCAGGCCCCCAGACAGGTTCGGCAAGGGCTGAGTCCCAAACCCCTGCGAAAAAGTGTCGTGGGTTTTAGGGCAAACCGGCAAACCCCTCTAAACCAATCAAACAACACTAAAACCCATCTATAAACCTAGTGGACGGCCGGGGGGCCCTGCTCAGGTGACTGCTGCCCAGATACCCTGGGCGCTTACCACTAGGACGACGTACCACATGCACCTCATGGCGCCGCTCTTTTCGCAAGCGCCGCGAGTTGAATTCGATGAGCCGAAGGCTGCGTCGTCCGCGATGGAAAAACCCGCCGAAAGTCCTAATTTCACCGTTCAAACACAGTCGAACTCCCCCCTCCTGCAGGGGACTAAGAGTTGAATCTGGACAACTTCGCATTCATCCGGACCGTTCATGAAAAGGCTCCGGGAGGTGTTTGGGTGGGGAAGGGCTAAGGCTCCTTGTGCTGCTATGTGTTACTAGCGGATTTTTTTTACCCAACACGGTCCATGATAAAAACAACTATCCCAGAGCGGTGCAAATTCCCCGTTGTCCCCAGAAGGTGGAACACAAGGTGGGGCGGGGTGTAGATTCCAAGGCCATGCAGCATCCCATGGCTCGCTGGCAGCTTTTTGCGGCTGGCAGATGGATGGCTCAATGAGTAAGGCAGACGCAAGGCCACAAAAGCCGCAGCCTTTTGTGCCCTTCCGACTGACCTTCCTAGGCACCCGCATTCCGGAAAATGCAGGTGAAAAGGAACAAGAGAATAGAGCCCGTCTGCAGCCCCAATCCGAGGAAGTCTCGGCAAAGCAACAATCCGTCTTCGAAGTGTTGCCTTCATGTAGTAAAACAACAAATCCATCAATTATTTGGGCGTGAAGATGCATCCTGATGAGCGCCAAGCAATGCAGAATGACTAGTATGATTTCGGGTCGAGTTATTGTTCATTTCCGGTCAGCTGACTTCCTCGCAAGCTGCGTGTGTTGTGGGGGGCCCTATTCAGCAGGAGCCAATTCCATCATTCACTCAGCACGGCTAGGGGAACTTCAAATCAAATCGTTGACTCCAGCCGCTCACGGCATGCAGGACGCCACCTATGCGTGAAATTCAAGTTGAGAAAAGGCTTCTCTATAAAACTACCTGCACTATGGGACTATGGGCGGCTGCGCCAACTCCCAACATGAGATTGCGATCATTTGCCCAAATACATCACACCTGCTGCGAAGAAAGACAAAAACTGGCCTGACCCATCGCAAACTCGGTGGAGCGCCTGGCTTGGGGAGTCCCTCTGAGAAGCCAAAGCCGAAGCGGCTTCCCCGAGTCTAATTTCTAAAGCCCAGAGGGGGGCTCGGCAGCTTAAGGCGCGCGTTTTCGAGAAGCGCGCAGCCTCAGAAACGCGCAGCCTCCAAAACTCCGAGTGCCGAATTGGCACTCAATTCACGTGCCACGGGCGCCGCAGTCTGCGAGTGCTATGGCCAAGCCGCTCCTGCACCATTGAGCCGCGCGGCCAAACCTGTCGCCTAGCTGGAGAGAGCACCACAGCTGACAACATTTCCTGACGAACCTTTGCTGGATGGCTGTGGGTCATGGATTAACAGGCGAGGATGCGATTGCCAAAAACGAAGATGGACAAGGCTTCTAATAGTCAGCTTGCCTAAACAGCTGCTAAGACCGGGCTTGCAGCGTTCAAAGCGTCCAGTGGAGATTCAAGGGGGGTACCTCAAAGCCCCATCTGGCCAAACAAGGGCACCATTCGCTCCAGTGTGCAGGCAATGTCTCTGCGTTTGGAGGGAACGGTCGTTCCTTGTCGGTGATGCTAGGTGTATGAACCTACAGACCACCACCCGGCTCCAATGGACAGCTATTTGCGCATTTGTGCACGGCACAGGTTCGAAGCGCAAGGCGCCTCCGCCAGCTGGCCCGCCGCAACCATTGCCCCACCCATGCATCCTTTATGAGCGGGCCGAAAGGTGAAAGAACGTACATACATGATTCCATTCAGGATTGTGTAGAACTAAATGGGAACAACACACACACACGCACACATGCAAGTGTAGCAATGGTCTGTGCGCAGTGCAGCTTCCGGAAACGGAATGCAGAAGACAAGATGTAGCAAAGGTTTTGACCTTGACACATGCCTCCTTCATACATTACATTCGCCCCCGCAGCCACAAAACAAACATACCTCACTCTTGCCTCCAGGCAATTGCCTGAAACATCTTCTGCATTTCGATGTGCTTTGTACATCGGAGCGGCAGCGGCTCATTCAAGCTGGGACCTCGGAATTTGGCTCCGCAACAAAACCTGCAAGAAATCCGCACACTTTTTACACAACTAGCAATGCAAACTCAGCAGGCACCCAGAAAAACAAAAGGCGGGCTGAAAATACCAGAAATGCCCACCAACGTACTGGCTCTCGCCCTCCAAGTCTTTCACAAGGGGTCTGCGCGCTTCCATGTTCATTGGTAGGGTCACGTGAAGCCATGGTGTAAGTCGAAAGGTCCTGCGACTGCAGGTCCGACGGTTTAAACAACTGCCCTAAGGATCTTTCTTTCGAGTGAGGCGCCATACATCCTGCGTTTGGAGCTGGGGCTTCATACAACTACTTGCTGGCCCGAATTCCATGACCCTCGGGGCAAAGCAACTTCTCTCATTCCTGGTTTCAGGAACCAGGCCAGGAGCCACCGGGTCGCATCTCCACACGCCCAAACGGACCCTCCAAAACGAGGTGAGCGAAATGACTTGTCTGCTTTGCACCTGCGACCTCTCAAAACTAGGCTGGAATTAGGACCCCAGCAAAAAAAATATGTTTTGCCTGGCTGGTGGAAAACCAAGGGGACCCCAAAAAGCAAACAAAAACAACAAGGGGAGCTAATTCTGGGGAAGAGAAGCCCTCCGGAAACGGAAGACCGTCCGAGAACCACACAGATGTAAGCAAGCCGTCCAAATGGTTCCGTGACTGGAGACTACACTCAGGTGAAGTGAGAAGACTGATCCATTCCCATTGGAAGCAGTTGGCGCCGTCATATTCCTACAGGTGATCCTGCATGCGGCCAAACCAGCCGTATGACAGCCATTGTAAGACTTCACGAGGTTCCAACATCAGCTGGTCGTCGACCGGCTGCAGCAAGTTTAACTGTTTAGGGTAAATTGCTTCTTTCCAAAAAAGTTCTCCAAGTCAAAGGCCGGACCCAGAAATCAAAGCGTTAACTTGTTGGCGCCTCTACTACAAATGGTTGCCAAAATGGGAAAACCAAAAGGTCAGATCCGGTCGATTCACTTTGGACAACTGAGTTCAACATCTAGGTCATACAGTAGAGAGGATAGAATAAGGGTACCTTTTTTTTCTGTAGTCTATTTTAGTAGGGAAACCCTCCCCCAAAAAAGGGTGAGAGAGGGCACTACTGGGGGACCTAGACATGCAAGCAAACAATGTTGCCTGGGCCAAGTACCATCTTCCCAATGCCCAACTGAGCGGCTGAACGCTAAGCTCTCGCAAGAGTTGGACGCCACCCCTGAGTCCCGAAAGGCGGTTGGAAGCGCCGCTCCGTCAATGGCCAGTGGACGTAACATGTGCGATCGGTGCGATGAGTAGGGAATGTGGGAATGAACCCAGGAGTTCTATTTACAGGAAACCACAAGGACTGGTTTATAGGGGTCATGCCGCCATGCCTTCATGCTGAGCAGCAAGAAAAGCAGTTGATCTGGGAAAATCAACGGCCAAGTCACTTGGACCAGTTGCAAGGAGCCCAGTTCCCGGTTGAAATTGTGAGGCCACGGAGAAGGTCCCACCTCTGGTGAATGAGAGAAGCGGTTATAGTTACTCTCACTTGCCCAAAGGACCTGGAAATAAAAGGTCAACCTTTTGGGACCTTTACTAAAAATGGACCAAAATTGGAAAACCAAAGGTTAAAAGGTCGGCTTTGGGCGAGTGAGTATTCTGTCAAACAGCAGATGCAGCAACCACAAGCGCACGTTGATCTGACTGGCCGAGAGCACGGGCAGCTGAGCATGACACCTGCCCATAATTACTATAGGAATGACAGCTTGGAATGGAAGACCGTGACTGGCTCGGGAACGACCACGGGTTTTAAGCTTCCAAAGCTTCTGGCTGCCCCGCAACTTGGGGCAATGCGGTTCGGAGCGGAATAAACCTGTGGGCAATGACTTCATTGGGTCAACGTATTCCTCCGGGTGCAACTATGTGAGTGATCACAACCTGGTGTTTAAGGGGCTCACCCAACCTCGTGGTAAAAACCAACTAGTTAAAAGTGGCGGACATGCGAACCCCAAATCCCCAACCACCTCGCTGGCCCAGTGACCTCCCCCATGACCCCCCCGCCTGCGCTTGCCCTGCTCCAATGGGCATAGATCCTGGGGTGAGCTGATTTAAAGGGAAGCCCGAAGACCTGCCCTGATTGATTCTGGAGGTATGGCCCGTTTTGGGGCACATGCCCGTGCCTTCCTGTGGAAGACCGGATTAATCCGAAGTTGACATCTTGACATCGCATTAAAATGTGCTGCTACAGGGAGGCTTTCGCGCACTCACCCACACAAACAGACCATCACAAGGAGCACCCTAAAGCGAGCCAAGTTCCTATGGCTGAAGCCGCGAAATCAAATAGAAGGCGACTCGGTCGGGAGAATGTGGGCAAGGTTTCTGATCCAGGGCAATCGGAATTCAGAACCCCGAGTGGGAAGAGCAGCTACAATGCAACGCAAGGCTGTGCTGCTTCTTGGATCCCCTGATCCCCTCCTGCTGTGGCTTCTCCCATGAGTCGCGCGATTGTATCTCCTTGTTCCCAAGCATTTGGACGGAGGAAACCGGGCAGGAGGGGCACGAACCTTAGGTGGCTGGCTGCCTTCAGCCATGGATTTGGCTCGTGGTCAATCGATCCAGGCTCCACGAACAGCTCAGGAATTCCCTGAACGTTTGCAGAGCAAGACAACACATGGCAATCCTGGAGGGCACGTCCATGCTAGGTTGCACTTTTCACTATGAGTTTAAGCAGGGGAGGGCCCCTGAACGGCTGCCGCTCTCGGAAATCGCAAAGAAACTAATATGCAGCCGTGTGACTCCTTCGCATGGGGATTCAGGCCCGAGCTTCCAATTGGTGCAGTTTGCTTGCGCTGCTGCTTCTGTCCTTGGCCAGCATGCACCTGCCCTTCGACCACCCTCAATACTTGAACCCAGGGGTTGGTTCCAAAGTGGAGAACAGGTCAGCTGCATGGGGTGTGGGGTGCAAGTTCAATTTCCTCGAGTTCCTTGGGCTAGTTCAAACCTGGAGCCCAGTCTCAAGCCCGTCTTGCCCCATGCGAGCAGCGCACACCGCCTGAACTCAAACACGCCGCGTTGCTGGCGAAAGCAGCGCTTGGATGCTTGAACTGAAACATGGCAACACACTCGCACCACAGATTCAGGGACACTCCAAATCTTGGGCGCTGTAGATCCCCAGCAAAAACTTGAACCTTTTGCAAGGAAGTATGAGGGGAATCCAACGAGTTGAAGCCTAAAGATCCGACCCAATAGCAGCACAGACATTGCCCGATTGTTGTTGCTGGATTGTGGCTGCCCAGCTGCCGATCCGCAACGCCCCGCTTGGCAGTTCTCACTTTGAAATGGCCATGGGTCAAAACCCCGTACCCCCGGTGAACATCGCAATTCCCACTAAAATAGACTAAAATTGTTGGTGCACCTACCCCAAAATGGTACCATTGGTTTTGACCCACAGCCAAATAGGACCCCAGTCTAACCGGAGACGTGGACATTTGAGCTGTGAGCAGCGGTGCGCTCCTTGTTCCTTGTTCAGTGCCCTTGAAGAACATGGTTCCCACGAGTACAAAACTAGGGGGCCAACGATTTGTGGTACAAGGAAAGCATACCACCCAGAAGCACTGCAAACTCAGAGGAAAGTGAAACATAGCCCTGCATACGTGTGAGAAATCTCCTAAAGGTGCATTCCGGAAGAACTCCCTTGGCTGTCAAGGACACCTGACGGTGCGAGTCAAAAGCAGGGCGATAAGTCTCGAAAAGCTCATATGTGGGTATGGGTCAAAATTAAACCACCAGGGGACCGCAGGTTTTAGTCCTTCTTTTCATTTACCAGGGTTCCATTTGGGGCACCTATTTTTGACCCACAGCCATGTACCCCATCACGCGTTCGGGCGAGCACCAAGCACCAAGCACCAGGGCTGCAGCCAGGAGTCGCCGCAGAAGCAATGACAGCAGACACCGATCGTTATCTTTCTTCTGCATGCCTTGCGTGCGAACGCCGCTCGTTTTCTTTGGGGTGGGGGGCGGGCGGCCTGCGAGCATGCGAGGCCAACTGGGGCGCATCCGGGGCTAGGCAGCCGGACTCATGCGCCCCAGTGAAGCGAAACACATGATTGCCACACGCAACCTGGAAGGTCACACTCTTGGCCAACACCCCTGTACTGCTCACAAACAAACACGCACACACCTGATCACCTCTAGAACGAAAACCAACATCACTGCACACATGCGCCAGAAGGAGTATCCAAGCCCCCCGCCCCACAGAAAAAAATGCAAAAAAAAACAGGCAGTTTGTTGCGGTCGTTTTCTGCATCATGGAAAGCAGGGGCCATCAATCCAAGATGTCATCTTCACATCATCCAAATGACACGTTCAACGCTGATCTCCTTGAAACCTGGAGGACCCTTTGACACAAAAAAGTGCTCCAGACAGCTTTTGGCATTCGAGCGCTTTTTCTGCTCAAATCCAATTCGAGCACTTTTTGAGGTTGCCTAGATGCGTGGTGAAGTGCTCGAGAGAAAACGAACCCGCAACTCGAGGGCCATTTCCCGCTACTCGGGCGCAACTTTCCGCAACTCGGGCGGAATTCCAAGAAGTGCTCCGCCCCGCAATGATGTGCATTTGCATGTGTTTGCATTTACCGTTTCTCGCACTTATTTGCCGCGAAAGCTCGAGCACACATTTGTGTATCAATGGGTCCTGCAGGAACTGTTTCATTCCCTCAGCTGAAGGGGAACGAGCCGGGTATCCCCGCCCTTAAGTGGGAAAAGCAGGTGGCCCCCTTCCCCCAAAAAATTACACACCCAGTGCAAATGCACTCAGGGACTGTGGTCACTTGAAGTATTTGCAGCCAAGACCCCTAAAACAACCTGAATTCCCAAAAGAAGGTGGTTGCAAAATCGACCCGGTGTGTGTCCATCATTCGGGGATGAAGGAATTAAAGAAACCCAACCTTCGGTGCTGTAGGTCCCCCAGCAAAACAAATAAGCTCAGGTGATATTCCCAACAGCGCAGCCCTCGCAGAACCTCGTGGAACCGTGGTGGAACCCTGGTGCAACCCTCGTGAACCTTACCTCAGGGCTGCCCCAGACCACCCCGGAGCCTATCTGGGCTGAGACCCCAAAGCTTTCAGCTGTTGGGGAAAAAACACTTTTTGCTGGTTAAAAGGAAATATGAGGGGAATCCAAAAAATATTAAGATCCAACCCAATACGGTAAAAACAACAAAACAATGTGTGTCCATCGTGAAGGGGTTCAGGAAACCCGACATCCGTCTGGCACTGCGCTCGGCTTTTGGATGGCCTTCCACCTCCCATGTGATGTCGCGGGAGATCTCGCGCAGCTTCTCGTCGCCTGACGCCCGGCCGGCGTCAAACGAACAGTGCCCCCACAGCCGGGGTAATGTTGACATTGGAAGGGGAGCAAAAAAAATGGGAGTTAAGTGGATTTGGATTTCAACCACTCAACCACAATAAGCAAAAATGTATGAGTCACAAGCAAAACCGGTATTAAAATGGTCGATCCCCAGAACCATGTAAAGAATCAAGAAGGCGGTCGCAACTATTTCTGGCTGGGACTGCCCCTTACTAACCTTCATCTGCCCAGGTTTTGATTGTGGCTCAACTCTCCCTCATTCAACCCGAATTCATGCGTGCTCCTCAACCCGCCCTGCTTGGTGGGTTGACGTGGAAAAACGAAAACCACCACCTCACAAACCATTCGGAGATTTCATGAACCTAGGCAAGCTGAGGAGCATCCCCCGGAAATCAAGATGGCTACCAATCTCGACAAGACAACACCCTCCAAATGACATACATCCCCACCCAGCAATGTCCAGCAGAAGGTCCCCCACTCGGAAATCTTTTCCCAAAGGAGAAATGACACAAGAAATCGAAGCAAGAGGGGGGCGTGACAGCCGCAGCCCCTATACATATATTTAACCTTCCCTTCCTCGGACCCGAAGTTGTTGCATGCTGAGCAACGCTGCGCATCAAAGTTGAAACGCGCAAAGATTCCTATGGCGCATTCTCGAGAATTAACGCGCTTCTTCAAGATCGACAATTCACGCGCTCCTGGTCACCACCCCCAACTGGGGAAAAATATGGCCCCCCTCCCTGGGTTTGCCCACACAAGCAAAATGTACAGGAAGAAGACCAGGGTACCCATCCCCCTGCGCCATACGGTTGTCTTAGGGGAATCATTGCTGGGCTGCACTCAGATTCCCCGCTAAAAATTTAACTTTTAGTGGGTTAAATGAAAACTACCCCTAAACACTAAAAGGCTAAAAGGCTAAGATTAACGATTCATGATGGATGGGAGTTTGGATGAAAAAATCAATGATTTAGAAAACTACCACTAAGCACTAAGGATCATCGATTATAACTGGGAGCCACCAAGATTAATGATCGATCCACTGCCTGCGCGTGCCACCACTTCCTGCAAGGTCCGCTTGACCAGATCCGCGGCCAGGGCATCCGGGTAGCGGTAGATGGCGCGGCACATTCGCAGCAAGACCTTTCCACTCGCGTTGGCTCGGCTCCAAACCCCAGAGCTGTAAGTGCTGAATTACGGGATCTCCAAGTAACGAATCTTTCCCATGGTGAGCTCGTTATGCCCCCGAATCTGTGAGCTCGCTATATAAATAGGCAGTTTGGTGTAAATGTGGAGTCTTTCTCCGAGAGGAACCCGAAATCAAAAGTCGACTTTTATGACCATGACTAAAACATCCACATTTGAACATCAAAACGTCAGGCACGAATCGATTCGGACTTCTGTGCACGTCAAAACCGCGCAGCGCAGCCTTTTGGCCAGTTCCTCTTAAAGGCAGCGAACCTCCAGGACTTGGACTTGTTCGAAAAGAACCCCGGGAGCCACATGCCTGTTGAATCTGTCATTCGACTGTCTGAAAGACAATCTGGCTAAGCCGTCCAAGTTCTAGGTCACTTGCACAAGGCTGGGCACACTTTCTCCATCACTTGAGTGCCTGGCCTGAAAAAAGTCCAAGCTTGTAATTAACCACTTAAGCTGGCTTTCCAACAAGTATAAAGTCCAGGAACTCAGGGAGTGAGAAAATGGACGAAAATTGGAAAACGAAAAGGTGAAAAGGTCGATTCGATTTGGACAACTGAAGGATTTGAGTGCCACTGAACAGGTGACTTAACACATCGAGTCCCCCATGCTCTTCATGCAACGGCACGCAAAAAAAAACCCCGCTTTGAAATTGAAACGGCCAAGGTGGCCAGCTGATTTGTGTGAGCTGGATAGAGGCAAAGTCGTCCTACGGCCCTAGCCAAACAAACAAAGAAACAAACAATGAAACAAACAAACAAACAAACAAACAAGCAAACAAACAAGCAAACAAACAAGCAAACAAGCAAACAAGCAAGCACACAATCACATAGGCGGTTCATTGGACAAAGTTCGAATGCATGGAGCTTGAAAGAACACCAGAAGGAACGCCATGCGTGCGGCCAAACCCTCCCCTTCCTTGGCCACCCCCATGTGCCATGTGCCCAGGGCGGCCAAACAGCACCAGAATTCCCGCGGTTAGTTTGACAGGGTGACTAAATCCCAGGGGCTGTCTCCGGGAAATGGGACGCAAGTCGGTCTGAATCTGCAGAATCCCAGCTCGAAGCAGCATGCTTCACCTTGAAACTTTCGCGACCATACGTGTCCTGTTTGGAAAATAGATGGCCCCTGATGATTAAACCACCAGGTAAACCAGGAATCGCCCTCTACCTATTAAATCAAACCAACCAAACAGGACAATCAAACCAACCTAACCAACCAACTAACCAGCCAACTAACCAACCAGGGCCCCCTATGTTCACGACTTGCGGCGCAATTGGCAGTTGCCTACCCTCAGCATCCAGCCTATGCCAATGCCGAGCGGCAGTCTTGCACGCGTCAGGGCTCAACTTGCAGCAGCCTCCCACGCCAGGGGCCAAAACAAATCCAAAGCCTTCAAGGCACTGGCCGAAGCACACCTATGGCAAACAAATCCACATATTCGAGTATGGGTCGCAGAGTCTCTTGGATGCCACTGCATATTTCAAGTTCCAAAGGTAGGCCCCTTCAGCCTTCAACCTGGCCCACGTGCCCATGTGGGTGAAGCCTCCACCCAAATGTCTGACATGTTTTATCACATTCCCTTCACCAAACTTTCTGGACCTGGGAGGGCTTGTCCTAGCGCGTGGTTCCCTTGATGAGGCGATGCTGTTCTGACCGTATGCCATTGGTGGCTGCCCGCTCTTTCTACGACAAACTGGCAGGCTGCTAGCTAGGCAAACCACTCTCAACACAAGGCACGCAAACATTGACCCTTCTTGCCACTCCATGAGCTCTGCCTCAATCAGCTTAAAGCAGCGCCCCAATACAAGTGATGCAAGTGTCCCTGTGGATGGACGAAATTCTGCACCACCTAAGAAACCCTGGAATGATGATTCCTCTGTAAATGACAACAAACAATGGTTCCCGCGGTTTCAAGAGGTGCAGGATTCCGTCCATCCACAGTACGTCATGCCTGCATTTTCTGAAACCTTTTACATGGATCGGCCCAGGCCCCTAGGTAGGCGAGGCTCCTAAATGACCTTTCGCCAGGACACCATGCTGTGGCACGATGTGTATGCGGCCAGCCCCCTGGCTCAAAAGTCATGCCTAGTAAAAACATCTCTTGAAGTCACCTGAAGTTTGAAGTCGAGCTGATGCGCGTGACAATGTGGGAAGTTAGGGATGGACAACGACCGACAGTGAGAAGCCAAGCAACTTTCTGCCACCAGCGCATGTGCCAGGATAGCGGTCAGTCGCACCTGGTTGAAAGGTACTACCGTAGCGCACTCAACGCGTGTCAGGCACCTAGGCATGTACTATCATGTACATCTTTATGGCTGCACGACCCTGGGCACGGTCAATCCAACTGCAAGTGAGCTGCATCCTACATTGGATCAAACAGCGAAGACTGGCGACATTTGAGCACTGTCAGCCAAGCTGCATTTTCTGCTTTGTGAAGGTCCTGCAAAGCATATGAAAGAATGACAGCTGTCACTGCATGCAAACAATAAGATGCACATGATGGCCCGCCAGCCAACCCATCCGTCTGGCTTGTGCTGTGCAGGTTGTGGGTTCCCTCAGTTTTTGCAAGGCAGCAAGACACCACAACACGTTTTCGAGATTGAGTCACGCATTGGAATGAACATGAGGCTCCTGTTGACAGGATTGCAAGTAACAACTCGAGCTGTTGCTTCAAATGGAAAGTCGGATAACCTGATCGAAATGGCACCTGGGCTAAGCTTGGTTGACTTTGGAAGGGGAGCAAAAATATAAATTCTAGCAGTTAAGTGAGGATTTCAATCACTAAACCACAATAACCAAAATGTAAAGTGTTTCCCAACAATAACCATGTAAGCGGCTTTGCGCGAGGCCAAAGTCTTGACAATCCATGTGCCAAGGGCCGACTCAGTCAGCTCCCCGCTCCTCGCGAAAGACGAAGCCCAGGCCCTGTGGAAGTGCTTTGCACTGGGAGCTCTCCCGCAGCACCTTTGCCACCTCGCCAGAAACTGGTAAAATGCCTCACCGGTGGTTGGTAGAGCGGCTTGTTGGAGCATTGAAGCACTGAATGACCCCGACTTAAACCATCCAACTGCTGGCTTCTTTGAAGGGAATCAGGTTCATTCCCTCATTCCTGAAGCACCAACAAGAAAACGGCGCCCCCTGCATACATCACCTCCTTTAATGCCACCACAAACGGGAATGTGTGGGGAGGATCTACGCAAGGGGTGCGGGAACGAACGCGAGCCATGGAACCTCGTCTTCAATACAGCTGATGGTTACAGGCGCCTCGCAATTTCAAACTGCACTCCCCAATCCTTGCTCAGCTTGCAGCATTGGCGAATCACCCGCTAAGGATGCCGCCGGCGCAAGGTCTTCCAGCTTCGAGTAGTCAAAGTGCAAATAATGTGTTCTCTGCGACTCCCTGGCGAATTCCATGCCACCAGCCAGCAAGTAGTTGCCACTTACTGAATGGATTTGCCCACCAAATGCCTTCCTTGAAATGATGCTGCGCTGCCAAAACGCTTCAAGCCACGAAGCGCTATGAGTTCTCACTTGCACATGTTTCACCATATGACCATATGTTTCAGCAACTCTGGCAATTGCATGCCTGGCCTCAATGCTCTTTGGATGTTCTGCAGCAAGCCTGTCTCAGGATGCCAATATCCACATCCTGCCCTTGTGCAGTTGTTCTGGTTGACCTGAACATCTGTCGCGAGGCCTTCAGGAGAGAGTAATTGCAGTCTTTCTCACGAAAGTGATGGAACCACAAAGGGAAGCAAACTGCGACCCCTGACTCCCACTGCCCAATGCAATCGCACTTCTTCTGGAGGTGGGCACCATGCAGTCCATAGCAAACAGCTCCTGCACTGATTCGCCTGAAACGACTTCTTGCGAAAGCCCAAAAAAAGCCAACGAAAAGAACCACCCCGGATTTTTCCATGGGAAGACTTGTGGCCCAGCGACGGACTTGCTGCAGAGGTCTACCATGTCGATCCACCCTTGCAGCCCGAGGCCATCAAAGGTTTGCTGCCTTCCTTGGTGCTCAGCGAGGCCGGCAATCAGTCAGCATCGAAACAGCTTGGAAAGCCACCCATGGCCAGTCATGGGGACTGCGTTTGCGCAAATCCACGAGACGTGTTCCATTTGAAGCAGCTCCTGTGCCCATTGCCCAGACAAGCAAACAAACAAACAACCAAACAAACGTAGAGGGTGAAACGCCCATGTCTAGACTTTTGAAAAAGCGAGCTTGTCAATGGACCCACGCTCTCTGGTCTTGACTTAAATCAGACGGTTCAGTATTGCACTCACCCAGGGTGATTGATTGAGTCCTACTGTAGATGTAAGAAGTTCAAAATGGAGGATTGGCTTTTTGCCAGTCCCAAAACCCTGCAAAGGCATATCATGCATACTCCAAGGGAAGGGTTCAGGGCTGTCCTTGAACAGCCCCAGTTTATGTTTTCCCGAGTTGATGTTATCAACTGCTGATGTGCCAATTCCAAATGCTAACTCTATGTTCCGGATCCCTATGCTTCCTCGACTATTTTTTAAATAGGGGTTGTTCAACCCCTATTTTTTGCATTGACAACCCCTATTTTTTGACATTGGCCTTTGGGGTCCATTTAGACGGAGCCTTCATTCTAGCAAATTCTAGAATTGTCCTCTGCAATTTGCGCAGGTGGCACGAACAACAAGCAACTTTGTGTTTGTTTTTTCCGCTCCAATTTTCACACAGCTCCAAAAACGACGTGAGCGTAGACAAACCGTAGACAAAGCGTAGAAAAACCGTAGAAAACACATTTTTTTGGCGTAAAACCACTATTTTGTGGCGTAGAACCACTATTTGTTGGCGTAGAACGGGCAAATTCTGCAGGGGACCCAGAAGATCAACATTCTCATCCTGGAATGGTTGCTGTGATGGGTAAATATTTTTGCTGTCCTGGTTTGTTTGGTTTGGCTAAGAAAGGGGCAAAAGAAGGACAGAAACGGTCAGAAGAGGATTCACCCTCACGCGCTACATGGCCATGTTAAGAAACCAAGCAAAATAGAAGCAACTAGCCTTGTGCATATGAAAATACATATTCGGCTTTGGGATCCTATGAGGCGGCCTTAGCGTCAAGTCTTTCCCAGTCCCTGTTCCAGTCCAAAACGGAGGCTGCCGCTCGTCATCCAAAAAATAGTCTTTGTCAAAAAACCGGGGTTGTCACAACGACTATTTTTTAAATAGGCTTTGGAAGCATAGGGGGATGCTGAAAGGGTTGAAGTTGGTCTGCGCGGCAAACCTTCCGACCAGGGTTTCCGGGACAAAGCCAAACAAAATCTGCTGAAGAGGGGCCCTCCTTTTGATGGTGGCTTCTTTGCTCATCCGCACGAGGCAGGCCTGAACAGTGCCACATGTTTTTTGCTCACGCCGGGCGGAGGAGGAAAAAAAAGAAGAAGAAAACAACTGAGGCGGGCACCTCCAGTCTCTGTGGCCAGCAGTTGCCTGATGTTGTAGGTCTTCTGCACGCGCGGGTGGTCCAAGGGGCCTAGGCCAAAAGCAAAGAAAAATGGAAAGCCGACTTTGAGACCGACTCGGTGCCTACCAAAGCCCTGTAACCACCAAGGAGTCTGGTGGTTGGAATACGTTGGAAACCCCAGACATCCACGCCGGAACGCAAGCACTGAGCGCTCGTTGCTCTGTTCACTTTGGGTGCTTTCGTCCTCTTGGTGAAGCATCCCGCCAGGAAAGCCTCCCCTTTGCTGAATCATACCATGCACAACCGCTAGAGAATCTTTCTTGCGCTGGGCGAAGTGCGAACTGCAAAAGTACAACTCCGAGCAAATTGGAATCAAGGGGGCCCCAGGAAAGGGTGGACTTTAACTATTGGCAGACGACCAATGGAGTAGCAGGGCTTGCCAAGCACAACTATAGCAACTTCATTGGCACACATCTGGAGACTTCCTAGGACACGGGTGGGTCACAATTGGGGGAAGGGGGGGGGTCAACATGTGCTAAGAGATCCTTACTCACTAGAAAAGTTCACTCACTAATTGTACTTTACCTGGGGTATTTTGTAGATCAGCTGGCATTTGAGCATACCCTCATTTCCACATTGGTTGTGCTCCGGACATCGGGTTGTTGCCCCAAGTCGTCCTGGAGCCCCCGCAGTAGCAGTTGTAGTCAAACGGCTGTGGCTGGACACATGGAACGCAACAAATTGCATTGGTTCCGGTCTATTTTAGTGGGGGAACCCTCCCAAAAAGGGGGAAAAGGGCACTACTGGAAAACCTAGGTACTGATGGTCATGTTCTCAACTCCCGAACATGCACCTGGCCTTTTGGCACTCTGCCAAGTTCGGCCCTGAAGGCAAGCGCTCGCAACTGTCCAAGCAAAACCCGCGGAATCAACAAGAGAGAGCCACAAACGGAGCCAAAAACAAACCACTCCCCCGGGAACACCATGTCAGAAAGCAAGGTGTAAATGAGAATATGCCCACATACCGGCCGATTGACAAACTCACCCCGGTAAGGGTGTCGGCACGTCAGACATCAGAGGCATCCAGGCATAGGTGGCCTTTCGAAAAAAATAGATGGCCCTGGAACATGGAGGAAGTTCCATCCAATCCAGTGCCATCTATGTTTAAACAAACTAACCTGGGCTGCCCTCAGATCCCCCGCTAACAGTTTGACATTTGGCGGGTTAAATGGAAACTACCACTCAACACCAAAAGGCTAAAAGCTAAGCAACCGGATGGCTGGAAGCCACCAAGGAACCTCTAACTAACCTAAGAAGGACACCTATTGTAGGCAACTGGTTCCCAAGACTCAGACAGGACTTTGGATGTCGCCAACCGAAGGACCCAGATGCATCCACGCCGCATTTCTGATTCTTCTGCGCCTGGCAGTTCTTGGACTCCACGTGCTTGGGGCAAATGAGCCTCAATTCCTCGAGCTCCTGGCGCGCCCCTGGAGCAACGGACCAGGGGTTAGCGGCCATGGTTTGGGGTACCTTTTAAGGTTTGATGTTCTTCGGTTCGGCTCATTTTTAGAAGGTGGCTGCAGAAAGAAACCCCAAAAAAAAACGATGAATCTTTGCTACCATACCAAGGGTCGGACAGATACCCTACTGCGAATGGTCTCGAAATCCATTTCGCACCCAAAAAACATAAAAACATAGTTGTTGTTTGTGTTTGGGGAGTTATTATCGCAGGGTTTTTGAACTGTGGACAGAACAGTCCCACGTCACCCCATTTGGCCTCAAAAGGTACTGGATCCAACCACCAACTACGGGTAACCCCTCACCCTCCTTTTACCTGAAAACGTTGCTTTGGGATTGCCGCATTTTATCATGTACTTCGAAACCCGCCGAGAACCGACAGTTGTTGTTGTTGTTGCTGCTGCTGCTGCTGCTGCTGCATATTGTTGTAGTTACTTTGTTCTGATGTCCTCTTCTCTAGAGTTTTGAACCACAGAATGCAAGTGGCAGGGGACAACCCAGCATGTTGAGATAATTGCAATGTGTCGCGGAGAAGCTTCGGGAAGCAACGTCGTGAAGTCGGCTGCTTGAAACCCCGGTTGCTCAATGACAGAGAAAGGGAACCCCTTTTTAAAGCTGATTCCACTTGGTGGCTGGAACCCAAACACCAACCAAGTGGGTTGAAACAAAACGTGGACAACCCTTATATCCTTATGCCCCAGTATCGTAACAAAAAGGCGTGTGTTTTTTCTCCAGCCCAAGTGGACAGGGATCCCCTTCAACAAGTGCACGACTTCTCCGGGAGTGTACACTTTGGCGCAGGCTCCTCCAGCACCAGGTCACTCACGCTCTTTGCCAGCTTGCTTTCGTCCCAAGCGCCTTCGTTCCGGCTCTCCTTCAGCCAAAAAAGGTGCACCTCGGCTTTAGATGGGGGTGCCTCAAAGCCCGGCCGCAGCTTTACCTGGAGTCTCCATGACCCTTGAAAATTGGGGTCAGTGACCCCAAAATTTTGGTGTCATTACCCAACATGTTGGGGTCATTGACCCATTTTTAAAGGGGCATGGAGACTCCAGGTAGATGGGGGTGCCTCAATATCCGGCCGCAAAAATGCATCGCTGGCTTTTGGGCTCCCTATGTTGTTCTCTTCAACTCAAAACAGGTACCATTGACAAAAGAAATGCACAAAGATTCAAGGGGGGGGTGATTGTCAAAATGTGCTGCCCGGCCTTAAGCCGGAGTTCCCCTTACTAAGATCACTCACCTCGTGGTCATTTCAGCAAACTCACTTGAAAACACATCTAGAAACCAACAAAAAGGGGGCGTACAAGGAGCCCGATGATAGCTGAAACCGCATGCTGAGGCAAACATGGAGGCTGCTTTGAGGCGGTCCGGCTGCTTTAAAAACATGACAGGGCATCGTGCAAATGGGGTGGATGAGTTTTGCGTGCAGCCAAGCAGCCAAGGCTAGGAGACAAGAAGTCATCAAGCCAACAACCAAACTCAGAAACTCCTCAGATTCTCACGGCGGCGGACCATACGAATCATTGTATAGAACATAATTTGCCTATGTTATCCGTTGTTCATTCCCCATGCGAATGTTCTGATTTTTCCTAGCCACTCCCAAAAGCGCAACAACTAATCCGTCTCTCGGGAAAGATGTAAAACACGTGCTCCCCCCCACCCGCCCACACACCACACACACACACACATTCAAACAAACGACCACCCCTCGAGAAAAATGAGCTCTGCGCGCATGGATGTACCTAGTCTGGGGGGAACCCCTCTAATGAGTCTAAGCTCGGCCAAGTCAATTCGAAGTTGACATTGGTGAGGCCGCGGTCATTGGCAAATCACAGTGCTGAGCCATCGCAGTGTGTTGTCATTTCTTCCGTAGCAGCCATCGCATCCAGGAAACTGGTGGCAGTTGCGAGTTCCGTTCCTGCCCACGCAAAAGTGTCTAGCCTCCCGCCCATGGCACCCGAGGGTGGGTCCCTTTGAAAGGAAATTGGTCCTGGGTGGAATTGGTTTGGCACCCTTCCTGCCAAACAGTTACTAGCCTCCCTCCCATGGCACCTAACAGTGGGTGTTCTTCCAAAGGAAATCAGTCTTCTTGGGTGGAATAGGCTTGGCCAAAGAAGGTTAAGGGAGTTGCCCTGGCACCAGCCTTCCGGGCAGTCCTGGAGTTCACCAACTCGCCTAAAGCCCCAAGCCGCACGAACGTCCGGGCCAACACGCGCAACAAACATCCACCAGTTGCTTGACCGGCTGTACAGGATGAGCATTCACAACTTCCATTTGCTCAAGTCCCCTGAAAAAAGTATAACATATTCCCCCAGTGAAATCGATTCCCTGTAAAACCAACAGGGGAAACCATCTTAAGAAACTGGAAGGCAAGCATTCTCGTCAAAGAAGCCCGTTCTCCGGCGCCGTTGAGCCTTCGCTCGCCGCCCATGGCAAGGAGCCAATTCTTTGATGACCTTCTGCAGCTTCTGCGCTGCCGAGTTCATCTGAGCCTGACTGGTGCTCGTCGTCGGCTTCCTGCGGCCAATGGCAGCAATCGCTTCGGATCTGGGAACCCACGCACGGCAAACTGAGCCCCGGTCCCATTTGGGTGTGTCCATTCTTTTCAGCGCACCATTGGTTTAAGGCTTGGCGTCAAATTCAATGGGCAAAGGCACGCTTTTTTAAGGCTTGGTTGCAAATTAAATGGGAATGAAACAAGAATCTAGGGATTTTCCGATTCCACCCTGCATTTGCACCCTAGAGGAATTACACCAGATAGTCCCAGACAAACCGAGACAGCCAGGATTTATCTGGAAATAGGCTCAAAATAGGGTGATTCTTGAGGGTGTAATCCCAGAATGTACTGGGAAAGTGCTTAAAGGGAACGCGTTTCAGCAGGCTCCCCTATAATACATTCCCATTCCATCGCATCGCCTCAGCGTCTCCACTTCGGCCTGCCACGCGCGCTGCCACAAGTCCCTGGCTGCCTGTGTCATCTGCTGACGCCTCAGCTCCGTCTCACTGGTCGCGGCCGCTTTAGACTCAGGCCAAAGGGGCGACAAGATGCGACAAGCGTTCACCTGAATCCTCAATTGCGACTTTTTGCCGGGAAATTCCGGAGCTTTGGCAAAGTTATCTTTCTCATGTCTTTCCCTAGAAGTTCATTGAGAATACTCGACAAGACCAAATTGCAAGGCCTTTGTGGTTGTTGCGGACCATCACGAAAATGTAGGATGAAATAAGCGCTTTGTTGCTTCACACTTCGGCATATGCAAGTATGCTCCTTACCCAGGTGTCTGCTGTCAATCTGGAAGCCAGCATCAAACATGGGTAGGTGGCATTCGCTGGGAATTGCCAGCGCTTTCAGGTTGTCTTCACCCCAGCTGTTCTCAGACGCCGGCAATTCGGAAAGCAACCTCCACCTTCACATAGAACTTTCCACCCAGTAATAGACAAACACCTCCTTGTTGGAAGGTAACAAGTAGCCTCCTCCGTTTCTTGCTTTCGTGTGTTTAGGGCGTTTTGTGGTGGGTTCATTTCCACACTCCCAATTGATAGCAACATAGTGACTCTCTTTTTGGTTTGTGTGATCAGATTTTGGTCTTTGCTGACCGAGGTCACCACGGACCCTTCTCCGCATCAGGGCTTTCTGAAGCCGTCAGAAGGAGTTAATTACTTGTGGAACTCTTGGGGAGCAGTGGCAAAGCTTTCGCCGGGTAGACCTGGAGCTGGTGTCTTTTGTATAAGCCTTGGCATGCCCTTTGGAGGCAACCGAGCGCGTTCTTTGGAAGTGCGTTTGCAGGATAACTCCCCTTGTGCGCGCGAGTACGCGCGGTTCTGAGTTCCCTGCTGGCCCTTATTCTCGCAACCAACGTAACTTTATAGCAGGGGTGTGTGCTGTCGGGAGTGCCCGTTCTGGGGTGGGCTACTGTGAGCCATACAGTGATATACAGTGACTGTGGACCTTGAACGATAGATATGCCATCTGAAAGTGCCCGCAGTGCATGCAAAAACACAAAAGGCATCCTACAATTCTGTTTGCCCTGGTGCGCCCACGGGGTACGTACGCTCATACAGCTTGCCAAAAATGACAACCTCCTGTCTTTGAGGCCACCCTTTGGCGCTAGATGCGCCCACCGGGCCAAGTAAAAGACCCTGCAATCCTAGGAAAGGTTCTTGGAACCGGTTTGACTGGGTAGGGGAATCCAAAACTCACTTCCGTAGATTGGCCAAACAAAAAGTCCCTCCAAGGGTGGCTTTTGCATTTGTACCTACAGTGCTCTTCTATAAGCCATTTTGGGTACAAAATCACCACCCTTTGCGGGTGCTGGTTGTCATTTGCGTTTACCAGCAAAACTAGGTCCTCCAGTAGAGAGGCCAGAATAAGGGTTTTGCAGGACGTCTATTTTAGTAGGGAAACCCTCCCAACCAAAAAAGAAAATGTCAAAGGGCACTACTGGGGGACCTACAAAATGCCCCAAACCAAAAAAACACGCGCCTCAAGCACTACTGGGGAACCTAAAAAATGCCCCAAACCCAACAAAAAAAACGCGCCTCAAGCACTACTGGGGAACCTAAAAAATGCCCCAAACCAAAACAAAACGCCTCAAGCACTACTGGGGGACCTAAAAAATGCCCTAAACCCAACAAAAAACGCCTCAAGCACTACTAGGGGACCTAAAAAATGCCCCAAACCAAAAAAAAACGCCTCAAGTCCGAAACGGAACTGCGACCTCAGCTTCCCACACCGGATCGGTGAGGCTGTTCCAGCTGGCCACCAGCGCGCATTGCTGCAGGCTTGACAGAAAGCCATCCTTGCAGGGCGCTTTGGGGGAAATGGACATGGTTTCATGGGTTCTTTTCTGGTAGACATGTGGTTACATGGGTTGTCTTGCATGGTTTTGTGGGAAACATGGGCTCTTTTCTGGATTTGTTTACAATGTGTTTAAACAATGGAAACTCTTCTGGTTGGGGAAATGGAAATGGCTTCTGGCATGCGACCCCCAAGACGCCCCTGCAATTCAAATGGAACCTGACAGAGGGGCCCTTTCAAAAGGAAAGTGGTCCAAAACCAGAACCAATTCCCCCAACGTCAGGTTCCATAATTGGAGGCTACATGGCTTCACCCTGCCCCACTGGAAAACAGCACTCACTTCGGGCAATATGCCGACCCGGAGAACTTCACCACCGAAGGGCGCTGGGCTGCCATGAATGCCTCTCTTTGTTGAGAATTTTCCTGGAACAGAGAACTTGGCCCACATCTGCGGGTCACAGAATCATAAAAAAGCAAAAACAAAAATTCCAGCAGTGGTCATTTGTAGCTGCAGTGCTCCTGTGTGAGCCATTTTGGGTCTGCATCCGGGCCGGTCCTTGAACTTGAGCTTCCGTGGTTCATCGTTGGCCTTCTGAAACGCTTCCAGCCACAGACCCGGCGTGTTGCACAAGTCTTCCTTCCTCGTGCCTGGGGTGCCGAAGTAAAGATATACCGCCGCTGTGCTGATATAGCTGCCTCAAAGGCCACGAAAGTCCTGTCAACTCAAGCCCCTCAAAATCCCGCAAGCTGTACTTGTGTGAGTGCTCAGGTACTACTTGGGTTTGTCACAGCACAGTCGTCTGCTGAAGCATTTGCAACAACGCGCCATCGTCTGCAGATGCATCTTGTGCAACATCCATCAAGTGCCAAGTCTACTCAGAGCCTGGCAGGCGTCTACGAACTGGGGATGGCTTCAGGGATGAACCATCATATCAGCTCCAACAGGAATGAGCAAATTGACCCATACACATGCTGCACCTCCCCAAAATCATCCACAGCCCGCCAACCAATACCAACCCTTGTCAACTCGTCATCAAAGAAGGCTTATGGCCGTTCCTCACCGCAAAACATCAAACATCTGGCTGCTTAGCAATTCAGTTGTCTGTCGTCAACCTTGCCACGAACTGCAAATCGCCAAGAGACATGGGCGGTTAAATCGCACCGTCAACCTGCAACAAGGGCTTCTAAAGTTAAGCCGTGTCAAGCTGTCTTGTTCGCCATTTTTGGAGCGATTAGCCCCATGAAGTCCAGGCTCAGTCTGGTCAGAGAAGATCCCTTGCCAGAAGCGAAGCCAACACTCCCTTGCCCAAGCTACGCACACATCAAAGGCCAACCTTTTGGGGCCGTGACCAAAAATATGGGTGAACTACAATATTTCACCAACCTTGGTTGGGCGGCTCTTCCCCCCACATAAACCACCATTTGGGGTGAGGTCGTGTGAGGTTGCTATGAATCACCCAGAAAAATGGACCAAACAGATCCAACAAGTGGAAACCAAACAGGCCCAGGCTGCTACAGATCTGCTGCAGCCTTTGCAAAAGCGCCAGCCGGCGCTCCTCTTCGGACATGACATCCATGGGTGGGAAGGGGAGGGATGCGCCAACGAAACCTTGGGGCATTACAACCGCCTGCAATGGCTAGAATACTTTGCAACACCTGAAATAAGGGATCCCATATGGTAAGGGACCATCATCATGGCTCGCCACAAAATATGGAGAATCATGCACCATCCCCAAATTAGGAGTCCCTACGGAATCTTTGATGATGGGCCCATGCGACACAGCCGCATGGAGAGTGGGGTTGTGATTTCAGTTGCCCTTTGAACCTGGCCATTGAACAAGCAAATGAGCGGACGCAACATAATTGTCCTTCTGGTTTTTAAAGGATGGTTCCCTTACTTACCTACAAAACAATAAATTGAAGTAAATGGATCCACTGGGTGAGTCAATCAATGACTCGGTTTTGGCAACTTCGGACGGCCGCTTGAAAAAGAACAGGCTTTGTGTATCCTTATGGCTGCCCACCAAACGAAAAACACAGAGTTGGGGGGGTTGGAGACAAACCCGTTGGAGCGGTGACGACAAGCTTCACGGCAACACCCTCCCGAGCCTTTCTGAAGGGCTTTCAGATGTTTGGATGTTGTGCGTGGATCCCGTCTCAAGTACTTGAACCTCTGCCATGCTGGCTGCTGTTGCCCTGATTGTTTTTTTTTTCTTGTTTTGTAGGTAAGTAAGGGAACAACCCTTTAAACACCAGAAGGAAAATTCTGTTGCGCCCGCTCATTTGCTTGTTCAATGGCCAGGTTCAAAAGGCCTCTGATGTTGACATGGCAGGACACTCCACTGCTGCGCTTTCGCCTGCAGACTGGAGGGCATTTCCGCCTGCCTTACGCAAATCGGTTGGGGCCACTAGGCTTACAACTGGGAGAACGTCGAAGGAACACCTTCCGCAACCCGTGAAGATACCCAGGGGCGCTTCCACGAAAGCTTTCGCCCTTCCGAAACGAATTGTTTGCCTTCAGCCAAGTTTCGCAAGTCTACTTACTTATTGAAGGCCCTTTACTATTGTGGGCATTCCAGCGGTCATTTAGATCTGACCTGGTGCTGTACCCGATGTGACACAACTCTTCATTCAACCTGAAGGGATGTGACATGCATTGACGAGCACTGGAACTGAAGCATATTCGGACCATCCCGTATTAGTGCAGGCGGTGAATACTAGCTATGGGCCTCAAATGGACAAGCTTCCTTCTATTTGCTTAAGCCCCCGTGCCAAAAACATAATTTCAAGTAGTAGTCATAGATCCCCTGTACAACCAACAGGGGCAAATAAAACTGATAGATTCCCTGAAAAACCAAGAGGGGAAAAAACATGACTGTGGCTCAAATAAATGAGCCAAAATGGCACCTTGCCAAATGGAACCAAAGACTAAAACCTGCGTAACCCCGTAACCCTAGGTCTTTAAGTTTGAGCAACCCCAGAGTCTTTAGCACATGGAAGCTTCTTTGGTCCTCCAAGTCCCTGACGATGCTCTTGGCATCCACCGTGACAGCTCCCGAGAAGCCAGGCACCTCGCGCCCAACGTGTGCGACTGAAATGAAACCAGCTGAGTAGCCTAGATGGGTGGATGCAGCCTAGATGGATGGATGGATACAGCCTGAGTTATTATTAAAATTAGATAGATGGATGCAGCCTAGATGGGACTGGCAAGATAGAACAAGGCGAACACTAGAACTGAAATGCATCTCCTTTCAAGCTAATACTGATTCGAGTCAAAAGCAAACCCGGCATTAAAATGGTCGGTCCCCAGAACCATGTAAAGAAGTAAAAAGTGGCTGCGCCCAGTTCTGGGTGGGATTCTGCCCCTACTAATTCTGGCGGCCGCAACTATTCTGCCTGGGACTGCCCCGTACTAACCTTCATCTACAAGGATTGAGCAGCAGAATGGGTGCGCCTGTTTTTACCAAGTAGAGAGGTTAGAATAAGGGCACCCGTTTTTCTGTAGTCCATTTTAGTAGGGGAACCCTCCCCCAAAGAAGGGTAAAAGGGGAAATACTGGGAGACCTAGTTTAGGTGGGCTTGACAAGAATTCAATGGGAAACCAAAGAAACATTTTGGGGGGGGTTCCCCCGACATCGGCAAACGAGCCCACATCCTGTTCTCACCGAATGTGTGTGTTTGTGTGTGTGTTTTGTGGTTTTGTGTTTTGATCTGTTTGGGGGAAAACCAACAATCTTTTGGGGGCCCTGAGTCATTTGAAGAGAAAATAATCTGTGTAGAAGCTTGGCAAAGAACAAACGCCCCTAAACACGGCAAGGCCGAAATCAGCCGCGCCTCAAGATCCTCTTTGGTGCACAGCCGGTGGAACTTTGGCAGAACCTTAAGGACAAAAACCAGCAGCAAAGCTGGTTTTAATCTGGCATGAGTTGCACTAACTAAGCACTGGACGATATGCATGGCCACTGTTCCGAGAAATTTTGAAATGATCTTTGCATGTAGTCGTGGTTGCTGTCTTGTTGTTTGTCTGGTTCGGCATGTTCAACTCCCTTGTAGGTTTGCCAAGATGAGATCAGCCGAGCTACTCTTTCCAATATCGGTCTGAGTCTGCCAGATGTCTCTTCTTTCCTCGCTTGCACAGAGGACCTGGAAAGAAAATCTTCACTAGCCTATTGGGGGGTAGGACAAAAAATGGGAACCTAGACCCTCAAATTACTCTTCAAAAAAGGGAGTTCACTCACAAATTTGGGGCAATACCCCATTCTTAAGGGTAGTTTGAGGGTCCTGGAACATCACCATTTCTTAAGGGGGGGATCTGAACATGTAAAATTACATTTTGAGCTTCCTGCTCCAGCTTTTTGGCAGGCTCAAGCAAAAGCCACAAGGCTTACAGCTTGGGTCAAAAGCCGCGTGTCTGTTCCCGCAGCTCATGGAGGGCGTCGTAGAACATCCGGTGCAGAGAGTTCACCGTCACCTGAAAGGTGTCTGCGCGCGCCACCTATAGCCTGGCACCCATAGGCCTCCTTTTCACACAATAAAAGGGTTTCCCTGCTAAATGAAGCTTGCAACAGCAAACAATTCTGTTTAGGGGACTGTCAAGATGTGTTTTCCTCGTGGTTTCCCTTTAACTAAGAACGGGGTATCGAGCCTCAAAAAGACACTCTCACATGTGACACGCAAAATGCCCCACGTCCAGCACGCCGAATCCTGCCCGCATCTCTCATTTGCTCTCGGCCTGGTAGCCGTGCTCCAGCAAGTCATCCAGGTCCCTCTTCTTCCTTCTCTCAGCTTTGGCCACCTGGTCTCTGAGGCTCATGCGACAAAAGATCAGGAACTGCCATCCTTTTTTCAAATCAAGTCAGAAGGAGGCCGAAACAAAAATCGCAGGTCGCGCTTGGTTGTCTTCGCCCTTGCCTGGCCAAAGCACAATATGGCCCTTGGCCCGCCTCGATATACCAGTCGATCTGGGTAAGCGTCCACATGGCATCTGCAGCCTAGGCGAATCAGCCACTCCGCCAGTCAGTCAGGGATTTGCATGATTCCCTAGGTTAAACGGGCTCCCTGAATCCAGGGGCTGTCCGTTTTAAGATCCCCCGCTAACAGTGACTAACTTGTAGTGGGTTAAACGGAAATCTAACCACTAAACACTAAAAGGCTAAAAAGCTAAGGGTATGGCTGGGAACCACCAAGGAATGAGTCACAAGCTGGACAAATAAGTCTGGACCCTACTCCTAGTGAAGCCTGATCTACCAGCAAGTTGGGACGCTCCCATATGGAATCACCCAAGTGTACGACGGCCATGCAAGGACTGTGACATAACTGCACGTGCCGGCGCCAGATCATCAGCAGCCAAATTGCTTCCTCGTCCAATGCTGTTTGGACCCCTTGAAAAGAGCTCTTCTCAGGTTAACACAAGTTTGAAGGAGCAAGACTCTCAATTCTTGGCAGAAGCTCGTGGTTTGCAGTGGTGCAAAGACTTGGAATGCTGCAGAGCCTTTTTCCCGTCCCATCTAAGGACCTTTGCCTCCGCATCCCATCCGGCATGTCGCCGGGCCTTCCCGTTGGAAGTTGCAAAGCGACCAAACGGACATGTGTCCGGCTTGGGCGCGTTCCCCAAAAAAAGAGGGAAGCAATGTTTGCTTGCCCTGCCCTCGTTTTCACATGCTCAATGTGCGAGCAAATGATGAGGCCAACTGGACGCTGAGTTCATCCATGCAAGTGAAACACCTGCCCAACGGCAAGTCAATGCTCAATAAGACATTTACATTTTGTTGGCACAAATCGGAAGCGCTAAGCTTGCTAAGCTCAGCCCGAAGACAAGGGATGTGCTCAGGGCGCCATTCGCGATGCCTTCATTATCCAAGACAAAGGTGGTGGTTGTCACAGTAGTGACCTCAGCTGCCCAGTTCGGACCCGCGGGTGAAAGGTGATCACCTTTTGAGGCCACGACCAAAACATGGATCGACGAGGGGAACCCAAAAGGCCAAAAGGTCGACTCGCTTCGGCAAGTGGAAGGAATCAACCGGGGTCTTGGGAATGAACCAGAGGATCCCCCTACCCAGACCTCAAACTACCAGATTTTGAGACCCCAAACACCTGCGGGGTGTCTAATGGAGGGGTCTGGGTCTTCCAGCAGCCTCTGGGTAGAATCTAAATCAAGGAAACCGCAAGGTCAAAAAAACGTTGACTCACCTTTGGCAAGTGAGTCGCAGTTCTCGTGGTCGTTGCGGTCCCTCCATACACAGAGAGCTCATCGAAGCACGCACCGGAATTGGCCGTGACGATCCGCACGGCGGTCGCCAACACTGCGCCAAACTCGAAGGAGTAAAACCCCGCACCCGACCGCACGAAGCTGCGAAGGCCGCACCAGTCACCTGGTGTAGCTGACAACAACTCTAGCCCAAAAACCTAAATATGTGGGTCTTTGACCCAAGGACCCTAGATGATGAGGTCTTTGGCCCCTACAACAACATTCATACCCTTGCGGTTTTCCTTTCGGAACACCACACAGCTAGTCAGGTAATAAAGAAAATCAGTGCCCAACCCTGCCTTCAGGCGTGTCGTAACTTGCATTGGCCGCCACGGTGTATTGAAAGGCGTTAAGCCCCTCGATGCGATCCACATTTCCAATCCCCAGACCATTGCGAGACACTCGAAAACCCACAATCCAGACAGGGCCCGGGAAGCCTATGCCTACAAAGTGGCTGCCATTGTAAGGCGCCCCTGGTATCCAGGAGCTGCTGCTGCCTCACTTCAACGAAAATGACAGGTGAATGTTTTGGAGCCCTGACTCAAACTGGGCCCACATGTTTGCCAAAAAGACATGGTGTATGTGTCGGAGCCATGACAAAACGTGATATGCTTGCCACCAACTTTCCACATCCACGTTGCCGTAGAGGCCGTCGTTGATGTTATTCAAGCAGTGGCCTCCGGTTCCATAGTCCTTCCCCTCCCCGGCGCCGCTTCTGTCGCAGGCCACTTGCAGCGAGCCCGAGCCGAAGGGCACGCCCCCCGCCGCCTGCGCGGCCACGTTGACGCTGGCGGTGGGACCTGTGAAGTCGAGGCTCGGCCAAGAGACGCTCGTCACGTAGGGGAGTTGGCAAAAGACGCCGGCCGCCCCTTCGAGCCCCACCAGGACCAAGCGAAACCGCATGGCTGGGGCTCAATCAAGAACTGGGACGCGCAGTCCGAGAGTGGGCTAAAGCAATGGTTGGCCTTAGCGCTGTGTGTGTGTGCTGCCTTGATCAAGTGCTTGACACCATGCGTTGAAAGTTACAAAAGGTGTCCCAGGCAGTCTGAAGAGATCAGCAACCAAAATTGCAAAGGTGCTAACATTAAAATGGAATGAAGCTATGGTTTGCTGATTGGGAGGCATGCCAGCATCCCAGGGGTCAAAGGGGCAAACGAAAGAGTGGGCAACATAAGGCAGCACAACTAGGCGGTAAACGAAGAACCACTACGCGCGCTGTCCGCACGCCAAGCCTTTGTTGGAGCCGTTCAAACGGCTGCAAGCGCACAAGTGGCCCATGAGGCTTCCAGGAATTCCATCTCTCACAGGCTGGCGGGCCCAGACCAAACCCCGCAGCTATCATGCCAGCTCCAATGGCTGCTGAACCCGCGGACCCGCGGGCCCCCGGAACCAACATCTGGCAACGTTGCGCTTACCGCTGCCTCAGCAAAACAGCGGCAAGTGCCCCCCTCCAAGCCAACTCTTCACACTTCCAAAGACCTTTGTGGCAGGACGCCGCAGGTAATCAAGCAACATCAACCCTTCGAGACAAGGGGCAAGCCTAACTATGTCGCCCCAATTCTGCCTAGATGCTCTTCCCTCCCACTCAGCCCGCCTGGAGTTATTTCAGGGCCTCCAACAGTCCTGCTCCCACTTTTGCTTTGTCTTGCTTTGGTTCTGCTCTAACAAGCGACACCCATCACCCGTGGTTTGTTTTGTGCGACTGCCCACTGCTTCGGTGCCCCGTCGCGCATCAAGTTATGCACTCCAAGCGCTGAAGCGGAGAAAGAAGCTAGAGAAGAAGAGCCTGGAATTCCAAGATGACCTTCTGACCATATTTTTGAACGCCTAGGAGCTCATGTGCCAAGCTTCATGTCTTGACCAGAGAAGTGTCCCAGAACTAGTTGCCTGGAGGCCAAAAACTGAGAACCCGCGATCCCAAACATCAGCCGCTGCCGCCCTGGTGCCCTCGACGATGGGGGAGACGTTTCTTTTTTGCGCGCGATCCAAGGCTCGATTCAAACAGAGTCTCACTTCCTGAGTGGACTGGCCAAAAATAAAGAGTCCAAACTTTTCGTTTGCCACTGAAATGGTAACCCGAAAAGTGACTAAAGTCCATGAACTCAGGGAAGTGAGAATCTTGGTGAAGCATGAAGCTTCAAAAAGTTGACGGAGGGCGCTGATGAACTCAGGCTCGGTGTCCCATTACCATTGAACTGCTGAACGCTTGGCCGGATACCTCAGCCGTGTGCAAACCATCTTCAAACAATAGCCCTTCCTCTGCAACGGGATTCTTCAATCTTTGACCAGGGTCTGATACAAGGACGATAGTCCGGCGGCCAAAACCCCATAAGGTTTGAGACCGGGGGTAACAGACCTCAAGCCCTCCTGGTTTCTATGCCAGAAACGTCTGTCGGGCGATGGGCGGGACCGAAGCCTGGACATCCACTAGCTTCCATTGTTGGTTCAGACCCCTGGAAAAATATGTCCAGTAGTGATAAATTCTTTCTAAAACCAACAGGAGCAAAAAAACAAAAACAACTTAAGCAAATGGAAGCTAGCTCGTCCCACGCCGCTCCCAGAAAGAGCCCACGGGCTACAGCTACGGCGCGCTGATCGATCAGAGCGGCTAGACGCCACTCCATCGGGGGTTCAAACGGCTAGAGTCGGGTCCTCAAAACTTGCTAAAATTATGACCACCAACAAATATATACATATATATATATATATATGGTCATGAACTACCGTAGATGAGGGCTTGTAGTGCAGGAAAGGTAGTTCTTGGGGGGGGGGAGCATATACATATATATATATATATATGTATACTTGCCTGCTCAGTGGAAAACAAAGGGAACCCCAAAAAAGCCCAAACAAATAAAAAGGGGGAACTAATTCTGGGGAAGAAAAAACACATGGTGATTCTCGTAAAGTCAAGGAAGTGAAGAAACGTGTTTGGCCTCCTAGTCATGAATGTCCCGCTCTGCAACTGAGACTTTGGGACACTTTTGGGACTGAAGCTGCTTCCGGCTCAAGAGATTCGTGGATGGACTTGTTGCCAGCGTCGTTGATGGGCGTGTCGCTGATGGGCGTGTCGCTGATGGGCGTGTTATTTGCGAGGCAGCGGGGGCAGGAGATGCTGACTTTGTGTGACCTGGCCGAATCAGCTCTGGCATTGCCGGCCAACCGGCTTGTGGAAACGCCTATGGTTTGATCCCTTGCCAACAGTTTAAACTGTTTGCGGGATTATCAGAATTCCCTCAACACTCTGTCTAGTCTGAAGGTATGGCAAGGAACCGCAGAATATTCTGGGTCATCTTGACAGGTAGCCGGCACGGTCGTTGCGTTTTAAACATCTTGCAACCCCGGCCTTCATGGGCCTGCCAGAAGGTACCCCGCGTCATTCATGAAGGGGGCCCGATCGGATCCTCTCGAGATGGTGCAGCGGTATGCCAGCCTGGGATTCTGTGACCTCCTTGGTCAAAGTGCCAACCAAACTCCTTCGGGTTTTCCTGAAAAGGAGGCCAGTGTCTGCTTGTTTAAACACATTTTGCCCGTGCCATCCTGAAGGTAACATCGTTGGTGAGGCATGGTCGCTCCATTGGGCGAGTAAGGGAAGCCCGCAGCATAGGCCCCAGCGCGAGTAGATCCTACAAAGGAAGCCGCCGCTTGCAATGCAGGCGCAGTCTGTGAAGGGGGCACAGCTGGGATTGCAGCACGCAATGCTGTGTTCGCTTTCAATTACTTGTTGCTGGCAGCATAAAGGGAAGGGGGCGTTCCATTGTTCCATCCACTAGGTATCCCACATCCGCGGAGGCAAACGCTAGCAAGGCCGCGCCACGCGCGTGCACATCTGGCTGATTGCGTTGGCCGTCATGCTCATGGGAGTACCATCAGGCAGGCAACCGAAATGACAAAGAGCGTCGAGCCGGATCATCGCAATACGAAGTTCCCGTCATGGGTCTGCTGTCTGTCAAGTAGCCAGCATCAGTACATGCGAAGTCAGCACAGGCGTGGAGTAGTCGAACATGATGCCATGATGCACCACGCCCATGCAGCAGCAACTGGCGTTGCCGCTATTGCCGAGACGGCACGAGCTGGCGTGCTTGATGCTGGCATCGGGGATGGCAAGTAGAGAATATGGCATTTCTTTAGGTGCATCCAAGAGGCCCCAGGCACCCACGCCAATGACTCATGCAATCATCTTTAGAATGGGACCACACACACACATGCGTCTGGTGGAAAATCTCCGTTGCGCAACCGCTTTGTGGGGGCTCATATCAATTCTCAGTTGAGTCCCCCAGCATGCTTTGGGGGGAAGGCTCCCCCCTCCAAAGGCAGAACCTTTTAAACACTCCCGCGCAAGCTCGTGTCATGTCCAGTTACTGCAAAACAATAAACTGCAAAACAATAACCATATCTTGGCTGTCAAAATGCAGGGTTGGCCATCTTCATCTAAAACCTATAATAACTGGCAATATGAACTTCAACGACTTGGATCATGCATGCTTCTGCTTCAATGACTGCATGTAACGCCAACATACGCCAAAGACACACACACACACATTCATGTGTTTTCATGTTTTAGGCACCCCTCCGAACCATTTTGGCATCGCTTCCCTTTGAAGCTATCCATGACAAAAGGGATGATTTCACCTTCATTTGCGAGTGGACGGAAAATAGGAAAACAAACGGCTCAGAGTTTAAATCACTTTGTTTTCAACAAATAAGATTATTAAACTAGTGTTAATCAAAGTTCAGTGGTCATAGAATTACCACCCTCTCAATGGCCTGACTGGTTCCCGTCCCGACTGGTTCCCGACTGGTTTGAACGTGGAAACCATCAATTGTCGCGTCTGGGGCCGAGTTGCATTGATTAACTCACTGTTTGCGTGGATTGGCAAAACTAATCAAACTTGTCGTTTGCCACTAAAATGGATTTCCAAAAAGTAAAAAGTGCAGGAACTCGGTCAGTAGGTTCATGTGGAGCTGGGGTCGCTTGCTTTGCTCACTTGCCCAGAAAACCTGGAACAGAATGTGATGGCCATTTGGAGTTAGGACAACGGGAAGGAAACCCCAAAGGTTTCAAGCGTGGGTTCCGGCAACCAGAATCATGATAGCACAAGGTGGCTTTTCGATCACACATACACAACCCTTAGCATCCCATACGGCCACGGGCTAACCAGGACTTGAGTAATGGAAATTAGTAAGTGTTCCCAACATGGAACCCTGGTACATGCAAAGGACTAAAACCAGCGGGCCAATTCCTGGTTCCATTCTGGCCCAAACCCAGTTTGTGAATAAATTTTGGGGCGATTCCCCTCACCCCTCCAAAAGTGGCCTGAATCCCCGCGGAGAAAAACAAAGAAGAAATGGACACCCCCCCAATTAAACATACGGGGGTTTACTCATCCGGGGTCAACATGAATAGTCCTAACTCAGTTGCCCAAAGCGAATCCAGCCTTTTGTTCATTTGGCTTCCAGGTGACCTGTTTTTTTTTCTTCTCTGGGTTGGCCCCGACCTGGGTATATTCATCCGGGGTCATAACCACCCCACGAACGAGGCTGAGCTCGCAGCCGTGCCAGACTTGGCCAAAACCATCTCCTCGCCGATGAGCAGTTGCAGCGGGTGCGGCAGATCCTGATGCTTCGCCTCGAGACCAAAGCGTCCTCTTTGCGTTTCTCCCCCTGAAGAAAGCTAGGTCCTCCAGTAGAGAGGTTAGAATAAGGGTACCAACTCTTTTCTGTAGTCTATTTTAGTAGGAGAATCCCCCCCAAAAAAAATGAAGGAAACGGCCATGGGTCAAAATCCAAATCGTACCCCCAATGAACATCCCAATCCAACCACTAAAATAGGTTCTAAAATGGGTGGTGAATTCACCTACCCCCAGCACCCAAGGCCGAGGGTGGTCCAGTTGTACCAGCAGGCTCTTGTGTGAGCCATTTTGGGTACAAAAATGTTTGGAGGGTGCTGGTCGGTTCCCTTTAAAACCAACAGGGGGAAATAAAACACATATTCCTTTCAGCAAATGGATTCAAGGTTTGGTGAGCCAAAATAATTGCCATGTTCATGTTGATGTGGGCTTGTCCAAGGTGTCACTTCTTGAATACCCCAAGGTAGACTTAAACCCAGGGGTAGTTGATGGGGAACCCCTGGGTTTAAGTCTACCTTGGGGTAGTCAAAAGTACAACCCTGGGCGTGTCACTCGTTTTAGGGAATCAACCCAACAAAAATGTTGGGTTTCCTTTTGGGGTGCCTCTAAAACCAGCCAGTCCATCGTGCTCAAGTATATCTTGCTCCGTCTAGATTGCTCATATCAAGTTGTTCCGCGCGTGTTTGGGATCATGTTTCATGCCGGACCTCCCGTAAAGCAGTCAGACCGCCTCAACAAGTTCAATTATTGGGATTTGAAGGAAGCAACAGCAATCCAAAAGAAAACCGAGGGGTTATTCAACATTTAGGTGGCGCACCAGTTCAGAAGGTCCATGCTGAAATCAGATAACAGAACCAAAGGGGAAACCTAAAGCAGACATGCCTTGCAGCATTCGGATAGTCTTTTTCGTGATCCAATGAATGTCATTGCATATACAAAGAAACACACCTTGGAGGAACCTGCACGCAAGAGTACATGTTTGGGGGATGTCAAGCAAGGAGATGCCTCACCTACTGCTCACATCACCCAAACACAAATCAAACACTGGCATTCAAGGGCCCGAGGGCCCGCCGCGGGGTTTCTTCGGGGAAAACGCGCGCGGCCTGGCCTTCTCCCAGGTCTTCTTGAGCCTCAAGTCACCGACAAAGAGCATCTTCACTCGGCGGCGAAATCTGCTAAGCCCTGCTAAAAATAACTAACCTTTAGGAATTTAATTCGGAAAACCCCATTAGTTGGATCAAAAAGTTGAAGTCCTAACATCCCTTGGCAAAATGCACCAAAGTTCATTCACCACCCCTGGGCCCAAGATCTTATCTAAGGTTCTTGGGCTAGGCCGTCTGAAAAACTTGGGGGGTCCGCGGTGAGCGGAGCGTAGGGTGCCTTCAATCGAGGCTGAACCTGCCAAAAGTTGGGAAAGTGGGGCGGAACTGGACCTGCAGCCAATTGGAGAAGACCCAAGTGCTCGGTTTCCCCTCGAAATCCCCCGAGGGGCCACGCCATCCCGATTAGTCTGCACCAGGTTTGCGCAAGCTTTCAGAGGCCGAAAATATTCAAGGAATTGACAAACTGGTGCCCGACTGGGGCTATCTCCGAATCTCTGCGAAAATAGTTTGTTTCAACATAATGTAGTCTTCCGGGGTTACGTTTGCTGCGTAGCCACCCCCCCCCCCGGCACATTTGGCCGTGCCGCCGATCTGGCCCGGACTTGCCGCACCTCCTCTGCAAGGTAGCCTCGGCGTAGTCCAGGCGGGCGGTATCCGCGATGTCCTGCCGAAAAGCTGACAAAGGGCGCTAGGAAGAGGGATGGCTCAAGTCAAAGCCGCCAGTTTTTTTCTGGAAAGGAACCGCCCCGAAAACAGGGAGCACCCCTCCAAATGCTTGACCCTCTGAGGACTCGCATGGAAGCTCCCAGACCTCTGTGGAACTAAGCCTTCCAAAGTGCTGGGAGCTTCCAGGTTCGTCTCGGGCAAGGGAGCTAACGCCAGTCAATCGGCCAATAGACTCAAGAATGAGAAGGTGAGAAGGTCACCACGTGGTTAAATTCGTGGAAACTACCCGTGTGCAACAACTTCGCATCCGGCCAGCCTTCAGCAAAGGTCGCAACTCCGCGATGCGGCCATGCAGTTCCCAAAGCGATTTTGCGTCCGCCGCCGACGCAGGCCGCTGCAAAGCCACCAGCAGGATTTCTAAGGTCAGCTTCGGCAACCGCTCCTGACAGTAGGCGTAGAAAACCAAATGCAACAATAAGCACGACAAGGGCGCCATCAGAAAGAAGCCACAATGCCGTGCGCGACCAGCAAAGCAAGGTGAGAGAAAATAAACAGCCATCAAGAACCCTCGGGACATAGGACCAGCTCTAAAACCCATTGATGCCGGGAGGTCATCCCCAACACCTTGAAGTGGAGGTTGGTGTACCCTCCGTTTCCTTTTGCCTGGCCCATGAAAGTCCACCCAGGGCTCCTTGCAAGTGCCAAGGAAGCCAAAAAGCGTTGACAAGACGAAGCCCCGCCAGCCCGATTTTTCGGTGTGCTTTTTTGAGGAGAGCATGGCCACTACCTTACATTTGTTTCAACCGAGTCAAAGCGCAACATAACTAAAATAAGGAATCCCCAAGCAACCTATGCCGCACCTTTTGGCTTGTAAGGTCGCTATGTGCCCATGCTCAACATCCCCAACTCCGAGCATCGCTTGAGTGGACCGCAACTGGTTGCATGGCTGTTTCTGCGATCTCTGTTTGTTTCGGTCCTCCAGTAGAGAGGGTAGAATAAGGGTACCCTTTTTTCAGGACGTCTATTTTAGTAGGGGAACCGAATCTCCCAACCAAAAAAGAAACGGGTGAGAAAGCTGGGGGAGCCTGTTGGGTAACACCCACATCTGCGGTTTGTTGGGTAACACACCCACCGACGGTTGCAGATTCCGCGCCTGCTTCAGGCCGCACCGCTCCAACAGCTCCAAGGCCTTCTGTGGCTCACCCAAAATCGATGCCGCGGCGGCGGCCGGCAGCGGCTGCCTTGCTTCGAACTTCGGACGAGTTCGACCGCCCGCGGCCCGCTGGCCTGCTGCATGCGCCAAAACGAGAAAAATCAACCCCTCCAAGACCTCAGCCAAAGATCGCTGACGAAATGGCAATCAACTAGACATTACTATGTTGCTTTTTGGTCCTGGGGGAGCTTAGTCAGTCTTCCGCTGGCTTCCTTTCAAAGTGCTAACCTGTAAAGCGGTAGTTGCCTTGACACATGCCTAAAGCTGTGTATCGATACATGCGCCTATACAGGTACATGCATGTGCTTTACACAAGTCGCTCCAAATGAATGCCCCCCACCAGATTGCCATGCTACGGAACTACGCCTGCGTGCTGTGTTGAGCGCATGTGCATGCATGCATGAAGACAAGTATGACCCGCGAAAAGTGGCAGTCCCCAATGCCACAGTGCCACTCCCACACGCTGCTTGGTCAACGTTCAACCCCTTTTGTCTTTCCTTAAGCTAGAGGCAATATGCTGTTTCATCCATATCGTCTTTCCTTTTGTCTTTGTTTTTGATCCATATGCTCTTCCTTCCTCGTTTCATTCAAGGGCAATATACACAATGTTTCTTCGTTCATCATCTGGCCATGGGTCAAAATCCCGGTTAGCCCCCAGTGAACATCCCAATCCCCACTAAAATAGACTAAAATGGGTGGTGAATTCACCTACCCCAAAATGGGATCCCAATACAGTGTTGACCCACAGCCATTTTACCTAGCGGCAAAGACGTAAGATGCTCCAAACAACGTGGGCCCACCGGCCAAGGGACTCGCACTGCAGGAGCTGTTCGCAGATCTGCTCCGCGTCCGCAACCTCCGCGAAGTAGATGAGGGCCTGAGTAGAATAGCAGGGATCCTTACATTATACACCTGAACATTGCCTTGTATATGGCGGGTTCCCTTTCTTTTGGTGGAAAAAGCCATGTTTCAAATGGGCAAAAATTATCTCTTAAGGAGCCCTGAATAAGGCAATATTTTTGAGGAAAAACGCTCGAAGCAGGAAAAAGTGTACGTTTACCATATTTTGGTGACGACCCCTTGTTTTTGCAATACGTTTGGACTAAGGGCAGACATTTAAGTAACGACGGGTGCTCCAGGTGGACACTACTGGGCCTTGTTTCTAGCCCCGTTTCCCGTATGTCCTACATGTAAAATGCTTAGTTGTTTGGGGGGGTGGGTTCCAGGGGCGTGTGTGTGTTTGTGTGTGTGTGTTGCTTCTGTGACTCGGGGGGCCCCAACGGGTGGCTTGGATGGGGAGTTCAACCCCTGGTTCTCGTAGAGGGTTAGTACATGCTTGGTTGCAAGCCAACCCCTCTGCAAAAAGCTGAACTTTTTTTGTGGGTTTAGCGCCAAAAAGTCAGTCTAAAAATCCAACCCAAGAGCAGTCGAGAATGGGACACCTATCCAAAGCAGCACGTAGAGGGAAGCCACAGGGTTGTGGGATCACCCGGGCTTTATCCACACAGTACAAGGGTTTTCTCCCCCTGCTGGGGAATCAGCGTTTCCCACAGCCCTGCCCTGTGGCGCAAAATCGGGCCCGTTGGTCCACCCCTCACCTGGAACCTCAGCGGCCATGGGATTAGGAAGAGCTCGCTTCGCACAGAAGTGCAGTAGCTTCAACTACTCGCTCGCTCGCTCTCGCTCGCTCGCTCGCTCCCTCACTCACTCACTCCCTCCCTCGCTCGCTCGCTCGCTCGCTCACTGACTCACTCACTCACTCCCTCACTCCCTCGCTCGCTCGCTCGCTCACTCACTGACTCACTACTCACTCGCAAAGCGAACTTGTCAAACGCTTGGCTGCCATCAAGGCAAAACCCTGCCGGTACAGCCTTTGGTTTTCACAGCCGTGCCAAACAACTGGCAAAGCCGAGCAATCCCTTCAAAGTAGAAGTCTCACGTTCTGGCATTTGTCTTTTCCTTCGCATTCGCCCCCCCCCCCCCCCAACATGATAAGTGCTCCCCCTCCCCCAACATGACAAGTGCTTTGTTTTGGGCGCCAGACCAACCACAACACTCGAGCCTGTTTTTTCCGCCGTTGCCCAAGCGGCGGCTCAACGGGCCCTTCCAGCCAGGCAGCGGTGCTGGGGTCCGGCATCTTGTGCCTGAACTCCGCCAAGAACTGGCGATAGCTCCTAAGGCGAAGGAACCGGTCCTAGGACCGGGTCCTCCAGACAGGTTAGATAAGTTGGTACCCGACTTTTTCTGTCTACAGAGCTACTTTTCCCTTGAATGCCATTTGCTGACGACCACTTACACACACACAAAAAAGAGAGCGAGAATTGAAGGTTCACCAACAAACTGAGGTGGTCCCTACTGATCAAGACACCACGTAAGTGAGCAGCGCTGTTAACTTTGGATTCATCCTGGCCATCGGCTTGAGTCACAGCTGGTTCCTCGTTTGTTGGGAATTGCATTCCTCTTAGTTGTACTGCTCAATCCAAACTAAGCATTACACTGACATGTTGGAGGAAAAAGCTGCAGATGCAAAAATGTCTTTCCTGCTCTCTTTTCGGGCTTTGGATGGATGGCAGTTTCATTGGCCTGTTAAACTTGACAGGGCTCTCGCTCTAAGAGTCAAGGCCATTCTTATGACGGTCACCGCAGCTTGCTTGACCATCGCGTGTAGAATGGCGATGGTTCCCAATGGTTCCAGGGAAAATTATTCAAGGAGACGTCCCACGGCCCTCAAGAGGATACCCTTTTTGTCCGCGTTGCCATGGAACCCACCAGAGAAATAGTCCCTCTTAGCACAAAATTGTCCTCCAGGACCCCCCTGTGAGGTTCTATGTTCGTGGATGGGAGGGTAGATTGGAAGATGACTTTGGGGGGTGACGACCCCGTTGCTTCAAAAAAAAGACTGCGTCCGAGTCTCTCCCTGCTCTTTCTTGCCAAACCAAAGGCCTCAAGAACCATCTTGCACCGCTCGTCGCCTAGCGGCTGAGATGCTGAGCGTGGGTCGCAGAACCCCACAGATTCCGCGGAGCTTCGCAACATGACGTGCGACGGCACAGTTGAAACCTAAGTTCCAGACCCCGTTTTGCAGAGTACCCACTTTAGGGGGGAAGACCCCTACAGTGCAACAGCCTTAACCGGGCTGCCCTCAGATCCTCTGCTAAAAGCTTAACTTTTAGTGGGTCAAATCGCAACCCCCACTCAACACTAAAAGTAAAAGTCTACAAGGCTAAGGAACCGGATGGCTGGGAGCCACCAAGCTAAGAATGCGAGGCCGCCTTTCGCCTGCCCTCCTTTCCGCCAAGCTACTGTTGGATGGCAGCAGCTGCATGCGCTTGCGCGCTGCCTCGTCAAAGCGCTCCAGCCCTGCCAGCGCAGGGGGTTGTATCCGCCCATCAGCGTGGGAAGCACTTCTCACACGGAGCGGCGATGGAACATATTATGGGTCTGGGTCAAAATTAAACCACCCAAAAACCGCAGATTTGAATATTTTTGTTCCATTTACCACTGGAGGGTCCCGGGGTACCTATTTTTGACCCACACGCTTCTGAATTCCGGGAGCCTCTTCAGATGAACAAGAATATTGGGCCCTGGGCCGTTTGAAAGGTAAACCAAAGGGAAACCGTCATCTAGACATGCGTGAGTCAGAGCAGGGCTCTCCCAAAAGTTGGTGATCCGGCTGGCTTCCTTTTCAACCAACCTGAAAAAAAGGCTTGCCATCAAAAGCTAACACGCAAACACACACACACACACAGACACACAAACACACAGACACACCGAGACACAGAGACACAGAGACACAGAGACACAAACACAAACACGCGCATGCACATGCACATGTTGTGGATTACCCCCAATTTGAGACACATCTCCGGAAGTTGTGCAGGGACACGTTGAAGCGCTTCCGGAATCTCGAAAGGCGAAGGCCGGAGTCAGGACGCGCCTGCCTCTTCGGGTTCAACAGAAAGCGTGCGACTTGGACCACTGGGTATTTGGGAGTGGGTCGAAAACCGGTAGATGAAACTCTGGTAAATGGAAACAAGGACTAAAACCTGCGGTCCCCTGGTGGTTTACTCTTGACCCATACCCACTTGATGGTATTTGGGGGACAGTCGTTGGTAAGTCATAAGAAGCCGTGGTCGGCAACAAAAGACAAGTGCCATTTTGCCAATGCAAAACACAAGGCAAAAACAGAAGGCATTCGTGAGATGCCTCCTGATTGCGCGCCGCCCGTCCTGGCCTACCAAGCACCTCACTTCCAAGTCCACATCCTGAACTGGCAGTTGCTGAAGCAGCTGGTAAGCCTGTTCGAAGTCCTGCGAGGAAATGTGGCCCAAAGGATGAGAGAGACCACGAGAGAGAGAGAGAGAGAGAGAGAAAGAAAGAGAGAGAGGAGACTAGAATGCTTGCCAACCTTGTCGTCAAGCAAGCCCTGCACCTTCCACAGACCTGCAAGGTCGGACTTTGGGTCACACCCCCAGTCCGATGTTCAAGGGCTCAGCACCTGATTCGATGGAATCAAAAATGCCTCCGTCCCGCAGTTTGAGGTTATCCTCGTTTTGGAAAAGTCCACTTCTTGCCTGGGTTACAGCAGCAAAGCAGGCAGGCCCCTCTATGAATCGTGCGCCCATCTTGCCCTCGCGCAAAGTCCTTGTTGTCCACCAGGCAAGGCACTGCGCTCTCAACATCCCCGTCCTGAGCTTGACCCCAGGAAAAGCGGGTCAAGCGTTGCCGGCCCAGCGCTTTGCTGCCACTTGGCATAGTGATTGTTTGAGGGTGCCACCTTTGGGCCCCCCGTTTTTGACACACACCCATTTGGCTGTGGGTCAAAACCCCGTACTAAAATGGGTGGTGTACCTATCCCAAAACCGCGCGGCCTGCAGGAAGAAGCCGGCTGCCGCCGAAAAGTCTTTCAACTTTCGCGCCAGACGACCGCACTCCTGGCGTCTGAGTTTACCATCTGTGGCTCTCAGGCGGACACGGGCTTAGATCTGCTCACTCAGAGAAACTTCTGAGGATGTACTTCTAGGTCCTCCGGTAGAGAAGTTTGAATAAGGGTACCAACTTTTTTCTGTAGTCTATTTTAGTAGGGGAACCCTGCCAACCAAAAAGGTTAGTAAAAGGGCACCTAGCTGGGGTACCTCGACTTCAAGGGGGTCAAAAAGGGGTCGAAGTAGGTACATCGTCGCAAGGTAGTTTGACCTTTCCTTTGTGCAAATATCATGACCATGCTGCCGTAGATTCGCTTCATGTGCAGCAGGTAAACCCACCATCAAGCGTGTAACATGGTTTGCTCCCAGTTGTCAAACACACTTCTAGGGAACATTTTCAAGCCAGTCGCATTTTCGTTACCCTCCCACCAGCTAACATGGAAGTGCACAGACCCCTGTAGAAAGACTACTTCTTCTTGGAAAGGGCCTTTGTGCACTTCCATGTTAGTTGGTGGGAGGGTACACATTGAAAACCGCGGGCTCGAGTTTGCCCATTGCATTCTCTCCGGTCAACCCACCTCTGAAACGAAACATGGAATTAGGATCGCAATTCCGGCGAGAAACACATAAAGAAGCATGTTGCTTGGGTATCATAGGATAGCTTTGTAATTCATAAACGAATGCCTCAAGTTCGAAGCACCTGTTGGGCGAGTCCTTCAACTTGCGGGGCACAAGCTGGAGAGCACCACCCCCTACAAGGGTTGATCTGTGACCAAGGGGTCAAACTGTCTCTTAAGAAAGTGGGAACGAACATCCTCTTGTTCCAACCGCTTTGAACGGCGCTTTTGCAGGTCAGAGGCTCAAGGAGCAACTCCCCTCCCCCTCCCGAGCCTCCCGCCATCTCCCGCCTGCCAGTCACCCAGGAGCTCAGTGACCCGCAGCTCGTCTTTCAATGCCCCGGCGCGGGCATAGAAGCCCCTGGCCTGCGCTTTGGCTTCATTGCGCCAAGGGACGAATTGCTCAAGGTTGCCAGAGGACCTGTTGCAGGTTTACCGAGAGGAACGCAGACCCAAGGGGCCAAGACCTCAATATCTAAGGCCTTTGGGGGGTTCAAATGCTTGAGGCAGTGTTAAGACAATAGCAGTTTCAAATTTGACGCAGTGAGACAAAAAAGAGTGATGTGACATTTGCGAACCTCAAGTTCGTGTACTGCCCCCGCACTACACATCCAGCGGACTAACAACACAACCAATTGTTAGTCGCACATGCTCCGAACCTCCACGCGGTGTGCCCCGGTAACTCACCCCTGTTTTTTTGTGGTTCACTCCTGAGTGTCCCCGGCAGTTCGTCTGGTTGTCTGATGGTCACCGGTGTTTGTCTGACAGGTCACATTGACGCAGTCAAAGCTTTGGTGTCCGCACGCAGTCGCACGGTAATTGATATAACGCACTTATAGGGGGGCGGACAATAACACAAAGGTCGAGCGTATACGCACGCATGGTCAGCCGTCATAGGGTGAGGCAAACGTCCTTCCTCTACAAGAGGTGGTCGGATTAACTCCGATCGACGGGGAGCAACGGGACGGGCGACTAGGTGTGGGGACTTGGGACAACGCTCACCTTGGGGACTCGGGGTGGCCCTGTCCTCTCCCCTCAACCTTCCGTTCCGGTAAGAGGCGGGTGGGCTCCGACTCTTCGAACTTTATGACGGGGGTCATCTTCGTGTACGGCAAAACAGACTAACCTTAGCCCCAAAAGGGTACAACCCATGGTTCTGCACACGTAGCTGTGCACATGCTCAAAGGGCCGGTACACGAGACAGAATGAAACGAAAGCGGACCTCACTCTCGAGCGTCACACACTGGGCCGCAGTAGGTTCTTCTCTCTTGTCTGGACGAACTTATGCTGACTCGCAGGTAGAAAGTCGTCAAACAATTCGACACAAACTTCGTGAACGACGAAAGCGGTTGGTTGGGCGGGGCTTGTTTCGTAAACGACAGGCCCGAACACGTAAAATGACGGGTCGGATCCGTATTGGGACGTGGAACGTGCGCAGGATGGGAGCGGTCGGGGGAGCAGTAGATCCAGCCATCAAACTGGCGCAGTTAGCGGAAGTGTGGGAACTTCGTGAATGGCAGGCGGTCTTGTTGCAGGACGTGAAGCTTGGGGCAAGTGGGAGAGAGAAACTGCGAACCAAAAAGGGGGAATGGAATATCATCCATCGGGGGAAAGTTGCCATTGCAAGAAACAGTGAGCTGACGCAGGTTTGGGAACAGGGGGGGTGTCAGGTGCACGTCGATGGACACGTAGCTGGCGCGTGGTGGTATCGTCTTGGACGCACGTGGTTCACATTTCGTGCACCCCCTGCACAAATTTGGGCTGACGTCCTCTGGCGTCGCGCGGCTTACCGCAAAGCCCAGCGTCCTTTGGCGCAGCACCCCGCACCGTGCACCCCCCCCATTTGGGTCGACGTCCTCTGGCATCAAGCGGCTTTCCGCAGGCCCGAGCGTCCTTTGGCGCCGCACCCCCGCACTTCCCCCTTTGCACTTTGCGCCGTCATGGTCGCGCACGGTCGTCGGTCCTGTCTGGTCCTTGTGCAAGCCCTGAGACGGGCGGCCGAGGCGGCGCAGGCTGCCAGGGCGAACCCGGAGGGGTGATGCGGCGATCTAGCCGACCGGCCTTTTTAGCAGCACGCCCGATGCCGGTCACCAGCAGCTTCACTGGTTTCTTTTGGGCACACAATGCCCCGGCACCGGTGCACAGTTTTCACTACTGCACGATGGGCTATAGCCCGTGATGATGGCGGACTACGCTGGCGGGGTCTACTTCTTTTTGGGGCAGCAATTTGCCTCCGCTTGACCAACTGCCGCGAACTTCGTTTGCCACTGCAATCACACTCAATCTATCTCTCTCTCTCTCTCTCTTCTCCTTTCAATCTACTTCTTCAGAAAGGTCCGCTGACACACTGTCGGACACTTTCTCCGTCCGCAAAAGAGGGACCCCGAGCCCGAGCCAGGGGCTGTGCCGGCCAGGCTTCCCCAAAAGGAAGCTGTAGGTCGACTGCTGCTGCTGCTGCAAAGCCCTCATACTTAGGGTCTTCGGCTCCCAGGCACGTGTGATTCTAAGGGGCGATTTGGTCACGCATTTTCGGACATCGGCTTCGCAGGTCGCCAGGGTGAAAGCAACTGGATCGGTCCAACCGAGCTGTAGGGTGAGCTCCTAGTTAATGGTTGGGGCCTCCCATCTTCTCTCTACAACAGCCAGGGACCCGTTCAAATCCCCAAACCTCCAATCCAAACCTCCAACTAAGGGGCTTAGCGCGCAAATGTAGTTGAAGCTCTGGAGCGTTTCCTTGAAGTTACCGAAATCCAAGTTCAAAAAGCGACAAAGGCAAACCTTGGCACATGCGAAGGTGCTGTCCGCACGATTGCATTTCGGATGTGAAACACGCCTTCCCGTTTTAACTTTTTTTGGGTGCCTGCATTGAGGCTCGGCATCCGTTGTTAGGGTTAAGTTTCAAGTAAACCAATGGCACAACACATCATCGTCCATTTGCTTAAATCCCTTGATCCTTGGGAAGAATACATCCTGGAGTGATAGATTCCCTTCAAAACAAGGAGGGGGACATAAAATCGAAAAACGGAAAGAACAAAAAAGGAGGGGGGGAAAAAGTGTTCTTAAGCAAATGCAAGTCAACTCAGCGTTCCCCCAGTTTGAAGCCACGCTCCTTTCCAACCACGGGGCGAGGAAATGGCCCCGCCTTCCGCCACGCACTCCGCTGGCGGCCATCATCCAGGAAGCTGTAGACCGGCTGCTCCGCCATCTTCTCGCAGACGCGGCCAGCATCGCTGAAAAGCCCCGCCTCGCTGTCCACAGATAGAATCCCCAACAAGGAAAGCAGACTTCCCACACCTTCAGATTCAGCTGGCCCCCCTCCCCCCAAAAAAAAACAAGAAGAAGAAACAAACAAAAGACAAACAGCCGGAACACACAGGGGTGGAAAAGGGTTGCTCGTCTTCATATGAATGTTTTGGAGCGAAACAACCACCTTCTCCGTACCGCCTTCGGGGCAGAAATCGAATGCCGCTTCAGCGGCCTCAGCGGGGTATTTATCTTGGTTGCCGTTGGAAGGTGCGGATTTCAAGCACTCAACCGCAATCAGCAAAAAAGTAAAATGCTTCCCAACAACAACCACGTTATAAGAAAAAAGCAGTGCCGCGGGTCTATGAGGAAAGGCATGGAAGGTGAGGGGATTGGGGAGCCGTCCATTGAAGCGCGATCTGAATTTCTTTGCTTGGAACACCTTCGCCTTGTGATTCATATGGCCACAGAATTGCCTGAGCTCCAAGCACTTGATTCCATCCCCGCAGCATGGTCTGACATGATGCTCCATGTAAGTTAGCTCCATGTAAGTTAGCTGAGTCTTTCTCTTTCCGCAAGGTGCAAATCGGAAAGTAATCGCCGAGTGGCGCTGATTCCATTTTGCAACACATTATCACTTTCTCACTTCCTGAGTGGCTTGGCCAAAACAAGTCAAAACTTCTTTTTTACCATAAGAAACGGGCCTTCCCAAAAATAATAATAAAAAAAAGCTCCATGAACTCAAGAAGCGAGCTTTTCAGGCTAGGTTTCGACACGTACAGACGCTGCTCAGTCCCGCCATGTCCCGCCTCTTGGAAGAATTGCGTCGCCTGCGCGTAGTCTTCTCGCTGCTCAAGAAGACGTGCCGCCTCTGCTGGCTCCCGGAGCCTTGGTCCACGGCTGAAACACCGAGGTCCTCCAGTAGAGAGCTTAGAATCACGGTACCAACTTTTTTCTGTAGTCTATTTTAGTAGGGGAACCGAATCTCCGAACCAAAAAAGAAACGGTCAAAGTTGGCATTTAGCTGGGGGACCTGGACACGTTCTTTTCCCGGCGAGATCGCTGGCTTTTCCTCCAACAAGTCTTCACAACCTGTGTATGGCAGCAGAAAACTGACTGTTTTTTGCAGCCCCCTTTCGAAAATGAATAGAACAGAAACAACAAAAAAAAACGCAAACAACTTGCCAAGAACAGTGAAGAAATGTACAGCCCTCATGCAACAAGAGCGGGTTGAGGGCGCTGATCACAGCAAAGCTGAACACAAGGTGATGTGTTCAAGAAACACAAGGGAATACATAGTGCGAGAAAGGGAGCAAAACAACGTGCTGGTGGATTGGCCCTCGCATGCGATCACGACAAATGACCTGAAAAAAGACTGGTAGCTCCTTGTGAAGACCAATGCAGCGGACCAGCAAGTGGTTCCGCAGGGCTGCATCATCAATCCTTATGTGCGGTACGAAAGTGTGCAGAGATCGCAGGGCCTTTTCCGCAAGCCCGGGCTACCTGCAAAAGACATGATTGCCAATTTGGTGTTCAGCTCCTACCCACGATGTAAAGAACCCAACATGGCCATGGGTCAAAATCCCGTATTTCCAGTGAACATCCCAATCCCCACTAAAATCCCGACAAAAATTACCCCAAAATGGGATCCCGGTGGCCGATGTCAACATTGACCGACGGCCGTGCTAGGAACAATAGTTCGTTCGGCAACAGGATGCCTCACAAGAGCAGACACAACCTGGAGTCTCGGCATGCCTTCAGGCTACCAATTTCGCAGTACCAAAAGCAAAGAAAAGGGTGCCCTTACTGGTAACACTAGAACTAAACCATGGCTTACCTGCAACAGGTGCAAGGCATTTGGGGCAACGCGCGCGCGCCCTTTGCTGACTGAGAAATATTGGCCGTGACGAAAGCAAGTCACATCTCGAAGGAAGGGAACCTTCATGAGTCAGCTGACCAGGTGGAGCTCATGAGCATGTTGCTACAGATTGGTCGCCTAAGGCAAGCAATGCTGACCCACGATTTGATGGTTGATTGGGGCGAGTGCGGCATTTCTTTTAAGGGTTGAGAACACCCCCCACACGAATCGAGTTGATGTGTTAATGAGTCCAGGGTCGCCAGGGAACTTGCAGAAGATCCCGCCATTTACCGTGGCTTAGGGGTCAGTGAGCCATGAGTCAGCCATGACCTTGCCGAGGTTCGCTTGGTCCAATAGGGCTCGGAGACACCGTACTTCCTTGGCATATTCCTGGACGCGCCGGGCGTTCTCTTTTGTAGATGGTTTACCTGGCGACAACTTGCTGGTGCGATAGGCAAGGAATGAGAAATGGAATGATCCCTATAGACCATCCAACTGGTGGCTTCCTTTAAGGGAATCCCTGGGTTCATTCCCACATTCTCTACTTATCGCACCAGCAGCCCAGCCCCCCAGCTCCACTCCTGGTGGGATTTGTACAGCCGCGCGGCCTCCAAGAGATCCTCCTGACACAACTGACGGCCCTTGTAGACATTGGGGGTCACAAGTCTATTTTCTAGCAACACCAACCCCCCCGCGTTTTTGCCAGTGAGTCCCTTTTCGATGACTCACTTCCTGAGTTGATGGGCCAAACAAGTCCAAACTTGTTGTTTAGCACTAAAACTGGTCCAAACCAAAAAAAAACACCAAACAAATGAGCAAAGATTGGGGGGTTACAAGTCTATACAGCAGCCCCAGTCAGTGGAAGAGGTGTCGACCTGGGCCTGGCGGCCTGGCGGCCTGGCGCCCTGGCCTGCACGTCGCTGGTGCTGAGCCGCTCTGCCGCCCGCATGGGCTGGCGCAGCTCCAGATAGCACCCCGCCTCCTCTTGGAGCAGCCCCGCGCTCCTCACGGAATTGGGGTGCAGGCAAAAAACCACGGCCCTCCGCGGGAGGCTTACCTCTTCTGATTACTCTTGCCATGCTCCTTTGAGATCTCTTGCCGAATAAGGCCAATTGGCGATGCTCCTTTGAGATCTCTGGCAATGACCAAGGCCCTGCCTTTGGACACAATGCTGGATCCGAAGCTGGCGTGGACACTCCAATCGGTTTGTGGTACGGCTGAAGCAGTTGGGGGTGCTGTAGAAATACGCGGAGGGACCAAGGGGGCTTGGTCCAGTTGGCATGTGTCGCCATCTGTATTCCTGGGACCAGAAACTAAAAGGGCACACGCCGAGGAGCCACCATGCATCCGTTTTCTCGTTGGGGGCGGGGGGGGGGAGGGTTGGCAAGCTAAAATCTACCTCAACATAACCTGCGGCCATACAAGTATTGATCGTTTCTTCAAAGTTCCTTGAACGCCCAAACACCCAAAAGTGCTTCTTGCACCTAGCTTATCCGGGTGGCGTCCATCTGTTTCCAAGTCGCTGAAAGCAGGATGCCGCCTGCTCAAAATTGCCCTCGTTGAAGTACAGCTGGCCAGCCCCTGCTTGATCATCCATGTCCTGGCCCCCATGTCAGAACGCAGGCCTTAGAAGACACTGCTTCACACATGGCTCTGGCCTCTGGCTCAAAAAACCGATACCAAGATGGGCAACCAAGATGCGGTTTGCCCCCCGTTTCATTTTGAGCCACACCCACATTTCAACATTGGCAAAACCAAGCCAACAGACCCGCCGACCTGGAGGACGCGGAAGCATTCCTCGGTGCTGAGCTGTTGGGAGCCATGGGCCTCGAGCACCAGAGACTTCACCGTCTCGTTGGCCTCCGGGGAATCCTGAGGCACCGGCAGGTGGTTGGGTGGGTGGGTGGCTGGTTTGTTGGTTGGGTAGGTGGGTGAGTGGTGTGTCTGGTTGGGTGGGTGGGATGGTTGGTTTGTTTGTCGGTTGCTTGGAAAGAGCCAACAAGGGATACCAACAAAAAACGCAAGCCCGTCATTCACAACACTGGTACTCGTCATTTGGTCGGTCCGGCCACCATTTGGAAAATCTCCCGTGTGCGCTTGCCACGCGCATTGTCCAACTGAAAGAACTCGAGACGGAGTTCAAGTGTTGAGCCAAGATCTAAACGATTTGCTTACATCTGGGTGTGTCTTGTTGCTGAGGGTACTTGGTTTGGTGGTTTTACAGCTTAAAGCTGTGTGACAAAAATCAAACTGTCCACTGCAAATCCCGGCGAGTTGGGGTGTCTCAAGTTTTTTCTCAAAAATGATGCAAGCCAAATGGCATCAGCAACCTGTGGCTCAAAATGTCTCTAAATTTCAAGTACGTAGTCTGCAGAACTTCAAACTCAAAAGGAAGCTCCAGCGATACGAAATGAAGTGGACACTCGAACCCAAATATGACAAGGAAGCTACAGCAATACTAAGTTTACCCAGGCTTGCTACCCCCCTAAGAAAAATGAGAAAATGTGTCCAGTAGCGAAATCAATTCCCCTTAAAAAACGAACAGGGCAACGAAAACAACATATTCATTTCAGCAAATGGAGGGAACAACAAATCGACTCCCTTTAACCCAACCAGGGCAACAAAAGCAACAAAATAACTTCAGCAAATGAAAGTGTTGGGAACAAGTGAACTGGACTACTGCTACGGATCGAACCGGGCGTCGGCACGCAGGAAGCTCTCAATGGCGTCCCGCAGCAGCCCGGCCTGTGATACGCCGGCAACATGGCTTGGACGACAACCCATGGGTGTGGCTTTAACGGACGGACCTCCAAAACGGGTGGTTTACTTGAGGCTTCCATTTTTTTTTATTTTTTTATTAAACAAAAAAAACAGTGGGGCCAACTACACAAAAACTTTGTGTGGTCCATGTTTCAGGTTCAGCAACCGCCTTTAGACTTGGCCCACAGACCCGGATCGTCAACAAATACATTGAATCTGTTCAGAATCTGTTTCATACGTAGCCTACCCTGAAACACACGAGCTACTCTTGCTTTCGCTTAAGTCCCCTGACAAAATCTCCAGCAGTGCTAGATTCCCTTTAAACCCACCGAGAAAATGGAACATATTCTTGGGCAAACCCAGTGATTTCAGTTACCACTCTTATGGTAGGCAGCCAAGTGAACCACACCCTTTAAAAGATCAAAAGCAAAATGGCTGGTTATCTAATCATTATATCAGTTATCGTGGCTTGCACGAGATCCACTGGGAAATGAGAGTACTTTCTGGAGGCCCCTTTGGCCTCCGAAAGCAATCTCTCATTCGGGGTCGCCACCATCTTGTCGACTCTTCCAACCTTAGAAAGGGAAACAGGGGTCATTCCTCTCTGATCGAAATCCATATCCAAGAAAAGAGAAAACGGCTCACCATAAATGGAGATCTCCAGGCGGGCACCCTCTCCCAATTCCATGCTAACTTGCTGATGCGGTAGGCAGACAATGAGAAATGGAATGACCCTTGTAAACCATCCTTTTCCTTTACAGAACAGGTCACCCTGAGCGTGCGCTTTTTTGTGTGATTAAATTGATTCTTGCAGGGAACACACATCTTACATCCAGAATTTAGAGGGGGATCCCTTCCCAATAGAACAATACAATGGAGTTAGAGTTGAAACATAATTTGATAAGGAATGAATCCAAACACCACTTCTATGCTATAATAGAGTTTAAATTAGACGGACTCTATTTAAATGGTAATTTACACAGCATGTTCTGTCCAATGAATTTCTTTGCACTTCAGTTAAGATTTAAACAAACATAGTTCAACTTGAGTTTCCACTCAAAACGTGGAAAACAGAGGAGAAAAAACACGCATGCTCACTGCGTCCCGCTCTCTAGATGCAAACGTTCATTCCCACATCCCCCGTACTGCACCAGCAAGAGGGAAGCGAAACATGGCGAAACCATCGCATTCCTTGATTTGTTTCCAGCCTCCTTTGGCCACAACCTGCCTCTGGCGCCCCTTGATTGCCTTCTGCTCCCCTGCTAAACGTGAATAATTTGAGTGGTTTAATGAGGAAAAACCATTAGTTGGCAAAAGATGAAAGTCCTAACATCCCTTAGCAAAATGCAACAAACATAGGCGGCCTTTTGGAAAAATAGATGGCCCTGATAAATGGAATAAACCCCATCTAAACCAGGGATCGCCCACCTATGTTGTAAGAAAACCAACCGAAAAGGACACGTTCAGCCACCGCCACGGGGCGCCCCCCCCCGCCCCCGGTGCGGCGCGGAGGCCTCCTCAAACAGCTGCCCCGCGCGGAGGTGGCGCTTGGCGGCGCTGCAGGCGCGGGCCGCCTCCACCTGCCGGCGGTGTGGGAGGCGGCGGACGCTCTGACAAGGCGGGGGCAAGGGGTGTGTAGAGGTGTAGGGCTGTAGGTGTGGGTGTGTGTAGGTGTGGGTGTGTGCTTCTTTGCTTGTTTGCTTGCTTGCCTGCTGGCTTGTCTCAGAACGGGGAAAACCTTGGCCCACAAAACCGGGGTGCAGAGGAAACTGTTCTATGTTCAGTCCCTGAAGTATAGTGTTTGGAGCAGACTCTCTGGGCACCCCCTGTTTGGGCCCGGGTTTCATTTAAGGAAAAGAAGGCAACCAACCGCTGGTCCGGCAAAAAGCACCCGCAACCCGGCAACTGGCCATCGGACAAAAGAGTTGGGCGACCAAGACCTCCGGCCATGGAAGCAGCACCGAGCCTCAAAATCCCTACCGAAAGGGTTGGGGAGGAGGCGCTTGTCCGGGTTCCCGGGCCCAAGGTGTTTCCAGCGTCGCGGCAAAGATCGGGGTAGACCAAAAAAGGATTTCTTACTTTTTTTGTGGGGGTTGAGTGATTAGGGGCATCTGGGTTCAAGTATCCGAACCCAAGCGAGCGGTTTCAACCACTCCGCTCTGGCACGCCCTGCCTTTAGCTCAGGCTTCTCCTCTGCCAAGGTCTCAAACAAATCCGCCGCCTGCGGAGAAACAGGCAAAGGCTTGCTGACTGCACGTGGTGACCATGTAGTTGACAGGGTCAAGTGGCTGCCAAGCAGCGCAATCCGTTGCCCAGCTTCGAGATAAAGGGAATTCATATCAACCGAGTGACATCAAAGCAAACAAGGATTCTGGACTGCCGTCCAGCTGCGCTTCAACTAGTGTGAAAACACGGCTCCTCACACAATACACCTACTTGCAAAGACACCTCTCTGAAGACAACTCACATGTCAAGCGACAACCAACAATTCATGGTTCAATTGGAACCTTTCAAGGGAAATCAAACGTGTTCCGACAAATGCACAAATGGTGGCAACACACACCGAAGAAGCGCGCCCCAGGTAGGACCCCATGGGTGCTACCAAGTAAAGTGGGCAGAAAATAATTAAAGAATCCAAGGCAAGTGAAGTGGGCAAAAAAAAAAAACCCAAGGCAAGTGAAGTGGGCAAAAATAATTAAAGAATCCAAGGAAAGTGAGGTGGGCAAAAAAGAAAAAAATAATCCAAGGCAAGTGAAGTGGGCAAAAAAATAAATAAACAAATCAAAGGCAAGTGAAGTGGGCAGAAAAGAATTGAAGAATTCAAGGCAAGCGAAGTGGGCAAAAATAATTAAAGAATCCAAGGCAAGTAAAGTGGCCAGAAATAATTAAAGAATCCAAGGCAAGTGAAGTGGGCAAGAATAAATACAGAATCCAAGGCACGTGAAGTGGGCAAAAACAAATCAAGAATCCAAGGCACGTGAGGTGGGCAACAAGAATTAACGAATTGAAGGCAAGCGAAGTGGGCAAACATATTTAAATAATCCAAGGCAAGTGAGGTGGGCAACAAGAATCAAATAATCCCAGGCGAACATGTCAGGCCATTTTCCCGAAAGCACGTCTTTTGAGCGTCTGGTCACCCCACGCCTGCTGTGGGCGGCCGCCGTAGAGCAGACACTCCGCCTGCTCCCTGCGCGCGTTCGCCTCCTCAAAGAGCCCGGCGGCCTCTTGGAAGAGGCGAGCCCCTGGCAGCGGGGTGAGTAGCCCGCAGATCCGGGTGGATCACCCTCCGAGACCGTCGTTTCTAGGGAAAGCCGGTTGGGTTTGAAGGGAGCGGAAAAACCCTGTGCAACCAATCAACAAAGGGAACCTGCTTTGGGGTTAAGTTAGGGGGGATCCAAAAAATGAACTGTCACTTCTGAGGCAGATCCGGGAGGATCACCGCCCCACCAGGTGTGTGGGTGGGTGTGTGTGGGTGTGGGTGGGGGTGGGTGGGGGTGGGTGGGGGGTGTGGGGTGTGGAGGTGTGGGTGGGGTGTGGGGCCATCGTTTCTAGAGAAAACCGCTTCTTTGGGTGAAGGGAACCTCCTTTAGGGTCAAGTTGGGGGGGGATAGTTAGTTGAAGTGACACTTCTAAGGCAACAAGGGCATGCATGGATGATGCAGGTTCTCCTCCTGAGGACCATGTATGCGCTTGCCCTTTCCGGGAACCGCAAAACGAAACACAGACCCATCATATAAATGTGGCATGCGAAGGCTACCTCTGTTTGGGTTTGAGAGGAATCCAGAAGGATAATCACCCTTTTGGGGGTGCCAACCTTAAAACAGACACAGCCGCAAAGGAGAAGTGGGGATTCGAGGGTGCCCACTGAACAACTGGGGCCTCGACAAGAGTCCGGCGACTTCGGCCCCCACTCAGGGTCGTGGCTGGCTCTGCGGTGAAAGCTGGCATCTCAAGGAGGCCGCTCGGGCGTTCGGCCAAGATCTATCTGAGACCATCGAACCTTGAAGGAACACATTGGGCCCACTGCCGTGCTGCATGCGGCTTACCAGCAAAGCTCGGCATCAATCAACGAGGCAAGTTCCCTCAATGCATCTTCCGCCGAAACGCGTGGCCCCCCATCTCCCCCACTTGCCTTCCGCCTCGGACTCTTCCATCGCCCGCGCCGCCTGCGGAGTTTCAGCGGGGCAGTGTCGGCAAGCCGTACAAATTGGGTTGCCTGTGGACGAAGTGCTGAAACCCCTACGAATGGGACAAAGCACCTACTGGCGCTTGAATGATTTTCGTCCACCCACAAGTATTGCAGGGTGACGTCTCCTCACCGAAACCATGGGGCTCCACCAGAAGCCTTTACTCCATTTGGTTCAGGCCCCAGGAAATACAAAAAAGCCTTTACTTCATTTGGTTAAGGCCCCATGGGCGAAAAAATAAATATTTTCAGTAGTGATGATTTTCTTTTAAGACCAACAAACAAAAATAAGAACATATTCTTAAGCCAATGGAGGCGGAAGCTGATCCGTGGCTGGAAGCCGTGGCTGGGGAATCGGGATCTTCCGGGCGGTCGCCCGCCTCAACTCGTCTTCCGAACCCAAGGGGGGCCTTCGGTCGCCCAATTTCGGCGGTCTCCGTCCAGTCCCCATTTCAGAACACAGCACTTGGAGATGAAAAAAGGACAAGGCGAAAGAATCAAGGAAGAATCCCATGTTGCACAAGCCAACGGCCTGAAAAAAAACAAAAACCCACCCAACCAATTTCTCCGCCCCGCAAACCATCCGCCCTTGGCTGAACTCCGAGATCCGTCCTTTGCTGAGTCTCAGTTGCCCAAAGGACCTGGAACTAAAAGGTTAATTAACCTTTTGGGGCCATGACTAAAAATGGGAAAGCCAAAATGGGAAAACCAAAAGGTCAGATCCGGTCGATTCCCTTTGAACAACTGAGCTCTGAGGACTCCGCCTGCTGCGCCCGCATGAAGGCCCTGCAGACCTTGGCCATGTCTTCATCCTCCGCCCGCAGGAAGGCGCCCAAGGCCTGCTGATAGAGCTGCCTCGGGGGCCGAAGGCCGAAGGTGGGCCGAAGGCCGAAGCAACCGGTTGCTTCGGAGCACCGACTCGGCCCGGTGGGTTTGGTGCTTCTCGAGGCATGTCCATTCTGAACCCAGAAACCCGAATCTTTCTAGAAAACCGCCAAACAACCCTGGGGAAATTGCGTTTTGTTTTGTTTGTTTTTTGAAAAGAACGATGGCTGAAACGAATGGGGAATCAACCCCTAGAGTTCTTGAGGCTTGGGGCGAACGGCGGATGTCTAGCACTGGCTTGTCACTGGCTTCAAACGAGCCCAACATATGAATCTCGAAGGGGTCGCCTGTAGGGAAGTGACCCGAAGACTTCTGGTAGAAGCACCGCGTCGAGCCAACCGGCCAAGCTGCAGTACAAGCATTAATTTCGCCAACTGAAGTCATGAGCCAAACAAGGGGGGCTCCCAAAAAACTCCCCTTGAGCATCATGCCACTGAAGGAATTCTCCAAGATTTGCACAGGTGAAGTTCAAAACCGCAAAAATCCATCTTTCAGCATTCATCCAAATCGATTCCACATCAACGAGGGAAAGCATCCATGGAAACAAGATCCCCAGTTTGCCTCAAGTGGACCGTCCCCAAAAGTCTGCAACAAGTCCAGGAAGTCGGGAAGTGACAAATTATGATGTGTCGATTGGGCGCGTTGGGCGTCACTTTTCTGGCGAAACGGCCCAGCCGCCGAAACGGCCCGGCCCAGGTCCCGCCTGCGCATGAGGTTGTGGCCCATCTGCCTCCAGGACTCTCTGCCCCGATTCTTGCCCGCGTGCTCGTGGATCTGGCGCCGCGCCTGGATCGATGGGCATCCATGGGATCTTTGCATGAGACCCAGGCGGTTGAAATGGAATCCACGAATCTGTGATACAACAGAAAGGCCCGAACCCCAAAGACTGAGCCCCCCCCTTTTTTTTGAAGGGGGAGATTCCCTTGTATCACAGAAGTGGTTGGATAAAGCCCCCCTAAAGAAGGCCTCTACGATGGTTGCTTTCGCCAACCACGCAGCGTGGACCGGAAAAGGCTCGCTCTTCAGGGCTACCCCAAACCAACAAAACTGCAAAGAACAAAAACATCTTCCCCGCTTCGAAAAGGCCCAAACAGGGTTTGCCTTGTGGACCCCTTTTGGGAGAATATAAAGAGACCCAAGTGTCGAGTTGGCCCATTAGGCGAAACAAAATGCAAAACCATGTCCTTTCAGAGCCATCTAAAATCCAGGCATCGAGGTCCCAGGCCATTTTTGTTTCTGTCCCTCCCTCTCCACGGGTCAAGCAGTTCCCTCCATTCGACTCCATTCGACTCCCTCCCTCTCCATGGGTCAATCAGTTCCCTCCCTTCGGCTCCGGTTTTCCTCCCTTCGCCGCTTCGCCCCTTCGCCTCCGCATTCTCCTCCTCCATGAGGCCAAAGTTCACCAGGCCCATGACCTTCCAGAGTTCGAAGACGTGCTTGGCCTGCGAAGATCCCAAGCCTCCACGCCTCAGGTTCTTCTTCATATCCTCTTGGTTGCGGTAATTTGCCCCCTCTGCAAAAAGTGTTTGCTTTTCGTGGGTATGGACAATCCGACCTGCTTTGCCAAGAAGTCACTGTAAAGTCCCCAAAGATCCAACATAGCCATAAAGACCTATCCAAGCAGCCAATCTGGGCTTCAAAATGGGACCCCGATTTGTCTCAAACCGCAACACGCAGGACAACAGGAAAAGCTCGATTTGGGGGGGGGGGGAGGTCCCCTAAAACATGACACTCCAATGTTTCATTTGTTACCGCAGTACCGCATCCAGGGCCCAACAAGTTTAACGTGGAGTTCGCACATCTTTTCTTTGGGAGGGTTCTAAATGGAAGCAGGAAAAGATCGATATATGGGGTCCTGTAAAGACCCCATTGTCTAAGGGCCGTGCTTGCGACTGAAAACCCCATCGGGTCAGACGCTGCCTGCTCCATGTCCTCCTCAATGATCAGCAGCCTGCGGGCTTCTGTGAAACCCACAATCCCCGCAAAGGCTCGGTGCCCGTCTTTGCGCCCCCCCAGCCCTGAGACTTCGCTCTCAAACGTTTGTCAAGGTTGTGGGGAAGTGGCAAGGTGACCTCCGGCCATTGGTCGAATAGTTTGGCAAAACGTAGGCCCAAGCTTACACATGTGTAAGGCCACAACGTGCTTGCCAGACACCTTCTTAACACAAAAAAAGTTGGCAGGGTCCAAACTCCCAATCATGTGGGGTTTTCTTTTTGTCTGGCAACCGTTTTGTGGTTGGTTTCACAGGCACACCAATCCAACAACCAGCGTTCTTCTGGGCCCCTTATGAAAAGATCCATGTAGAAGTTTGTGTGCTTCTTGTCCCCCCATGGCCATCTACATATTAACAAACCAACAGTAATAAGATATGTATGTATATACAAAGAAACAAAGAAAGCAAACGCCCATAGCCATCTACATTTCTGACCTCTGCCGACGGGCGACACGTGTTTTGTCCGCGTCATGGCGGTGTAGAGGTGCTTCAGCTCAGAGCAAAGCAAGGTGTGGCGCATCCGCTCGAAGTGCGGGCGCTTCCCCTTGGCCGCCTTGGCCTCCTCCGGCACGACCCAAAAGATCGGACACGCCAAAACGGGTGTGTCTGAAAATGCATGGACTTAGGCCCAGTTGTAGAATGTATAGTGTTTGCTTCCCTTTGGGCCACTGGCAAAATGTAAAATGAATCCTAAGCCATAGGGGACCCCCGAAATGGCCAGGTTCCTTGTTGCCTTTCGGAACCAACAAAAAGGTACCCTGACAAAAAGACACGACATGGGTGCGTCCTTTTCTGAGGGTTCCATTTTGGGGGTCGGGGTTTTCAAATGTAGGCCTTGCAAGCAACACCGGCCGGATGGAAACTAGGTGGAAGGCAGCCATGGCTTGGTGGAAATTGCTGCCATTGCACCTCAGGACTCTCACTTAAAACATGGCAAGCAGAAGGTGGTGTCTGAAAGCAACAAAAGGACGCCTTCTCGGACGCAACACCCTGCACAACCTGGCGAGTCACTGGCAAGTTTCCTGGCAGCAGCTGGCCTTGCAGCAAGTTGAACGAGATAAAATTACAGGGTTTGCAGTCTCAAGACCGTTGCTGAAGTTAAGTTGGATAGGTACGGGCTTCATACAGTGGCTGTCTAGTCACGTTCCATATTTTCCCATTGGGATCTTGATCCCTTGAGACACGTTTCCGGCTGCTTCTTGCTTTCCAAGATTGGACACCCCACGCCTTTGGAGACAAATGCAGAAGGACCAAGAGACAAGGAGATGGGGAGACAGGATCAAAGCGCAACCATGTCTGGCCAGGGCATCTCTTGGCCCGCCCCTATTGCAGCAACACGTCTGACTTAAAGGAGCAGGTGCTGGGCACAATTGGCAGTCTGCCTGAAATTCAGTGCTCTAAACCTCGGATGCCCAGTGGCCGAAAAAAAAAGAGCATCCTTTTTTGGTTGGTTGATTTTAACGTGGAACCTTAAAGGCGACACTGGGCAACTGAGAAACTGACAACATCTGACAACCTCCCCCCCCCCCACTGATGCGGCAAACACCGGGTCCTTCAGAGGCTCTTCCATCAGCTCCTGTGCGAAGATCTTCATGGTTTGCCACCTCAGTCTGACCGGCTAGCCTTGACTCACTTGCCCAAAGGACCTGGAAGTACAAGGTTGACCTTTTGGGGCCTTAAAAATGGACCAACAATTGGAAAACCAAAAGGTTAAAAGGTCGGCTTTGGGCCTTGCAACGTGTCCTTGCTGGTCCGTCTCCAATTGGATGAAAACATCAAGTTGAAGAGCCTGGCGGAGTGACAAGCAGCGAAATCGGAGGAAAAAAGACCAGCGCGGCCAAGCTGCTCTTTGTACAGGGAGTCTTTGAAGAAATTCACCAGAATGCAGTCCTTTGCACGTGAGAGTTGGATCGGATCGGATCGAACCAGCCGGCACAGACCGGATCGCTTCCAGCTGCAAGTCTGTTTTGTGGATTGAAAGGGAACTCACAAGGACACTGACCATGTCTTGGGTGCCCTTGTTTTAAGAAACACCTAGATGTGGCCAGCATCTCACCGCGCCCTGTGGGAATGGGAAAAGTGGCCTCCGAAGGATGTCTTTGGTCTCCTGCTCAGTCTCCCCTTGGGATCCCTAAGAAACCATTTCCAAAGGTAGCACACTGCGATTTGACCTGGCAAGGAGCAATGGGGAAGAATCCCCTTCCAAATTGGTCAGTCGATTTTCAGAACTGGTTCACCCACTGCCTATTTGTCTTTCTGATTTTGGCTTCCAAACGGGACGCCTAATATTGAAAATCAAAAGACAGACACGCCCCTATGCGGTGTTGATCAACCAAATGGCGCAGGCAAATGGTCAGCACCAAACTAAGCTGAAACCAGCAGAACCCTATGTGCAACCAAAACTTCTTAACCTCAATGACACCGCCCACATATATGTTCAACCAGCCAGGCCTACTAAGTGACAACAACGTGTGCCACACCAAGTGACAACAACGTGTGCCACACCAAGCGAATGCGCACGGAGAATACGCCGTGCGTCGTCGAACTCCAGGCCCTTGGATTGCTCCACAGTGAGCACCAAGGAGTTCTTCAGACCTGCCAGGACCCCCCCAAAACCCCACCTGCACTGACCGAGTGCAATAGCGAGCCCCAAAAAGCACACGCCAAAAGGCCGGACCCAAACAACAAGCTTGCGGCAAGACGACGCCAACATGTTTGACTCTAGTATTTGTCGCCCACCGGAAACGGACATGGACTGGAAAGAAAGGAGGCGTCACAATCATCCTACTGTGGGTGGACGAAATCCTGCACCACCTCAGAAACCCCAAAAATAATGATTCCCCTGTAAATACAATACCAAATAATGGTTTCAACCATGGTTTCAAAGTGATGCGAACGGATTTTGTCCATCCACAATAGGTCTAGCGTCCCAAACCTTTCATTGGGTTAAGGCCCCAGGAAAAAATAAACATATTTCCAGTAGTGAAATCGATTCCCTTTAAAACCAACAGGGGAAAGTAAAACAAGTAACAACAATATTCCTTTCAATAGAAGAAACTCCACCCAACCCAAAGAGACAAAAAAAAGCGCGCTGAGAGAAACCTTCCGGCAGCTTGGCGCGGGAGTCCTCGCTGCGCACCTGGGGACACGCCCTTCGCCGGGTCTACAAAAGGACCGGGGTGTGGGATTTGAGGGCCCACCACTTTCATGTGATAGCATTGCTGAATACATATATATATATATATATGCTGGGGATATATACCTTCTATCTATGCATTTATATATATATATATATATTGACAATATTGATACATACATTGATTTATAATCTACATGTATGTGTGTTTATGGGTGTCTTCTTTGAGGTTAACTTGAAGGGAAATCAACCCCTGACACACACACCCGGGCTACCCATTTTGAGGCACACTCGACATCGGTGCAAAGTGATCTCTCTTTGGTGGTGGGTACCTTTGCCTCCTGGTTCTGCATGGTCCATTCACACATCAATGGAAAGCTGACCAAAAGGGGCCCCCCGTGGATGTGGATTCTTTGCCACTAGGCTGTGCTCGGATCCCCTGCGGGAAAAGTTGCGCTTTTGGTGGGTGACATGGAAACCCAACCTCGGCGGCTTTCTGCTCCCCTGCTAAAAGTTTAACTTTTAGTGGTTTAATGGAAAACCCCATTAGTTGGCAAAAAGTTAAAGTCCTAACATCCAAGCAAAATGCACCAAAGCAACCACTAAACCAACCAAACACAGCTAAGCAGCTCAGGAATCGAAGAAGGCGGCTGGGTGAACCGCCATATTCCCCCCCCACCCTGTCTGAGGTCTCCAGCCAGCACGCACTGGCTGGCGCCAAAGGCGATCCCGGCGGTGCCTCAAGTAAACCCAGCATTTGCTCACTTTCTGAGTGGATTGGTAAACAAAAGCAAACTTGAACTCTGATTTAGCAGTAAAATGGTCTTCCCAAAAAGCGGAAAGTCCAGCAACTCAGGAAGTGAGTTTGGGTGCTTGCCACGGAAAGCTCAATGTAGGTTGCTTCCTTGCTGCAGGGTCCCATGTTCACATGTTGTCACCGTTCAATTGCACGCTTCCAGGGGTCCCATTTGGTATCAGGGGGCACGAGTTCTCAAACGCCAATCCAAGTCAGGAGGATGGCAACTTAATTAGCCCTGCGGTAGGGAATCTTCTTTGGCTCAAGGCTCGCACAGAAGGCATTGCAGGTGTCTGTCTGGGGCCTTTCTTAGACAGAGACAAATACCCACTTTGTGGCATGCATGGGGCGGTTCGGCCAAAGATCTCCCGTCCAGGTTGAAGACATTCTGGGCCAAGTCCTCGCGCGACTTCAGGTAGGCCCCCCCCCCCCCCCCGCATTCCCCTTCTTGATATGTCTATCCTATAGGGATACACCCTCATGCATGCGAATCATGTATTTGCCATTCACACTTCAGACAAACCCAAGAGCCTCAGTAAATCCCTATGCATTCCCCTCTTGATATCTTTATCCTAAGAATGCACCGCCCATTATGTGTTTGCCATTCACAACCGGAAAGTGAATCCCCGCATGAACCCTGATATGTGCTATCTAGGCTATCCCTCCCGACCTCGAGACTTGAGTAAGCCTGTCTTGAGCACGTCCTCCAGTGGCACGTCCGTGACGATTATGGGCTTCACCCCGTCCCTGTGCCCCAAATCGGGCTCCAGGTGGTCGATGGCATGCGGAAAGGCCAGCTCCAAAGGCCTCCGGCCGAGTCGAGTTTGCATCTCATAGGCAGACTCGCGGGGAATCGGGCTGGAGGTACCCTCCAAGGTCCTCCAGAGAGGTTAGAAGAAGTTGGTACCAACTGTTACCAACTTTCTTCTAGGGTCTATTTTCGTAGGGGAACCGAACCCTCCCCACCAAAAAAGGACCGGTAAAAAATTGAAACGGCACTCGCTGGGGGGGCGAATATTCGCCTCCCAACTCACTTGGTACCTGACAGGGTCTGCCAGGGTCCCAGCTTAACCGGCGGGGTACTTCAAATGTTCTCCTTCCGGGGAAAAAGAGTCGCAAACTCTGGGCTCATAGTTCTCAGATCTTCGATTCGTTGTTTGTTGTTTGTTCTTTCTGATTCGGTCGAGTTGTTTCTGCGGTTCTCCCAGAAACAGCAGGAGTGTCACATGCTTGAAGCCTGGATATATCCTAAACCGAACAACCTCGAAGAAACCAGACAAACCAGACATTACCCCGCGAAAGCCGGAAAACACACAAGGGTCACATATATTAATCGCAGCTAGAAGCAACAAACATCAGGGGACCGGTTGAACGGGCTCGAATGAACGGGTCCCAATCGCTTCCACCAAAGGACAATCATGTGCTTATTTGTTCACATCCGGAAGGCACCCGGTCATTTCTTAGAACAAATTCAAAGGGTCACCCACAAAAGGCGAAGCTGGCACGATTCACCTGCCTCACGACCCCCTTGTGCGAGAGCGCCAGGATCCTAGGCGTCTGCACATGTCAACCACTGGTTGGAGCGAGCGCCACCGGGACCCGGGGCCCGCTACAACAGGCGGATTGCCAGCTGCACCACTTCAGGGAGCAAATGCGCTGGATAGACATGTTTGGAAGTCCGGACGAAGGGTGTGTGGGAAATGCAACCGCTGTGAGTTTCACAACAGGGATTAGCGGCTCACCAGCAGCACAGTGACCTGAAAGGGACCCGATAAAGGGCTGAACTCCTTCCACGAAGCTTCCTCTGAATGGCAAAATATTTGAGCGTCCTGCTTCACTCCATGTACTCTAAGTGTCCAAAACGCGGCGGCGATTTGGGGAGTTCTTTGGTCACCTGGTTTCATGCCAACGCTATGCGTGGACAGTACCCTATCCCGGTGGCAACCTGGATCATTTCAAGTTGAGAATTGACAAAAATAGCTACCCTCTTCCTTCTTTGCATTGCGACTAGGGCAGAGGTGGCACGCAGAAAAGGCCCTGCTTAACCATGGCAGACCCTTTGGACCTGGGTTGATTCATTTAAGGGTTGAAGTTCTGCGGCGTCCATGCACCCCCCCCTTCCCCGACACTGTGTTTTTTGGGCCTTGGGGGGCGCTCCTTGGGCTGCGTGGTTCTTGATAGGCCAAGATCTTCTACGAGATCAGAATGGCAACATGTAAGGCCGCCCTAACAGCAGCCTAAAGAAGCAAGCCAGCGAATGCTCCATGACTTCGATTATTGCCCGCGAATTCCTGGGTTGGTGCCTCAGCGAGTTTAAACATCTGGAAGAAAAAGCGAAGCCAGCCATGTGTTCGGCTCCCCGGTTTTTACACCACCACAGAAGGGCTACCAACTGCACTGCAGGTCGAAATTTGGTTTTTGGGGCATTGGATAGAACCAGGGCAACTACCAAGCTTCCCCCCACCAGATCCCAAGCACATGAAACAAGCTTTAAGCTTTAAGCACTTAACTCTTGCTGGGTCTTAGTATTGAATCAGCATGGCCCCCTAAAAATCCCAGAAAACCACCGGATGGTTCGGGGTCCTTCCCGATTTTTCCCGCTTGCCGAACCAGCAAGAACCTTCCACTTCCCAGCAGGCCCTTCCCAGGTGAACCAACCCACGATGCCCTTCGCGCGTCAGAGGCTCTTCTGGTGGGAACGGTAGTTGATGATAAGCTGGTCCATCTCTGGCGGATTCACCTGAATCACAATTATAAAGGAAGACGGGTGCATAAGCAAATGCACAAATACCTAAATGAGCGTATATACACATACACATCCAGACACACATGTGTACATATATGTGCACACATGTGTATATATATAAATATATATATATATCTATATTTGTGTGTATATCTATGCACGGCCAAATTGGTTGATACTCTCCTGCAGGTTGACATGGAATCCCAAACGGGCGGCTGCCAAGACGAGCTTCCTCTGAAATGTTATGGTCATTTTGGGGTTTCAATGCCAATGTACAGGGAGGAAGCCGGTTTTTCTCATGGGAACAAAACAACATGCCCTTGGCCTCCGCAAATCCAATATAGCCACGCCAGGCGAAGGAGTCTTCATTACTCGTATTGCTTGCCGGACTTGCTCGGCAAATAAACTAGGCGGGTGAAAGTAGATGGCACAACTTATGTGGGTGAGTACAGTTCACTGAACCAAAATGAGTTGCAACCGTGCCTTCTACTCTCACTCAACTGCAGATGTTGATCCAATAGCAGAGATTGGTTTGCCAACACAACACACCCCCAAGGAGCTTGTTTGAGCCCAGTGACCTTTTGGCGCAGCCCAAATGTGCAAGGCGAGTGGCCCTGTCCTTTAGGCTACCTTTGTGTGGTTTTAAGGCAAGACCGACAAAACCACAAGAAAATGACAAATCCACGTCGGGGGTCCCTAAAATCACTCAAGAAGCGCACGTGGCATCCGCCTTGAAGTGGGTGAAGAGCGACCGCAGGTCGCAAAAGCGGAAGTCCACGGCTCGCGACACCGTCTGGGAGGTGTCGCCTGTGATGAAGAGGTCCTAAGGCCGGGGCGAAACAAAGCGTGGAGCTAAGCCCTGAACAGACTCATGAATACAAGTATGCAGGTGTAGAACGACGTATGCAACTTAGAATCTATATATACATATATACACACATGCATGTGTACAACCAGTATTCATACCCCCCTCCTTAGTAAAGAATAACAACGGGGCCCCAAAAGTATAGGCCGTGCCTGGCGCATCAAATGAAACCCAAGGCCCCTCAAAGTCTCTTGGACAAGGTTCCAGTTCTGAGCACATTTCCGGGCGATGCAGGTCCTAAAGAGCCCCCCGGAGCTCCAGTGACAATTGAGATGATGACAGCCCTTAGTCTTCATGGTGCTTGGATTTTTGGGATCAAACCCCTTAGTTTTCATTGAAATGATGGTGGTTGGCCCTTGGTTTTCATTGAGATGATCCATTCTCAAACCCCGAAAAAAGTTTCTCTCTTGTTCTCCGGCACTCTCTAGTGTCGGCAGTTCCTCGTAGGGCCGCTTCATGATCATGAAGAATACCGCAAGCTCCAGCCTCGGATCGGACACCATCCAGAAATTCGAACAGGGTCCCCCCATTTTGGGGGACCAATGGGTAGCTTCCTCTAAAAATGGCACCCAACGCCTGCCTCTTGAACATTCATCAAGCCCGGTTCATTAATGGAGGACCCCCTACTAATACTAAATTACTAAGGGAGTTTTAGACATGGGAAAAAGGCAGTTCTTGGGACCGGTTAATGGGAAGATCTCCCAAAAAACGGCGGAAATTTTGGGGTGCTGAACTGTTGGGGGGTATATACGGTACCTCCTTTCCCGGTCCCGAATTGACATCCTCAAAATTGTCGTCCCACCTGCCTATGCTGGCTTTGGGGGCTCCCTGGCTTCAGGCGTCTCTCTGAACAAGCAGCGACGCGGCCATGCCTTTGGCCCGTGGTTGAAGCTGTTCAAGCTATGCGTCAACATCGCAAGGTGGGTGTTGCAGTGTTCCCGGAAAATATGATTTCTCCCACAAACAAAACAACTTGCGGTTACATGTCGATTTGCCGTGCCCAAGTTGGCTCAGAATTCGCAGCCCTTGCCTTAAAGCAATCTGCACATGCGCTGCCAAAATGATCAGGTGCAATGCCGCGGGGAAACATCTGAGATTCGTTAAATTACTTGCTGACGTACCAAGCCAAACCAAACCTGTTGCATCACTTTGAATTCGCTGGTTCTTTGAGCATCAACTCGTGTCGGTTTCCCTTTGGATCGCATATGCCCTGCACGCGACATGAATAAAATGTGAAACCAGGCGGCTGCGCCAGATCTTGCACCTCATCCACGGCCACAGAATGTATAGGCGGCCCATCGTAGGGCTGTTGCTTCAGTTGCTTGATGACGTGCCAGGCAACATCCATCCTCCCAAGTTTGCGCGTCTCAGCGAAAGCGAAATACTGACCTCGGCAAAGCAATTCAAGCTTCTTCAAGAAGAAAGGGTCCGACATGTTGGACCCAGACGTTTTTGTTTCTTCTTTATTTTTCACTTTAAGTGGAAGAAGCTTAGCTACTTTCGGGGCGCTAGATCTGGAGGTGACTGGGGTGGCATCCTGCTTAGGCAAGATGACAACTCCACTCACGCTCCACCCCAACTCCCCCCCTTTTCGTGACTGGGTTCTTTCGCTACCAGTAAGTCTCAGAAAGAACGACCACCGCGAAACAGCCAAGCTCCACAAAAGCTTGTTCAGCCGCCCAAAGGAACAACTTCTTCCCGGCGTGTTGGGAGTCTTGGGGGAACCTTCCGGCTTTCTGGCTGATGGGCTATGCTCAGGCGAGGTGGATGTTGACACTGTCGGCTATGGCCAAGCAAAGGCGATTGTGCCAGAACCAAGCAATTGCTGGGAAACCCGGATTTAGCAAACCCCTGATTAATTAAATAGGGTATCCCCTTCTGGTAACACCCAGCAGGGCCCCAGTCCTGTCAAAGCACCTCCACTCCTTGCAAAGCTCTTGGTAGGCTTTGAAGGCAGTAAAGATCCTCAGTGCAGCCCATGCTGCCTGGGTGGTCGTCCCCTAAGGGGACGGAGACTAGACAGAGCCAGGAAACAAATGACCTAGTCTCCGTCCCCTAATGGGTGATTTTCAGGTCCCAAAACGGGCACCCAAAGCAACAGCCGCCCCTTCCTCTGCAAGGCTTGTCACGCGAAGCTCCCCCAAGATCACTCAATAAGCGCAGTTAGTATCCCAAACAGCCCAGAAACCCCCTGAAACCCTCCGAAAGCTTTTGGGCAGAAACCCCATAGATTTCAGTGGTTGGGAAAAAAATGCGAACCCCACACAGCTTAAATCGCCTCTGCCTGCTCATGTTGGCATGTTTTTGTTCCGTTGGTTTTGCTTCCCTCCTTCCAAGTAGCGGTGAATTCGGGCTGCAGACTGCACGCGTTCCCTCTCAGAACGGCCAGGAAAGGATATGCTAAGCCACTTCCAAGGCTTTAGGGGCACGAACTCTCCAGAGTTGGGCCAGCCGCTTGCACAGCTCATCTCACAGTGTTCAATATGTTTAGCCCACGTGGGTCAGGGATCCTTACGTTAGACATGAGCATTGCAACTTGTGAATGGTGGGTTTCTCTTTATTTTGGTGGAAAAAGCCATGTTTCAAATGGACAAAATGTATTTTTTGAGGGGCCCTTTGGGTTCACTCCTAGTATCCGTCCGCCGAGCTTCTGTTGTCGGTGCTCCTCGAAACCCGGAGAAGCCTTCTTCGCCACTTCACGGTAGGTCTGGAGGTCCAAATGCCCTCCCTCGAAGTCCTGGTGAACAATTGCCTGATGAGCAATTGCCTGATGCAAAATATTCTGATGAAAGCTACCCTAAGGCTCTCACAGAACGCTCAGTTCCCGTTTACAGGGTCCTGATGAAAAATTGCCTGATGCAAGTTACCCTAAGCCCAAAGGTTTCTCAGAACAGTTCTTTTGACACCCGTGTGCAAAGCCGGTATGGAATCGGAACGGTTTCTCCGCACGCTCCGAACGGACTTAGAAAGTATACGGATTTCCTGTTGACAGGATCAACAGGAGCTTCTTCCCTGATTCTGCAAGGAAAGTGGAGGGAGACTAGGGTGCCTCGGAATGCTGGAAACTTGTTCCGTGATCAAAGGAAGCCAACAGAAACCCAAAGCAAAGCACAAATCCATGTTCTTGCTTTGGGATGTGTGTCCAACTCGGAGCAATCCTGCCGGATGTGTGTTTCCGGAGGTGCAAACTCACCAAGTTGGATGACGCGGTGAGCTCTAATACCTCCCCAGCATGTAATAAGAAATGAACCCCCAAGAAAGACAATGGGCCCGTTGCCAAAAACACGAAAGACCTTGACATGCTTCAAAGCTCGTCTAATTGGAAGAAATGGTTGATCACTCACCACTACGCACACGTGACTCAAAGTAGATGGGCATGCCTCAAAAACATCAATCCCCCCTGAGGATAGTTTGTGTGACGCCAAATGGGCTCAAGCAGATGGATTCCAAGTGCTGACACTGATGCTGCTTTTGTGCAAGCTGGAACTCGTCTCTTAGAACCTGTTTAAGGTCCCCCGAGTCGCGTTCAAGTCAAATTAAATCAGCAAGAGCCCACGTCCCACACAAATTCAATCGGACACAGCCATATGTGACCTTTTGTGAAAAATAGAGGGCCCTGCCTTGTAAATGGGGCATAAAGCCCATCTTAACTTGCGGAACCCATCCGTTTCTAACCATCCTAAAAGGTGGAAAAATGCATGTTTCAAATGAGCAAAATGTATCTTCCAAGGAGCCCTGCGTAACCTACCGGCAAACAAGCCCTCGCAAGCAGCCCCGGTCCAGCACTCGGTAGGAGCCCTTGATGAATGACTGGATCTCGCGCCACAGAAGGGACGCATCGCACCCTGCGGGCACCTCGTGCGCGCCAAAAAAATCATCCACATCCGGAGCTTGGGTGGAAAACTTGCAGCTGGTGACCCTGCCGTTTGGCATGGGGCCTGACGTTTCGGGGTCACAGACGCAGCTTGGAAACTACCCTCCTACCCTCCCGTACACTATCCTACCTGATGGAGGGGTCAGACCCGCAGCGGGTGTAGGAACAAATCAACTGGCTACCCTCCCGTCAGCATGGGACCTGACGTTTCGGGGTCCTGGTTTGGACCATTCTCTTTCTCAAAGGGACCATTTCTCCGGTGGACAGGAGGGTACCTACAATGACACATTTCGCTCCTGGTCACCTGCCATGGAACACAGATACCCACCATAGAGGCAACTCCCTTTGGGTGCAATCTTGGGTTCTTTCCGTTGACGTGGGGGAGTAACATGGCATCATAAATAGCCACTATCCACCCAGAAGTCAGGAAATCCCCAGTTAGGGACCTTCCCACCAACTAAAAAGTGTGTGGCCCGCCTCTCATGGCCCGGCCACACCCACCAAGGGCGCATGTATGGGAAAGGAAGAACCATCCGCTTATTGGGTTTCGGTACGCACACCATCCATGCATGACTTTGGTCGGGATGGGCCAAGGTTTAGTAGAAATGATGTGGGCAGTTGTTCTCTTCTTCAGACAGCTTGAAAGGCATAACCATTGGTTTCTAGCTAGGAAATGCTGCCAAAGAATTCCTCGGCTTGGTCAGGGAGCTTGATCTGATCCCAGCCTCCATTCATTGTTCAGGAAACAAATGCACATCCTTCATCATCACTAGCCTCCAAAGGTGTTCGCCCAGACCAGCTCAAAAAGCTTGCCTCAGGCTTCCAAGCGGAAAACGTGTTCTGTTTCTTCCACCTGATTCAACTGGCCATCCTGCGGGGGAAGGGTTCTCCTTAGTTCCAACCAAAAGGTAAACAAAAGGAACAAGCAACGAACGTTATTGGAACCAGCACAAAAAGAAAACAAGAACCAGAGGGCAAACAAAAGGAAACAAAAGGTGCTTTGAAGGTTATCTTCAGTCCCAACCTGCAACGCATCACCACCGAGATCCAAAAGGAGGCTCGCTTGGAATCGGTCGGCAAACCATTTCCGATCCGCCTACGTTTTCAGAGTTCGGGGTCAAGTAAGCCAGTGGCATCCAGATTCTTCGTTGCATGGCTGACTTGAGGCATGGCTCCTCCAAGTGGTCGTGGGAACATGGCGCCTGGTTTCTTGACTTGACTCTGAATGGAAGGCCCCCTCCAAAAACACCAAAAACACGGAACATCATAAGTCTGCGGCCTAGACCCTAGACCCTTAGCTGGAGTCGCCACAAACCTTCAAAAACGGGGTCCCCCTTTCCTTTGGGTACAGACTCCAGGTACATCCATTGGCTCATGCGTGACGTCAGCGTTGAAGGGTTATGGAGTCTCATCCATCTTCAAAAAGTCATGCCCCTTCTTTTTGGGGTAACGTGATCCTTGTTACTGGTTTCAAACAACTCCAGCTACATCGCTGTGCCAAAGCGCGTGTTGCCGAAGCTTGGGCCAGAACTTCGCCTTGAAGAGCTCGTAGTCCACTTCCGTCATGGAGTCCGACTGAGCGGACAGCCCGCTGACCATCGCTGACCAACCGAACGGGCTGTTTGTGAATAAGTGCCAGCTGCAAACTCACTTGGGTGCCAAGCCGGGCGTCCGGCGAGGAGAAAAATACAAAACTTAAAAACAACTTCATGTTCTGCATCCTTTTCAAAAAGCACAAACTTAATGCACACGTCACATTTACAGGGGAGAGTAGATGAGGGACTGACACCCTTTGCTGGCCTGGCCGACCTTGGCCTGCGCCTTGCGCAGCGCGGTGCGGCGCTGCTCCCGCAGGGCGGAGATGGGGTCCAGGGCGTCCGGGGCCTCCGCCATGATCACCTCGCAGCCCGGCCATCGGGCCATCGGCCCGTCGGCCCATCGGGCGCCGGAGGGCGCCGGCCATTCGCCGGAGCGCTTGCATCTAGTGGGGAGTTTCAGGCGGATCCCCACCCCGACGGCCCAAGTTTTAGGCGAAACCTCCGTAAAGGGAGCTGAACCCCAAGCCTGAAAGAAATCAGCTTCTTTCGCCTGGCAGAAATATGTTTTGCTCTCTTTGTTTTTTCTGCTGGTCTCTCCATATGAGGACTTCAAACAGGGGTCGGTAACGCAAACAAAAAAAAGCTTCGGCACCCACGCCTTGTCCGGATGCACTGCCCCAGATGCGAAGCGTCGCGGGAAGAAGGGGCTGCCCAACGAGCCTTTGTTGTTGCGATAGGCAGGGAATGGCCGAGGCTGGGTGTTGGGAACGAACCGAATCCGAGGATTCCCTAAAAAACCGTAGGAAATGCATGGCTTATAGAGTCCTTCCCACGCATTCCATGCTAAGAACCTAAACCGGAAGGGGAATCCCCTTCAAGGAAACCATACTGTGGCTGGACAAAATCCATTTCGCACCACCCAAAAAACAATGGAACGGTGATTCCCCTGCAAATACCAACAATCAATGGTTTTCGTGGATTCAATCTGGTGCAGGATTTCAGTCCATCAACAGTAGGAAATCATGGGAAGGTAGGCGATGGCCTTGCGTGTTCTGGAAAATGAACCGGAAGGGGATCGATTCCCTTAAGGGAACCCCTAGGGAATGTTCACGGTTTATTGGGGTCATTCCGACCAGCAAGTCTCAATCGGCCAAGTTCGCCAGCTGTTGCCTGAAGTCCGATCTTCGAATGCTCTCCGCGTATAGGGGCCCAGTTCAGTGCCTGAGGAGGCCGTCATTTGGAAAAATCTGGCAAGCCCGCATGCAACTGGCCAGGAAGCCGTCGAGCATGACAATGAACTTCCTGAACCTTGGATGAGGGAGAGGCACACGTGCAAGCAGGAACACGCGCCTGTGACCTATGAGCCTCCGGCCCAACAAGCCAAACACGCCCAAAAAAAAAAGACGTTTCTCCACATGCACATGTGCCACAGTGGAAACGTTTTTTGCGGTTCATCGGGTCCAGCGCCAGCTATGCAAACCCCGGCGTGAGCCATTCAGCTGATCTGTTGACCGCGGCATGTGCAATTGCCCGAGTGCCTGCCGTACCTGCGCAGGTAAATTGCAATCACCCGAGCAGCGTGACAAAGAGCGGGAAGTTCTTGTGGTTCTTGAGGTTGTCCGGCAACCTGCGATCCACGCCCGAAGGAACCCAAGGCCTGGATGGGATGTGGTCGATTTGTTGGGAGCCTCTTGACAAACTTTGGCCAAGCAAACAACTCAGCGCTGTGCAAAAACCCGAAGCCCCGGGCTTTTAGATCACAAATAATCGTCCACAGGCCCAGGGCGGGCGAATTCGGCTGCCGCTTGGTTTGGGTATGCTTCGGGAGTTGTGTGGTACCCTTCTTGGGAGTGCCTCAAGCTTGCGCTCGCTCATTGATGCGCCTCTCGCTTGCCGGCGAGAGGGCATGTTCCCAGGCCAAGGCTGTCGGGACCCCGGGGCAAAGGGCTATGACATGGACTGGGATGCTCCTAAATCGATGGAGGGGGTGGCTAACCTGCATTTTGAGACACGGTGTTGCAACCCGGCTGAAACAGCACCAGTTCGTGGTCCGAAGAAGCCAACCAACAGCTCACAGCTCGCGACGTTTGCCCAAACAGGGTTGGCTTTTTGAAGTCCGCTTTAAGAGAAAAGTGCAGGTTTCTAGAGGTTTCGTTTGTTTCCCCAACAACTACCTCAGTTTTTGACTAACTAAAACTGACATTTGAAGATCCTGACCCTTGACACAACCTGAAAGGCAAATGATGTCCCTTCACCTGCCCAAAAAAAAGAAGGCAGAAGAAACCAGTAAGGAACCGTGCCAAGTCAGTCGCCTGCTGCCGCAGGCCTCTGATCGGGGCCAGCCACGCGCAACTTCATGGGATTTTGCTTGGACTTTTCGAAAGGGACATGTATGACTTTTGGAGGTGTTTTGCGGAGGGCTGTCGTTTTGTATTGCTGGTTCCTGTTGTTTGGTGGTGTTGTTTCTGTTTTAGTGTTTGTTTGCTTTTGTTTAGGGGCGGAATCATTGCTCACCCTGTCCCATGGTCTTGACTTAACTTGGTTTTAAAGTACCCCGACCCGAAACCAACTCTAATTATCAGTACCGGATGTGTCTATTGCATTTCGTTCTTAAAACAAGGGAGTTCCTGCTTGGTTTCTTCGAGCATGGGGCGGCAGCTTCACTACGTGACTACGTGTGGAAGGCAGACTTGATAAAAGGGCCGTTGATAAAAGCTCCGATGGTGGCTGATGGACATAGCCAAGGCAACACGCTTCTCTGAAGGGAACAAACTTGACCATCAAAGGAGGTTTCTGTAGCTTTTCCCTAGGCCGGAATTAGGACCCCAGCAAAACAAATCATCATTTTTGCCTGGTTCGTGGAAAACAACAGGGGACCCAAAAAAAGCAACAACTCAAAAACGGGCCTGGTGAGTGGAACACAAAAAGGGGACCCCGAAAAAAAGAAGAAGGCAAAAGCTCAAAAATGGGCCTGGTGAGTGGCAAACAACAGGGGACCCCCCCCAAAAAAAAAGGGGCAGCTGATTCTGGGGGAGTCTCGCCCCCTCCCTCATGCAACCAGATCGCCTGCTCTGCTCCGTAAGTCTGGCGCTCGGGGCCGCTCCCTGCCCCTGCCGGCCGTTTTTTCGGGGCTGGGTGGGTGGGCCGCTGGGCGGGGGGTGGGTAGGAATCCCGTTGTCTCTTCTCCAAAACCACATGTTGAAGTCGAGAAAATATGCAACGCAATACTTGGGGGTCACTGAGTTCCCCCTTCCAAAGTTGCAGCTTACTGCTGGCTTCCAACGAACCTGCCACTTTTGGAGGTTCAAAAAACAAGGGACAAGGAGGAAACCAGTCGGCAGAGAATCCTTGATTCTGTGAGCGAGAGCTCATGAGATTTAAAGGATGGCCTCATTGAACTTACGTCTTCGCTCCTGGTAAATGCGTCCACTGGGTGCTAGACCGGGGGGGGAGGGATCTGAAAACAGCGAAAAACACATCCTTTTACGAGCTTGAGCTCCCCGCTAAAAAGGTTTAACTTTTAGTGGGCTAAATGGAAAACACCGCTAAGGGGAGCCACCAAGTTTTGTGGCACCTGAAGCAACAATTGAGGGAACCTCATCCCAAATTCAGAGCCCCATGGTCGTTGAGATGCGCTTGGTAAGCTCCCCGAGCCAAGCAGCCAAGAGCAGCAAGACAGCCAAGCGACCCAGCGCCCTGGCTGCCACCCACTCCTAGAAAGACATCACCTCCCCGTTGTGCGGCTTTAGATTTAGAAGATTCTAGACATTTTCTGAAAGGCGCAATCCCGGACTTTGGGACCTGCCTCCAAGTCTCAGACCCCTTGTGCCGAGATCCACATTCACAGTCCTAACCTTGTCAGCCGGTGAAAAAATGCAAACTCAGTCAACATGCCCAGCGCGTCGCGAGTCCCGAGTCGCGCGTCGCGCGTCGAATCAACTCCGAGGCGCGTTCTGGTGAGTTGCTTGCAGGTTGGAGAAGTACTCCAGGACCTCCCAGCCGTGCCACACACTCACGGGGAGCGGAAGCGCTTGGTCCGGTTTTCTCCGTGTTCGATGAAATTCTAAGGGTAGCTTCCCCATTCTTTCCAGGGATCCTTCTTTCTTGAACACCACCAAATACCCTGGGAAAACAGCTAGCTGGTTCTTGAAAAGAACAATGCCTGAAAAGAATGGGGAATCAACCCCTAGACAAATTGCTTTGTCTCCTCAAAGGCTAAGTGCATGAATGCACCTGTACACGGGAGCATCCGTCATCTTCTGATTTGGTTCCTTCCACCAAGGCTATGTATGTTACAAGCTGTATGCCATCTTGGGCCGCACAATGGTTGGACTCCCATACGTAAATCACCACGCTGGCTGGCCACCAGAAACAGGGCTTCACATGGAGGCTCATACACCTCACTCTCTCAAGTTCCAAAACCCTGAAAAGTGCCGAGTGACCCCGAGTGATTCAAAACCTGGTGAGCTCGCCAAACAGAAGGCATATTTATTCTATCTTTGATACAGGGCACGACCGTATGCGGTACCTGGGTTGCTGTTCAATTCCCAAAGGCTCGATCCCCATTCGAGGTTCAAGGGTGCCATTTGATTCCAAACGGTTGGGGGGACCACAGATCGAACCGACATGAAGATGTGGCTCTCAAAAAAATACTTCAGACCCCAACGGCCAGGGTTTCAACTCTCAGCTTCCCTTCGAATACCGACCAACCGGGGCAAAAAAAAAATCAGAAACTCCCATGCGCCGGCGAAGCTGCGGCTTCGCCTTGTTGGCGAGGCTGGCGGAGTGGGTCACAAAGACCTGGCCACAGCCGCCGCTTAGCGCAAGCCGACCACAACACCAAGGTCCGAACACGGGCCGTAGGGAAACCCACCTAGGCCTTTGAGTGGAGAGCTTAGAATAAGTTGGTACCAACTTATATTTCCCCAGATAGCTGAAAGCTATAGGGGTTCTAACTTCTAATAAAGAGGGGGAAGTGATTTGCGAGATTGATGGGCTGGTGCTAAGGGGCGTGCAGTTTGGGGTGCTGGTTTTTGCGGATTGGGGTGCTGTTTGAGGTGCTGATGGCTCTTTTCAAGATTGACGGTAGGGTGCTAGGGAGCATGCAGTTTGGGGGTGCTGGTGCAGGTGCTGTTTTGGGGGTGACGGTGTTTTTGCATCTTGACGGTAGGGTGCACGGGAGCATGCAGTTTGGGGTGCTGGTGCTGGTGGTGTTTTGCGATGCTGTTTGGGGAGCTGTTTGAGGTGCTGGTGACGGTGCGGGCGCAATTTGCGATATTGACGTCCGGGTGCTATCGGGCATGCAGGTGACGGTGCAGGCACATTTTTGCATCTTGACGGTAGGGTGCAAGGGGGCATGCAGCTTGGGGTGCTGGTGCAGGTGGCGTTTTGGGATCCTGTTTGGGGTGCGGCTGGGTGTTTGGGGGGGTGCTGTTTGGGGCGCTCTTAGGGCGACGGTGCAGGCGCATTTTTGGGAGATTGACGGCAGGGTGCAGGGTGCATGCAGTTTGGGGTGCTGCTGCAGGTGCTGTTTTGGGATGCTGTTTGGGGTGCTGCTGGAGGTGCTAGTGATGGCGCGGCTGCTCGATTGACGGCCGGGTGCTGTTTGGGACGCTCTTCGGGGGGTGCTGTTGGAGGTGCTGGTGTGCAATCATTGCTATCTGGGGTCTATGCTGGTGTAACTTTTTCTCTGTAGTCTATTTTAGTGGGGGAATCGAATCTCCCCCTCAAAAAAAAGGGGCAAAAGGGCACGATCCTGGGGGACCTAGCCACCAACGATACGACTCTCTCGCCATGGGCGAAGTTACCCATGGTCATTTTGGCACAGGAAAAATCGATCGAACATATCAACCCTCAAATGGGCTGAACTTCGAACAAGTCTCAGGGAGCCCTCGGGCCCCTGAAGAGGAAGTTGATCTTCCCAGGCAACCTCCCAGAGGTGTCATGTTGGTGGGGGGAAGGGATTTCTCGGTGCCCAAAAAGGGCGCAACAAAAAAAGAAGCTTGCTCTGGAAACCGTTGTGCTTCAGGTTCCTTAAACCCGAAGGGGTGCCCATTTTGGCAAGCCTCTACCTTGTGATATCTGGAATAGAGCAAGGAATCCCTGTGAGAATCAAATTTGTCATTGAACGCTTGGGAGTTGCCTAAGCTCAAGTTCGGCAAAATAGGTGCCGTAGCAGATGGGTATTGCATGGACGGGAGCGTACCTTGGTTTTCCTTGAGATAGCTTTTTGCTGGATCTTCGTCGCTTAAAGCATGTAGCCATCGAGAGAGCTTTTCCCAAAGGCGGAGGGCGGCTGAGGGATGGAGAGCCGATCCGGAAGGCGGAGTTGTAGGTGGAGATGGGGAGATGTGGTCAAGTTTGCAACCTTCTTAATCTGCGGGGTAGCGTTTTTGTCGGGCCTTGAGTCTGCAAGGTAAAAGTGGAGTACTTAAGGGTCTGGTTCAGAGGCACACCTAATGTTGACCCCGGATTAATAAACCCCTGATTATTAATATGGGGGTGTTCCCCTCCAAAAGTGATACACCCCCACTAAAACCGGGGGACACCCCCATATTAATCAACCAGGGGTTCATTCATCCGGGGAAAAAACATTCTCCGCTGTGGGGGGCGAAGCTGGGCCGCAAGAAGGATGATTCATTCAGATGGCACCCCCCTCGCAAGAGACAAAACCACTCCCCCCTCTGCTTCCGAGAGCCGAGAACGCCTTCAGCAGGGTCTGGAAAGCATCTGTTTGAAGGCAACCAACGCATTTCGGGGCTTTGGGCGGATGGTCCGCCTTTGCCTCTTGGAGACCTGAAAGTACGCTTTTGCTCTGGTGGCTGCTCCCTCGTTCGCCACAAGGTGGAGGCCCTTGGCCCGAACGCGCAAACCAGCTGGAAGCAAGTTGTCCGAAACGCCTATACTTGCACACCATGCTCTGGAGTTGACACAAACATAAGGGTAAGGTCATGCTCAAACCTGGGGTTTGAGCAGAGTCGACCCAGGCTAACCCCGAGCCTTGCTACTGTACAGTCCCCCACCCCCCCCGCCTGATGCAAGTGTACCAGCTCATTGCCATTGCCAGATGGCAGCAGCGCTGAGCCCCCAGCCTGGCTGAGCCAACACGAGACTCCGAGTTTGGGGGGGGCTGCTAGCAGGGGCACACTGCAGGTACCCTCAAACTGGCATATCAACAGGGATCCTTACGTTATATACCTGAACATTGCCTTGTAAATGGAGGTGTCCCTTGATTTTGGTGAAAAAAAGCCATGCTTCAAATGGGCAAAACGTATCTTTTAAGGAGCCCTGATAAATCAACCGTGCAACCAGGTACCCCTCAAGAGGCACAGTACTGTAGGCACATCAACATCCAGGCAAAGCTGCAGTAACCTCAAGAGGCATAATGTTGACCCCGCATTAATAACCCCCTGGTTGATTAATAGGGGGGTGTCCCCATTTAGTGGGGATTCATCACTTTTGGGGGGGAACACCCCCCCAAAAAATGGGACGGGTTCTACTTAGATCCTGGGTCAACATTACAGGCACACTGCTTGAAGAGGCTCGTGCAACCGGCGGGTGCCCTCAAGCTGCACACGGCACCCGTACGATTCCCACAGCGCAACGTCGGCCTTGCTGGCCCGCTTCCAATATTCCATGTGCTGGAAGAAGAGCCGATACACGCAGCCTGGGCCCCGCCAGCAAAGCAGCTGCTGAAATCAGGCTCGAGAACTTATGCTTATATCCAAACTTAGGGTACCCAAAAGATGGTTTGCCTTTTCGTTTCTCGTTACAAAAACACGGGTAGTATTCCCTTTTGATTCGCCTCTAGCGAAATTGCCCACCAGGCCCCCCCGATGGCCGGCAATTGGGCCCGGGTGAAGTGCCGGCAATTGACCAGCACTTGCTTAAAAATGGTTTTGTAGTCACATAGATTTGTTGCCTTCATCAAAGTGCAGTGAAAAGTCACTTTTGTTTAAACGTCACTTCAGGATACTAGAGGGGATCCAATTGAGGGGTTGGGCTGGCATGTATGATCATTGCACATGTAACGCGCGGGGGAGGGGGGGAGGGGGGGCGACACGCTGGTGACACGCTCATATCCAAAAAAAGTGACCGTTCAACGTACATGTGCCGGCAATTGGCCACCCCCCGGCACGCCGTGACACGCCGTGACACGCTCCTCAAGAACCCCTCCCAACCTCAAACTTGCCCTCCAAACCTCAAATTTGTTGCTCTCCCCTTTTCCCTGCAACCCCATTCCAAAGGACCCTGAAAGGTCAGTTGTATCATTGCACAGATTGCACTAAGTACAGATGAGTGATACTTGATAGCAAACTGCTGTTGCAGTCACTTAGACATAAAGTGACATCGTTTTGCCCAAAATCGATGTGCCGGCAATTGGCCAGCCATTGGGGGGGTGCTGGCATGGGCTATTACTTTACTTGTGGGGACATCCGGGTGTTTCATGCAAAGCTGCAAGCATGGGATGTGGCAGCAACAAACCTGGACCTTCTTTGAGTTTGCAACATGCTTCGGAAACTGTTCAGCCCAAACCCGACCCACAGCTCGCGCATGCCACCGAGACTTCGTTTCCAACATGTTTGATCCACAGCTGGAACATGAGACGTCTTCACCCCAAGAGGGCACTGCGAGAAAACTCTCCGATTTTCCATTCTTTCCGGGGATCCTTTTTTCAGAAACCAGCAGAATCCAAGGGGAAACAGCTGGTTTTTTTTCGGATTTGTCGTCTCGGGATTTTTGGTCCCAGCGGCAGAGCGTCTTCCCGGAGCCGCTGCGGCCGATGACGATGATGGGCCCCGGCTTGTCGATGATGGCCGCCTCCTGCTTGGAGACGCGCAGCGCGAACCTAGGCGTTGAGGGCGATGCGATCCCCGTTGCGGCGTGCACCTGGAGTCTCCTTCTGACCCTTAAAGGCTGGTTGGTCATTACCCAAATATCCCAAAATAATTGGGAAATTGACCTTGATTTCGGTCATGGAGACTCCAGGCAGCTGTCTCCCCCCAAATGCGTTTGTTCTTCGTCTTTTTTCTGCTCAAAGTGGCGAAAGCCGTCGCAACGCCACCTTTCTCCCCAAAATGCGGTCTTTTAAAGTGCGGCTAGCAGTCGGCTTCCGAAAGATCAAAGGAAACCAGCTGCACACTGTGGCAGGTTGCGGGTCCTACTTTTCCTGAGTACGACTTGCAGGACGCCAGGCATACCTAGTGCAGAGTTCTTTGCACGTGCGGCGTTCAGAGTGAAGTATTCGCAAATAGCCAAAGTGCTTGACATGATCTTGAATGTGCGTTTGTGCATGTGCATAGGTAGTCTGGGCAAATCAAGCATGTCCATCTTGTGGTTTCCTTTCGGGGTAGGCAACGGTTCTGGGCTGTTGAGCTTCCAAGTGACCAGAGCTCAAGCATCTATGATTAATCCAGTGAGCAATGCTCACAGCCGGACTTCTCTGAAAGTCAAGCATGTACAGCACGGCCTCTGGGGGCGTCAGGAGGATTCGGGGGTGGAGTTCCCAAAACCAGGTAAAGCCGCTATTCAGGCCACAATGACTCCGCCGGCAAAGAGCGCAAGGAAAGGGAAGCCAGCTTGTGACTTTTCATAGCCTCTAACAACAGTAACTAACCTGCAAAGCGACACCATGTTTCCTCCCCCCATGCTTTACCTGACCTTTGGGCTTGAAGGTCAATTTGGGCCCCCCGTTGTTGATTCTCCCTTTCAACAGGGCTATAGGGGCCCAAAAGAAACCAAGCCGCACCCCCCAAACCCACAAACCCACAAACCCCCACAGCGCCCAACATCCTCCAAAGTCGAGTGGCTGCTCCGCCGCGCCCAGCTCGCCTGAGTGATCTGAGTGAAACATTGGCAGCCCAAGGGTACGGGGTGATGACTTTGACGGTTTCTGGCGGGGGGGGGGGGGGCAAAACAATACAATCAAACCCCCCCACCCACAACAAAGCAACCAACCCAAACCAACCCAAACCAACCAACCAAGCAAGCAAGAAACCAACCCAAACCCGGAAAGCAAGCAACTAATCACCAACCTGCCAAGCAACCCAAAGCAAACCAAGCCAAGCAACCAACTACCCGCCCCTGTGCCTCGATCCGACTCCTCCTCCACCAGGATGGATTTCAGCATCTGGCTGTCCAGGCTGAAGAACTTCCGCACGGAGAACACGTCACCTGAGCCGTCGAAGGCCGACCAAGGCTTGTCAGGCTTTCTGGTTGGCTTGGATTGGCAGTTGGGTGGTTTCCGAATTGCCCTCTACAAAAGCCAGGGGTCCAAACCTGATTGGTGCTTTGGATTGGTGGTTTGGTGGTGGTTAAGGGGTGGGTGCGTTCCAATTCCCAACCTGACTTACTATCCTGAAGGTTCAATCGACCCAAATGGTCTTCTCTAAGGAGGTTCCTTCAGAAATGGGGAATTGCAGAGCTCCCCTGCCAATTCAAGCTCTAAACAAGTTGCAAACCGCCACCTCCCCCCATGCGCTGAATCTGAGCTCTTCCCCTCACCCTCCCTGCGGCCGGGCGGCTGTCCTGCAAGTCTGCCGCAGCCACCGTGCGCGGATTGCGGCAGTCCCCGCTGTAGGTGATGCTCTGGTTCTTAAGGGCGTTGAACAAGCCTGGGACATTGGGTGCAAGGGGCACAGAATCTGAATCTCTCACTTACTGAGTTCCGTTTCGGACTTGAAACAGCTTGGGTTGGACCAGATTAGTGGTGGGGCGGGTTGCCAGCGAGAAAATCCGGACAAGCAGGATAAAGGCGATCATGCTCTGGGACTCTGACTGAGAGCAGGCCGAAATTGGCAATTACTCACTTCAGCCTATTATTTGTAGACATACACACACACATACATGCGCCCTATTACAAAATAGTTACTTTTCTCAGACCCCGAACCTTCTCCAGTCTAAGGCAAAGCATCTAAGGACAGGCATGACAGTAATATATCTGCAATTGCTACCATGCTACTAATTTATCCGTCCAACACCTGAATGCAAGGACTCACTTCCTGAGTTGATTGGCCAAATCAAGTAGAAGCTTCTTATTCACCACCAAAATGATCATTCCAAAAACCATATAAAGTCCAAGAATCCGGGGAGTGAGTTCCATGTTTCTTCTTGCTTTCTTATTTGCGTGCTTGTTGGTGTGGCCTTGGGGGAGTTGTGGCTGTCCAAAACCTGATGGATCTCAACCGGGGGTGATTATACCAAGACCTACCATACCATGATTTCTATGTCCAAAACCTGAATTCATGGATCCCAAGTACTCACTTCCTGAGCGGATTGCCCAATAAAAGTCTGCACTTCTGATTCTACAGTACCATGATTTATCAAAATCTACGTCCGAAAAACAATTTGGGTATGGGTCAAAATTCGGTGCACAAAATGGGTTGCCCTGGTATATGGAAACAAAGACATTCAAACCTGCGGTCCAATTCCTGGTGGTGAAACACTTTGATCCATACCCATTTCTGCACTCATGGTTCCCATTTGTGGGTTGCCATTGTCCCTGAAGCCAAGAAGCCAAAAGCGGAAAACAAAAAAAAACTCCGACCAAATACGGAGAATAAAAACAAAAAACGTAACAGAAAAAGCGACCAACCCAAAAAAAAAAACAAAAAACATACCCCTCCTTCGTGGCATCCATGGCATCCATGACCTCCTTTTCGCCCGCTCCCCGCCTTTGAAGCTCCGCGAGCCACGCTGCCACTCCTCCTTGAGCGCCTCTGCCGCGCGCTGGGACTCCTCTTTGCCTCGGCCGCCGAGTTTCGTCGGCGCGCGCGAACGCGAACGCGAATGCGCGTGGTTTGGGTTTCACCCGGTGGGCGGAAGTTAAAGAGGGCCAAGCCAACGGGTTATCATGGAAGAAAATGGAAAAACAAGGAAAATGGAAGAACCATATCATAAGAAATATTCAGAAAATGGAGAAAATCATACTTTTTTCACAAATCCGTGCGTAAACCAGCTTTAAACAGCCCTAGTTTTTTGCTTTTGCAAGGAGATCTGTCTGCTTCTTTACGCAAAAATCCTCCCAGCCCTCTTCGCCTACCGACTGCTTGAAGGGTAATCCAAAATCCCTGTCACAGTAGGAAAAGCCAATTGCCGGGGAAGAGCACGAAAGGATCCAGTACCCACTTCCTACCTCCTATCCTGCGGTCATTTGCGCATCCCTGTTTTCTGAAGGACGCCCCCCCCTTCGTTGAAAGGCCTCGCAAAAAAAAGAGAAAAAACAAGAAGAAAAAGATCGCCGCCGCGGCGGGCCGAAGCGGAGTTTTGTCGACCCCCGAGCTGGCCGGGGGATAGGTCTGGCAAGGTGCGGGTGACGTGCCAGACTTGGACCACCTCCACGAAGACTTTCTGCTCCCGGGAGAATTCCATGTCCAAGCCTGAAGCGAACAAAATGCGATCGGGAGAGACGGAACCGGGGAATGGGAAAAGGAATGACCCGGATATAAACCGTCCAACTGGTTGTTTCCTTTAAGGCGACCCCTGGGCTCATTCCCACATTCTCCACTGAGCACCAGCAAGAAAATGCGGGAGAGTAAACGCTTCTCGCGCGGGCAAAAAGGTCAAATGAGCCTTGTAAACCTGCTTTGAGTCCTTTGCAAGTCCTGCAAACCCAGCACGCTCTCCAAAAGCCAAATGTATCTCATTGCTTTCCTGCACCCCTGAACCCTACAATCGAGTCAAGGGGGAACAAACTTGCGGCTGAGCATTTTGGTACTTTGCAGGTAGGAGACCCCTCTTTGCGATGCGGAATGGACAAGAACCATGGTTTTGTGGCAGTCTGCCCTTTTGGGCTCCGCCGAACTGGTTCGCTTTCACTCCTTCACTTGCCGCGACCCCGCAAGCAGCTGAACCAGCACATGCCAACATGTGTCCGTTCACGCCCAAGGCAACCGCGGTTGCCTTAAACCCGCAAAGCGAACGCTTGCTCCGCAGAATGCGCTGGAGGTGCTACATGCACCCCCACAAGCATAGCCCGCGAAGTGTGCATTTGCATACCTCCCGCCGATGCAGATTTGCATTCCTAAGCTGCAACCGCCCAAGTACCACCTGGTGCCACCAGGCTTTCTGAACAGGTCCGGCACCCTGGGTGTCCAGCATGCGTCGCGTGTGTCAAAGAAGCCTCTTGAACGAGGTGCAAGGGATCCCGGACGAAAGTCGAGGTTCCTTTGGGGTGCCGATGGATCTATCTATATATATACACCCGTTTTGGGTTGTTCAAATGCAATCCGAAATGGAGTCCAGACTTTTTGAGGGCGCACCTTTCGCATGTTCAAAGACAATCCAGCCGGACATTCCCCAACGTTGCGTGTCTCATCACGTGTTCCTTCTTTCTAAGGTACCCCGGCCCAGCACCGATCCATGCCAGGGTGCTCCACAGGATGTCCAGATCTGCGCCTTCCAAGGTAAGGGCCATGCGCCGGAGGATCCCCAAAAAACCGCCCCTTTGTTGGAAAATCCATGGTGAACGAAATTGCGGTGAATCCGAACATTCGGCTGGGGTTGAGGGCTTGCCACGGCTGGCCCGCAACTGCCAGCGTGGCTGTTCAAGATGCAGGGTTGGCCGATCACAACTCTTGAGTTGCTTTTTATGGAAACCAGTCATGAAAAGCAACCATTCAGAGAACTAAACATATGGCTGTGGGTGCGCTAACAACAGCAAAATACAAGCGCAACAACCATTGACCTTCGCAAGAGTGCAATCTTCTGATCCGTGCACGACTACATGCTCGCAGTGCTTAGCTCTCGGCCAGTCCCCCAGGCCTCCAGTTGCAATTGGGGCGATTCCCTGCCCTTGAATGGCCTGAGGAGTATCGATTGTGCTGAAAACAATGCTTTTCAGGAAAGAAAACACGTTGTTTTCGTGGCATATCCCTGGAAACACCACTTTTCCAAGCGGGCACGACTAATCTTGCAGGTTTTTGAGTCTCTAGGTAGCAGGAGACGATGAACCTTTGAATCTGCGCAGCAAAGTTTGCTGCAGGCCATGTGACTTTGCCTGCGTTGAGAGGCAAAAACTTTCCTGCGCGCACGTCGCTTGTTTGCAAGGATCGTTCCGTTCAGCGGTCCTGCCACTCACACTGATCCCCATGTCCCTTCTAAAGTTCACCCTTCTCATTTTAAAAAGTCGACCACTTGAGACTTAGGGCATATTCGCAACCGCAACACCTAGCCATGCTAATTACGTGTTTGTGGCGTGTCTGCCTAAACAAAGGGCATAGGGAAGCCCTGCTTCGTGTTTCTCAAAGCGAAACCAAAGGAAAGCCGTTGCGCCATTTTGGTGGGTCCAACCTAAAAGCCATATACTCATTTTGCTGGACGAACACACAAACCCAACTTCTCCAACTCGCTTTTTGCGGGAAGGGTGGCAGGTCACAGATCCAAACGGTCCGGCCTCTGGCGCACTTCAGCTTCTGCTGCTGGTGGCTGCACACCATCTCCCGAAAGTGCGGAGCCCAAACTCCCGAGGCCAAGGTCTGCGAGGAGTCGATCGCGCGCGCGCGCGAGCGCAAGCGGCGCGCGCCGACCCCGCCTTCGGAACAGAAGGCGAAAAAGCCTAGAGACTTGGTTGGCAGTGAAGGAACCGGAAAAGCAAATGGTGGGAATGGAGGCAAAAACTGACAAAAGAGTGATTTCATGTAGCGTTTCGGAAGTCAAGAGAGAGTCCTTCACCGAATGGAAGAAATGCGCTTGCCTCAGAGGCCCCACCTTTCTATTTTCCAACCACCCGAAACTTCCGTTTTCAATTCAACTCATTTCACAAGCCACCACCTCACCAACCCCAAATCCCCAAGACCCCACTAGTATTCTCCCGTCTCAAAAAGTGCTATAGCTTCATTGCAGAGGTGACCTGGCTCACAAATTTGAGATGCGAGGGGCGCAAAGATATGTCCAAGCCCTATATGGCCATGGTTCAAAACCGTTTTGGGATCCCATGTTGGTTGGTGGGTGAATGCACCCCCCATTTTCGTTTATTCTAGTGGGGATTGGGATGGCCGTGGTGGTCGTGGTGGTCAACACCGTTTTGGGATCTTAGTTTGGTTGGTAGGTGAATTCACCACCCATTTTAGAACCTATCTTGGTGGTTGGATTGGGATGTCCACTGGGGGTATGATTCGGGTTTTGACCCATGGCCATATAGGACCTTCACCATGCCCTACATCGATGCATGGTTTGTTGCATGTCGTCAGTTCAGATGATCGCCGTGTTAACTTGCAAGCCCTGGCTGATGTGAGCTGATTTTTTGGGGAGCCACACCAATCTTCGAGTCACCTGAAAGAACCGGAGGGAGACTGTTGGCTGGAGACTCGGTTCATGCGCTCCATGCGAGGCAAGAGCAAACCGGCCGGAACTATTCTTCACCTTTGCGCCTTAGAACCGGCCGGCTTCCCCATAATATATATATATATATATGTCCTTAAACAAACATCCTTGCACCAGAAAATTCACCTATGGCCTACCGGGTGATACTTACAACCCGGGATGTTGCCGGGAACCGTGGAGCACCAAACAAATGGTTTCCGCCCCTCCACAGCCATCTGAAGAGACTATCTTGTTGGGAACCCCGGAGGGAAAATAAACCAAAAAGGCCTCGTCTCCTCCACATGGAGAAATCAATCAGCTTCCCAAGCCTTGGGCCCAGGGTGCACAGCAATATGCTCCCTTGCTTTTGCTTGCACGAAGCCTGCACTATAAAATATGATTAGAGAGAAACATGCGTAAACCCACGCGTACCAAGAACTGCAAACTCCAAGTCACCAGTCACCCAGTCGGTCGTCACTTCATTGGCCCTTTCGCCTGCTCTTGCAAGAAGGACTCAGCAGGGAAAACAAATGGAGAACAACAATCAACACCAACTGGACGTGTGACACCTAAAGTTGACACCCAGCGCCATTTGGGAATCGCTTCTCCTGGACGCAAATGGGCACAGACCCTCAAACTACCGATTAAAGAAGAAGTTATTGCCACACAATTCTGGGCTCATTCCCTTTTTCTAAAGGTGGTTTGCGGGACTAGGTAGTTGCCAGGGGGCATCTGCAGGACAAGTTCGCGCGTGAATGGCCCTTTTTGGGGGAATATCAAGGTTTCGACTGGTTGGCATAGGTGTCCTTATAGGGGAAATAGATGGATATCCCTGGTAGATGATGAAACCACCAGGTAAACCAGGCATCGCCCTCTGTTTTTCCAGCAACACCACCAAAAAAAGGACCCCGATGCACCCAAAAATTGGCCCAGGACGCGTTTTGCGGGTTGACTGTCATTTTCCCCCTACCTTGCGGCCCCAAGTTTCACCCGGGCTCCGCGGCTCCCCGGCGAAGCGCCCTGCCTTAAAGACCTCCAGCGCCGCCTGACGGAGGGGGAAGTTGGGCCCCAAAGACCCTCGCTGGACCGTAAGTGTGACCTCTCAGAAAGCCCCGTTTAGGGTTGGCACTCCTTCCGTGTGGTTGAGGCCAAAAAGGAAAAATAACAACTATTTCCAGTGATGAGTTCCGTTTAGCAACAGGGGATAAAACAAATATTTTGCAAGTGGAGGCATCCACTTCCATTGGTCCATTGCGCCCCTGTCTCAACCACTCCAAAAAAAGGCCCTCAGCCCTGAGCCTAACATATGGAGGGAACCAAGAGGAATATACCAGATTTGTTTTGGGAGGTCGGGGAGGGCGGGGAGGTGCAGGAACCCCAAATGGGCCTACAACATGGATTTCGGAGTTCCTTTCTGAGTTTCCTGTTGGAACCACTGAACAACAAGGGCACCGAGCCTCAACAAAAAGCAACGGTCGATCCTTGCTATCAAAACATAAGCCCGCTGCCCCAATTCCTTTTTTTCCAGAAAAAGGCATAGTAAAAATCGGGCCGAAAACCCCCAGTTTTCCCCCCAACCATGTCCAAGTCGAGGAACTTGCTGGGCGCACCAGTTTGTACACCGCAAAAATTAAGTGTCCCGCTTCCGCCCCCTTGGCATCTTGCTCGCCCTGCTTCCACATCTTGGGCAACCCTGGGGGTCGTCTTTTGGAGGGTCCCGCACCTTGGGTTGGTTTGAAAAAGGAACTCAGTTGTTCAGTGACCCTGGGAAAAAAAGGGAACCCTTTTTGGGGAAGACCATTTTTAGTGGGGCAGCCACCAACAAAAAAGGGAAAAAGGGTGCCACTAAACAACTGAGGGAAAAAAGGGATGCCAAAGGTGTTGGGCTCATTTTGACAAGAAAAAATGGGCCTTGTTCTCGCGCTCCGCGCTCCCTCCCCGGCCTTCTGCTGGCTGCGCGTCAACTGCTTGGTTTCCCCAAAGGCGGCGTCCGACAGCAACACGCGCCAGGGCTGATCTCCGAAGATGTCTTGCAGCACGTCGGAGCCTGAAGGCTCCAAATCGAAGTCCAAACATGTCCCAGAAACATCCCAAATGATTGTAGGCTTCCCAGAAATCCCACATTCAATCTTTGTCCGTGCTTTCCATGTATTGCCATGTTTGTGATGTCTGCAACTTTTGTTGTCACCCCAACAAAGGTTCCCCAAACAAAACACCTCACCGAATTTTCCGAAAAGCACGTGTTTGAAATACCCCTTCAATGATTCAAGAAAAAATGCAGCAATGCCGGGCCCAAATGGACGGCACCAGTTAGCCTCCGCCCCCGAAAACCAGCGGGCTCCTTGGCGAGGAGTTCAACTTGAACTTGCCGGCACGGATGGACACTGCTTGCTTGACGTTGGGTTTGGGGAGCCAAAATTCTCAATTTTTAGCAGTTAAGTGGATTTGGATTTCAACCACCAAACCACAAGAGGCAAAAATGTAAAATGTGTCCCAACAACAACCATGTCTGTAAAGCGAACCGACTCACGGCTTAAACATCTGCACCTGGAACCCAAAGAAACAGAGTTCCAACAAGAGCCCCCAAAAATACTCCCAATTCCCGGTATGGACCCACCTGGCTGAAGGACTCCCTGAAACCGGCGCAAGCACGTCGTTGTGCCCCAGGACATCTCCCTGTTAGCATACACAGGCCCCTTGGCCCCTCTATTTCGCCTTTAAACGTGACTGCCAAGAGGCACCTGCCTTCAACTTGGCCACCAAAACTTGGTTGACGTTGGAAGGGGAGCAAAAATTCTCAAATTTTAGCAGGTAAGTGGGGGATTCAACCACTAAATCACAATAAGCCAAAATGTAAAATGTGTCCTAACGACAGCCATGAAAAGGTGTCCAAACCAACAAAACGGGGACCTGCAGGGAGCCCCATACGTCCAAGACGCGCGGAGCATCGCACGCTTCCTCCTGCAGCGGCTCCAGTTTGGGTTCTTCAAAGCGCGGGTGACGGCCTTCCGAGAAAGAAAAAAACGCCGCGGAACTGCGAGGAAGAGGGATGGGCCTTCAGCCCCGCTTGGGGGGAGTTACAGGTATGCATTTGTCCATAAGTACACATAGTTGTATGTATGTATGTATGTATGTATGTAGGTGGGTAGGTAGGTAGGTAGATGTAGGTAGGTAGGTAGGTAGGTAGGTAGGTATGTCTGTCTGTCTGTCTGTCTGTCTGTCTGTCTGTCTGTCTGTAGGTAAGTATGTATGCAGGTAGGTATGTCTGTCTGTATGTCTGTCTGTCTGTCTGTCTGTCTGTATGTATGTAGGTATGTGTGCATGCAGGTATGTATGTATGCAGATAGAAATGTACGAATGGATGAATGTATGTATGTATATACGTATGTATGTATGTATGTATGTATGCATGTATGCATGCATGCATGTATGTATGTATGTATGTGTGTGTATGTCTGTATGTATGCATGCATGCATGTATGTATGTATGTATGTATTCATGTAGGTAGGTAGGTAGGTATGTATGCAGGTATGTATGTATGTATGTATGTAAGTATTTATGTATGTAGGTAGGTAGGGATCTATTTAGGTACGCAGGTAGGTATGTATGTCTGTCTGTATGTATGTATGTTGGTATATGCGTATGCAGGTATGTATGTATGTAGATAAGCATGTATTCATGTATGAATGAATCAATGCATGTATGTATATACGTACGTACGCATGTATATATGTATGTAGGTAGGTATGTATGTATGTAGGTATGTATGCATGCCTGTCTGTCTGCCTGTATGTAGGCAGGTATGTATGTATGCGCGTATGCATGTGTATGTATGTATGTATGTATGTATGTATGTATGTATGTATACATGGATGTGTATGTGTATGTATCTCTCTAAGCATGTGTACAAGATAATATACATGCACATGCATAAAACATTCCATCCATACATTCTTACCTACATTCATACATGCATGCATACACATTCACTTATACGTGCATACATACATACATACATTCTATTCATACATACGTTCATTCATACATACATGCATTCATACATGCATGCATACCTACATACATACATACATACATGCATCCATACGCATTCATTTATACGTGCATGCATACATACATTCCATCCATGCATACGTTCATACATACATGCATTCATACATGCATGCATGCATACATGCATACATTCATACATGCATGCATACACATTCACTTATACGTGCATGCATACATACATTCTATTCATACATACGTTCATACATACATGCATCCATACATGCATGCATACCTACATTCATACATACATACATACATACATGCATCCATACGCATTCATTTATACGTGCATGCATACATACATTCCATCCATGCATACGTTCATACATACATGCATTCATACATGCATGCATGCATACATACATTTCATACATGCATGCATACACATTCACTTATACGTGCATACATACATACATTCTATTCATACATACGTTCATACATACATGCATTCATACATGCATGCATGCATACATACATTCATACATGCATGCATACACATTCACTGATACTTGCATACATACATACATTCTATTCATACATACGTTCATACATACATGCATTCATCCATTCATATATGTACAGGAGATGACCTCATAGTGTGGGAACCCTGTTGAACCACATTTCCTTCATTTTCATACCCCCTGCGCCTAGTACCAGCGCTCCAGGCCAAGCCCACCCCAGCAACAACTTCCCTTGCACCGCCGTAAGACAGGACCTACCTTCACGCGTGCCACGTGGTGTGCAAGCAACCTCATTTTCTCTTCCCTTTCAGGGCGGTCTGGGTGAGTTCACTGGCCCCTGCGACATGTTTGTGCGAACTTGGACGGTAGAAAAGCCTCTCGCACGAAAAGCGCAACATATTTTGTCGGAAAGTGGGCAACAACATTTTTTGACAAAGCAACAAGCGGGGATACGGAGGGAGCGGGTGGGATTCCCTTGGCGGCATTTCCCATATCAAACTTAATCCAGGTGCATTTGCAAGGAATCCTCCCGTATCAAACTGGTTCCCCCTGTATCCCTGCTAGTTGGATTCCCTGACAATGGTCTGATTTCTTCAGAGCAGCAGTGTACACCTCAAGCTTGCTCAATTTCTTGACAACATCGCCGGGCTCCGCGAGTTCGCTTCATTCTGCCAAACACCGGGCACAGCGAAGCGCCATCCTCAAAACTGCAGTCTAAATGGTGGTTTCAAGGGAAACACCATCCAAAAGCAATTTTCGAGAATAACCTGAAAATGTCCAACTGAAAGGGGCGGTCAAGGGTCGCCCTTAGCGCGTGCCCCGCCTTCCGTGAATGTTCCACTCATCACGGAGGTGCTGTCATCAGGGGCCGGCTCCACAGAAGCCGCGGCCAGTGGCTCCTCCACCTGACACTTGTCTCAGCATTCAGAGGGCCGTCCAGCTTCCCAAAGTAGCGACCAAACACGCGTAAAACCGCAAGAGTCTTGGACCAAATTTGCTCAGGGAGTCTTGGAAACATGGGTTGGGTTGACACCCACAACACTTTTGAGACACTTTTGTCTCATGAAAGTTGCTTGACATTTTTTTCAAGCTCACTCGTGCTTGGAAACGGCGCATTCGCTACTCAATGTCTTGCCTCACTTAATGGATTGGCCAAACAATGGGGCCCGTGAGAAGCGAATTCCTAAAATTTAGAACTGCAGCAAGGCTCCAGACCTCTGGGTATGAATCAAGACGATCCCTGAAGGGTCAGCCAGGGTGGAGCCCCGAAACTATGTCTTTCTTCAGTGAGCCCCGAAGCGAGCCAAGGCTGGCTGCCCCCTCAACTGTCACATAGCTGTTTTTGCCGGATGGTGCAAAAAACATTGGGCTGAAACTCTGCCTGGGATGTTTTGCCCAAGCATTGAATGTTGGCTTTCCAGGATTCCCCTCAAGTTTAATGTTGACCCCGGATTAAGAAACCCCGGTTTATTTATATGGGGGTGAACCCGGGGTTGCTCTTAATCCGGGGTCAACATTACCACTGAACAATGGTGGGTACCTGGCGACGACCGCGCAAAATGTATCTTTGGATTTGTCATAAAACTTGCGCTTTGCAGAAGGCCTCGGCTTACAGCATGCTGCCTAGAGGCAGGGAAGGAGAAGCGCGTGTCCGGAGTCTCTATGAAGTCTTGAGCTTCAAAACGACCTGAGGCGGGAACCTGTTAATGTTGACCCCGGATTCACCCCTGGTTTTTAATGTTGACCCCGGATTAAGAGCAACCCCTGGTTGTTTTTTTTGGGGGGTGTCCCCTTTTAGTGGAGATTCAGACCATTTTGGGAGGGGTTTTCACCCCCCTATTAGTAAGCTGGGGTTGATTAATAGGGGGTCAACATTATGCAAGCAGCGGCTCAGCTGCATCTCAAGACTGCCGGGCCGCGCCGGAGCTCTTTCTGCTTCTCCTCCTCCCTTCGGCGCAGTTCCGCCTCCTCGTCCGCGCCGCCGGCCTCACGCTGGGCGCTGGGCGCAGCGAAGTGAGTTTGCCAAGCGGGTGGCAACGTACGAGCCCTTAGGCTTTGGTGAGAGGAAGGCCAACTGGTGGTTGGAGCATCCAAAACCCCGCTTCTACAACATGAAGCAGGTAGGCCCCAGCCTGAGTCGGGCGAACAAACGTACTGCAAAAGGAGAAACAATAAGAATATGTTGTCCAACAAAAACAAATCTCCCACAAAAACAAAACGAACCCCCCAACAAATCCAAAACCCCAAGAAATCCGAAATCCCCAAGACCAAAAAGAAGACCCGACGTCCCCCCGAAAAAAAAGAAGCGAGCTTCTGCCGGGGTTTAGACTGCTGACCCTCGCCTTCTTCGCCGTCTTCTTCAGCAGCTTCTTTTGGCCCTGGCCCTCCCGAAAGCGAGGACCGCGGCCCGCAAGGCCCGCGGAGCCGGGGCCTGGAGGAAAGGAGTGCGAGGGGGGGGGGGGAAGGGAGAAGGGGATGGAAATGCCTGGGTTGGCGCAACGATTCTTTGCTCCCAGACGCTCCGATCGACTTCGGCTTCCAATGGAAGGCCCAGACCCTCCATTGGACACCCCCAGAAAAGTTTGTGGGGTCTCAAAACCTGGCCCCTGGCTGTTTGAAGGCCCAAAATCAATCGGGAGCGTCTGGGCTAATCAATTGAGTGAGGCCGCAATGAGAATGTGAGCCAGGAGCAAACTGTACAAACGAATGCTTCGACGAAGAATCAGCTTTTCCAACCAGCTTTTTGCTCGCACCTTGGCTTGGCACGTCGGAAGTTCGAACAGGCGGGGGCAACATCGCAGCGGTGTTGCTTTGTGCCGCCTGCGGCAGGGCATTGGTTGTTTGGATTCTGAGTCACGGCGCCGGGAGCGGAGCGCCCTCCGGCGCGATCGCCTCCAAACAGTTTGCTGAAGGGGGTGCGCTCAAAGCAATGGACCCTCATGCGTGGCCCAACCCTCATGCCATCTCTTGGCATTTCAACAGGAACCTTCCAAGAGTAGGCCTCGGCCTGGAAAAAGCGTGCTTGTATGTTTGGTCTGGATGCTATACGCTCAAGGCAAATGTGTTTGAGAGAAAAAGGCTACGTCTGGGAATCAGGAATGTCTCTGTAAAAGGGGCCTCTCTGGTTGGCGATCTTTGTGGGCCTTGGCAATGGGCCCAACTTCACTCCACCTGGCCCAAAACTGGACGAGCGCGGTTCTCAACCATTCTTGGACAAATTGATGGGACCCGCAAGTCCCATTCCGCCCTCCTGGGGGTAGCAAGGCCAAAAGTGACAAAGAAGCCAGCAAACAAGCAAACACAAGACAAGCAAGCAAACCTACCTACTCCAAATACCCGCTTTTTCCAGGGTATTTTTGGGAAAACCTGGTTTTCCATGGTAAATACCTCCTTTTTTAGTAGAGGGTCGACATCATACCCTGAAAAAAGTGGGTATTGGGTGTAGGGGGTAACAAGCAAACAAGGAACACAACTCGAAGGCAAGAGCCCCATAAATCCCATGCCGCGCGGCCAGGTTGTTCCTGGCGAAGGGCGGAATCCCGGAAGGCGAAAAAAAAGAAGAAGGGTTGCTGAAAAGCAACAGACATGTCGGCCCCGGGTAAAGTGAAAAAGGAACACATGTTCCACCCTTTTGGCTTGCAACATTCAAGAAAGGCCCCTTTGTAATTCTGAAAGCGGACATGGCGAGGAAGCTGTTCGGTCATGTTCAAACTCACCGGGAAAAAAACGGAGGAACAAAAACGTTCTGGAGGGTAGAGGCTCGGAGCAAATTTGCATGCGGTCGAACAAAAACAAATTGGTCAATGTCGTTGGATGTTCGAAGAGGAAGCGAAAACGACTCCACGTTATCATCATCCCCGCCCCTCTTCCTCTGCGAGGGGACCCCCCGTCGAGCACAATGCGTGGAGGTCTTGGTATGGAAGTGTTGCGAGGAAAGCTGGTTCTTTGTGCGTCTCGCAAAGTTAAGCCTGTTTCATCCAGGAGAGGGATGCGCAAGACCTCAGGGGAACCTCGAAGGAGGTCCACAACTAGATTCTGGAAGGGGTGTGGCAAGCGTAAATGGGATGAAGTGGGATGGTACCACCAAAGACCCTGCGTTGCGCTTTGCTTTCGGTCTGAAAAGAAACTGTTCTTTCACGAAAGGGAGCCCCGGACTAATAAACTTGTGCTATTAATAGGGGGCGTTCCCTCCAAAGGTAACGAGCACCAACAACGGAACACCCATCAATTAACCAGGTGCCTATCAATTTGGGGTCCAATTCCTTCAGGATATCCCCAAATGCTCAAAAAACATAGAACACACCTCGAGTGCTTGGTCATGCTTGGTGCTTTCAAGCCATGACAACATCGACTAAAACAAATGGAAGAAGGGTCTTCAGGAACCGGTCTGGCCTTGGAGATGATTGCAGCCAGCACCCGTGTCCAATCACGTGAACTTGGGAATCCGGACCCACGTTCAGAGTCTCCAGAGGACCCCTAAAATAGATCATGTCCTCCCTGATTAGCCTGCTGGTTTTGAGCATGAGAGTTGGGATGACCCCTAAATTACTGGTGGGATCCACCCCTGCAGGATACTAAAAGAGTACTAAAAGAGTACTCAAGAGGACCTATCAGGGGAAAATAATATGCGAAATTCACAAAAAAAACGCCTCCGAACCCATTTCTAGAAGTACCGCCTCCGAAAGGGAAAAGTCCGGGAAGCCTTCGCGCGAGGCGCCGCCGAAAAGGAGTTTGAGGAGCTGCCTCAGAGCAAGCAAGATTCAAAGACCCAGTTGGCCAGGGATCCCCAGTTGCCCTTATTTTCCAGCGACTTTTGGGTAAAGTGGCTGGAAAAAGGTGGGTACTTAGGGATCCAGGTGCCTTGTTGACCTGAACGGTGACCCAGGATTGATAAACCCGTCCCATTCTTAGGGGGTGAAAACCCCTCCAAATTTGGTCTGAATCCCCACTAAAAGGGGAACCCCTCCCCCCCAAAAAAAGACAGGGGTGCATTAATCCGGGGTTTACCTCAATTTGCTGCTGCGACTGGTAGGGAATGACACCGAGTCCGGGTTTTGGGAAGGCACCGGTTTTGGGGATTCCTGGTAAGTTTAGGATTTGATTTAAGGCAAGACCGGGAAAACCTCCTGGTGGGTTTGGGGTTAGGATGGTTTCGGATTCAGGTAAAGCTGAGAAAACCTCCTTTCAGTTGGAGTTTGGGTTGATACTAACTTGGGCGTGGCAAGTTTTTTTCGTGCCGACAGGTTTGGTCTTTTCTTGCTGCAGGGCGGTCAGCGACAACTCTGGCCATGAGCCATGACAGCCAGACTGACAGACCAGATTCCATTTCAATGTGTTCAGTTTGCCCGTGATTGGTGGTTTGGTGGTTTGGAGGATTGGAAGTTCAAGCCCCGCACCACCGATTGGGGGGTAACCTGATTTTTGGGTCCCCAAGACAACCACCAATCCAAACCACAAATTAGCGTGGCCTCCAACACTCACAGGGGGTTCTCAGGCTGAATGTTTTCTTGGTTGACGCTGGAAGGGGAGCAAACAAACACATTTGTTAGCAGTTAAGTTGAGTGGATTTGGATTTCAAGCACTAAACCACAATAAGCAAAAATACCACATGTTTCCCAACAACAACCATGTTTTTCTTCTCCGAGAGCTTCTCTCCCAGACGTCTGACGGCTGGTTTCAGTTCGCATCTGGGAGGCCCGAACCAAAAGTTTCAGGACCTAAGCTCCCTGTCATTTTTCGTGGGTCATCCCAAATCATGTTGACCCAGGATTAATAGACCCGTCCCATTATTAGGGGGTGCTTCCCTCCAAAAGTGATGAATCTCCAATAAAAGGGGACACCCCTATCAATCAACCAGGGTTTATTAATCCGGGGTCAACATTACATTAAATGGGCCTGTCTTCTATTGGAAGGTGCCCTTTTTTGAGGTTGGTTTGGGGGAAGCCCAAAGGCAAACCCCAGTTTCAGCGAATCAAGGCCGCATTTACCCAGCAGCACCTGCGCATTTTCCTGCCTAGTGCCTAGGTCTGCAGCTACCGACAATTCTGTGCTTCTCTCTCAGCCTGACGAGAGTTCTGAGGGCCCTGAACAGGGGCTCCGAGTTTTCCGAGCAGTTCCGCGACGTCAGAGTTTTTCAATGGAGGGCCCGGAAAACCTGCATTTGGGGGGGAGGGGGTTCATGAGCCTTAGGGTTCTAATTCGGGGCTTTGAGCTCGCAAACTTTGAGCTTTGGCACCTGCACTTGGTTTTTGTTTTGCTTACTCCCTGCGGGAACTCGGAACCGTGAGCCTAAAACACGGAGTATGGGCTTTGCTGCAAGATGTGTCACGTGGACATCAGGCCGGCCCCTGATATTTTTTGGGCAGGCTGCCCATCCCTTGGACTACAACCGCATGACTTGAAAGGGATATCTTAATAGCGAGAATTGATATTTTTGCGGCAGGTGCCAATCGCAATCCCATACTCAGGAAACTCAGGTGCGAATTGCTTGTATTTGTCTCCGGGATCATCCCTGTTTGTGGGGGCACGTTTTTCATCTAAGTATAAACATAGACACACACATATAGAATATATATATATATACACATACATTCCCAAAAAAGAAAAGGACAAACAGATTAAGCAGGTGCCGCAACAGCAAACCCGGGACCCCCGACCGCTATGGAGCTTTTTAGGGCAAAGATTCCACCGCCTTCAGCTGGGCAGAAATTGCGCACCAACGTCAAGCCAAGAGCGCTTAATCGAGGCCATTTTTCTGCCTTCAACACCAAAACCAGTCCTCCAGTAGAGAGGTTAGAATAAGAACAAGTCGGTACCAACTTTTTTTCTATGGTCTATTTGGTACCCTTTTTTTCTATAGTCTATTTTAGTGGGGGAACCGAAGCTCCCCCCAAATAAGTTACGGTAAAGGTTGGCACCAATCGCTGGAAGACCTCGAAAAGCTTCTCTCTTTCCGAGGCGCCGCTGAGCGGTGCACGCCAAAAGCCCCCTGGACTGGTGGATCTGCTGGCGCTGTCCTCTCTGGCTGATTGGACATCTCCCTCGTCTCGTTGGCTTAGGTGGGTATACTTGAAGGGGCAGGGTACTTAGTAATTAGTAAGCCAGGTTATAACCCACATAGGAGACTTATAACCATGGTAAGCGGGTCATAACCTGACCTATTAACCACTTACTAAGTACCCTGCCCCTTTAAGCAGGTAGATAACCCGCTGCTCATTTCGAAAACCGGGCTCCAGACATCATGTACTGCCAGTGCGAGCATCTGTTCAGGAGTGCTCGATTGAAATTCAGTCAAACTGTCTAGTTTTGGGCTTCCTTTCTGTAATACCGCCCGGTGGGATTCCAGTCACAACTACTCTGTCAGTCAGGTAAGCGCCCTGCACGGGCCTTTTGACAGCTGGTTTGGTAACAAAGACCCCAAGATTCACCTGCCTTCCCAAAGAGCCACCCAGTGGATCCCCGGCAAGCTCCCTAGTAGGTACCAGTTTTTGCGGGGTTTTACGGGGTGCCAAGCCCTTGGCTACTATACAGGGAAATGGAATCACTGGGTTAAAGGTCGCATGCCGGAAGGGCAAAGTAGCCCATGGAGGGTTTGATCACACGGAGTTCCCTTGGTATCTAGTAGCTGGCATCGCATGCAAACGAAACCGCGTGTCGTATTCATGCTGTTCAAGAAGGTGCCTGCAATTCACCTCGCCGACCTTCCGCTAGATCACTCACTTGAACTGGCCACGTAGCTGAGCAACTAAGCAACTCACTATGAAGCTGATCCCAAACTTAACTCACTGGCTCACCAAGGAGCTAGCTTAGAAAACAACAAATCTCAACCTGATAATCTATTGCCCGCCCAGTTGACGAGCCGACCGAGTTGATTCGCGACGAGCCGAGTTCCTCCTGGCGTGGTTCCGGAATGTGGATATAGGCGCTCAGGGTGGGCTTGGGCGGGGTGCGCTTGAACATGTCCTCACGGAAAAGAACAATAGCGTGGCCAACACATGTGGCCGGCATGCCCTCACCCAAATTCAAGAGACCTGCTTTAAAAATCATGATGAACGATCACTGGCTAAACAATTGCAAACCAAAGCGGGATGATCGATACACTGCCGATACACACAGGAAGAAAACAAACATGCAGCTGACCTGATCAATGTGACTGCGGTGGTCTTCACCTTTCCTAAGCGCTTCAACGGCAACCAGCGGCAACGCCTTCAGATGCCCAGTGGTCTTTTTGGAAGGAGAAGGAACCGAGCACAAAAATCGGCGGTTGCAGCCAATCCAACCAATGACTCTTGCTGGCCAATCCGCCAAGGACTCTGGCTGGTGCCTGAGCAAAACCAACTCATGGGGTTCCAAATAGGCATCCGACCAACAGAAGAGTCGGTACTCAACTGGACAGCAGTTTGCGTCAGGCGGATTTCTCGGCATCGCCTCAAATCCCACCTGGCTCTGCCATCGTTGGTCGAAGTCCTGCCAGGGAGACGGTCGAATTCTCGTGAAGCGAGCTTAGGGCCAGCAAGGAACAGGTTAAGCCCTGGGATCCTTGCGCAAAAAATACGGAGCCAACACACCGCAAGGGTTGAACAATTGTGAATTTCGATGGCTTCAATCAAGTAAATCAACAATTTCTTTTTTGGAAGGTTCATCTGTGGTTGATTTCCGAGAGCAGACTCGGACTTCTGGTTTTAGCGCTGAACGAAAACGTGGAAATTTGGGTGGCTCGTCATTTTATGAGTTGGTACCACTGTTCTTGGTGGCTTTGAAGGCAAAGGCACCCCCGCAAGACATCCGCGAAGACATCCCCAAAAACATCACTCTAGACAACTGCGAAGACAAAGGCGCCCCCCAAAACATGCCCCAAGACAACTACAAGGACATACCCAAAGACACCCTCAAAGACATCCCGAAAGAAATCTCCCAAAGACATTCCCCAAGACATCTCCCAAGCCACTATCAAAAACACCCCTGAAGACACCCTCGGACGACATAGCAAATCCAGACTAGGTCCTCCAGTAGAGAGGTTAGCATAAGAGCACCTTTTTTTTCTGTAGTCCATTTTAGTAGGGGAACCCTCCCCCAAAAAAGAAACGGTAAAGGGGTACTACTGGGGGACCTAGAGACTATTTACGTATACCATGTACTTTTTGTGGTTTAATGGAAAACCCAATAGTTGACAAAAAGTCCAAGTCCTGACATCCAAGCAACATGCAACAAAGGCAAAGCCAAAGCCAAAGATCCCTTACAAAAGTGACAGACCCAGAATGGCCATGGGTCAAAATCCTGTACCCCAGTGAACATCCCAATCCCCACTAAAATAGGCTCTAAAATGGGTGGTGCACCTACCCCAACATGGTACCATTGGTTTTGATCCACAGCCAAATCTGGCCCACTCCGGGACGCATAGAAAGTTGGCATCCCTGGAAGACAACAAAAGGATTTCCTTCATCCCTGGAAGGGGACAACCCTGAAGACGAGCACAGCCAGAGATCCCCTAAACAAAATGACAGCCCCAAATCGCCGAGCCTCCCAGAAGTCTTCCTCCGGGCTGGCGCTACGGCGCCGGCTCCCACTGCGGCTCCGCCGCCGGCTGCCGCGGGAAGTGCTGCGGCCGGCGCGCGGCTCGAAGCTGCGGCTGCGGCCCCGGCTGTGGCCCCGGGACCTGCGAAATCGGAAAATCTCCCTGCTGGAGTATTGTTGAAGTTTACGTTTCGGGTTTTCAGGGTTCATCTTGGGTGGGGAGTTAGAGATTTTATTGGGTGGGGGTCAGACTGGTTTGGTTTATCAAAGTCAGTCAGTCGATCCATGTACCTGCAATCGAGGTAACCAAGGGAAAAGAGCCGAATAGAGCCGAAATAAAAACCAAAAGGCAAACTGCTGGTTGGAGTTTACGTTGCGGGTTTTCAGGGTTTATCTTGGGTGGGGAGTTGGAGATTTTATTGGGTGCTGGCTTGGTTTATCAAAGTCAGTCAGTCGATCCATGTACCTGTAATCGAGGTAGCCAAGGGAAAAGAGCCGAATAGAGCTGATATAAAAACCGAAAGGCAAACTGCTGGTTGGAGTTTACGTTCCGGGTTGTTAGGGTTCATCTTGGGTGGGGAGTTGAAAAAAAACATATCTTGGACTGTGTGAGGGAGCAACTTCATAAACGCAGCGGTTGCATGGCGCTTCCCATGTTCTGCCGCTGAACAGAACTGCATTCCACTCGCAGCCCTGCTCTTTCAGCTCCCATCACATTTCTGGCTTTTTGCTCGGGGTGAGCCTTTTTGGGTTCGTTTAAAGGGCCTCCGGCACAAGCCGGTTGCCTTAAAATAGTGCTTGTTTAAAGCGAAAGCGCTTGCGAAAACGACGCAGGTCCTTCTTTGTCCACTGCAGTGGGTGCAAGTATTCTGTCTATTTTGCGGTCGCCTCACCTGGGGCAAGCCAAGTTTGTCCATTAAATCATATACTTTATCCAGATATATCCAGATTCCAGTTGCCCATATCGTAACCAGCCATATTCCCTTGGTCACCTACTACAGGGAAATGTATCCACTGGATTAGGTTTGTGGAGTTGGTGTTTGGGGTAAGCTTTGAAGGGAAATTCTTGACGTGGCCGCCCGCACCTCTTTTCCTAAATGGCATGACCACTCGACACTTTTCGCTATGGACCCCCCAAGTTGATTTGCGTTTTAAGGTACCCATGGATGGCTTTCAAGGGGAAACCAAGGGAAAAACAACTTCGAGCCTCCATTTGCTTAAGCCCCCTGGAAAAATCAAAATATGTCCAGTAGTGATAGATTCCCTAGTGGGGAAAATGCAATACATTCATTTCAGCAAATGGAGGTGAGGGGTCCACTAAAACCACAGGACACACGAAAAAGTCTCCAGTCCACATGCCCCGCTGTCCACCAGTATTTTGGAATAGATTTGTAGCAGTTATCCCCCAAAGCCCAGTCGTTGTCCTTTGGTTTCCCTCCAAATCAACCCAACAAGGGCCCACACATCAACAAGGGCCCAAACATGTCAGTGTTCGCCTGATTTCCCTTTACGCCTCACTTCCGAACGAGTGGATTGGGAAAAAACAAGTCCGAACTCTTTGATTTGCCACTAAACCGGTCTTCCCCAAAAAGTGTTTGAAGTGCGAGTCACGGAACTCCGGAAGTGAGACAACCCAAAGACGTGGCCCCCCGAACGCGGAGAGCAATCGGACCTGGGGCGCAGCGGCGCGCCCGGCGCCCGGGTCTCGCGCTCGTGGCGGTGCTGGCGGTGTACGGCCCGGGAGCCCGGACCGCCTCGGAGGAAAAAGGTGCCGTGCGAGGCCCAGGGATTTTACTGCAACAGGTCCTTAGACATAGTTATTCTAGGGGTCCCTTCCATTTCCATTCTTTCCAGGGATCCGAATCTTTCTAGCAAACCTCCGGAAACCCACGGAAAACGGCGGTTCTTGTGAAAAAGACCGATGGTTGAAAAGAATGGACAAGGAATCAACCCAGGTCCATAGACTTCCATTTGGTTGAGACCCCTGGAAAAACTAAACATATTTCCAGTAGTGATACGTTCCTTTTAAAACCAACAAGGGAAAATAACAAACATGTTCTTAAGCAAATGGAAGTCGACATCTTATAGGTTTAATGGTGGCAAGGCCATCTGGGTGTGGCTTTGTTGAGGGGTACCCTTTTTTGGGGATATAGTTTGAAGGGAAAAACAACTTTCGGCATTTGTTATGTTTTTCTTTTTTGATTTGTTTTTTGTTGGGGGGGTTCTCCCACTCTAAGCCACACAAAATTGCTTCCAAAAAGTGTCGTGGTCTTTATGCCTTGGTTGGCCGAAGACACTCAGCGCATCAGGGTCCCTCTTTTTGGGCTTGTCCAGTTTTCTTTCTTCTGAGGTTGCTGTTCTGTGGCAATTTTGCAGCGGCGTCAAAGGAAAACCACCTTTTGGAAAAGGCAAACCCTCGGGACAAGCGGTTGCTTGCGTGTATGTGTCCCCTTTTTCAATCACTTCCTGAGTGGCGTTGCCTGCCACCGATGTTTCCAAACTTTCAGAAGCTCCGAGCAACCCTGAACAAGGGGCCCTATATGGTCTGTTCAGGGTTCCTTCAAAGAATTGTCACCTTAGGATTTGAAGTAGAACCCCAGCTGTTCGAAGTGACGGTTAAAACACAATTCAAACAACCTGTGTGACTCGAGGGAACTCCCGAGTGAGGATTTCTGAACCCTAAAACGCGCTGGTCTCCGATGTTTGAACCTGGCACATCAACTCCGGAGTTTGCCATTTCACCTACCTTGCTGCGAAGGGAAGCCCTCGTAAAAGTTGCTTTAAGCTCCTGATGCCAACTTCGGCTTCCAAATGGTTCAGTGGTCTACAGACTGGAGCAGTGGGCCAGTTGAACGCAGTGACGTCGAAAAATCACCTTACCCTCCCTCCCGCTTAAACTAGGATCTTCTTTGAGTTGATTTCAACATGCATCCCAACATGACTCGTCCCGTCAAGGACTCACTCCAAGTGCCGGGCTCGATTCTTCGCGCGGCCGCTCGCGGTCGCGAAACATCTGAAAATAAAGCGCTTCCATCGCTCCGCGGCTTGGCTCCAAATGGCTCGGCGAAGCGGACCTTGGGCCCTGGGCCCCAAGGGCGACGCGAAGAAAATCGAAGAAATGGGATCCACTTCCGACTTCCAGGGCGGATTCTTGCTTGTGGCCTGTTCTCGTCTGCTTTTTTGTTGTTGTTTTTTTACAGGTTTCCAGTGAGGCGCACGAAAATGCTGGCTGGTTGATGTCCCTGCCAACCGCAGGGCCAAATTCGGTGATCACCTGTCGAGTAGTCACGGAATCGCCTTTTTGGGGATCCCATTTTTTTGATTCCACATTCATTTGTAAAATAAAACAAATAAAAAAGAGTTTGTGTGGCTCAAAGATCCTGCAAGCATCGCTTGCCAAACGGCTTGCGGCCTTTAAGTTGGCCCCAAGTGTTAAAGCCCCAGCCTCCCAGGAGATGTAACCTGCACTTCGCGTCTCTTGCGTGGCTCTCCCACCCTACCCTGGGAAGGCTCCTAGCCTAAGAGTAGCCCACTGGCATGGTGCCTCAAGGGTACCCTAGGAAGAATCTGGCAACTGAACAATGGGTGATCACCCCAAAATTACGGCCAATGAGTTCCCTTCTTTATGGGTAGTTTGAGGGTTCTAGGTTCAGGCTTTTCCTCAGCTGCATCTTCCCCGAAAGTTCACCGAAGGTCGGTTTGCTAGCGGACAAGTGAGTGAGCAGTGCCCAAAACATGATCAGGTCCGCATTTTTAATCAGGTCTGAACATGCATTGGGACAACATTTCTTTTATAGATTCCTCAAGGGACAATTCGTCTTCCAGCTATCCTCCCAATCTTTCACGGTTACCTCTCAAACTCGAAGCGCCCCACGAAGCCTTTAGGAGGGCCACGTGCACGAAAGGACCTACCAAAGATGAGAACCAAAACACAAAGCAAGTACTCGCAGCATATCAAAAATTATGATGCCTCCAAACTTTAGACTCCGAGCATCATGAGACCTGCAAGGGTCCTCTCTGACAGGGAGCCTTCTTGCAAGAATTAATTACTTGATAAGGCCGTAGGGCCCATGTCTCCCTCACAGGACCCTAGGTGCAGCGTCCCTGCCAATTCAGCCGCTTCCACTTCGCAGCTTGCCTTCTTCAGCGCTTCAGTCCCCCCAGGGACTGCATTGAGGAACAAGCGGCAACGCCCCAGTTGCCGCTCTCATAGGTGCCTTTTTAGGCGGAATAGATGGCCCTGGTAGATGATTAAACCACCAGGTAAGCCAGGGCCAAAAAGGACACCTATGGCCGCTCTGCTACACTGGATTCAAACCAACGCCAGGAATCGGGGAGACCCACATGACCCCATTCCCGCCGGTTGCTTCGAGGCTGTCTGGGCCACAGGCGCTTCGAATCCTCTCGGCATTCCTGCGTGCCTGCAGAAGCAACATGTCGCTGACTCAGTTGTTCAGTGACCCTGGCAAAAAAGGGACATTTTTGGGGAAGACCATTTTTAGTGGGGCAGCCACTCCAAAAAAAAAAAGGGGAAAGAATTGGTGCCACTGAAGAACTAAGCTGAAAAGGGCTAGCCCGCCAGCCGCTGGTTGCAACCAGTAGGAAACGGGGTCGCCATTTCTAGGGTTGACCCGGGGTGCTTTTGGGGTCACCTCAACACAAACTTCTCTCGGGTGGGAACCCATTGGGCCGAGATCTCTTCTGGATTTCCATCATAGAGCGACTTCTGGGTCACATCGATTTCACCCTATGTCTAGGCCCATATCATTGCGCCCTTGGAATGGACCCTTGGCTTTGTCACCTGTACCTCCCACAACCCACCCCCCTCTGTACCATTGAATGGCCCCTTCGCCTCAAGAGACCTGAACACTTCGACCTCCATCCCCCCTTTTTCCTCGCAGCGGAAAGGCATGAATCAACGCCACCGCCCTCAACGCGCCGCGAAGAATGGGCATTACAGGCGCACACGGGAGGAGGGGAAGCGGGGCCACGCTTTGTCCCGTGAGATTCGAAGGGCGTTTGTGTGAAGCATGAAGCTTCAAAGTTGATGCCGGGCTCCGATGCACTCAGGTTCAGTGTCGCTTCGGGTGTTAATTATTCAGCAGCTGCTTCGCTTATCTGGATACTTCAGCTGCTTGCAAACCATGTTTAAACTGAAGCAAGAACCCTATCTCGATGCCTCTTCAGGGGTTGTTCAATCATGTTTGACCAGTGCAACCCCCCGAAACCGCGACCATGTAAGACAAGGATGGCAGGTCAAATACCAAATCGGCTTTGTGTTGAGAACCAAATAAACCGGGGAGTCCTAGCATGCAACGGACCTCAACCCCTCGCCAGGGTTTCTATACCAGGGCTCCAACGGGCGGACCAAAGCCTAGCGATTTACTAGCTTGTCCAACGCCGCTCCCACTGAGCCCTGCACAGGTTACGGTGCGATCAGAGCGGCTCGACATCGCTCTGTCGGAGACTGCGATGGGTGCAATCAGAGCGGCTCGACACCACTCTGACAAAAACTGCAATGGCCGCGATCAGAGCGGCTCGACAACACTCTGTCGCACTGCAGTGGGCAACTGCTGGGTGAAAAGGAACAGGGGGAACTGAATAAATCCGTACCTTGGGCGCACCTGCGATAGCAGGGGTCCATTGGGCGGGACCGAAGCCTAGCAATTCGCTAGCTTGTCCCACACCGCTCCCACTGAGCCCTGCACAGGCTACAGCTACGGTGCGATCAGAGCGGCTCGACGCCACTCTGTCGGAAACTGCAACGGGCGCTGCACCACTCTGTCGGAGACTGCAATGGGCAACTTATGGTTCAACAGGGAGCCTTACATCATTATACACCTGAACATTGCCTTGTAAATGGTAATTTCCCTTTATTTTGGTGGAAAAAGCCACGTTTCAAGTGGGCAAACTGTATCTTCTAAGGAGCCCTGTTGGCCGCCATAAATCGCCTGCCCTGAAACTGAAACATTGGAACTGAAACTGCGTCCGGCTCAAGAGGTCAGTGGATGGACTTGTCGTCGGTTGCATTGATTGGCGTGCCATCAGCGAGGCATCTGCATCTTAGCTGAAGGGGGGAGATGTCGACGTTGGGGTGTGAGGATCTGGCTGAAGGAGCTCTGGGTAGATGGCATTGCCGGCCTCGGGGCATGGGCGTTCACCTGTTTGATAAAAATGCCCAGTGGTTTATCTCTTGGTGGTTTGTGCCTTGTCGTTCATGAGCCGGACCTGGATCCTCTTGGCGCGATGCATTGCCAGCCTTGCTGGGTTCGGGGACCCGCCTGTTCAAAGTAACACACGAATCAATGTTGACCCCGGATTAATAAACCTCTGGTTGATAATACAGGGGTGTCCCCTTTTAGTGGGGATTCCTCACTTTTGGAGGGGTGTTCACCCTCCTAATGGGATGGGTTTATTGATCCTGGGCCAACATTAAATGATCAAACACATGTTGCCCATCTCTGGGGCCTTGTGAAGCAGCGTGCCATCTGGAAGGTGAAAAGGTCGTGGGCGCTCCGGCAGCACAGGCCCGAGCGGAGGGTCCCTCAAATGTGGACGAAGTTTCGCGAAGGGGGCACAGCTGGGATTGCTGCACGCAATGCCGTGGCCGCTTTCAACAAAAAGTTCTTACTGGCAGCATCAAGGTAGGGGCTGTTCGATCCAATAGCTCTCCCACATCCACGAAGCAGGCAGGCGCTAGCAAGGCCGCGCCACGCGCGTGCACATCTGGCTGATTGCAGTGCCGGCCAGGCTCATGGGAGGACCATCAGGTCGCCAACCGAATCGACAGAGACTGCGGAGCTGGATCGTCGCAAAACGATCGATGGCATTTCCCGTCATGGGTCTGCTATCTGGCAAGTAGCCAGCATCATCGGTGCATGCGAAGTCAGCCTAGGCATCTTTGTGGAAAGGGTAGTCGAACATGATGCCATGATGTCGCCGCACATGCATGGCATCAGCGTTCCAAGATGGTTTGCTTGATGCTGGCAAGGATACCAAGTATGGCATTCTGTAGGCGCATCCACAAAAGGCAACCTACACAAATGACTCAGGGGCTACACCCTGACAACTCTCCGTGCCCCTTTGTCGGGGTCAATTTTCAGACGGGAGAGGATGCCCCAAAGTGGTATGCGCTTCATGGCATTGCCAAAGCGACGCCCAGAAAGTGAATACTATGAATCACTGTTTGCTGGATGGTGAAGCAGCCAGAAGGCTAGAAGTGAAAAGGTGGAAGCAACTTCGCAGCAACTGTTGCACACCTCGAAGGTGCCCCCCAAAAGACCAAATCGGCCAAACCCTGAAGGGACTGGCCGAGAGACTGCCCGAGCTTTCGGCCCGTCGAGTTTCACGATGGCCCAGGTTGCGGCTTCAATGATTCAATGACTCGTCCGGGAAAAGGGACAGGCGTTGGGACAAAGGAACCCAAACCAAGCCGCGATCTTCCGATTTGGCACGCATGAAGCCTATAATTAAGGCTGAAAAAAGAAAATGACATCTTGGCAAGTTGAGGTCTGCACCGAAGACAGATCCCTTTTTTTGTCCGGGATTTGAGCGAAACCAGCAAATATGACGCAACCAAATCTGCCGGCTCCTGAATTTCCAAGTTGCTGCCCGCGGACTTTTAGGTTGTTCTGCGCGATCTGTGGAATGGGAAAGCCATGGGAAAGCCATCCCGTCCGATGGAGCTTGTGACTTGGGTCCGAAAGTGGACACCCGAAAGGGAGCCGAACCGCTCGCTCCAAGCACCCCACCCCGGCAGCTCCCGAACCCAAGAAAACTCACCAACAAAATGGCTCCAAAACAAGATGTTTGACATATTTGACCACTACCCTGCTCCTTAAACTTTTGATGTCAGTCACTTTGGAGAGGCGACCCCTAGCATGGGTCAGGTCGCAGGCTCTGTGCTCTCAGAACTTGCCGAAGCCTGGCGATCCGGGCGACTCGCGGAGGGGGGGGGGCGCGAATCCAGCCCGACGGATGTGGACCAAATCCACATCCCTAGTAAGTTGGGATGCGCGCCTTGGGGAACTCACGCCTGAGCCCCTGAGAAACAAGGGGGCTCGCGAAAAGTGCCCCAGGCCTGGGGGAAGTTTTCAAAACGTTTATCCATGTCAACAGGAGGTGGGCCATCACAAAAAACCGCTCGGAAGAAACAAAGAAGAAAAGGGAGGGAAACGAGACCTGCACAACAAATAGGGCCCCACAAGAAAAACTGTCAGCCTGACACGGCCCCAAAAGGGTGTGTTGTTTCTGTTTGGAGGCTTTTGGAGTGGGAAACACAAAGGAAAAGCACTATTTTTGGCGGGACGTCACCCCATTCTGAAACACCCCCCCTTTTCCACACGTCCCATAAAGTCCAATTTGCGAGTTGGCAGGATGCGAAGCGGTCTCGAAGACAACTGGTGAATGCCTGTCCCCTCCTGTAAGAACACTGAAATTAAGCTACCTCCATTCCAACAATCATGGAAGTAGACAGGGGGCTTCCCCAGAAGGAATGGGGGGAGGGTAATTAAGAAAGCGGCTAAGGTTCAATAGTTCCAACCTTCAAACATCCCCCCCAACAAAACTCACCGGTGATGTGTCAAGCACCCCCCTGAACAAAACAAATCAACCTACACCAACCCTTCACCCCCTAAACACACACAAAAAGAAGAAAAAACAAACAAACCAACAAAAACAACCCCCCCCCCCAAAAAAAAAGAAAAGAAAAAAGAAACGACACCGGACACGCCGTGGCCCCCACGTTTCACCCCGGCCCAACCCCAAAACGCCCCGCCGCCCCGGCGCCTGCGCCTTGGCCTGCTCCGCGAAGGCCAGCAGCTGCGCCAGCTCCGCCTCTGGGAACGGAGCATCGGCGATGCTTGCCCCGTAAAAAGAAACAAAAACTCCAAGCAACCTGGGGAAGTGTTCTCATCTTTTACCCATGTTACCCAAAAAAGTTGAGAAAAGTTGTGTTTTTAGGAGGTAAGTATTGATTCCAATTCAATGGGTTTCTGGTGCTATTGAAGGTGCACTTTTTGTTCAATCATTTCTGGTTGATTCTGTCCGCCCCTCCAGGCGACCCCTCTGGGTTTAGGCGACCCCTCTGGGTGGTTTAGGCGACCCCCCCGGGTGTTGTAGTTACTGCGTGTTTTTCCTTCCCTGAATGCCAGTGGATTCGCCATAACTCGGGCATAAACACATGCAAATTGCGCCCTCGTCAGAACTACGCCGTGTTCTCATTTGCTTCAGTTGGCGTGTTCTTGCGGGAGACGTGCGCAAATGTGCGGGAGTTTTGCGGGACTTTTTGTTTCTGCACCGAACAACTTTGGATCGGCGTTGTATGTCTTGACAAACTTGTGGACTGCATTTAGTCGTTGACCCGGCAAAGCTTCCTAGCGTTGCACAAGTGTTTGTGTTTAAAGTTTCAGCTTTTTGCGGCAAAAAGTGCCACGCTTTCCCGGAGTTCTAGTCAAAGGCGGACACCGCGTCTTGGTTTCAGGAGGACGAAGGTTCAGGCCAAGAAACGTCAATTTTCTGACTCTTTGCTTCGGGCTGGAATGGTCAGACCCAAAAAGTGGCTCAAGTCCATAATCTCAAGAAGTCGCGGACCCTGAAGATTGGCTTCTTGGCTTCCTTCGCGTTTCGCTGTGACACCCTCCAAGAACCCTAAATTGGTTGTGTTTTTTTTCCTTTGGGCTTCTGGCCTACACCCACGCAACCAGTATTTCTTCTCGAGGCAACCCGAGGCCCAGGGCCATATGCCCCGCACCTCTAGGATCCAAAGCGACCCAGCCGTTCAGGACGGCCAAAGGGACGGCGGTGGTTCAGAACCCGACTCTGCGGAGATCTAGGGTCACCAATGTACGGGATCCACTCGGGAAAGTTAACCAGATGCTTTAGGATGCGTCTCATGTTTTGCCCGTTCCATGGGCGCGGCTCTAGGGTTGTTTGGCCTTTCTTAGCGTCAACTACCCTGCGGAACTCCTATATTGCCCTCAACCCCGACCAGCGCAATCTCACCGGCAAGCAAAACCCACAAACCTGTTCGAACACCTGAGGAAACTGCCAGGAAAGCGACCACCTCCGCCCGCCCGGCCCCAGCAACTGCTTGTTGGATAGCACTTGCAGTTTTTGATATGGGAACAAGCGGCCCGGGGGGGGGGGGAAGTGAGGGTACCCTCAAACAAAGCCAAACCCAGATGGGAATCCAAACCTGCCCGCCGTGGGAAATGACAATTTTTTATGACACAACAAAAAAGGCTCTCCAAAGACCACCCCCCCCCAGGTAAAGGGACAGATTCCCGAAAGTATCACAGAATTGGTTGAATAAAACCCAAGTGATCCACCACAACCTCTATATATTGCTCTATATGTGCATGCCAACCATACCATGGCGAGGTAGGTGGCAAGCCTCCATACCTCAAAGATTATTATATATTTGTATGCCACCTACCTTGTTATGGTAAAAGTACTGATGCTAGCAAGCCTCCATACAGACTAACCACCCCCCCCCATGTAAAGGAAAGATGCGGTTCAATAGACCCCTACATGGTAAAAGTACTGATGCTGTGCTGGCAAGGCTCCATACCTCCAAGCCCTTCAAAATGGCTGGCTTTCTACTCGGTTGCGTTCTACCCCCCCTGCTAAACGTGAATAACTTTTAGTGGTTTAATTCGTTGAAAACCCATTAGCTGGCAAAAAGTCCTAGAGTCCGAACATCCCTTGGCAAAATGCACCAAAGAAAAATGGCTGGCTGACCCGTGAGTCCTTAGGTCCTTGGGTCTTGGCTGGAGCTCGTCCTTGCGTCTCGCCTTCGCCTGCTGCAGCAGCTGCTGCAGGCGCTGCACACTCGGCACCTCCGGCAGCTCAGCGAGGATCTCCTCCCCGCGGAGGCATCCACGACGCCACAAAATGCGTGGATTTTCTGGGGGGTCCTGGTGAAACCACCCAAAAAAGGGTATCTTTCAAGAAGAATCCGTTTTTTTGTCAAGGGCTGAACGAGCTAGAATTAGATATTAGTTGGGGGCTTGAAAACCACATTTGGCCCTGATTGGAGCAAACTAGTAGGAATAATTTAGCCCCTACCTCAAGTGCTACAGCGTTTGCATGGATCTAAAGGGGTTTCCACTCAACCCAAGCTATGTCACAGTGTTGGACACTTAGACACGTTCCCTTTCTCAAGAAACAAAACAAGAGTGGCGATCATTTCAATGGAAACCACTAGTAAAATCAACTTAGGGGGAAATCCAGTGACCCCCTGTTGGCTGGTTGCTCAAGGTCAATCCTCAATCGCTATGCAAGATGAGAGTGGCTTCCCATGTAGCGGCGTTCCACTGCGGGTTGCGGGTAAAATCCGAGATGCAATCCAGTTTGGAGGCTCCTTTTGCATCCTTTTGATTGATTTTGAAGTCACCTTGGCTTGTTTTGCCTGAGCCTGTCCTTGTGCAGAACTTTGGTCTGAGAGAGTGTCCACTGGACCTGAAACTTAGAGTGACTTTGGCCAAACACCGGTCCCCATTCCTGAGACCCAAATGGACCCAAATGGAGCAAACCAGCAAACATCCAGCAAACCCCGGCCTCTTGGGTCTTTTGCTCAAAAAGCTCCAGGCACTTGGCGTAGTTCCCCACGGCCCCACGGAGGTCGCCTGAGAGCTCAGCACTTGGATTGGGCCCAGCGACCAAGGAGGGTCAACGGGGCCCCCACGGGGCCCCCACGCCCAGGACTCTGCTTTTTGGGGGAGCTTGGGTTTGGGTTCCATGGAGCAACTTCCAGGGAGGTTCAAAGATTTCCGGGAAAGGCTTTCATGGACACCACGGGCTTGAAGAAAAAGCTAACCACTTGGGCCACGCGAACACGTGGCTGCTTCCCAGGGCGAAGGTGGATGGCGCGATTCTTTGGTACTCAAACCAAAATGAGGGAATTGCGCAATCTACTTCCCCCAACTGTCCTGGGGCCCTAGGATAAACATCCATCCATTTAAAACCGGCCCTTGGCCAAATGGCTGCTGCACGTGTGCGAAGGGCCCAGCAGCGAACCATTTGCAGCGCTTCTTCCATGGGTGAGCTTGTGTTGTTGCCTGGGCGTGCTATTTGCGCTCCATTCAGGCCCTTTCCTTTATCTCCCTAGTGAACGGGAAACCACTTTGGGATGGGGGGTTGTTGGCCCAAGTCAAAGACTCATTGAGAAGCTCTGAAAGAGACGTAACCCGCCCCATTCGGAACCCCCAAAATCCAATTTGGCATTTTTTTGGGTTTCCTTTAAAAAAAAAAAACACTCCAACCGAGGGGTTCCTTCGAAAAAACGACCCCCCCCTACACCCCCCCCCCCCGGCCCAAACCCGCCCATCCAACCTCCCCTCCCCTCGCCTTCTGCACGGCAACACCTGGCCAGCGCCAAAGAGCCCAGCGCCAAGGACCCGTGGAACTCCCCGAACAAACGCTGGCAGATCTCCTGGGCGCCTCAGGCCGTCCGGTTTTCCATCAGTCAGCTCACCTCGCGGAAGGGGGGGGGGGAGGTTGTTGGTTTTAGTATCCCAGTTGGATGGGGTTGAAAGGTTCATGGGTTTAAAAAGTCTTAGATCTCCTGGGCGCCTCAGATCTTTACGCGACCTCTGACGTCAGACATCTGGATTTCCGTCCCCAAGTCGGCTGATCAAAGGGATCGAGGTGTTCTTGGCTTGTTTTAGTATCCCAGGCAGGTGGGGTTTATAGGCTATATAGGTTTGGTTTCAAAAGTCTAGCAGTTGAATCGCTGTGGTGGGTTTGTCCCCATGTCAGCTGACAACTTTGAGAGTGCTGTGGGGGTTTTCGTCAAGTTAGATGGGGCCTGTTTAGGCCTGGAAGGGCTTCCAGAAATGGATGGGTTCAACGTCTACCGGTTGGATCGAGTGGCTTAACAAAAAAACCGCTGCGTGGCCCGCTGATATGAACTACCCGGGAAAGCAACTGGCACTTAGATCCCAAGAAACTGGCACTCAAAGATGGCCTCATGGGTGCTCCCAACGGGCGGTTCTCAAAATATGGGGCCCTTCAAGTGGCTGTGTCACAATTCCACATGACCCCTACAGTCGGCGTTCAATACAGGCTTAATTGTGGTCAGCCTTGGTTTGTTGGGCTCGCTTTGGGGAAGCCCACCCAATCCCAAAAGAAGTCCCTTCACAAATGGTGAGCTGTGGTGCTGTTCCGTGCCAGCCCGCAGGGAAATGCAATGAGACTCAGCTGTGTGTCCACTGGTTTGACATGGCTTGGGGTTTGGACAGCTTGTAACCAAAAGGCACCAAACCTCCAACCATTTGCTCAGTTGCCCAAAGACCGGGAGCAAACAATGGGCCAATGAGGGAAAGCCAACATGTCAAACGGCTGGCTTTGGGCCACTGAGTTTGCGGCGGCCAACCAGTGCAGGAACCCTCGCAAAGACTCGGGATCGGGTTTTTGGATAAGAGCCCCTGTCCAAAGTTGACAAAGCCGCCCCTCCGTCGTCGATCGCGGGGTTCAAGCTGACAAGACAAACAGATTGTAAAATACATGCCGGTACGCCCCACACAAAGCGTATGGATATGTGTATGTGTGGAATTAATGCAGAGCTATGTGCCGCCGCTACAATGTAAAGGTCTGCGTGCGTACCTGTATTGTGACATAATGTCACGATGTCATGAAACCTATACAGTAGTGTGATGAAACATATTCCCATGGGGGTTGATGGCATGTGCCAGAAAGCCGCCGCAACGGAATGCAAAAGCAACTTGTGCAATGCTTGAGATAGGCCAAGCTGTCTTTCACACACGTGCCGGGGAACAGCAAGCAAGTGCACAGAACAACTAGGGGCGCGAAAGCATTGTCTCCAAATGTTTTGCGGCAACCCCCCCCCCAACTGTGAACGCGCGAAAGCCAGAACATGCCCGCTCCGCGCAAGTCTCTCTGCGCAGATTGCTCTGAGCAGTGCAAGTTGCTCAGCGCAAGTCGGTCTGTAAAAGTTGCTCTGTGTAAGTCTTGCCAGTTGGTCTGCGCAGGTTGCTCTGTTGCTCTGCGCAAGTCTCTTTGCGCAAGTTGCCCTGTGCAAGTTTCCCTGTGAAAGCTGCTCTGCGCAAGTTGGTTGAAGGGCGCCGGAAGAACCCTTCGCGATGCGTTCGGGAACAACAGCAGCTAGGTATGCGTGCACATGCATGCATACATGCACTTACAGTACAGCAGCCAGCATGCCCGCATGCATTTGTTCGTGCATATGCACATGAATATGTAGGCTGTAGGCGCGCATGCCTGTGCACGCGCATGCGTGTCGGCATGTCAACCTCTGCACTCGCTGGAGACGCTGCAACCGAGCCGCGGCTGCAAAAGCTGCGAGCTTCCTTGGCCTTGCCCTGGGCCAGTAGGCACCTGACTTGCCACTCGCTAATAAGGGCAGTCAGCATAGCTAACCCTCGCTAGTGGTTTGCATTGGCGGTTTGGAGGTTTGACCCCAGATTGTCAAAAGATGAATAAGCCCGTTCTGTTGATAGAGGGGTTCCCCTCCAAAAGTGATGAGCCCCGCTCAAAGGGGACACCCCGCCTGTTTCTTCCAAGTTCGGGGTTCCCATTGGGTGTTGTCTTTGGGTTCAAGCGGAACTGTGTTCAGATCAGACAGCCTCCAATCCTATGAGGGTTGGTTCCCCATTTACCCCTACAAAAGCCAGGGGTTCAAATCTCCAAACCACCAATCCAAATCACCAACCATGGGTTTCCCTAGTTGGTTGCAATTGTTGTGAAAAGAGTCTGCTGACGGTAACCCAGCCCCGGAACATTTTGCCACACGAGGACCAAACTTTAAAGTTGGCCTGGAAAAGGGGCATCTTCCCAACAACAAGTTCAAATGTTTGGTCACAGACATCCTCAATGCCTGAGTTGATGCTGCCAGATAAAGCTCCCAAGCTTTTTGTTCACCGCTAAAATGATCCAAAACCAACAAGTGACTGAAACTCAGGAACTCAAGGGGGGTGAGCATCTAACTCACCTCCGTGGACTGGCCAGAAAAGTCCAAATGGTTTATTTACCACCAAAATGGCCTGTCTTTGGTCAAAAAGCTTAAAGTCCAGGAACTAACTGGTGAAGTGAGTCTAAAACCAAACAAATAAAATCAAACACAAAAAATGCAGGAACCGATGAAGCGAGTCTAAAACCGAAAGAGAAAAAACAAATCAAACACACAAAAATGCAGGAACTGATGAAGCGAGTCTAAAACCGAAAGAGAAAAAAGAAGAAAAATCAAACACACAAAATGCAGGAACTGATGAAGCAAGTCTAAAACCGAAAGAGGAAAAAATCAAACACCAAAAAAAGCAGGAACTGGTGAAGCGAGTCTAAAACCGAAAGAGAAAAATCAAACACCAAAACAAGCAGGAACTGGTGAAGCGAGTCTAAAACCGAAAGAGAAAAAATCAAACACCAAAAAAAGCAGGAACTGTTGAAGCGAGTCTAAAACCGAAAGAGACAAAACTCAAACACCAAAAATGCGGGAACTGGTGAAGCGAGTCTAAAACCGAAAGAGGAAAAAAAGAAAAATCAAACACAAAAAATGCAGGAACTGATGAAGCGAGTCTAAAACCGAAAGATAATAAAAAAAGAAAAGAAAAATCAAACACAAAAAATGCAGGAACTGATGAAGCGAGTCTAAAACCGAAAGATAAACAAAAAAAAAAACAAACACAAAAAATGCAGGAACTGATGAAGCGAGTCTAAAACCGAAAGAGAAAAAAAAGAAAAATCAAACACAAAAAATGCAGGAACTGATGAAGCGAGTCTAAAACCGAAAGAGAAAAAAAAGAAAAGAAAAATCAAACACAACAAATGCAGGAACTGATGAAGCGAGTTTAAAACCGAAAGAGACAAAAATCAAACACCAAAAAACACAGGAACTGGTGAAGCGAGTCTAAAACCGAAAGAGAAAAAATCAAACACCAAAAAACACAGGAACTGGTGAAGCGAGTCTAAAACCGAAAGAGAAAAAATCAAACACCAAAAAAAGCAGGAACTGGTGAAGCGAGTCTAAACCCGAAAGAGAAAAAAAAAAGAAAAATCAAACACACAAAATGCAGGAACTGATGAAGCAAGTCTAAAACCGAAAGAGGAAAAATTCAAACACCAAAAAAAACAGGAACTGGTGAAGCGAGTCTAAAACCGAAAGAGAAAAAATCAAACACCCAAAAAAGCAGGAACTGGTGAAGCGAGTCTAAAACCGAAAGAGAAAAAAAAGAAAAATCAAACACAACAAATGCAGGAACTGGTGAAGCGAGTCTAAAACCGAAAGAGACAAAAATCAAACACCAAAAATGCAGGAACTGGTGAAGCGAGTCTGAAACCGAAAGAGAAAAAAATCAAACGCCAAAAAACGCAGGAACTGGTGAAGCGAGTCTAAAACCGAAAGAGAAAAAAAATAAACACCAAAAATGCAGGAACTGGTGAAGTGAGTCTAAAACCGAAAAAGAAAAATCAAACACACAAAAATGCGGCAACTGGTGAAGCGAGTCTAAAACCGAAGAGAAAAAACAAACAAAGAAAACCCCCCCCAAAAAAAACAACAACAGACATGGGTTGCCATCGGACCGGGCGACTGCGAGGCGTTCTGCAGGATCTGGGAGGCCTGGCAGGCAGAATTCTTTTTTTCGCAGTTGCTGTCGGGACCCGTTTCTGGAGCTTTTGGCACTGCCCAGCGGCTCCGATCGGCTTGGGCCTTCAATGGAAGACCCGAGCCCGAAGCATTGGACACCCCCGGGAATTGGTGGTTGGGGGGGTCTCAAAAAACCTGGCTGTAGGGCCCACAATCAACCGAATTGGAGTTTCTGGGTGGGAATCAAAAGCTAACTGAGTTCCTGGGAACATTTGGAATCAGCTAGCTGACCATTTGGAACCGGGGACATCCATTTGCGGATAAGTTTCTTGGAAAACATTAAACGGATGTCATCGATTCCCATATTCCATTTGCGGATATAAGTCCCCCGGAAAAAAAAGAAAAACAAAAACAACAACAACGGATGTAATCGATTCCCTTTTAAAAAGATTCCAGGAATCGCGCAGGCAGCGCAAACGCTCAAAAGCGGTTCTTTGGGAAGGGTGTGGCTCAAAAGTCAACAGCTAGACTTCCAGCAGTGGTCGATTCCCTTTAACACCAACAGGCGAAAATCAAACGTATTCTTGAGCAAATGGAAGTGGATCTTTAGAACCGGGCCCTGGCTTGGGCATCACCTGTCGAGTAAGACACAAGTTGGATTCATGTTTTTTTGGGGCGTCGGCTTTGGACACATGGAGCTAGGGAAGGCACACAGTTGCCCAGTGGAAAGCGGAAACTCAAGCTTGGCGTTCCACTGAAGAACTGAGGCAGTGACCAGCATCGGTTGATGAGAATACTGATGACTATAGGGCTTTCTTGTGCCGCCACCCCATTGGTCAAACTACTACTATAGGTTTCAGACATCTTACGGCACTTTGCGGGATCCTTTGTTTGACTACAGTTCTTGCACGCCTGACGCCCCTATTCGCAACAAAACATCCTGATTAGATTGTTGCTTCACAGCGAATCCAGCCAAACAAAAAGAAGCCCAGCCAGCCCGAAGCCAAACGGGATTCGGGCCTGTCTTTTGTTGTAGAGTACCCCTTTCGGGGTCGGTTTAAAGGGAAACCTCGTTTTTGAGGCTACCCCGCATTTGTTTGGTGGTTTCAAAAGGAAACCACCAACAAAAACCCTAGCAAACCATGTTGAAAGCTCCAACTCCCAACCAAACCCAAACACTGCATCCATTTTAGAAAATACTCCTCCCCCCCCAAAAAAAAAACACAAGCACCCATTTTGAGGCCCCCCCCAAAAAAAAAGAAAACCTCCTGGGCTCATGTCCCCCAAATTTCCGGGGCGAAACGGATTTTTCTCCGCCCCTCCGCCTGGTAGGTGGCCACCTTGTCATCCCCGTTGGTCGCCAGGCGGTAGGCCTCCTGGAAGGACCCGAAGGCCTCCGCCAGCCTCGCTCGCTCGTGTTGGGAGGGGCCGAGGGAAGGAGCTTCGGACGCCAGAGAAAAAACCCACCGATGTCCAAATTTCTACACCAAACTAGGTACCCTACGGCTCCCAACAAGTGTTGGGCCTCAGGGCCTCAGGGGTCTGGAATTTCTACCCATGTTTTAGAGGTCATGGAGGCTCCAACTAGTCAGGTTTAAGTAGTGGATTGAATTGGGGTCTTTTCCGACCCTACGGCTCATGACCCCTCCAATGCCGCCGGGCCCAATGAAAAACCCGGACCCCTCTGAGGGGCCCTTGTATTCAACCCATCACGCCCAAAGATCTTTGGGAGCCTGGAAGCCTTTGCTGCAACTGCAATGCTCTGGTTTTGCGGGATGGATCAAGTTGCCGGGCGATAACTTGTCTGCGCCGATCCACCCAAGTGAGAACAACAACACCTAATGGAAGCCCCCTCTCTGTTCTCCACAACCTCCAAGTTGGACCGAGCAAACCCAAGGTACACGCAGCCAAGGGCCATCCAAACAAAGTTCTCAGAGGCCGGCTTTCTGGACTGGGCGCGAGCGAAAAACCGCAAAACCGGTTCCGCACACCGCGGACCGGGCCTGGTGGCGTTCTTCAGCGCGATGCCGAGGTTGTTCTGTGCGTTGGACAGCGCCTCACATCCCCCCCACCACCGCTACCGCAAGGGGGAGGGGGGCGGGGGTCTGGGACCCAATTGCAATCATCTAGTCTTCCCCACTCAAAAAACTGGAGATCTCCGAGTCTCCGGAATGGACAAAAAACAATATCATTATCCCCCCCCCCCCTCCCGGCTCCCCCGGCTCCCCCCCCCAAGTCATCCCACCCCCCCCCGGGCTCCCCCAATATCAACCTTCTTTTCAGGGACGTGGACATCGCCTGACGCTCCTCGAGGATCTCCATGGAGAACTCCTCCGATTCCATCTGCACCACTGCCTGGCCAATGCCATCCCTTGAGCCGGGAGCCGCCTAAGGAGCTCAGGAATCTTGGCGGAACAAACTCGGGCGCCTGATTTCTGCAACAAAAAACATCCGCACAGGTTTTTGATGGAACATCCGCAAATTCCCCCCAGTTTCTTTGGGAACAACATGTGGGAAGACCTCAATTTGTATCTTTGGTGTCCTTTTCCCTCTCTCTTCCCTCGAAAACCACCAAACAAAAGGTACCTGCCAAGCACATCGTTTCGGGATGCCTCGTTTCGGTGGGCCCCTGAAGGCTTGGAATTCCGCTTCCCATCTGGAGAAAACCCCCGGCCGAGTCGGGATGAACCAAACTGGTGCAAAAGGACGAAACTCGGAAACCCCAAAAATTGATCAGACACTGCTGGAAAAGCCCCAAAACCACCCTCGTTTTCGTCGTCCGGGCCAATCTCTTCTGAAAGCCATGCTTTGAACAGCTACCAAGCGCTATATGGTTGATCAAAAAAAAGGTCCTTTGCATGGGATGATGATTGCAAAAAACTACTAAAAAGGTGATGTGTCGCGCTAAATGGGACAAGTTACCAGTTTTGGGGCCAAGCATATTGATCAACCCCACTGAAGATGTCCACCCCCCCTGAAAAACCAAGTGATCAATCATGTTGGTGAAATACCGATTGTGTCCAACGATCACCACACACCAGCCATGTCAAGGGAGAGGGTCGGAGGAATGACCCATCTTACAGAAAAGGCGGGTGGGGTTGTTTCGCCAGCCGCTGCCAATGAAATCCGCCCTTCCCCCCCACCTAGTGCGTCCCAAACGAAGGCACCCAAACGTAGCCCCCTCGGCCGCAACCAAAAATCAACATGAGCTTTACCATTTCATTGATTTTTAGGATGGGATTCCGCCGTTGTCCTCAAAGCATCGCCAGCCAAAAGGACATTCAGTTGAAATTTCTGCTGCGGATTCAAAGCATCACGTATATATACTGGGTCCAAGCAAAGCAAGTCTACTTCCATCCGAGCCTCTCGTGACTCACTTAAGGGTAAGACACTGAGCCGGCCACTTGACTAACTCGAGTCGAGTCGAATCGAGGGCCTGCCAGCAGTCGATTGCATCTGGCCACCGCCGCAGGCGAAGCAACACCTGGGAGTCCGCTGAGTTCACTCCACGGAGTTTTTCGTAGACTTACCCCTTAAAACTCCAAGCCCTGGGGAAGTTCTCATCTTTTTACAGACATATAGCCCATGTTACCCAAAAAGTTGAAAAGTTGTGTTTTTAAGAGGTAGGCGCCAAAAACAAGCACAGCTCATTTCTCAAAGCTCCTTTCTGGAACATGGACCCCCCGTTCAAGGTCTCCGTGGGAGCAGAGGCAAAGCGGCAAAGCGCCTCTGCTCCCGTCCCTCAACTAGAAGCTGTCACCTTGGAGGGGATCTCCGCACAGCTAAGCTGGTCCCAACCCTCCAAGTTGTCTCGTAGCCCTGGTGATGCACAAGACACGCACACGAAAATCGTGGTCAAGCCCTGCACAGGAAAGCAAGCGCATAAAGGAGCCAGGGCAAGACAAGCACACAAGCCCGACAAGACATCCATGCACATAGGTGGCCTTTTGGAAGAATAGATGAATGGAACAAAACCCATCTACACCAGTGAACCCCATCTATTTTTAACCAGGCTCACCTAAAAAGGACACCTATGTCCGTGCAGAACCCTCCAACTTGTTTCCGCCTTGCCCGCCAGCGAGGCCGCATTGATTTCCTCCCTCCTGCCAAGTACTTTGCAGTCGGTCCACTTGATGCCGATGAATCTCATGAATCTCAGCCTGTTGCCCATGCAAGTGTCGTTCTGGAATCAGATCTCGGCTGAATCTTGGAGGCTTCCATTTGGAGACAGACCAAAAAGAAGAGGCTAGCTTCCACTACATGGAAAATCCGCACATTTTGGATATTTTTGGCGGGTCCCCCCACCCCATTCAGAGCCAGACCCCAAAGGATCGCTCCAGGACTTGTCTGTCTCCGAAACCTTCAGTCCCCCGGAGAAGATCGATATTCCTTTCACCAACTCCACGAAAATAAACAAACTATTCACCACATGGAAGCAGACTCACCACAACAACAAGAAAACACACTCCACATTCTAGGGGTATCCATTCAGAAACCGACCCCCAAAAACCAGCTTCGGGAGACCCCCCCGGTCCTTTGGCTTCCGCTCTTCGCCGCTTCTCGCGCCGCCTCCAGCAGCGCCAGGGCCTCTTCCGGCCGAGCCTCGCTCAGCGCCCGCGCCTGACGGAGACTCGGCGCTCGGCGCTCGGCGCTCGGCGGCTACAGTGGGGCGTGGGGCTTGGCGTCCAACGAATAAACATGGGCTGACTAATCCGGGGTCAACATTAGTAACCAAGGGCATGCCACCCTGCCAACTGGTGATCAACTATGTCTGCAAGTTTTACTCTATAGTTAAAAAGCTGAATTGAGAATTGGAGCCAAGTAAAGGATCTCTACCATGGTGAGCTCGTTGTACCCCCAAATCGGTGAGCTTGCTATGTAAAAATAAAGGCAGAACAAGCAATCCTTCGCTATTTTCCTGCTGCTTGTTGTAAGGGTAGCTATTGGTCACCTACAAAATCAGGTGAATGGATGCACCGGGCACGCCACTTCACAGGAAACCACCTGGCAGTATGACTGTTTTTTTTCAGGCGACTCGGCTCAGAGCCCTGCGAAAAGCTGACGGAATTGTTTTGCTGGCCAACTGATTCAGCTACCTGAACTCCTGACTTCACCCAACTGTGCTCAGTTCACGCGATGTCCAGCTGCAACCTGTCGCTCCCAAAACACTTAATGTTCGCATTCGATTAGTAAAGGGTACCGGAATAATAGAAAGTGTTTTTCCTTATTCTGGTTCACACCCATTGCTTAAGGGGACCAGAATAATAGAAAGTTTTTTTGGCCAGGGGGAAGATTCAAAAAAAAACTCCACAAAGCAAATTTAATTAAAAAACCATCCCCCCCCCCCCCAAACTCTGAATCTCCTTCAGCAACAAGCTGAAGATTGTGTACCTCAGAAATTTGAAAACCATCCCCAGCCCTGAAACTGCAAACTCTTTATTAAACCGTGCTAAAAAAAAAATGCAAAAAAAAACAATCAGGACAAGGGTACCCCTCACAGACCCCACTGAACCACAAAAATGTGATTGTTTAAGGGGACCAGAATAATAGAAAGTTTTTTGGCCAGGGGGAAAATTCAAAAACAACTCCACAAAGCAAATTTAATTAAAAAACCATCCCCCCCCCAAACTCTGAATCTCCTTCAGCAACAAGCTGAAGATTGTGTACCTCAGAAATTTGAAAACCATCCCCAGCCCTGAAACTGCAAACTCTTTATTAAACCGTGCTAAAAAAAATGCAAAAAAAACAATCAGGACAAGGGTACCCCTCACAGACCCCACTGAACCACAATAATGTGATTGTTTAAGGGGACCAGAATAATAGAAAGTTTTTTTGGCCAGGGGGAAAATTCAAAAAAAAAACTCCACAAAGCAAATTTAATTAAAAAACCATCCCCCCCCCCAAACTCTGAATCTCCTTCAGCAACAAGCTGAAGATTGTGTACCTCAGAAACGTTGAAAACCATCCCCAGCCCTGAAACTGCAAACTCCTTTGAATGGCTACAGAAAGAACTGAAAGGGAAGTGGTTGCAATACTAAAGTAGTATTCCAAAAAGTATGCTCAGGAAGAAGTGGTTGCAATACTAAAGTAGTATTCCAAAAAGTATGCTCAGGAAGAAGTGGTTGCAATACTAAAGTAGTATTCCAAAAAGTCTGCTCAGGAAGAAGTGGTTGCAATACTAAAGTAGAATTGCAAAAAGGAAGTGGCTGCAATACTAAAGTAGAATTGCAAAAAAGAAGTGGCTGCAATACTAAAGGAAGTGGCTGCAATACTAAAGTAGAATTGCAAAAAGGAAGTGGCTGCAATACTAAAGTAGAACTGCAAAAAGGAAGTGGCTGCAATACTAAAGTAGAACTGCAAAAAGGAAGTGGCTGCAATACTAAAGTAGAATTGGGCCCCAAAACCCTCCATTGTTTGGACGTCCCAAAAGTGCACCCCCATTATTTTGGCGCCTCCATTGTTCAGGGGGGGGGGGGGCCTTTATTAATCAAGTGCCAACATTACACAAAAAAACATATTGGTCGAATTTGGTAGGTTACGTCACGGTGTGCCCGGCGGTTCCCTTCAACGGATGTGTCGGATTGTCCCAGAAGGCTTTGGACAAATTTGGGCGCCCGAAGTCCCGGGGCCCTTGATCCGCATCCCAAAACTGTTCTACGCGTGTCCATCAGAGAAAAAGCCCGCTTCACACAACAAAACAACTCCAAGTGTTGGCGCAAGACGAGTTTGACGGGGATCGCCCGTTGACAAGACAATTCAGTCTTGGAAGCATTCCAGCGTCCCACAGTATGATAGATTATGCCTCAAAAGCCAACTTTAACACGAGCCAGCAAACAAATAAAACTCCACAACACATCTTTGTTGGAACATCGCCAGCCGACAAGCTGAGCCCCCGCGCAAACTTTGACTGTTTCGCTGGCAAGGGAAGCAAGGAAAATCCCAACGTCACCCAACGTCAACTTCCCGTAAGTGCCAAAGCACGTCAACATGTGTTTGCTTCTGATTTTTCGCGTCATTTCCGTCTGCCACTCAACGAGCTCAAGGTGGGTGCTAGTGGGCGATGGCTCGGTCCCACCTGCTCCGTCAGCGCCTTGGCGCCACTGGGCCCGGCCGACTTTGCAGCTGAGCGCTCCTCCTCCTCTTCCTCCTGTTGGGGTTGGGGGGGGGGTGTGTGGGGGGGGGGGGGACATAGTGAAATCAAGTCACTGAGCCCTCCTGAAACGGTCTTTGTCTTCTTTAGGTATCTCATGATTTGGCTGTTTTTTTAGGGAAACCAGACGAAAAAAACACGACTTCTTTAGGCCTCCATTTGCTTTAAGTCCCCTGAAAAACCAACATATTTCCAGTAGTCATGGATTCCCTTTATAACCATCGGCGGACAAGAAACAATACTCTTGATCGAATGGAAGGGGAGACCCCCCAAAAAAGGGTGTTCCTTTCAAGTCCAACAAAAAGATACGCCCACTGGTATCCCCAGCAGCCCGCGGAACTCCCTGAAAGCCAGTCCAAACCACCCCTTGTCGCCGATATGGGCCCATCCACCCCAGAGCTTTCAGCGTAACCTGAAAAAATACACACCTAATGGATCTGCCTGAGCGAAAAGTTGTTCACGTGTGGGATGTGTCCTAAATCCCTCCACGCCCTGACTGAGCAAAAATCTGCGGGGGATTACGGTATGGCCGGAAACCGCCCGGAGAGGTAAGGGCTGGGTGTGACAAAGGGCTTCAGGAAAGAATATTGAGTAGCCGTGCCAGGCTTGAAAACTTAGCGGAGGATATAACAAGACAGGAGTGATTAACTACTGGGAGTGAGATTAGTGCTATGTAAGATGCCAAAAGGAGGGACCCCCCCAAAAGTGATGCCTTTCCTTCAGGTTTCCCTGAAAACAAGCCCCCAAACAAAATACGGTACACGCGCGTGTCTGCGGCAAGGGGTCGAACTGGAGGTTGCAAACTGTTTCAAACTCCCCCGGTTCGAACTTCGCACGTTGAAGCTTCAACCTATACATGTGCTTCAGCCACTAAACAACAAATAGAAAGCTCGGTAATGACGTCATCGTTTCACTCCCGTCTTCCTTTTGCCCCGATGAGCACAATGTTCTTAGATGTTCCATACGGAACCTTCAGCTAATGTTCTTAGATGCTGACTTCTTAATACAAGGTGATCAGTGATCACCTTTTGAAACCTTGACTGCACCAAAACAAGGACTCGCTTTGTTTGCAAGGTATCCTTGGTCGACCTTGGAAGGGGAGCAAAAGTTTGAATTTTAGCAGTCAAGTGGATTTGGATTTCCCACTAAACCACACTAAGCCAAAATGTAAAATGTTTCCCAACAACAACCATGCAATGCATGGTCATTCTGCATTGAAGGGGAGGGGCACCTTTGTCAAGGGCCACCCTTACCTACCAACCTCCAGGTGTTACAGGTCTCTTTTTGGGCCTGGGGCCCAACAGCATCCCTACGGCTCGAGCTGAGCTCCTGTCGCCGCTTGGCCTCGAGCGCCGCCAGCGCGCGGTCGATCTCCTTGCCTGCCGCAAGACTAGGCTGTGCTCAGATCCCCCGCCAAAAGTTTAACTTTTGGTGGGCTACATGGAAAACCCCACTAAACACTAAAAAGCTAGAAAGCTAAGGGGATGCCTGGGAGCCACCAAGAAAACGTGAAAGTAACTTCCTGAGTTGATGGGCCAGAAGTCACCCCACTACGTCAGATGTCCGACTGCTGCAAAACGTGAAACTTGTTTCTTACGTAAAGCGATTTTTCCTGAGTTGATGGGCCGAAAGTAGCCAAACTGGTTTCCTGAGTTGATGGGCCGAAAGTAGCCAAACTGGTTGTCTACCACTAAACCCACAAAGTGACTCAAGTCCAGGAACTCAGGGAGAGAGGAAAACATGTTACTGCTTGAGGGTAAGTGGCGGACCACACCCGCCCAGCCCAACCGCCCGAATCCTTTGCCTTTAGTTCGCCGGAAAAGGCGGGGGATAACCTGCAAGCAGAAGGAAGTTAGTTGCTGACGGTTTCATTGAACACCGCTCGCCGAAACCGAAAACAGCTTAAACATCACAGAACACATACATTTTGTGTCAAACAAAAAACAACTCCCCACTCCTGAAAAGAACGAGAACAAAACACAAACCCGACTTCGGCTTGTAACAAGACATCGCCCTCCAACGACCGCCTCTGCGAGCGCGAAGGCGCGACAGCATCCTCGAGTCCGAAATCGCCGGCGGCCTAGCTGCACCAGCGCCGGCTCCTGAGGGCAGCGTTGGAGCCCCAGCTGCAGCGCCTTCCGCGCCTCTCGAAGAGGTCGGCCCCCACTCGCCGTCGCGTCGTGAGAGATGGGTTCTCTCAGCTTCCCTCTGATTGGTCTAGGTCCTCCAGGAATAAGGGCGCCCTTTTTTTTGTTATTTTCGTCGGGGAACCCTCCCCCAAAAAAGGGTGAGAGAGGGCACTACTGGGGGACCTAGTGGTGGTTTCGAGCCTGGTGGTTTGGTGGTGGTTGGGAGGGTCTTCTATTTACCCTCCACAATACTACTGGCTAACCGTGGTGCAAACATGAGAAAACCCAACGACCAAACCTGAAAAACAGAGGTTCCCTTCAAGGTTTGGACCCGGCAAGGTTCTGAGCTGAGAAGGAATGACATTCATGCAACTCAGCAGTTCCGGCCCTGCTTGGTAACAAGCCGGTGGAAAACCTGGAGATGAGATCCAAGGATCGACCCTTGGCAACTGACTCAGCCCGTGTCCCGACTGCGACACGGGCTAAATTTGAAAGGTTAACAGGAGGAGCCCAAACCCTCTTGCTTAAGCATGACTACCACTTAGACCCTCAAACCCATGATTTCAGGGCAGTAACCAATTTTGGTGGGTTGTTTGAGGGCACAGGCACTGGTTGCAAGCAAGTTCCGTCCGGCACGGCCCCTTTTGCTCTGCTTGCCTAGAGGACCTGCACACGTGGCTCACCCTCTGCAAGCGTAACACGAGCTGGGCAAATAGATCCTGATTGGAGTTCACCAATTGTTAGACAACAAAATCTGGTCCTTCTTGCTTGGCAATGGCCCAAGGTGAGAAGGCTCCCTCAAAAACACACACGCCCATTTGAATATGTGTTTCAAAATGCGTACCCTGCAAAAAAAAAACCACCTAGCGACCCTGACATTTGTCAATGCCAACATGGTGTCGGCCCCACCTCCAGGCACCGGCCCCGTTTCAGCCGCGCCCGCGCTAGCTGGAAGTGACTCCTGAAGCTCTGGTTTGCCCGTCTCTGCTCACCAAGAGTATGCCTTGGAACAGGCAAAATGGTGGCTGTTCCTGTGGAATCCCTAAGCCGCCTGCGATTTGGGCGCCAGAAGGGCACCCTTGGGCGCAAGGCGCAGGTGTTTGAACGCAGGGAAAGTTGAACAGAAGTGAAGGAGACAAAAGGATCTATGCGCGCAGCATGTGAAACCGTAGCACGTGAGCAAGCAGCTGGTCTGCATTTAAGAAGATAGCGGTCTTGCAAGCATGCGGTGGTCAAACAAAGCCGTACGGAGCATGTTGTGATGATTGTGCACAATGCGCGCTGATGTTCAGCGTCACTTGCAGAAACCGAACACCAGTAATATGTGATGGCGTTCGTGAGGTCATGGGAAAACAATGGGCCGATGTTCGTTTCGAATCAATGTACCTTATTTAAACAAGTTGTAGACACACACACACACATGGTGATGTGAGATATTTTGGGCTAACACGGGTAACCATGCTGAACAAGCCAGAATCAAACGCGCTGACGAAACTGTCATGAAAGAGAGAGTAACAGCGCTACGCAAGTCGAAGCTTGGCTAGCCTTAGCTTTGCGTTGCATTGAGATCGCTGGCACCTGTCTGCCTGGGCACGTGTGTGTCCCTGCAGACGCCGTGAGCGAACACCACCACGTCGACCTCGAGGCATTTGCTCGAACATATCCACCAAATTGGCCGGCCACTCATATCTGCCTTCTCATAGTGCTCCTGCAGCTTGCGCAGCGCCAAGGCAGTCTGGTACCCGTCAAACAGGCGGCTGTGGCCATCGTGGCCGAGAAGGTCGGAAGAGTTTTGAGCCGCCACATAAGATCTGCACGTGTGCCACGTATTCTTGCACAGTCACGGCAGGAATCGGTGTCCAAGAACTTGCGCCGCTTCACAGAGAACGTGCTGAATTGCCTAATAGCCCAGCAAGGACAACCAAGTGCTGCCCAAATGGAACTTGACAAGCTGCCGCAAGAACGGAGGAGAGCTAGAGCACCCCAAGTGAAGCTTTGAAAGGCGGAGCGCCAGCCTTTGCACCACAAGACTTCTCCCAAACAACCTCGGATGCTTGCTGCAGCTTCCCCTTTGCGCCTGAGCACAGTCCAGGTCCTCCTCCCCCGGCGGACATGCAGGCGCCAGGAATCTCAATGCAACGCGACGCTAAGGCTGGCAAAGCTTCGACTTGCTTAGCGCTGTTACTCTCTCTTTCATGACAGTTTCGTCAGCGCGTTTTCTTTGTGACTTGCTCAGCATGGCTACCCCCCTTAGCCCAGAATATACCTCACATCACCGTATGTGTGTGTGTGTGTGCGTTTGTGCGTTTGTGGGTTTGTGGGTTTGTGTGTTTGTGTGTTTGTGTGTTTGTGTGTTTGTGTGTTTGTGTGTTTGTGTGTTTGTGTTTCTGTGTGTTTGTTTGTGTGTTTGTTTGTGTGTGTGTTTGTGTTTGTTTGTGTTTGTGTGTTTGTTTGTGCTTGTTTGTGTTTGTTTGTGCTTTTTGTGTTTGTTTGTGTTTGTTTGTGTTTTTGTGTTTTTGTGTGTTTGTGTGTTTGTGTGTTTGTGTGTCTGTGTGTTTGTGTGGTTGTCTTTGTGGTTGTGTTTGTGTTTGTGTTTGTGTCCGTGTGTGCGTGTCCAACAACTTGTTTAAACAAGGTACATTGATTTGAAACGAACATCAACCCATTGTTTCCCATGATGTCACGAACACCTTCACATATTGTTGATGTCTTGTCTCTGCAAATTTAAATGAACATCAGCACCTATTCGATACGTATTTTCAGCAGTTGCGCACAAACATCATTACATGCTCCCTACGACTGTTCAGCATTGTTTTCATGATTTTACACGAAAATTTGCAGATTGTTCGGCACCAATCCCTGTAAGACAGAAATCTTCTTCAACGCAAGCCAGACAAGGCGCAAAGGCAAATACAACATCGGAACCAGGGGGACACCAAGTCTCGAGCGTTTTGACACACCCAACCCATGGATCCTTTCTACCACAACCACACGGAGACCTATTCTCCCTTGTTCTTGTTTTGTTGTTTGGGCGTTCCTTTGCGGCACAAAACAGTCATAGTCTCGGTTGCTTTCTGCTCCCCTGCTAGTGGTTTAGTGGAAAACCCATTAGTTGGCAACACGTTAAAGTCCTAACAGCCAAGTAAAATGCACCAAAGTAGTCATAGGGTCGTCTCCAACCGACTGAAACACACAGTCTTTCTTGAGGGCCCCTGTACGGCGATGCCAAAATGAACCCTCCGGTCTTCTACCCAGTGGGATGTACTGCCCAAGGGACCTCCATTTTGTTGGCCGAAATCTGGGGTGCTCCGGAAAAATATACACTCGGATCCCGCCCCAATCTGAAATGTGTATGTAGGAAGCCCTGTGGCCTGCGCATTCACATGGAACCGCAAAATCCATGTAAAGAAGGGCCTACCCCTATTCTTCATACGTAGTCTGCCCACTGTCCGTTTGACTTAAACAAAGAAAGAACAAAAATCGAGTTCCAGAGGCCACGAAGCCTGGGAGTAACAGATACGGATTCCCGCACGAAGAAACCTCGGCAAGTCAAGTTCCAAGGCGCTTAGAGGTGCTGCCGTGCAGCTCCACTGCTTTCTCCGCGTCCACCTGGCAGTAGAAAAGGCGACCCTTAGACCAAGCCAGTTCAAAGGCTGATTGGATTTCGGTCCATACAGGAGCCCGTGGCCATTTGGGACCCAAACACTGTTCCGATGATTGAGCCCCTTTCTAATAAATGGTTCAACTTAACCAGGGTTGATATTATCTGATAAGAAGGGTTCATAACTAGACACATACATCCAGCCTTTGACCAGTGGAGTCTAGGCAAGCCTCATAGTATGCAGCCAGCCTTTTTGCCCTTTTGGTTTTTCCGGGGTGGCAAGGCTTGGTTGCCTTTACAAATGAATGGATCATCTGGGCAATGCAAACCATTCTTTTGCCCTCTGGTGCCCCCTGCTGTGAGTGTGCATAGTCAAGCAGGCTTTCCCTCGAAAACCTAACTTCAAGATGTTTTCTCAAGCGCTCTGAAGAAACTTGGGGATTAGTAGCTGTTAGAGTTGTTCGTTGATGCCAAGAGATCAAAGCCAATGGCCAGAAGCTCACCATGTGGATCTTTCTTTTTGTTTGGGGGGGGGGGCGGGCTTGTGTGAACTGACAGGGACGGGACGGGAGGCCTCCGCGTCCTTCCACAGCTCCAGGGCCGAATTCGCAATTGCGCGATTCCTCGGCTCGCTTGGGCTCGGGCAAGCTGAAGCCCTTCAAAAACCCATGCCAAGGCAAAACGGCGCACCCCTCTGTGCATCATAGTTGCATCACAGGATCTTCCATGATGAAGGGGTCCATTATGTTGGATAATTTGGGAGAGGACCGAGGAGCTAGGGATTTTCTAAATACGAGGCTCAGGTGGTAGGTGGCATTGTCGGGGTCAATCTTGATGGCCTTGCTGTAGTACTTGATCGCCTCCGCTCAAGCGCGGCGTAGCGCTTTCCCAGCAAGGCTTATCAAAGACACCTCGGAACAGACTTCGGAAGGCTTCGTAACGGCCTTTGAAAAGCTCAAAGGGAAAGAATACAACAACTTACCACAGGGCCCCCCAAATTTCCCCTTCAAACATCCGTTTTTGAAGGAAACTCTTGCAAAATGGGCCCACAAGGTGATGTTCAAACCCACCAAGTGCCAAGGCTTGGTCCTTAGACAAGCAAATGCTATGGCCGCAACAGTGTAAACCACACAAGCGAAACAGCCGACATCTACGAGCTGATCGGCGCTGTCAGTCGGCTGAACAAATCGAGGGATGCAGTTCTAACCCACGTGGATGATCAATCGTTAGAAAGGGTTCATGAATTCCCCTTCCCCATTTGGCTCCTCTGCCAAGCTGCTATGTCCAACAAAAAGGCCCAACAAAGCAAAATCCGGCGTTGCACACAGCTTCACACGAACAAGCCCAACATGCCCAACCAATTCTGGACAACACGTTTTTCCGACCTTCTCTTCCAGAATTGTTTACTCTCTTCTCGGGCGACTCGATTCGCGAATCGGGCGCATCGGGCGCATCGGGCGCATCGGGCGCATCGGGTTTTTTTTTGGGTCTCGGCTTTTGCTTCGGTTTTTGCGGCTTCGCCTTGGGGTACTTCTTCTTGCCCATGGCCCGGTTCCCCTTCTTCTTCTTCATCTCCGCGTCGCTGGTGTTCCCGGAGCTCTCCTGGCCAACGCTCGGCGGCTCGGCACGAGGAGCCTAGGCAGCGCCTTCGAGGCTGTCCAATGGCTCCGGCGTCCCGTGGCTTTGAAACACCGTGGATTTCGTGGGAATGTTCTCCCCGGATTAACCAACCCGGTTAATTAGTATGGGTGTCCCTGGCTTTAAGTTTTAGTGGGGGTTCATCGCTTTTGGAGGGGTTTTCACCCCCATATTAATAAACCGAGGTTTATTTCTCCGGGGCCAACGCGAAGCCCCAAGGCGTCAAGTCAAAGTGGGGATGCCCTGCCATGCTTTTTTTTTACACCTGCCCTTGCGATTACAACTGGTCAGTGTCACTTTTTAGCAACAACGAAGTCAAGAGCTGAAACAGTTTGCCCTTCGGGGCTTTCCACTTCCTGCGCTGGCGCCATGGCAAGTGAAGCTCGCTTCGCACAGCTTCTTGTGTACCTGGATGAGCACCGTGCAGAGCTGGAAGCACTTCAGTGCAATGACATGCGGGAGCTTCTGCGAACTGGCGAGGCCAGGCAAGGACGCGTAGCAGTGCCGGAAAGGGCAGCGTGGTATCGCTTCTTGCGCCGACAAGAGCACTTGCTTTCGGCAGCCCAGGTGGAACAATTGCGTACTCGTGCGAATGTGCTTTGTCAGCGAGCAGACGCTGATCGCTTGGCGGTTCAGCCGGCGCTTCAGCAGCAGCTGGAAAAGCTGCTTGAGTTGCTCGAGCGGCGCTTCGATGAGTTTGCAGCGCTGCGCAAGCCGTCCTTGAGGCTGTCTTCGACGCGCACGCTGCCAAGTCCGACAAGGACATCCAGTTCGGCAAGAATTTCATGAGCCGTTGCTTCCCAAACCTTTCGCAGCAGCAGAAGAGTGGGAGGCCATGCTCTGTGAGCCTGCAGCTGATCAACGCTTGGCGGTTCAGCCGGCGCTTCAGCGGCAGCTGGACAAGCTGCTTAAGTTGCTCGAACGGCGCTTCGATGAGTTTGCGGCGCTGCGCAAGCTTTCAGGGCCGTGGACTCCGAACACCCGAAGTGGCATGTCATTCGCCGCGGGAAGCCAAACCAGCCAGACAGCCTACGGCGTCTGCTTCAAAGGGGAAAGGAGCGAAACATGTTGTTGGGCCTGGATGCCTAGAACTATACGGGGGCAGTAATGAGGAACATGAGTTGCTTGCATACTACATATGTGTGTGGCTCAAAATTTAAGAGAACGGGTTACGCAGGTTTTAGTCTTTGGTTCCACCTATCAGGGTTCCATTTTGGTAACAGTTTTTTGAGCCACAGCCATATCTATGCACAAGACCTTAAACTGCAATGATCCTGCTACCATGTTGACAAGGTTGTATGCCCCAGCCTCCTCTGGGGCAATTCAGTGGACTGGGACAAGCGAAAATCCGACATGCCTGAACAGGCCGTGAACGCGCGCGCGAAACTGTCCTGAACATCTAGCCTGGAATTCGAAGGCATACAGCAACACAAATGTAATGCAGCAAATCAAAGGCCCCACTTCTAGGACGAGTTTGGATTCACTTGCCCACCGTCGCAAACTGGAACACCCCTCTGACTGATTTGGGATTTCGCCACATAGGAGTACCCTTTCCTCCGATATTGGAATCCAATTCGATTGTGGGAGTGAGGTGGGGTTGGAAACGCCCACACCCCCATGGTGCCCTTGTGCCGAGTACCGGCCCCGGAATTCTCATAAATATCAACTCCGCGAGCTGCCCACTGTGCCCAAGCAAGGCCAAAGACAACCCAAGAAATCAAAGGCAAGGCCTGGTGAAACCAAACACCCCATACGTGTACGTAGAGTCACTGGGTAAGCCCCCCCGAAGTAAACAGGCTGCCTCATCGCTGGTCGTCGGCGGGGTGGGCGGAGTTTGCTTGCAGCCGAAGATGTGGGACATCAGTTGCTCGGATGTGCCAACCCCGCGCCCGGGGTCAAATTCGTGATAGCGGGTGTTCGGCCAAGGGGGGTTCAGGAACAAACCGTATGGCTGGGGCTTTGGAGTGCAGAAAGGAGTTGATTTGCCTCTGGCGATGGCAAATGCACCAATGCGCTTCATGCGAGAAGGGACCCGTCAAACCCTCCGGGAGCACATGGCGAGGGGATGGAGCTTGAGCCCAATGGAGGCTGGCTGTGGGCTTGACCTAATGTCGGCTTGTCTGAGCAAAGCTGCGCGACCTGCGCACCGAGCGACCATCAAACTCCTTGGATAGTCAGGGAAACCCGGCGACAGTCTCTCAACTTGAAGGAGCTTTCTTTCTGTTTTTGAACCCCGTCTTTTCGGTTCTTTGCTCAGTTTCAAGGGAAAACCCACTGACTGCTTGTGTGCGCCCTGTCCAATGCCCTGCGCGACTGGTTGTGGCGCCGGTTTCCCTTCCGGGAGAAGCTACTCATCATCCTTTGATAAGGTCCAACAACCCCCCCCCCCCGCCGGATGGTGGACGCTTAGGGTCTATTTTGCAACCTCCTTCCTTTAAAGTGTTGGTTTTCAGGGTATGGTTGCAAAATCGACTCTACATGCCCCCCCCCCCCGGCACACTCAATTCTGGCCCATTCCCTCAACTCAAAACCCTTCTTCGCGGCCAATCCTGTGCCTTGTCTTCTGCTCTGCGTTTTCGTGCACCCACAAGCAATTTCTCAGCGCAGCTGTCCGTGTGATGAGGTGCGAGACCATCTCCGAAGCCCCACTCTTTGGGGCGCATGGCAGTGGTAACAGAATAATTGAGTGGAGCCAAAAAAACAATTTGTGGCGCTGATGCTTTACCGAACTACAACCAGAGGCCCGCAATGCTCTGGCTGTCTCCAAATCTGTTGCTTTTGGACTCCCCTTAAAGTTGTCTTCCTTCTGCCTCCGCCTTAACTCAGTTTCTTTCTGCTCCCCTGCCAACAGTTTAACTTTCAGTGATGTAAAGGAAAGCCCATTCGTTGGGCAAAAGTTGAAGTTCTAACATCCCAGCAAAATGCAGCAACGTTAAAGTCCATCTGTTCTTGCATCAGGAGGAGCGAGCTGCCTTTTCTCCTGGCTACATGAAGTCGAAATTCTGCTGCGGCGGGGGGTTGCGGCCCAATGGATCACTCAGGCGCCAGTACTGCTCATCCGAGTCCGACTGCGGCCCGAAAAAGACGCGGCCGTCGCTCTCCTGAAGCCGGCCGAAAGTCGAGCTCTATCTCAGCTTCCCTCCAATTGGTGGCTTTGGATCGGTGTGGCTCGGGTGAACTCCCCAAAGCAAGCCAAACCATCACTGAAACCTGGCTATCTGGAGCCATGACCTTTAAAACCTGCCAGGGGTCATGACTCTTTCAAATTTTGGTCCGTGACCCCATGTTGGAAGGGCCATGGAGGCTTCAGGTAGCTGTAGTTCCTATTCTTTCCAGGGATCTGTCATCAAAAACAAGAACCATACAAATATCGAAGGGGACCATACTCGCCGAGCACACTGCGGTCGATCCTTTTCGACGTGATCCTGTTTGGCATCTGATCGCTGTCCAGCCTTTCAATGGAATGCGAACCAGCTGGGGCCCGCGTGGAGGGGCAAAAATTGTTTGAACCCCCGTCTCACGTCCCTTCCAACCACTTTGTCGCAGCCCCGGGGACCTCTAGGAAATGAAACCTCGAAGGAAAAAGAGGGCCAACATCAGCTCACATGGGTGAGACAAAGGCTTAAAGAAAGCTTGATCTTTGCGATTGGACAGCACGGAGCCTCCCCCCCCCAAAAAAAAAAACGGATGCAAAGAAGGGCAAGTCAACCAGAGCCAAGCTAGAATCAAACATTGCTCTTTCCTGGTTCCTTTTGCGATGCTTAGGCACGTCACCGTAGACAGGCGCCACCAAGCTTCCATGCGGAAGAAAGAAATTTGGGCAAGTCGCTGCACAAGCCGGAAACACGGAATCCTAGAGTGGACCCGAGCTCGCTACGCTCTCTACAGTTCACCCTACACACCACCCCACCAAGAGGAATCTCGTGAGCAAGGGCATGTAAGGACCACAGTTAAATGTGTTTTCGACATGCGGAAAAAAAAAAAAAGAAAAAAACTGACGCCAGGTTGCTGTGAGGAACTTTGGCCGAGGACAGGTGGTGCGAATGCTGAAATGGTTCACGCTGGGCTGGCAATTGCCGTTCCCTCAGGCCGGAGAGCCAATCCCAAGGGGAGCAGGGACCCTTACATTATACACCTCATTGCCTTCTAAATGGCGGTTTCCTTTTATTTTGGTGGAAAATGCAATGTTTCAAAGGGTTGCAAAATGTATCTTAGGAGCCCTGGGGAGGGAAGCTTAAGAGAAAAGCTCGGAGATTTAAGGGTCCGATCCATGGAATTTGGGGCTCCAAAACCAATTGAGTTGTGAGACCCCTAAGGCAACTCGGGGTGTACGGGGAATTTCGGGCTCATACCAAGCCCCAGGGCCCTTAGGGGAGAACCCTTCCCGGTTAATTGCGGCTAAAGGCCTTTCAACTTACCCAAAACCGACTTGCCTTGACAGACAGCCGCTTGGAGATGTCCCTGGGTCTGAAGGTGTGTCGCCTCGTGTACTTAACAGTTGGGGTTGTCCTATCGCGGTAGATCAGGGCACCTCTAGCTGTGACTTTTGACCTGTGACCAAGAAGAAAGGATTCTTTCTAGCCAAAAACTCACAAGAAGACAGGCACAAAAGCAACAAAGCAGCTTGGCAGACTCTTCCAGCGACTTCGACCTCTAGGCGATCCTGGGCCCTGGCGAAACGGGGGCTATCCAAAGGGGCCGTTGGGTTTCGCTATATCCTTACTGAAAAAAAACAAAAAACAGCAAACCACGCAACACGAAATCTCCCAAGATCTCTAGATGAGAGAGTTTAGCCTTTCCCTCAACTGCTAAACGCTCACAAGCCCCCCGAAAAAACTGAGAACGTGTTCCTTTCAGCCACGGAGCCGCACATTTGAACGGGCTCCACCTTGAGGCAGTAATTGCAGAAGGGCGTGAGGTGGTGGTCCGTGGAGCAGTTGACATCCTGCCGAAAACCGGGCAGCGGGCAGTTGCAAGATGCAAGTTGGACAGGGCGCCGCTGTTCTTGTAAGCGTTTTAAGCATGTTCAATGGAAACCGGGGAGCCAAAACGGGGGCAGCCTTGTTTTTTTAGTGGTGAAAATGGGGCTCAAGGGAACCTAGCAATTCCTGCTTCTATATGCAAGCCACGCAAGCTGCTCAAAGATGGCTAAGAACGCCGCGAAACAAATGTCAGTCGACCTCCCCAACACCTCCCCCCCCAAACAAAATATAAAGAAAGAAAGAAACCCTCCCACCAAAACGAACATGAACAAATCCCAACCCCCCCCCCCCCTCTGGTTCCGCCTGCAGCTTCGCTTTGTCCAGCAGCGTGAGCAGCGGCAGCGGCTTGTCGGGGTCGTCGGGGTCCGGGTGTGCGCGGTGCAGCACCAGCTTTGGGTGCGCTAAGCCTCCTGAGGCGACAATGTCACTCAAACCGGGCTGAAACCCGTTGCCCACTTCCGACCGAGTGGATTGGCCGGAAAAAGTAGCCAAACTTAAAATGGTCCAAACCCAACAAGTGACTCAGGTCTAGAAACTCAGGAAGTGAGGTTGTCTTTCTACCCAGGTCCCACTGTCCAGCCCAACTCAAGCACACTAAACCCAAACTTTAAACCCCAGATACGTTACTTTCGTTCACCCAATGGTTGTGAAAATGGCGACATTCTGTGTACCGGGTGGTTGGTTCCAACTTTCCTGAGCCATCGAAGCTTCATGTGGGAAATACTTGTGCCAAGACTAGCCCACTTGAAAGAAACCCAAAGACCCAGAAGGCCCACAAAGATCCCTGAGGCACATGTTGTGGGAACATGATTGCTATTTGAACAACTCTAAGTAAGTCTCACACCCGATGTACATGTCCAATCCAAAAACAATGAAACACACCCAAAGGAAACTCACATTCTGGACCTCTCCAGACCGATCCCTTCAAGGCGTAGGAACCAGAAAAACAACCATCGATTTGGGAATCCCAAGAAGTTGGGGTAGTTGAGACTCATAGAACCCCCCTGCACCGTGTCCCTGTCCCTTTGGTAGATGCTGAGCAGACCCACGTGCCGACACGCCCGTGCGGCCCAGGGTCCCATCACATTCCGCGTGTAGTCCGGGGAGTACCACCTAGGGCCCCTCCCCTGATGGTTCGAATGCCGAGGTTTTGCGCGTTGTGTTTGCCTAGGTCCTCCAGTAGAGAGGTTGGAATAAGTTGGTACCAACGTTTTTTCTGTAGTCTATTTTAGTAGGGGGTTTCCCTCCCAACCAAAAAAGAAACGGTCAAAGTTGGCACCTAGCTGGGGGACCTAGTTCAAAAACCAGCCATTTCCCCAAGGTCTTTGGTGGTTTTCCAGAAAGAAGGATCCCGGGAAAGAATGGGGAAGGTACCCCTAGACAGGGTGATGTTTAAAACTTTAAAACCATCAAAAAAAGGAAGAAATCAAGGTACCCCCGCAAAAGATCTGCCAAAGCTGGCGGCGGGGGGACAGCGCGCCGTTGGTGCAGGCGGGCCCCCAGCATCGCAGCTGCCAGCGAACCACCGGGTGCTCCGTGTCCTTGTTCGAAGGCCGCAAGAAGTTGGGGGGTGGGCGGGAGAGGGGGGGGGGAGGTTGGGCGGAGAGGTTGGGGTCCGGATTTGGGATGTGGGTTTCTTGGGTCAACAGGGGGCTTGAGCATTGAAGTCTCAACCACCGAACCTGAACGGAACTGAAGGGTCGGATCCGGTCGTGGGCAAGTGAGTGACAGGGCTTCGCTTCTTGATCTACGCGCCCCAGATCCGCTTTCCGAATCATTCGCCCAGCTTCGTCATAGGGTAGCTCCAGTCGATGGTTGGAGGCCCAATTGGTGACCTGGCGAGGTTGCGGAATCTGGCACGAGAATGAACCTGCTCGTAAATCCAGGATACTCCTAGAGTTGAAAAAACGCTCCAGGACTTGTTGGGTGAATTCCTTGGCCAAACGGACCCCAAAGGCCGTAGAACAAAAAAGCAAAGCATGACTGACACCTGCACCTGAAAAAACTCTGTCGATTTGTTTGGCTTCGGAAGCCAACAAGACATAACGCATCCGTAGAGGATCGCCTTTCACGGACAATTGTCCTTTTCGACCTAACATTTTTCTGGTTCTTTCGCGGAGTGGTCGCACCCCCGCGCGCGGCTCACTGAAAAAGCTACAGCCAGCTTTCCCCTCTCAGGGTCACACGGCTGGAGCTTGCATTTGTAGATGTTCGCCCCATTTCTGCATGTATGCATGTATGCACACACACACACATATATATATATGTATATATATATATAAATACATTTATATTTATTTACATGTATATACATATATATATATATATACCTACGTATGTGTGCATATATATATATATGTATATATATATAGAAAGATACTTGCACAGATGATCTAGTTACTGGTAATTCTCGAGTGTGTTGCATCTCCCGTCCCAGCGGATCCCGAGGATCCGTTTCGCCCATGGTGGGAAACCAGCAAGCGTCCCGGAATTAGGACCCCAGCAAAAAAAAGAGGATCTTTTTTGCCCGGTAGTGGAAAACAAAGGGAACCCCAAAAAAAGCAAAAACGCAAAAAGGGGAACTAATTCTAGGAAAGTCTTTTGTGAAGGGCACTGTTTATCGTCGAGTGGACAGGATGGATCCACTGCTTTTCCCTCCGCTGCTCAAGTTCGACCTTGCTAAAAAATTGACCCCATATGAATCAACCCCATGTTTGATTCATAGGGAAGTGGGGCCCCTCCAAAAGTGATGAATCCCCAAATTGGGGTTGATTAGTATGGGCAGTATGGGGTCAACACTAAATGGGCGTCTTCACCGCATGTGCTCGTTTCCTCTTGGTTGATGTTGGAAGGGGAAAAACAAAAAAATGGCAGTTAAGTGGGGATTTCCAACTAAACCACAATAGGCAAAATGTACAATGTTTCCAAACAACAACCATGTCCTTGTCGCCAAAGAAACCCAGGTTACCCTCGTGCGCCTCAAAGGGCTCCGCGTCCAACGTGAAGGTCTTCCGAAACTTCGGCGGCGGCGGCGCGTTCGGATCCTCCCGCCAAGTCTGTGTTGGCCAATGGGGCTTTTTCTGAGCAGGCGACTAGCAAACGGAGCCAAAACAAGCGAAAGATGAAAGAAACATGCCAGGAACAGCGAAGCAGTCAAAGCATGTACTATGTGTCATCAGTTTTGCATTGGGTTGCATGATGTGGAGCCTGAAGAAGCTTCTGTCCACTCACATGGAACCCACAGGCCCCGAAACGTCAGGTTCCATGTGGACAGGAGACATGGAAAGCTTTTCACACCATGGCTTGAGGTGAGGCTCATGACATGAGTGCGTGCGCGTTCAATCGGCCCATGTGGATGCTCACTCCCGTAGATTGGTTGAAAGTGCGCACTTTTGGCTTCCCAAATCATCGTCCCACACGCTTCAAGTCCAGCAACTTGGGAAGTGAGAAAGCGAACGAGCGGCGAGCTTGAACAAACAATTGTGGCAAATGATAGTGACGACCAAATGCCAATGAGCGATATAGACGCTTATCCCAAGGCTTCTCCCAGTGCAAGCGGGACTTTGTCAAACCTTGTGCAACCCTCCCGGCGAAACTGTCAGTGGATATTCTCGAAGCTGCGAGGCCCTCTGGCGCACAAGCCGAAAGCAAACGCATACTCCGCCAAAGAACACAAGCTGTCAGGACCCTCGATGTTCCATGAGGGTTCCGATTGCCTGCCTCTTTTGGACGCCTGCAAACTCTCAGTTGCCCAGTTCGGACCCAGAAGGAAAAGGCTAACTTACCTTTTGGGCCAACTAAAAATGGACCAAACCAGGCAAACCAAAAGGTCAGATCCGGTCGATATTGGCTTCGAATGAACAGCCGAGTCGGGCTGACATGCCCGGGCCCATTCCCCGCTGAAGGAATTCGTCACTTTTGGGAATTCTAAAATTTGGAATGCTATATGATGAAAATAATCAAACGTAAAGGTAGCCAAACATAGTGGTGCGTGCCTATGTACATACGAATGCACAAAACCAAACATTGACTTTGCGTGCAAATCGGTACAGTACAGTCTGATTAGGTTCCCTAAGGGGGAACACAAGAACACTCACCGCAATCAAAGCACCTGTTTGCCAGTTTGCCTGTGGCAAAGCGCGCAAGCAGAACACCCCACCCCACAGCCCCTTCCCCCATGTGCAAACGTGGACTCAACCGCGAAATCAGACTATGCCCAAACAAACGCACAAACAACTAAACAAATACAAAACAACAGGATTCCCAGAAACAACATCGATGCACACATACATCAACAGTCGGGGTAGCAAAAAAATACGACCCCAAGTCAATTGGATCCAACATCTTCACGTGCAGCCTCTGACCGTTTTTTGCGAGCCCATGGCCAGGAAAGTCGCTATAGCCGAAGCTCGGGGGGGTGGAAAGTTGGGCGAAAGGGGAAACGGAAACCGGAAAACCTCGCACGTTTCAGTTGTCACTATAGGCAACCTGGGAAAACCGCCATGAAAAAACAAACCAAGATGTAAGACTACCATGGTTATCTACTATATTCGTAGCTGGAAGGGTTGAGCTATATCTATTTAGCCTTTGCGGAACTGGGAGCGACCGCAAAGAGCCGTGAGTAAGTTAGGGGCACTCAATTTAAAGGTGGCCGAAAATGGGAAAGCGCAGCTGGCTGGTGATTGGAAACCTCAGCTGGCTGGCTCGTTTGCTCATTGGGCAAATGGTCCCCTGCTCGCTTGCTGGTCCCTTAAACCTAAGCCCCTTAGAAGAAAAACGGTCAACCATCCTCCCTAGCATAGTGGTGCCAATTCCAGTTGTCTCATAAAAAGAAGGGAACCCTATTTGGCTGTGGGGTACCCAAAATGGAACCCTGGTAAATGGAGCCATGGACTAAAACCTGCTTTCCCTGGTGGTTTAATTTTGGCTTAATATTCAATTGAATTCCAGAGGCCACTCCCCCATTTGCTGGGCTGTTCAGAATGGAGGGTTGGCCAATCCTAATCCATGATCCCTATAGGAAAGCCACTACAAAAGGGATTACGTAACCCCAGGTAAGGATTCAGGATTACCTTTGAACAGCCCAGATTTATAAGGGGCTGGGGATGCTCAAGCTGTGCCATCCCCCGCCGGCGCCTGCGCACCAACCTCTTGGAAGGCGCTAAGCAGATGACCCCGCAGCGCGGAGAACAGCGGCATGGCGCAGCCGCCGCCGCCGGGTGTTCCAGGATGAAACCACCAGGGAAACCAAAGACCCAACCAATGGCCGCAAGACTGATGATCCATAATTAAAACGAGTTTGTTGAAAGGAAGCCTCTCCTGAGCTCAGAGGCATCCAAGGCAAGCTGTGCAAACAGACAAGAGCTTTCCGCTCGCTGATTTCTGCCGCTCGTTTCGAAGAGTATCCGATGTTCGGCACAAACTTGCGCTATCTGTTTTCAAACGAGTGGGCTGGCCAATGGGCGACGAAAAAAAAAAAAAAAACGCAGGGGTCTCAATCTGGCCAAAGCAAACCAGAAACTCAAAGGGTCAAAGCCTTGGGCCCTTGGACAACCCTAGCCACATCAGCTTTCTGTCGGCCAAGGAACGTGGTCCCGACTTAAACCCCGCTCTCAGCTTCCATAAGCTAACTTTCTACTGCTTTACCAGTCGAACCACGCTCAGTTTGAGTCAATGGGTCGAGATTAATCGCGGCCGTGCACCATGGGCGCCCAACTTGGGCCACCCACTTGAGCCAGCGGACCTGCAAGTGGTCTGACCTGCAGCTTTGGACAACGAGAAACAAATGCCAAAAGTGCGGGCGGCAGGCGAACGATCGGAGAGCCGTGTGCTTGGCCCACATGACGTCGACAGTTTGGCAACTTGCCAAGAGTTAAGCCTCGATGCCTGGCACATTCCCCGCAAAACGTCTCCCAATTGGAAACTAAGGAAGGCTTTGAAACAAGCTCATGCAGCCCAGCTTGTTTTCGCAGTGAGCTCGTCATGGGCCTGGATATGCAAGAACAACTCAGTTGCAACCAAGCAACCTGCAAAAGGGTCCCTACAAAATATACACACTGCCTTCCAAAGAACAAATTCACCTGTGGGAAGGTTCCCAGAATACCAATCCTGAGGGTAAGCCAACAAGTTGCCGAAGGTCATCCTCGGACAAACTGAGACACTTGCACGACACGCGATGCGCGTTGTGCAGTAATTAGTCCAGGATGTGCGGTGGCTCAAATTAAAGCAGCAAGTGAGCTGCCTTGTCAGATGGTCCGGTCTGGCTGAACAAAGGCTGTTCACAAGGCAGTCAGTTCCCGTGCCCTCCGAAACGTTCAAATGCCGGAATCTACGTTCAAGCCTTTGACCCCCGTGCCGCATCAAGACCACAACCAGTCCCCCGCCCCCAACGACGGCAACCTCATGTCCAACAGGCAGTTGTCAAAGTTGTTAGGGGGGTTACTGGAGTTCGGTTCTGAGGCCTGCGTCTCAGCATCCAACATCGACCCGCATCCGGCGCCTCATGCCATCCGTGACATAGCTCAAGCGACTGGAGCAAGGCGTTCGGCTGAAGACCCTTCCACAAAAGAAACACGGAACTCACTTTCACAAAGTGCCTGGAAATAAAGGTTATATAACCTTTTGGGACCTTAACCAAACGTGAACGTAGGAAAAATCTAAAGGCCAAACGGTGATCTTGGCCAACTGGGGGAACCTGCAGGGCACTGGACACGTTTCCTCTCAAACACCCAGGTTCTACCTCTGTTGGGAGCCTTGCATCCGGACAAAAGCAATGCCATGGCTCTCAGCAGATCCTAAAAAATCCGGATTCGAAATAAGCAAGAAATCCAAGAAAAACGACAAGAAAAAGGACATTCCATACGTGGCAAACCCACCTCTAAAGGCAGTTTGGAAAAACATAACATTTGTCCACACACATCCATGTGCTCAGCTCGGATATATGAATTTTGGGGGAGATCAATCGCATAAAGTCAGATGGTTTCAGGTATGGCTCGTATGGGGCTTCTCGAAAAAACGAGAGAAAGAAAGAAAGAAAGAAAGAGAGAAATAAAGAAAGAAAGAAAAAATGAAAGAAACATTAAACAAAAACTCAGTTTGTATCCAAGGAGAAGCCTTGAAGGGTGGTTGATTGTGTTTCCGGCCCATCGAACTTGGCCATCCTAAAAAGGACCCAACTCTTGCAAACGCGGCGTTTGCGCAGTGCCGGGCTGTTTGACGAGCTTGCATCAAGCCCTAGCAAGGCTGGAAATGGGTCGGTTGGTGATTTGGGGTAAAGTATGGAAACAAGAAACATGCAACAAAACTAGCTCATTCATCTCTTACGGGCCCTCTTGGCGGCAGGAACAATTAACGAATCAACAACTCCTACTCAGCTTTTGCCCAACATGGCATGTTTCGATTCTGGTCCATACATAGTGCCGCTCAAAAGGGTTGTGTATATATGCATATATTATATATATCTATCTATACATATTGTGTGTGTGACATGTGTTATATCATTCGAGATGCCTCAGGGAAAGTCAAACTGCCCACTTCCGATTCAGTAAGCCAGGCAGGCAGTTCCAAGGGAGTGTCTTTCACCACCGCTCCGGTTTCTACGCCCATGGGCTACTTCCTAAGGGCCCAAACGTGCACAATGCCATAAGCAGGAACCATTGGCTAATCAATCCACTAAGGGGTTCACACCATGGAAAATCCAGGATTGGTGTGTTCCTTGCGCCTTTTCTTCTCAGTTGGCCCAAGGCTTGCAAGAAAGACAAAAGTTCCCTTCTAGGTCATCCAGTAGAGAGGTTGCATATATAAGGGTACCAACTTTTTCTTCTGTAGTCTTTTTTAGCAGGGGAACCCTCCCCCGAACAATGGTAAAAGGGCACCACTGGGGGACCTAGCCTTGAGAACATGAAAAAGCCGTGTTCGTCGCCAGTCCCACTCGGGCGCGGTTTTTCCTTTCGTGGCTGCATCCGCTGGAAAACTGGGTGCTGCGAATTCCTTTCTGGCCTGGACTCAGCTTGGCGGGGCCAACCCCGGCCAAGGAACCAGAGATGCCCCGAAAAAGGGAAAATCTCAGTAGGAGGTTGACGGGAACTGAACGAATCCTAAGGCTCCCAATGATTTTTGGGCCCTGATGGGTTGTTTGGAGGCCAAGATCTGGTGAGTCGTTCATTCCCGCCCCCACTTTCCAAGCAAGAGGGGGAACCGTGGGGCTTGTCCAAGGCCCAAGAGGAGTGTTTTGTGCCTGCGTTGCATCCATGTGTCCGCAGTTCCCCCGAATTCTGACCCTTAGCTGCCTAATGGCTGCTCGAGTCGGAGCCGTGTAGCCGCGTGAAAATCGCTTCGGGCCCTGGGAACGCGGCGCTGGAGGCAAATATGGCAGGCTGACTTGTCAAGGATCACAGCCTGACCTGTAGTCAAGAACAGGCGATCAGTTGCAAGCCCAAAGGTCAACAGCAAGTCGCCAGCCGGCATGCCGCCACAGATTTGGCGCCAAAGTGTCCCACCGGAAATAACGGCCTGCTCAGCCCAGGATGCGCTCCAAATCGTCCTGGGCGACCCGCAGAGCGGGTTAAAACCAACGTCTCGCGAACAGAAGTACTTGGCGACCAAATCAAAAGCAAAAAGCAGAAACCACCTTGAGAAGGGAGCCAGCCTATGTGTTTGTACAAACACATACACACATATATGCGTATGCACGCACTCACACTCACACATGCATATATATATATATACAAATTATTACTTATATATAGAACCATTAAATTACATTACATTACATTACATTGATTCATACATACATACATACATACATACATACATAACATACATACATACATACATACATACATACATACATACATACATACATACATACATACATTACATTACATACACATACATACATACATTACATACATTACATACATACATACATACATACATACATACATACATACATACATACATACATACATACATACATACATACATACATACATACATACATACATACATACATACATACATACATACATACATACATACATACATACATACATACATACATACATACATACATACATACATACATACATACATACATACATACATACATACATACATTACATACATACATACATACATACATACATACATACATACATACATACATACATACATACATACATACATACATACATACATACATACATACATACATACATACATACATACATACATACATACATACATACATACATACATACATACATACATACATACATTACATTACATACATACATACATACATACATACATACATACATACATACATACATACATACATACATACATACATACATACATACATACATACATTACATACATACATACATACATACATACATACATACATTACATACATACATTACATACATACATACATACATACATACATACATACATACATACATACATACATACATACATACATTACATTACATACATACATACATACATACATACATACATACATACATACATACATACATACATACATACATACATACATACATACATACATACATACATACATACATACATACATACATACATACATACATACATACATACATACATACATACATACATACATACATACATACATACATACATACATACATACATACATACATACATACATACATACATGCATACATACATACATCTTAGCGGACCGCGTGCACTCTTTGCGGCCAGCCACTGGTGCGGATCTGTGCGGGCACGCACAAAGAGAAATCTTGGGCCCAGCGCGCGCTGCGAGCGGGCCAGGCATGTGAAAAAGCTCATGGTGAGCCACATGCGGATCTGCAATGAACCTGCAAGGGCCTTCAAAGCCTTCGTGCAAACATTCTCACTCTCAATTCTATGTTGGGAAAGGCCCGGCGCTCAGGAGTGCTTCTCAGACTCCTTCAAGACGATGTACGGGTTCCGGAGCCAGTCGCTGAAGGTCTTACGCAAAGAAGATGTGACCTTGGTCAGGCCATCGGCCCACTGCAAGTGTGTCGGCACCCAGAAACAGGTGTCGAAGTTGATGTACTCCTGGATGCTGCGGATGCTGACCAGGGTACGCTTCTCACTGACCCTGGGGTTCTCTGCAGCGATTCCATCAAACAGCGAGCGGCTGTCTGTAACCTGGAACTGGTTCATGCGCTCCTTGGTGCGATGTGCCTTTTCGGCATGAAGCAACTCATAGAGCAAGATGTTGGT